TTTAAGTTTTATGGGATAAGGCTTATCCATAATGTATCATCACTTATGATGAAAAAAATTTGTGCTGGCATTTTCTACAAGCATGTCTTCATCTTCTTCTACATGATCTTCACTGGCTCTGATTTACTGTCATGATCATCTAATATGATTTTTTCCATTTCATTGTCACTTATCATCTGTAAAATCTATGAATTCATCAGATTCACCCGAGAGTTGCTAGAAGAACTCCAAGATTTTTTTCTGATTTGTTATACAAATTTTCAAACCTAAAAAGTAAAAAATTAGAAAAATAAAATGAAACTAAAATCTCAGCTATAACCAAAAAAAATCAAAATATGATCACCTAACCCAAAATAATAAAAATTATTACACCTATATTGGGAGCCATGAGCAGTTCACAGTTCTAAAAACACAAGTTTTCTCTATAATGGCTGTGTATTATAGAGATAAAAATTTAACAAATAAAAAAAAATGCTCCTAGTTCTTGAAAACATAGAGAACAAATAATAACCACTTTGGCACAGTTTGAACAAAAATTCAACAAAAAGGAATTGCGGTACACATTACGCACCCACTACCGGGTTAAAGATCAAAATTACAATTTGTTTTCATTCATATTCCAGAAAATCTTGCAGTAAAAATTGTGATGTTTGTTTTTATGTATTTCATTGAATTATTCTTACAACATTCAACAATATTTAAAAATAATAATAATACAAATTTTGTCACAAAGTCTGTAACTTATAATTGAAATTAAGAACATACCAAATAATACAGCATATAAAATATAAGTATTAATATTATATATTTTTCCTTGTAATAAATTATCTTTTAAAATATAGACTAATTTTAATATAGGAAGTCATTGAAGAATTAAGTGTTGGTATTCATGCTTTGCAAACAGATTAAGCCCTCATATTTGTACAGCCTCCTTTACTTATTAGCACAAGCACAGCACATTGCTTTCAGGCTTTTATACACTTTCTGTGCACAAATTTAAAAATTTCATATTGATGCATGTCTAGTCATTATTATACTAATGTTTGTTTAGCAAATGAATAAATCTACTTTAGAAGTAGTATAAAACAAATTAACATTGAAAAAAAAATTATAAGTTGCATTTCTACCATAATACTGTTCATTATGGTTCAATATAAGCAATATTGCTTTCATGCTAAAAATGCTAAAAGCGGCCTTTGCAGTTATTCAAATTCTAATAAAAGTGAACCACTAATTCAAGATAATTGTGAATCTGTACTACTAGTACTACTACTAATATTAGCTAATGTTAGTGTACTAAGTACTTCTCAACTCGTCAAACATACAATAACACAATCATTAATAAATATATTTTTTGTAATAATAATAATAATAACATATTAAACAAAACACAAACATATTCAAAGAAGAAGAAACAGTATGACATTTTATTTTAATGTATAATTAATGCTTTGATCTATTTTTAAATATTAGATAAATAAACTTAGCAACTTTGCCAGCATAAATTTGGTCGCAATTTAATTAATACAGGGTAACCAGAAAATTTCACGTGGTTTTTCATTTGTTGTTTTAATACCGTTAATTATAATATCTATTTATTGTGGTGTTTACATCATGCAATACCAAGAGGATGATGCGTCAGTTGATAAAGAAAAAGTCACTATAAATTACAATTTTTTTTTCTCATGGCTTCAAAATTCGTAATTTGTGCTTATTTTTATGAAATTAAGCTCTGTGCATAAAATTACACTGCATTCGGTGATGAAACAATAAGTGAGCCCACTGCAAAAAGTGGTTCAAAAAGTTTGCTTCTGAAGGTGAAACACTGTCTGGTAGACCTTCTGTCTTGAATGATGATTGAGGAAAACTATTTATTTATTTACAAGCAATAGCCCATTTTATTACAATAATTACAAGAAAGACAAAGAACATTTAAAAAATAAAAACATTGACAATAATAAAAGTAATAACATAAAGTATCATTTAGATACCAATATTTGAATACAAAAATAATAACTGGGATTGTATGCCCTTTTGCAAATGGTTTCTATGTGAAGGTTGAAGTACTGAAGAGCTATTGAACTGAATTGAATTGAGCTATTGATACCGACCTATGGTAACAAGCCTCTGCATTGCTTTCAAGACACAAAGTAGAAACTTTTTTGACCAGATTGTCACAGGTGTTGCAAAATGGATTCTGTACAGTAACACTGGTCGTACCATTGACTGTCACCAAATGACCCTGCTTCAATGATATGAAAACCAAATATTCATCAGCAAAAGGTGATGCTTTGTGTTTGGTAGAGTACAACAGGCATCGTGCATTACGAACCCGTACCACATGACCAGACTATTACCACAGAATTCTACTCAAGCCTGGAATGGGTATCTCTTGTCGCAGTCCAGAAACAACCTCCTCTCATGAACAGAAAAAAAACAAGGATACCTCATACAGTCAGAATGACAGAAGAGGTGATAATGGTAGGTTAAGTACTCCTACCACACCCTCCAAACTCCAGTTCTGGCTCCATCTGACTTTCACGTTTTCTTAGCAATGGACAATCAGGAGTTTGATAATTGCCAACAGCTGGAAAATGAGCTGAATTTATTTTTAAGTCCCAGGGCTCAAAATTTTGTAAACGGGGCATAACTGGGCTGGTAACAAATAGGGAGAAAGTGGATGGAGCCTATTTCCCCAAATAAAATATTTTGAAACTATTTTTAATTGTGACAATTATAAACCCTGTAAACCCACACGAACTTTGCTGGTTACCTTGTGTAAAATTAATAATAATAATAATTGTTTTACTGTCATTTTTGTCTAAAACCATCATAAATTATTGTATTATTATAATAATTAATCATAAAATAGTTATCATTGAAAATATGACTTCTTTTTAGAATATTTCTATGCAAGAGGTTGGGCATTTATTATATTATCAAACCCATGAATACTTATATTTTTAAGAAATACAAATATACAGTATATTTTTAAGTTAAAATTTTCTAAAACATATATGAATATTCTAAGTGCAAGAATGTGATACTGGTAAAAGTTTTGACAATTAAAAATAACATTTTCATTTCCTTACATTTCAGTAGACTTACTTTATATCAAAATTCATTGTTCAAATATTTACTTCATTTTCTAATAATTTTGGATACATTAATTGATTGATTCATCGATAATTTCCTCTACTTACAGTGTTCTCTCACCAATTCGAACTTCGGTACTCGGTACTGCAAACATTCCAATAATCCAAATTGGACTGAACAAAATTCAAGAAGTCAGAATTTTAAAGGAGATAAATGACACACTATTTAGGGGAAGAGGGAGAGAGTGAGTGAGAGAGAGAGGGAGAGAGATAAAGTGAGCAAGAAAGAGATAGTAAGTGAGAGAGAGATAAATGAGTGAGAGTGGGAAAGAGCTGTGAGTGAGTGAGTGTGAGACCACGCCAGCTTAGACTAAACAAATTTTTTGAGAATTTCTTTTGTTCAGTTAATCCCTCACCTCCCTCCACTTCTAAAAAATGAAATGTTCGATCAGTCTAATATTTCTTGTTTTAACTTTAATCTACCTACTGCTTAAAAATTAGTGACAAAGAGGAAAAAGCAATGAAGAAAATGTTAAATAAACTTTTGAAAAACTGATTTTTTAAAGAAAAAGTGATAGTACATAATATGTATTCTAATAGGTTTAACATTTTGTGTTTGCAATAATAATAAAGTGTCGTGGTGACAATTTTTTTATATATGTATGTATTTTTTAACAACCTCTGTAATCCAAATCCCCCCCCCAGCAGTTATTAGTTTGGATTACTGAGATAACACTGTACTTTTAAAACAAGTTTGAACTTAAATCTTACGGTATTTGACTATACATTTCAAAATATATCTATTATGAATATATAAGCTCATCAATTGTAAAATAAAGAAATGAAATTATGTACCAATCACACGTTAATAACAGAATCACTTATATTATAATGATCTTTCTATCCACAATTTTTGCTGTTTTATATTTATAAATCAGCGTTTAAGTCATGGGCTAGGTTGGAAGTTAGTGTTACCAGTTCCATTTGCACTTGTCTTTATGCACAATATTATGAATGTTGCACATCACCTTGATGCACATTGATTAATGCACGGAAGCAAGGGATATATATGCCAAAAAAGTTTTTGTATGAGAATTTGGTTGTTACTTGTTCAATTATGAAATAATGTTTTAAAATTAAACATAATTATCAATTATAGTTATAATAAATTAATATAATAAAATTTAAAAACCTGACATATATAAGAAGGTAAATCTAATTTTTAAATTTCATAGTAGACATTTTGTTTATTAATAACTTGAACAACACCTGTGACAGTTAACTTAACATTACATTTTGTTTAACATGAATTTACAATCACTGAATCGGTGTAAGTTTGTATTTGATTTTTTTTCATTTGACAAGATTTTTTTAAAGTTAAAGCATAAAGTAAAAAAAATCTAATAGAACGAAAAATAAACATTTGAAGTTAAATACATTTTTACATGATATCAGTTGAGCAGAGGCGCCTAGATTTGTAGTTTAAATATTGTTTTCCAACTTTTTGTGAGTTTTGCGTATTTATTACTTTAATATTAATTTTGTCTGGAAAACAGGCATTTCTTTAGCATGAGCAGTGCTTAATTATAATTTTTATTATTGTTTTTATTGTGTTCATAATCTTTTAGTGGTAAATTAAAGTAAAGCAGGATTTATCATGTACATACAAAAATGAATTGATTAAAAAGATTATTAATTTTTTTAACTTAATTTTTTTTAAACTAAAATCAAAATTTTCAACTAATAAAAATAAAATATTTATAGTAGGTAATATATACATTTTCAAAGACACTTCGTAATTCATAAAGTGATTAATTAATATATTATTCTTTTATAAATTTGAAATTAAATATACAAATATAAATCCAGTTTTGATAATAGTTTGAAGTTGCACCAATTTTTTAGTTCCTCCACGTTGGATATCAGAACCAAAAGATTTGAATGTTACAAGGGATGGAGTCGCAAGGTTTGATTGCATAGCTGAAGGATTTCCGACTCCACAAACAACTTGGAAAAAGATCATTGGTTAGATTGATAATAATTTTAAATTCCCTCATGCTCAAAACTCACTTTACAATATATTTTTTTAAACAATAGGACAGCATCCCAATGAATACCAAGATCTGAACATAGGAAGGCATGGATTTTCATTATACGACAATGGCACCCTGGTGATAAAACCTACATTATCAGAACATGAAGGCCAATATTTATGTGAAGCAGCTAACGGAATCGGTTCAGGCATAAGTTCTACTGTAACATTAAATGTTAATAGTAAGTATATTGACCAACTGTTATTTGTGCATGATGAATTTAGATAAATACAATATGTTTTTATGCACTGAAATATTTATTTCAGATCCTCCAGAATTTGATGTTCTATCTACTCAAGAGAGTGTGCGACGTGGTCAGACCCAAATACTAACTTGCGAAGCTCATGGGGATTCTCCCCTGAGTATAACATGGACAAAACACTCATCAAGCCAGCTGAATGCAAGGTTTTTATTAAAAATTATGTTTCTTAAATTTAACTTATGTAAATGTCTGCACTGTCATTTTGGTCTGCTAGTCCTCACAATTTTGATGACGATGATGATGATGATGATGAATATGGTGATTAGGAAGTGGGGGATTTATAGTCTCTAAGCCCTGCAGCCTTTCTGGCTGTTTGTACTTTTCTTAGTTCCTTATTGATCCTTATCTTAAGAAGTACTAGGTCTTAAGCATAACCATTTTTCATCATTTTTGTTTAAATATACTTGGGATCTTATATTGTATGACGAAGATGGTGATGATTTTAAATATACTTGGGATCTTATATTGATTGTATGACGATGATGATGATGATGGTGGTGGTGGTGGTGATGGTGATTGTGATGGTGGTGGTGATGGTGATTGTGATTGTGATTGTGATTGTGATTGTGATGGTGATGGTGATGGTGATGGTGATGGTGGTGGTGGTGGTGATGATGATGATGATGATGATGATGATGATGATGATGATGATGATGATGATGATGATGATGATGATGATGATGATGATGATGATGATGATGATTGATTTTAAATATACTGGGGATCTTATATTGTATGACGAAGATGATGATGATGAAGATGATGATGAACATGATGATGATGATGATTTTAAATATACTTGGGATCTTATATTGTATGACGAAGATGATGATGATGATTTTAAATATACTTGGGATCTTATATTGTATGACGACGACGACGACGACGATGATGATGAATGATGATGATGATTTTAAATATACTTGGGATCTTATATTGTATGACGAAGATGATGATGATGATGAATAATGATACTAGAAAGTGCGCGTTTTATGATTCCCAAGCATTGCAGCTTATTGTACTTTCCTAATTTCTTACTTCAGTGCAATCGACTCGATTTTTCTCTTAAGAAGCACTAGATGTTATGCATAACTATTTTTCAAGAAATGAATGTACATCAGCTCATTAGGTTGGTAAAAGTGACAATGATCGAAAAATCATGTGTATGCATACCCTGATTTCAAGAAAGATAAAGGATTGCCTCCTGTTTAACAAAACCCTAGAAAAAGAAATTCTGGCACCTCAGGAACCATACTCACTAAACCACCCAAAACGCTGCTGGCCCATGCATATGACATAGAATCATAGCACACACTCTCCCACAATTAAAGGGTGCTATCCTTGATTTGCACAAAGCAGCCTTAACCATGGGTCTTACCATTAATGAGAAGAAGTCCTAATATGTGTATGTAAGATGTGGTCCACTGAGAGATGGACTGCAAGTTGGTGCTAACTTCTTTCAGGGGGAGTAAACAAATTGATCTATCTTGGCTCCTAAATTAACTTTCTTTCTTAATTTTTCTTTTAATTCTCCTTTAATAACATCTCCCAAGAGATCACTATGAGAATCATATAGGGGCCATTTTGGCCTTAAAGCTTTGTTTAACAAATAATGAAGCATTTGTGTCGTATTTTCTTAGGTATGAAGTACGTGAAAAACAAGTACGAGGTGGTCTATTCTCTGAGCTGATTATTGAGAATAGTGTTAAGTCAGATAGTGGGCAATACGCATGTATTGCCACAAATCCATATGGTACAACACAACGCACAATTCTTTTACAAGTTCAAGGTTAGAGAATAAATCAACGTTTAGAATTGAAGTTTATTTTTTCTTTTAATGCCTGCTTGTATTAGATGCCCCTGGGAAACCTTTGGACGTCAGGGTTTTAGATATAACAAGCCGCAGTATGAAGATTTCATGGCTTCCGCCCGTTGACGAGCAATCTTCGACGCTTCAGTACTCAGTTCAATATAAACGTGAATCAGGCATAGTATTACTTAAGTTTCCAAGCTCACCAATTCCCAAGGTATAGTAACAGAAAGGTATCGTTTTAGGCTTAATCATGGATGAATGGGAAACTTTTAATGCCGGCAATGAGAATCAAGTTACAATTACGAACTTGCAACCAGCCAGTGTATATTCAATACGTATCCATGCTGAAAATCTATTAGGGGCAGGTGAACCCAGCGATATTACCCAGGTATGTATATTTTTAATTAACAAAATATAACCAGAAGTTTAATATGTAAATGAGGAAGAATATAAAAAAAATCAATTTATGTGTTGTGTCATTTAAATGCAATATGCAAAAAATATTTCTTAACTTTCAGGTCACTACACATATGGAAGCTCCATCTGGAGAGCCGCAGGGTTTAACTGTTACAACTACTTCATCCACCGAGCTTACTGCATCTTGGCTTCCACCTCCAACTCATACGCATAACGGAGAACTGCTGGGATATTATGTCGGAATCAGGGAATATGGGTATGTGCATATTATTCAAAACAGATCAGCACTTGTCTAGTTCAAATAAATAAAGGTTGCTTTTTCAGTGGTGGTCCGGCAATGGCATTCAACTTCACCACTGTTAATGCCTTGCCAAATGGAGTTTCGGTTTTGCTAAATGGTCTACGGCCTTATGGAAAATACGGTATTGTGGTCCAAGCATTTAATCACAAAGGACCTGGACCAATGACCGCCGAAACTATTGCCCATACATTAGAAGATGGTATATTTATTTTCAACAGCATGACATGTAGATATATGAAAAATTATGAGTTTTAAAAGAATTATTCAATTGTAAAACCCTGAAATGCAACTAAGAATTTAGCATAAAAATATTCAATTATGTTACAAATTAAAATACCTTTAAACCATTGGTCAAAAAAAAAAAAAAAATGCAAAAACTAAACTTGGTCAATAATAATTTTAATTGATGGTTATTATTTATCAGTTATAGTNACACATTGTAAATTGTTTATTTCAAATTATATGTATTTTCATCTTTATATTTAATTAAAACATACTTATTTTAATGTAAACCACAAATTAAAACATCAGAATTTCAGGAGTTTTAGAAAAAATTAATTAATTATAGTGTTTTGAAAGAAAATTCACCAAAAGACCAGAAATCAATTAGTGATATATTGAAATTTAACTAACAATTTATTACCTAGTTTTGCTCTTAATAATGCATAATACGTCCTCTGGCTCACAGAGGGCCTTAAGTCTCCTAGGCATCGAGTAAATAAGCGATTGATAGAATCCCATTTCTTCAACAAGAGCGGTATGAAGCTGTTCAATGCTTGACAGAGGAGGTGAACAATGTCTACCTCATCTCTTTAGCTTGTCCCGTAAGTGTTCTATAGGATGTCAGAACATGCTGGCCAATTCATCTGGTTATCCCTACATCCTCTAATTAATGGGCGGCAACTAGAGCTACATGCGGTCGAGGAGTATCAAGTACTGTGGCCCAGGTTTCTAAAAAGGGGACCTAATACACAGATGGATCGAAGTTGGAACAGGGAGGATGTGTAGGGATAAAAGAAGGGTATAAAACCACACCCTAGCAAAGCCCGTTGGACTAATCCCAATGATTTTCAGTTCAGCAGGAGTTAATAAAGAAAAATATGAAAAGTGCACAGATATACATGCTCTCAGACAGCCAGGCAGCCATAAAGGCACTAAATTGCTTAATGTCTCTGAGAAAACACAAGATTACTTTAAAGTGACATGAAGATGTAAAAATAAATTAATGGGCTGATTAACTAGCCAAAAAAGGGACAACCCTCTCACCCATGGGACGAGAATCACAAGTAGGTGCACTGGAGTGTGTGCTTAGGTTGAGACTGTAAAAATGGGTTGAGGAAGAAAAACTCAAACCCTGGACAAATGCACCAGGCATGAGGCATGCTAAGAGATTTATAGATCTCTCAAAATGAAAGACAAACGCCTTTCTCTCAGCAGGTAGGATTTGAGAAAAATTATAGGCCACTGCCCTTTTAAGAATATAGGCAGAGCAGAGATATAAATATGCCGTCTCTGTTAAGAGGAATTGGAGACATTCATGAATGTGAAGCATTAGCCTGGTTGCGGTACAGCAACTTTGGTAGGACATTTCTCACACCAAAAGAGGTCAGCGAAGAGGCACCAAGGAAAGTGCTTAGTCTTATAGGAAAAAACACACTTTCTAAGGTATGGGTATAATTTATAGGAGTTCCACAATAGATCTATTTAGGTCACAGTGGAACAAAGGTTTGCCATAATTCTATATCAACCACAACTTTATTGTTTCGAAGTTGTTCCCAATAAATGAAGCGAGTGGGACCACAGACTCCTGATGAACTTCCTCAATATACCTTAGTGTAATCAAAGATCCATTCTGTATGCTTACCAGTTCAGTACGGGCATGTACCACCCCATACCATAACTCCATAACTAAGTATCTTCGACTCATGCATGGCACATGAAGCAAAGTGTTCTCCCTGTCTTCTCCACACAAACACCCTGCCGTCGTATTGTCACAAGCCATGCCGGTGAGCCATCTGTGAAGAGAAACCCCCTCATTGTTTATGTGTCTGAGTGAGATCCTGATTTGGGAATATTTGCCTTTCTACTCAATGCTTCTCCAGCAGTAGAGAACCTGATGTGGGGTATCTAGAGACTTGGCTATTCTCACAAAGCCTACTGCTGACTGTTTTTGAGCTCACTCTTATATTACGGACTGTTTGAAGTTGACTACCTATCAAGGAAGCCATTAAATGACAGTTCCTTAGTAAGAACAATGAAACGATCTTTAGCCATTGTACATCAAGGTTGACCACTACCTTCTATTCGATCAAGACTTCTAGTGTCTCTAAACTTAAAATCATAAAGATAGGGACAGGGATAAAAGAGGCAGCCATGGCCTTCTGCAACTCGACCTGAATAGATCTACTGTGCTCTCCTGTTTTTTATAACTCACTGGCCAGCTTCAGGTTGACTTGCTTGCAAGAAAAATAGATTTTTTACTCAAATTCATTGTTTCATCAAAGAAAAAATTTAAAAAGTCAATTAACTCACACGACATGTTGTCTCTGGAAAGGGCGAAATTGAACTTTTTTTTTTTTTTTAAATCTAAAGTGTGTAAAAGGATTTAGTAACTCTCTATAAAGGTATACATTAATGTTGGTAATAGGTGTATATTAATTTTTAAACAAGAAATTTGAGAAAAAGGTCATGGATGGGACAGTCTTCGGAACTATACCCCGATGCTCTAACCCCCTGAGCCACCATGATTTTGAACTCTAAGTCATCGACCTTTCTATCTCAACACATTTTTTCAATAATTATAATGTAATATATAAATTATTTACAACTAATAAGTCAGTTTTAAACTTAAAGGACACACGTTTCTGTATAAGCAAAATAATTTTTTGAACAGTACCATCAGCACCACCTACAAACATCCAATGCAGTTCTCAAAATTCCCAGAGTATCTTGGTTTCTTGGAAACCGCCGCCTCTTGGAAGTCAAAATGGAAGAATCCAAGGCTATAGAATATACTATGAAAATATGGCTGAATATCCACCTGGTAATATCTGCTTAAAACAGATAATGTTCAGTTTGACTTAATGCCCATTTGCTTTTACAGGGTATATAGAAGCTGAAACGAAGCTTTCTACAGAAACCACAGCTAAAATCAACGGCCTACAAAAATATTCAAATTACAGTATGGAGGTTTGGGCTTTCACAAAAGTAGGAGATGGTGTAAAGAGCAAGCCTATATTTTGTATTACAGATGAAGATGGTATGGGTGATTTTATTGACTTTTACAAAAATCTATGTACAATTGTTTTATTGCACATTTTTAACACAGTTCCAGAAGCGCCGACAAATATCAAAGTACTGTCAACATCTTTAACCTCTTTAACTGTGAGTTGGACCCGGCCCAACAAACCGAATGGAAAAATTACGAGTTACACAGTTTATTGGCGAACGTTAGAAGGTGGAAAAGGGCGTGATCCAGAAAAAAAGAGAGTTCCACCAACTCAAACATTTTATCAAATAGCACAACTCAGTAAATCAGGAACGTACGAACTGTGGGTTGCGGCTAGTACAAGAATTGGAGAAGGACATCATACTCATGTTGTATACGCTACCCCTTCAAATAGAGGTAGCGTAAAATTGAGTTTTCTTTTATTGCCATAATGTTGATGATGATGAATGTAGAGAATAGGAAGTTTTGTGTTCCCCAAGCACTGTAGCCTTCTGACTTACTGTACTTTTCCTAGTTCATTAGGTCAGTGCAATCAACTTGATCCTTTTGTTAAGAAGTATTAAGTCTTTAACAGTTGTTGCTGCAAATTCTTTTCCTGCGTTTTCTTTGTATCCCAAGTTATGCGTACATTGAGCAGTTGTTTCTCTTGCTAGAGTTCTTGTATAGCAAGCATCCTTGCTCTGTATGGAAGCCCTGTTTTCCCTTTTGTCTAGTGCTCCTTTCCTTATGCTTTGCTAGAGGCCTGTATATTCCATCTGGTCGAGTTACACCACCTCATCCTTGCTCTGTGTTGAAGGTCCTCTTTTTCTCCCATAGATTCTACCTCTTCCTCTCGTAAGGTCTTGTTCCGTTCCCAATGCTGAGCCCTTAGAACTTTGATCATCTCACCGCCACGACCATTAGGCAACCCATCCCCATTCTGTTGCTCTTGGGGTAAAAGCAAGAACTACTGGCAACCATTACAAACAAGCAACAACAATGCAACTGCCAAAGGAAAGGAGAAGTCAGAGTTTAGACTTTTCTAACTGTGCAGAGTTTGCCAGTTGTTTTAACATAAGCTTACTGTGTCTAGTACATCTAGAATTTATCGATTTCTCCGTTTGTGTTTTTTGGATCAATTCTGTGATGGAGAAGTTTGTGTTTGTTTTTGCCATCCCAAGAATAGATTCAGGGCCTATGGTCTTGCTGAGGCAGCTGGAATCATAAAGGAAACAATACAGGACATTCGGAAATTCTACATTTACTGAGTAAAGTTAATAACCAACTACTAAGTGTTAGTGACAAAAAGGTTAAAACACCTTTGGGGAAAAACACTTTCAGGTAGTTACCCCATGTGATTATAACTATAATGCGGATGATGACCATAGTAGCATAGATTGCTTCACCGATGGCTCACTCATTAAGGACAAGGGAAGCGGTGCTGGAATACATATACCCAAATTAGGAATCAGCATCTCCTCCCCTCTTGGTAATAACACCTCAGTCTTTCAGGCGGAGGTCTGGGCCATCAATGTTTGCTGCAGAACACTCATGGATAATAATACTAAGGGAAAAGATATTAGAATTTTTTCCGACAGTCAGGCCAGTCTTAAGTCATTACAAAAAGCGTTATCTACATCTAGGCTGGTAGAGGAAACCGTTGAACTTATCAATAGGATTACTACTAGGGACGAGAATAGGGTAACCCTCATATGGATACCAGCTCATAAGGGGCACTATGGCAATGAAGAGGCGGACAGCCTGGCCAAAGAAGGATCAAATACTGCGTTTGTCCGGCCACAACCGGTATTACCCCACTCTATAAGCACAGCAAAAGAGAGTATTAGTTGCTGGGGCATGAAACAATTCCTTAAAGAATGGAATATGTCCCCCGGACAGGCAATCAATGGAGTTTCTGAAGGAAATCAAACCAAAAGAAGCGAAATGGTTATTCTCTAACTCTAGGAGGGGAATTAGGAGGCTGATAGGTATCCTAACGGGCCATTGCCCCTTGAGAAGACACCTCTTCATAATGGGTATTCTACCAGACTCCTTTTGCCGCTTCTGTGAAACAAAGGAAGAAACGGCTCGACACTACCTCACAGAATGTGATAGGTATGCTAGGGAAAGATTTGAAACTTTCGAAGGAGAGGACATAACCAAAATACTCCCCAAGATAAAATGGTCCAAAATCTTGGGGTTTGTGAACAGGTCCAAGAGGTTTATGCAGGACTCGTGAGCCGACCAGGTCCCGGACCTTTTAGGGATGGGGTACGGGCCTACCTAGGCTTTTAACCCCTCGGGTCCTGGTCGCCCACCCTGTGTAATATATATGGTCTTGCCGAAATCTGGACAGTTTGTCTGCCTTTTCATTACCCGAAATTCCTTTTTATCCTGGTGGATGCATTCACTATTTTTTATGCGACTTTTTTACATGCTAATACTTTAATGACTACTTGACTATCTCATAAAGATTTTCTTTCCATGTCTCTTTTAAGATTTTCTAATGCACAAGCATCGATGGCATGCCATTTTGCTTGAAATACCGATGTGTACTTCCCTATTGAGTTTGATTGCTCATGTTTTGGATCCTTTGATTTGAGCCATCTGTATATCATATATCTGATTTCCTCCTGATTTCTTCTTCTCCTTAGTCTGTTGAGATTTTATAGGATGTTCTCAAGAATGTTTCCAGGATCATGTAGTCAGTCACCATTTCTAGGAATGGTGTCTGTGTCGTAATGCTAACATGCATGATGTTTTTCAGGGGCAGCAGGTATCATATCTTTTGGAGGTATCTACTCAGTCCGGCTTGGAGAAAACATTGAACTCCCTTGTCTAATGCGAGGACAACCAACACCTTCAAGAATATGGCTTCCAAAATCACTACCTTACAATATACAATTGCGTCCTGATGGTACACTGATTATAACAGCTGTGCAAAAAATCCATCAGAAAAACTATACTTGTAGTGTTACGAATCCATCTGGTACTGATGAGATAACATATTCATTAAAAGTAATAGGTAAATATATATTTCACCATAAAATAATAAATGTATCAATAATTTGACATTATCTTATTCCAACAAATTATTTTTTAGTACCACCAGAGCCACCAGCAGTAACTGTGACTGGTAACGGTCCTGAATGGATTGAAATCAACTGGAACATAGTGGATACAGGTGGAAGTGCAATAAGGGGATATTTATTGGAGCATGCTCCAGTATCTTCACAAATGCTACAATGGAATGAGGAAAGACTGCCTAGAGATAAATTTAGCTACAGACTGAACTCTTTGTCTTGTGGTACACAATACAATCTCAGAATGTGTGCATATAACTCGGCGGGTACGGGAGAAACGAGTCGTGTTTTGACATCGCGAACAGAAGGGGGAAAACCTGCAAAACCAAGCTTTAGAGATTTCATTAGGGGAAATGTCAGCAGTGTAACACTAAATCTAAACACATGGAATAATAACGGCTGTCCAATTTTATCCTTTAATATTGAATATAAAGAAGTCACTCATTCAGATTGGCTCACAGGTATTATGCAATGAAATTTAAATCATATTTTACTTTTATTTATTTTTTATATTTTTTTTCCCCCCTAGTCGGCAAAGATATCCAAGGCAAGGATATATTTGATATTGTCGGATTATGGCCAGGAAAGCGTTATAAAATTAGAGTAAAAGCAGAAAATAGTGCTGGAGTAACAACAGCTGAATATTCTTTCACAACACTGCACAATTTAGGAGGTACTTAATCCGTTAAAAACTACATTTTCATGTAAATATATTATTTGAAATTTGACAGTAACACTGAGTCCGACATCTGTCAAAATATTGTCAGAAGATAATTCTGTGTATTTAGAACCTGGTGTGATTCTACCTATAGTGGCATCAGTTTTAACTCTGATATCCATCGGAGTAGCAGTAACAATATGCTTCAGAAGAAGTAAGTTTTTGTATTAAATATAAATTCATATTTTATAAAAACGACCATTCTTCAGAGAGGAACTGTGTGACAAGGCCAAGGCATCAGCAAACCACTCAAACCATGGTTGCTTTGGATAACAAATCAAATCTTGCTCAAAGAGAACAATACTATGCTGCTGTACATAAAGGAATGTCTACTCCAGTTCATGAATTGCAGTGTGAAAACATACCTGGTAAAAATTCATTTTTAATTTCCAAAAGAATGCTTGTAATTTAACATATGATATTTTGAAATAAACCCAAATAAATTGATATTTTTGTATTTTAATGTTTAAACATTATATTTTCTTTCTACATTGAAATTGGTTTGACATCGAATCAGATAGGACAGACCCTACTCCAATTAGGAACCCCCGAAACTCAGATTGGGCAAGGTTCACTGAGATAATAAGACATAGTCTAAACCATGCAACAGTGAAGAGAGTACCAAAAACCTGCGATGAATTGGAACTTGCAGTTACGGAATTCACAGGGAATATAGTTCAAGCTGCCCTGTGAAGGTCCCAAAAAGTAGACAAGAACCACCTTGGTGGAATGCAGAACTGGGCAAACTAAGGAAAGAAACCAGGAAAGCATTTTAACAAAGCTAGAATAGCAAGTAACTGGGGAGAATACAAAAGGTTACTTACTTCATACAACCATGCCATCCACAGGACGAAAAGAGAAAATTTTCGCAAATTCTGCAGAGAAATCTCCACAGTATCTACAGCAGCTAGATTGCACAGGGCACTAGCAAAGGTCAGAATGGACATAAACACTGCCCTTTGAAAGTACCTTAGTAGAAGGTAACTAAACAGAAGATACAAAACGAAAAGCAATGCTCCTTCTAAGTACACATTTTCCAGGCAGTATCTAGGACCTAGGAAAATGTGAGAGTACATAATCGCAAGAAAGAAAATTGGAAGAAAGCAGCTGAAATAGTCACAGAGAAGATCCTCTGGGTGATTAACACTTTCAGCCCATACAAAGCACTGGGAACGGATGGGATTTTTCCGATCCTGCTACAAAAAGGAATGGATATAATCACTCCAACATTGATGCGACTATATAGAAGTAGTTTAGCACTAGGTTATATACCACAGACATGACGTAGGGCAAAGGTGGTGTTCATCCCGAAAATAGGGAAAAGAGACCCTACACTACCCAAATCCTACAGAACAATCAGCTTAACATCTTTTCAACAAAAATCCCTTGAAAAGCTGATAGATAACCATATAAGAATGGCAGCACTGGTAGACAAACCTCTCCATCACTGTCAGCATGCATACAGAGCAGGAAGATCAACAGAAACTGCACTGTACCAGCTAACCAGTGACCTAAAGGAATCACTGGAAACAAAGGAAATAGCAATCTGTGCGTTCCTCGATATTGAGGGAGCCTTCGACAATGCATCTCATGCATCAATGAAGATCTCCCTAGGGAAAAAACACGTAGACCAAACCACATCCAGATGGATTGGAGAAATGCTAAGAACTAGAATAGCTGAAACAAATATAGGAACAAACACTATTGAAGTTAGCACAACCAAGGGATGTCCATGTAACCAAGGGAGCTACACTAGCCCGCAGGAGGAAATGTTTTGGGATGTATAATGTGACCATAGAAGAGCTTCAACCATTGAAACCGGGCCTATCAATCAAGTTTCTTGATGAAATAGGACTCACCGATGTGCTTTAGGCAGAGCACGGGGGATACAACAGCTCTTAAAGGGCGCAGTATACTATACCCTGAAAATATATCTACATCTACATCTAGCATTCGTCCATGGCACAATTCACAGAAGACAAACATTTTGAGCCCTGAAGATGATCTCAATAAAGATCGAAACATTGGCACGATAAAGAAAATGTTTTTCTGAAACCTACATCACACCAGACCGCATCTCACGATTTCTAAATAAATATCTACATCTACATTGAAATTATCCAAAATAATACAATTTTCCATCTCCATACAACACATGGCTTATGCTGATTATGTAGTTTTAGTGGCAAGGACTGTTAAGGCATTAGAAGAGAGCTATGAGTGACTAGAAAAAATGGCAGTCTGTGGGGTTGAGTAAATTTTGAGAAAACTAAGTATATGCATCATCATTTGATAACAGAATGTGATCTGAAAACTTGAAATAAATTGGAAAAAGATTCGAAATGTACACACATTTGAGTATTTGGTCCAAATCCTTTTCACTTAGTCGTAAACTTCGGATTTATAAATTTATAAAAGTCCATGGTTTGTGCACAAGCATAGTTACTCAGAATTTGAAAAAAGATATTGTCTTGTGTTTCTTTGTGTACAAGTGAATGTATGTATTAGCATGAATGTGTAGGGTTAGTGGGGCGATGGTAGAACATTGAGTACCTCATCGTCCCTCAATTAAGTTAGTTATATAATCTTCTGAGGATCTCATTTATAGAGTTCCCAATTAAGAATAGGCCATGCGAGGTTGACCCACAGACACTTATTTTTGCACCAATACCGTCCGGGATGTAGAGAAAGGCTCGATGTGCCCAACCTAAAGGTGTCATTCCTTCAGTCCACATAGAGTGCATGTAGGAAAGCCACCTCATACGAGAATTGTGCTTGAGCAGGGCATCAAAAATGTATGGAATATTGGAAGAATGGATATTTACAGGACCGTGAGCAAATGGTATAGAAATAGAACAGAAGGAAGGAGGAAAGTAGGTAGACTAAGGAGAAGTTGGTATGGAAGAGGAGGTGGAAGAAGGTAGGGATAAGAAGCTGTAGAAAGTAGGTGAAGAAATAAAAGGTTGCTGGGTAGCAGTTCTACGGCTTTTGTTCTTCCTCCCTTAAAGGTCCACTTGCTTTCTACAAATTTAGTTAGAATTTATTAAAAACCTAAAATTTGGGAATATTTTGTACTCTTGTTGTGTTTATTTGGGTTTTTGGCATCAAACTATCTTTATCCCATCACATCAAAATGCTTCTGCAAACTTGAAATAAATATATTTTCTAATTATTTTATTTAGTTAATATTTATTCTGTAATAATACTATTTATCTTCTGTTATTACATTTAAATAATATAATTTCAGAATACCCAGATGACATATCCCCCTATGCTACGTTTCATGTTGCTACTCAGCAAGTCAGCACGCCTCAACATATGAGAAGCTTCATATATCATGATCAAGCACTTGCTTCAATGGAAACAATGCCATTAAAAAGCGTGAGCAAATGTTTAGAAACGAGCATTAAAACGATTTCAACTAACTACTCATAAATCCAATTTCAGGGGAATCTCAAAGAAGAATACCAAAAAATTAGGAGCAATTCAAAGTTAAATAAGTGTATGAGTGCCTGTTCAGATTACTCGGGTTCGACGACTGATCAGTGGTCTGAACAAGGGGCATCAGTTGTCAGACCTGAAAGGATTCCACTCCAAAGTAATCACTGTATTTAATTGTCTACTTTACATTTAAGGATTTGTGAGTTACATAAACATCCATTATAGATACTTAAAATATTGGTGGGTATTAAAATATGAGTTTTTGTAATAAGTAATTATGGTAAAAATTTATTCCTAAAATTAGGGCCTTAGGGAGGGCAGGGATGACACTGAGAACTCAACTGGGATGATCTTGCCATGTTAGCCAAGTCGTCCTACTCCTCCATACTTTTACCAAAGTTCTTGGAACTTAGTATGTTGTTTTTTTGAAAACAAAACTAATTCTCCCCATGCCATTTATGAACAATAGACCAATACTGATCGTGGTGCCCAAGCCATAAAGAGGCCGGCTCTTAGATCTAATAAAATCTAATCCCATGCCTTTTGCCTTAATGTATAACAGTAACCCTTGGATTTCACCTTATAGCCACAGTAGGGTTCTATATTTTTTAATTAATTCTAATAAAAAATTTGGGTCTGAAAAACAATTTTTCCATTGCCATTTCATTTGAGAACTGATACAAAGCAAACACTGGTTGCCCTGTACCAATTCTTGGAGGAAACCGGGTTGTTTTATCATATGTACTGACAGTTTTGGTTACCTAGCCTGTTTGAATGTATTTATTAACATGAATGTGTAGTACAAGAGGGCCAATGGCAAAATATTGAGTACACCACCACCTTAGTGAATGGCATGTAAATAGGAAAAAATGTATTTAAGAGTGAATGAGAGTGTTAATGGGTTTAGATTTAGTAACTGATTGGGTTGGGGGCTAAAATGACCTAGCTGCCGATAGCCCCTGGAAGCCAACTTCAGCAGTTGGACAAATATTATTGGCATCTGATCCTGGACTCCCAACATGCAGCATTGGTGATTTCTTGAGGTCTGCCAATAATTTATTGTAAATCACAAAAGCTAGAATTGCCAGTGAGCTAAAAAAAAGTGATAGGCACAGCTCTGTACACATGCGAATATATATGAGTATGTGTATGCATGTGCAAATAAATTTAAAAAAGCATTATTGTCACAAACCCAATATCTTTGTAGAAAATATTGAAAGTGAAAAAATATAATTTAGTAAATATTTTGAAAGCAATAATTGTCATTGTATAACAAGGTTTTATGAAATTTTTGTTTTCAGTGTATGGAGGTAGCCTACCTGCTGGAGAGTCTAGTACTTCTCCGGAACAGTCTCCCGTACATGAAAGGAGGATTCCAATTAGGCACAAACACAGTAGCAACAGGTATAAATAAATTGTATGTGTAAATTGGTAAAACATTATCATTGTGATATAAATAAATAAATAATATATATGTACATAAATTAGACATGAAAAGTCAGAACCCCTTTGGGTAAAAAAATGACATCGTATTAAGATAAAATATAGTATGCTGAATTATGTTCGTTAGTTTAAAAAAACAAGTTTAAAAAACTAATTTCTATATTTTACAAGAGTGTAAATAATACCACATTATATGTTCAAATAGAAAATAAAAATTAATATACATATAATATACCTATAATGTGTAAATAAATGTAATTGAAACTTTGATTCAAGATAATTTCATTAAAGAATAATGCATTCAAATCATACAATGTGGGATAATCATGTAAGCAATGTGGGTCTTAATTATGATTGAAATGAGTTAATCATAATATTTAAACAAAATATCTATTTAATTTTCTTTTAGAAAAGAAGCAAGTTTTGGATTTCCAGGAAGACTTGAACCCCCTTCAGGTTTTACAGATGGTATTGAAATCAGCGAAGCTGAATGTGATATGGAATCCATTCACAGGATAAAGGGAAAACCAAAAGGGATGAGAAACAAAAGAGACCGTCGGTCACGGTTTACTATCGCGGTTTAACACAAAAACCACTCTTTTGGATTAGGGAGGGGTGCCTTTTTTTTGTTTTGAAAGTATATTTTCATTATAAAAATATATGTGAGTTACAAACAAATATAGAAATGTGATGTTGAACAAATGAATTGGTATGATTAAATCAAGAAACTAGATTTTTAAGGACTGTTACAATTTAAATAATGAGAAAACTTTTTACAAAGATAAAATGTGGTTAAGCATTATGTGCCAATTAGCAAGTTTAAATGGTATTAGGTTAAAAATTAGAATAGTAAAAACAACAAATGGCCAAGTTTTTAAGACATATTCATAATTTAAATGTAAAATCACAATTCAAATTGAATGTTCATTATATCGAATTATTTATTTTAAAATTAAAACTTGATTTTTAAGTAAGCATTAAATTTACTTAATAAATCAAGTTTGCCTTTAAAATTTAAGCATTAGCATACAGGGTACTTTCTTTTGTTGTTGAAAGCTGATGTCTTTTAAGATTCATTCGGTTACTGATTTTAGACAACTGTAATATAAAAAACTGATTATTGACATTTATGTTACAACAAATAAATATGTAAATGCTACTAAATATCCTTTTTTTCTAGGAAAAGAGTGACAACACAATCCTCACTAATAAAATTTTTATAAGGTCCAACAAAAAAAGATAGCCCAACCTAATATTTTGGGTCTATGTTAAATTTTATTGTTTTCATTAATTTTTTTAATTGTAAATAACTTTTTTGTTACATTTTTAAATGTATCTTGGTAATTATCTGCTAGTAAAGTATTTTTCCTGGAAATTTTGGAATGTTATTAATTTAACTTTCCTACTCTGTTCTATTTCTTGATACTTCTGTAATCGATATTTCACAGTTTTTCATTCTTAATATTATTGCGCATTTAGAAAACAACAAACAAATGGCCTATTACAAATGTTTACATCAAAAGAAGCAACAAGCTGCGTTTTATAACTTTTTCCTTTTATTTATTAAAACTGGTCTTACTAGCTACATCCTATCAGCCAGTATAGTTGTCTATACCATAAACTTATTTCTGCCCTTTTTTCTTCATGTGCTCTTTCCATCTCAGCTTGGCATCTAAGGCCATTCCCATATATTTAGCTGTATCGCTGTATGGTATAACAATTCTTCATCGATAGTGCGAGATGGAAAATGGTACAATTTTTTGTTTGTAAAATTTACATGTACAGATTTAAGCTAATTGAGCCTGATTCTCCATTTTTTTTGTCGGTTTATCTTGTTACATGACTTTTGAAGGATTTTGGATAAATGGTTTATATCCGGTCCTTCTGATATCAGCGCTGTGTTGTGCAAATGTTGCAATTTTTATTCAATGGTGTATAAGTAAAGTATTTTGCCTAGTATGCTACCTTGTGGCACTACGACATTTATTGTTTTTAGTTCTGAATATTAGTCTTTTTGCTTGACTCTAAAAGTCTGTCAGCCAAGAACTGATAATATCTACATACTGTTTTCATAGCATCCCTTTTAGTTTACTGATGACTCCTTCATCATTTTTGCCTAATTTTGCTTCTAGTTTTTCTAGCCGCTTACAAAGATTTAGTCATCATGGTGATTATGCTGCTAATTGTTTTGGCGTGTCTAAGTGGGCTACCTGAGCATAGGTTACTCCTTTTTGAATTGAACTGGGCTGAGGCAACCTTACTAATAGAGAATCACTTTTTAATAGATGGTTTTATGTTAAATTAAATTTTTGCAACTCTTTTGCAATCATGCATCCTCTGTAATTTCCAGGGTGATCACCTGCACAATTATAGCATAAGTTGGTACATGATTGGATTTAAGTATTATTTTTGTTTAAAAATAACAGGTGTGCACGGCGCTCATTACTATAAGGTAACAAAGGTCCACGGGTTCGAATCCAGCTGCCCTGCATTTAAACCCAACATAATTTTTCTTTCTTTTTTTTCAAAAACACCAGCACCTCGGGGGTTGATATGTCTGCTGTTGCAAACCCCTATTAAAAAATAAATAAGTAAGTAAATAACATAAAAAAACAGTTTTGCTATCTTTTTGTCCCCACCTCAAGATCAATATTTATGATTATTTCGAAGGATTACAATTTTATTGGCGATAAAGTAATAAGATTCAATTAAAATTTAGCTGAAATAGTCATTTTTGTTTTAAAAAAACTTAATGAAAACACACAATTATAATGTATAAACAAAATACTAGGGTGGGCTATCTTTATCATTCTTGAAAATTGGTCCATAGCTAAAATTATTGATTTTCTGTAAATTTTGAAAGCTATATTTATAAAATTATGATATAGAATATTGTATGAAAGAACATATCACAAAATATGTGTGGCCATGAAAACTAGTTAGCTCAAATAATGTGAAGTTAATTTAAATAAAAAAGCCAATGAATTTATTAGGCTTAATGGGAGTTTCTTAAAATCTTTTGTATATTTGTAAGTATTTACAAGCTTAAGAATAATGAAATTATTTATTAATGTGGCATAAACTTAGATTCAGACAATAATTTAATATTTAAATTTAACTACAACCTGAAAAACTATTGTGTCAAAATTTATTGTACATGATTTTATTTCTAAAAAATTGTAATGCCATAAATTAACAATTTGTAATTGAAATGATGAGTGGATGATGTGTTGTCACAAAATGTTGGGTGAAAAACAGGTTTTACTGTGCTTTTTGACGTCCAGAAAAGTTAATTTGGACATCAACGCAAAATGCTCTTCTCAAACAATAAAAATCAAACTATATTTATAAATTGATTAAAACCTGTTTTTTTATTTATTTTGGTATTGTCTTTGTACTACATCTACTTACCCCTTCAATTATACTTCTTGTAAAGATAATTTATTGGTGTTTGTAAATGGTGTAAATTTGTTGATAAATGTGGCTAAATGTTTATCGGTTGTAATATGTTTATTAGGTTAAGTAATCTTTGTATTCAACTGTTAATAGAAGAAATTTTATTTTGGTAAATAAATGTTAACATGTTAAGTTAAAAGGATTATGATAGTTTTTAATTATACAAATAGAGAAATAATGGAAGTAATTAATAACACAATTTATTTTTTAAGTCAATTATGTCCTATAAAATTTATCAAAATTATTTGGTGCTAATTTATTGCCAAAATACCATTACCAGTACCAAGGAAAAAGTTTTCAATAAAGAAGATGTTTTATTAAATTTCTTGTCAATTTCCCCTTTGCTTCTTTTTCTATTTAGATCACAATGTACCAAGTAACCAGAAAAGTTCATGCGCTTTTTCATTTGTGATTGTTTTAATACGGTTAATTAATATTTCTATTTGCCTATTAGATGTTTACATCATGTAATACACAAGGCATCTTGTAAAATTTAGACTGCATTCGGTGATGAAACAATGAGTGAGCACAATGCCTAAAAGTGGTTCAAAATGTTTGCTTGTTGGGGATTGGAGATGAATTACAGTCTAGCTAGTAGACCTGTTTTGAACGATGAGGAAAGCTATTAAATTTGATTTGAGTCAAACTTGTCGGGATGTTGAAAGAGTATTAATTTAAGCAATGAAATCATTCACTCGTCATCGACTTGGAGAAGACATGAAAGCTGATCTAATTTGTTCCTCATAAATTTACTGACGGAGACAAGCTTCTGAGTCTCAACATTTGCCTTTCATTGCTTTCGCAGCACAAAGTAGAGGTTTTTTGACAGGATTGCCACATACAACATAAACTGGATCCTTTACAGTAACAAATGTAAGGTCGTACCATTGGCTGTCACCAAATCTCTTCTGTTGGTGCAAAAACTGAATATTCACCAACATCAAGTAATGCCTTGTGTTTGGTGAAGCATTTTTTTTAAACCTTCTGTTTTGGGTTATTGAGCAGTTGTTTGCAAGTGAAAAATAATCTTTCTACGTCTCTTGGTACCCAATTCCTTGCTTTTGGATCATTCCCATAGCTTTGAAGCATAATAAAATTGCTTGTTGAGTCATCCTACAGATTGTGCAAGATGAGACTTCGCCTCCAATTCTGCATCTTCAAACCCGGGGCCCTTTCAAAAACCAGTATTGCTCTAACTGTTGTGGGCATATTAACTTATCTGTCGACTGATCCAAATTTCTACTAACTCCAATAGGTCTCAATCCACAATGAGATGTGACTAGCAATTATAAAATATATTGAGAATACAAGTAAGTTTTAAGGGATTTTTATGAAAATTGGGGCTTTATGTAAAAATAGTAATAAATGGATTACTCCAAGTATTGTCCATCGCTAGTCACTATTTTTCCATCTTTCTGGCAGCATACAAATTCCGCGTTGAAAGAACGACTGGTTTTTAGAGGCAATGAAAGAATTGATCCATTTTTTTTGCATTCCTAGTAAGGACAGAAGAGCTGCTCAGACAGGTCATGGGTCATTGATCGAAATAAATGGTCAGAAGGAGCAATGTCTGGAGAATATGGCGTGTGGGAATAGGATATCACGATTGAGTGTTTTCAAATAGTTTTTGATTGGCAGTGGTCAAGAAAATCACTGTTGTGCTTCGGCACATATTCCGGCCTTTTCTCCTTCAATGCTCAGCTTAAACGCATCAATTGTAGTCAGTAACGATCCTCTGTTATGGTTTCATTTGGTTTTAGCAGCTCATATTATAATAATGTACTAAACACAGCTGATCCCATGATTTAGTTTATTTTTCTATTTTGATGTTTTGTTTTATTTTTCTATTTTGATGGTTGTTTACTCCAACTCGTATGAAGAACATATCACACATTTGCATTTAGTTTTTGAAAGATTAAGAGGCATGGGTCTGATAATAAATAAATAAAAAAAAATGCAATTGGCTCAAAAAAGCATTGATTTTTGGGTCGCCAAATAGAATGTGGCAATATCTCGGTAAGTCATAATCGAGTGAAAGCTATTCTTGAATTACCAAAACCTAAAACCCCAAAACAAATAGCTCAGTTTTTGGGAGCTATTATTTCTTCGGTCGTTTCAAACCAGATTTGGCCAAAATTGCTAAACCTTTAAATGACCTGCAAAAAAAAAAAGGAAGCGGAACTGATTTGGTCACTGGCGTGTGAAGAATCTTGGAACAAGTTAAAAGAGAAAATCACATCACCTCCAATATTAAAAACACCAGATTTTTCTCAAAGATTTTAACTCTTTACCGATGGATGTATGTTAGGTGTATCAGCATGAATGTTATGAATGTGTGAATTATGGAGAATCACCCAGTGACGACACTTCTACTAGTCTACGTGCTATAACTCGCTGCCAGCAGATAACGAGACCACTGCCGCTTCAATCTCCTTGGGGGATTATTAGGGATAGTTGAGGTTGTCAGGTTTAAAACTAAGGTATTGGGGTGTAATGAAAGGGGGTTGTGGACGTTTATGTATCAGGCTTTTTTGATCTTTCACAAACGGAATTTTAAGGTCATTGTGGATTGTGTGATTAGATACGTAGAAGGGAGCGTTTGCTGTTTTTCAGAGGATTTTGGTTTGTGAAATGTGTATGCGATGATAGTTGGAATGTTTGGTTTAACCCTGCAGTTCAATATACCGTAAGTCCAAATGGGTTTAAATAAATAATAAATTTAAAAAACTAGAATTGAGATTTAAATTTTATTTCCATTGTGATGCAAATATATAGAGAACAAATTCTTTAAAATAAATTAGATGTCTTTGAAATACTTAGTTCAACACAAAAAATTATTTTACACAACAATACAATACAAATACAATATAAACAACAATGCACAAGTTCACATTTGATTTTAATTTACATTTTGGATTCTTATACATATTACTAAAAAAGTGACCTAAATTTGTATTGTGTACTCACAACTTAATTTATATAAAATACAGTATATGAACAAACCTTTCACATTAAAAAAATGTATCAACCAAAACTAACAATGTAAAAAATTAAGATTTTCATTTTTATCAAATTATCAGAACAATTTTCTATAGAATTTAATAGCAACATGAAATAAATAGTACGATTTTCTTTCTTTATGATAATAACTATGTTTAAGTAACAATTTGAAGAAATAAACGCTTTTGTTTTGTTCAAATAAAATTATTCAACACCTAACAGCTATACATTTTTTTCACATACACCATTAAATTTGTACTTAAGTCAAAATATATAAAAAAATTTAATATATTAATTTTTATTATTTTACAAATGATTCATTTGTTATTTGAAGTATTAAACCAACTGTATTCAAACTATAGTTTAAAACACAACTTTGTGCAATCGATTTTTTCCTCTTGTAATTGAGCATATTAAAAAATAATAATAATTAAAACAACTTGAAATGAACAATATAATTTTCAATTTGTGAAAACAAACAGAAGCACTTAAATTATTAGCAAAATATAAAAAATTAATAATTAATATACCTAAAAAATTTTATTCTGTAAAAGTTAGATCCGTTCTATCCAGCAGCACAGCCCATTGTTCCTCAGATAAATCTGCTAAATTAAACAAAATTTATTTACTTGTAAACCTGAATTTACTTGTCAGGAATTTTTTTAAAAATACTGATATCAAATTAACATGATTTTAGGTAGATTATCAAAAATATCCCTCCATTTAATAATTTGTGAGACAAGTCTACTCTATATTAATATAAGAGAGAAAGTTTGTTTGTATGCTAGAGGTAATCTCAAAATCCACTGTCCGATTTTGATCAAATTTTTATGATGATTAATATGATTTCATGATCATTAAATTTGTTCCATATGATCATAGGAATGTCATAGAAAGTTTTGTCATGTTATTATTGCAGTATCAAGTACAGGTATGGAATTTTGTATGATATTGTGCAAATCGCAATGCAAAGCTCAGCATAACTGCTAATCCCCACCGCTGCGATGCTCGATGAGAAAGGCAGTGGATGTTGTATGCAGAGAAGAAAAAACTTTTTACTGAAATCGGGATTTAAAATGCCACCTGGGGGTGACAACTAGTATGTTTGAAAAATGAATGTTGTTTCGCAAGAGGGACCTCAAATCCATCAATGCTTCCTGATGAAGGGTCATGGCATTTGTAAATTTTTCGAGTCTGATTTTTGAATACAAAAGCGAATTACTGATTTTTTCTTTATCGTGCCAACGTTTCGATCTTTATTGAGATCATCTTCAGGGCTCAATAAGATCAAAACGTTGGCACGATAAAGAAAATGTCTTTCTGAAACCTACATCACACCAGACCACATCTCACGATTTCTAAATAAATATCGATTAACGGTCACTAATCACCACATATATCAAAAAGGTTTTTAAAAAAGACAATTTTTGAGCTTTCTTATAAATTTACCACCTTGGCTGATTTTAATCTGAGGCTTAAGGGGAGCAGTATGCCCCTTAAAAAAAAAATAAATAAATAAAAATAAAAAAAGCCGTTTTCATTCTCTCGGCACCCAGTCATCCAATCAACTTGTGCCATCATTGTTGTTTTTGATTTTTTCAAATCGACTAATTGTTTACTAATTCATGTTTGTTAGAGTAATCTCGAGTTAGTGTTTCAACAATGGGTAAATGTAAACACATATTCAAAAAAGTAAATCCAGTGAAAACACGAGGAGAAAACAGCCCGACTAGCAGCATCAGTGCAGGAACTCCAGTGCCAAGTGCTTCTCTTCAATTATACCAATTTCTTTTCGTCCAGATTCTACTAGAGTACATTGCTCTGGCAAAAAACTTTGTGAGCTTGATTTGCTTTGGCTGAAATGAAGTTAAATCCAATTTATGGCTTCAACCAAAAAAGCAAGGCAAAAAAGGTGTAAGGCCCGTCGAACATTAGAAGACTTTGAAGCTACTTGAGTTGATGAACCCACATATGACGCTGTTGGTTATTAAGTTTAAACAATTATTTCAGATACTACTACTCATCTGACTAAACAAAAAAATGTTTTTTTCTTTTTTGGGTGGACTGCTCTCCTTAAGTGAGACTGTTGAGAACATTGTTTTTTCATTGTTTCTTATGAGGTGGTTTTAACACATTTCAAACAACTTAACTAGAGAGTTATACAATATGTTGAAAAATATTCTGAACTAATCAATTGATTACACTTTTATTAGACTCTAATTTACCACTAATTGTAAATTGAAAAGTACTTACCCTCAGCTCCTATCCCTATCTCTTTAGACATTATTTTTTCTTCTAATATTGTTTTTAATTCCTCCAGAGAAAAAGCGGAATAGTTTGTACTTGCACCAAAATTTCCTACAAGCATTTAAAAAAAGTATGTTATAAAATGAACAAAAATAATAATTATTATTATTATGGTGTAAATGCATATTGTATAAACTTGTTTCAAACTAACAACTGAATTTATTAAAATAGTTATTTTATATATCATATATTCACGAATTCAAGATAATGGATGCTACTTAGCGTCCATACATGTGGATGACTGTCCCTTTGGTGTCATCAGAGTTCAAAGGTTAGAAGGTCCGGTGGTTTAAAGTATAGTAAGGCTGAGTTGCCAATAATAATAATAAAAACCACAAATCCATTATATTTTGTGGTCTAATTGGCCAAATAACTTCTTTCAATCAATTCATCTTTATGTATGGTATTGGTTGAAATGAAAATGTTCAAATCCCGTTCATGACGCTAGGTTTTTCATTTCAACCAATACCTTACATAAAGATTAATTAATTGAATAAAAAACTAAATTGATAATCCTAATAAAACTCACCACAATACATTACCCACCTTTATGTATAATTAATTTTTCTAGTTTTCGTTTTGCATGAGCCTTAACGATAATGTCCTCATCAATAGTGCCAGGGCACACCAGTCTGTAGACCATAACAGGTCTGTTTTGTCCGATGCGATGACATCTGTCTTGAGCTTGTAAATCAGCTTGAGGATTCTACAAGACAGAACACATTGAAATACAATCTGAATAAAATCCATCAAGATGTTAATACATACCCAATCACTATCAAATATTATAACTGTATCTGCAGCACATAGGTTAATACCAAGCCCACCAGCACGAGTGGAAGCCAGGAATATAAATATTTCCTTTTCAGTGTTAAACCTAAAAATCATCTCCTTCCTTTCTTCTAGCCTTTTTGAGCCATCCAACCTACAATAACCATATTCCTTCATTTCCACGAAGCATTCAATCAAATCCAGTATGGAGGTCATGGTTGAAAATAGAACCACCTAAAACCAATAGATAATGTTGAAATATACCTATGTATATTGGCAAGAACAGCCAATCCAATTATTTTAAACTCTTCAAGTAATTAACTTTTTTTAATCGAGGAAGCTTTCAAATTAATATAATTAGTAAAAATATACTGACACAATGTAATACACACCTAGTACTAGGTTTATTCTAACACGCGTCCAAACCATTACAAAAAAAAAAAAAAGAGCTGAGTTTGGGCATTCCAACATGCTAGACTGTCAAAAAACTGTTCCAACACGATTTCTGACCAAGTTTGTAACCAATTTTTGATAAAACAGCCTGATGATTTCACTAGAGACTGGAAATCATCAGCTTGCACTCTAGTCAAATTGGAAATTTTATACTAATACAGCCCAGATTTATATGCAATAAAAATCCTCAAAAATGTCATACAATATATATGCACTAAAACCCTTCAAATATGCTATATCTTATGCATAAAAAAACCCCGCAAATATGCCAGAAAATATGATTAAAAATCCTTCAAATATGTGGTATTATATGCACTAAAAACCCTCCAAATATGCCATATTAAATACACTAAAAAAACCTTCAAATATATTATATGCAATAAAAACCTTTCAAATATCCCGTATAATATGTACTAAAATTCCTTCAAATATACCATATTATATGCACTAAAAACCCCTTAAAATATGCGCTAAAACCTTTCAAATATGCCATACAATATGCACCAAAAATTCTTCAAATATGCCATATAATACGTCAATTAACCCACAACACAACCTCCAGCTAATAAGTTGTTTTACCACTAGTAAAACCAAAAGAAAAAAATAATGAAAACTGGTATGGTAACTAATTAAAAAGAAAATTCAGTCGCACAAAAAATCATCTAATTAGAAAGAGGACTGATACTGACAATTTTTATGTTTTAAATGAGACCCCTATTTCCTGCCATAGCCAGACTTCAGCAAAATTAATTTTACAGGAAAGAAAAAAATGCATCCAGTTTTGGAAATGGGGCCTCAAATAAAATGCTGATTTCAAGAGAATTCTATTGGGTCGATTTGTTTACGTCTTTGTTCCTTGTAAGTTAACAAATCTGTATCAAATTTTAGGCATTTGTCCTTTTCCTATCATGTTTTTCGTTGTCAAAATATACAATATTCTTCAAACATGCAGAATATAATTTGAACCATTGTACACAGAGGTGTAATCAGATAAATATCTGATAACCATGGTCGTAAGGTTAGCAAAAAAGAATGCGCAATTGCATACAAATCTGAGTTATACGGTAATCAAATGTAAATAAATAATGAGAACAGTGAACTTTTTTAATTCTCTATTGGGTGATATTTGAGGAAATAGGACAAAACAACCCTATTAAAAAATAAAGAATTTTCATTCCCTAAGGCTGCTCGTACATTGGAACCGTGTACGTCCAAACTATTTGACCAAACAGAGGACTGGCAATATGGACAAACACCAGTTCCACTGTAGCCGATTTTTATCAGTTCACAACACAGCCCAAATGGATGTAGAAAACTTGTTGCAGCTCAAAAATTCTTACTTTATATACAAATGGAGGGCAAGAAATAAACAAAAATATTGGGTACACCCAATATTGAGAGGAAGGGAAGAACTTGGCGAGTTTAACCACTTACATAGCCAACTCCTTGACGATATGGTCAAGTTTCACGAATATTACCGAATGAGTGCAGGGGCATTTGGTGATATTTTGAAGGCCATTTTCCTTCACTCGAAAGGTGGTCAAATGTTAGAGAAGTGATATTGCCTGAGGAACGCTTGGATGTGACTATAAGGTAAGAAATATTTTTTTAAAGTAAATAACATTTTAAAAAAAAGGGGGTAAGGAATATATACATAAATTACGTTTCATTATTATTTATAAAAAATTTATTTACATATTCATACACATTTTACATTTTTATACACAACAATTTACATCGAAAGTAAAATTAATGGAGAGCCCACTTCTTCCTCATAACTTGAAGAAGAATACGCGCTCATAGCATCCGAAAGCAGTGGGGGAGCCCCTCTGCTTGCTTTCTAGTCAATTAATACCTGGTTTCTAACAATCAGTTTCCTATTTTCCGCAAATTTCATCATAAAAGGTAGTAGGACTCATCAGAAACTTATAATCAGGATCTTGCTTGAGGGCGGAGTTTTCTGATAGTAGTCTCACTTTTTCTTTTTCTAATTCAAGTAAACAATCTTGCGGGTCATTCCATTGCCTTTTGCGTTTCTTACCAAGGTGGCATGTTGGGAAGCAGTGATGGTGAGGCAATAGGAGTTTCTGCAGTAGCTATGGAACCCGCAGCTTCCGAAACAGATGAAGATTGGGATTCTTGTTAGGGTTGTTTTTCCATTGGGTAAACATTCCCTTGCAATTTGTGTGATAACACTTCTTTCAGAAAAAGAATTTACCCAAAATAAGGCCATTGAGTCACCTGTGTCAACTCCTTCATCCCCTGATCTGTGTTCAATCGCCTTGTTATATTCTTTTCTTTTTCACTTCCTCCACTAAAACTAAAATGAATATCATCAAATTAGTCTAATCACTAGCAGAATGTTTTTTTAACTATTGTATACTTTCTTCTTCCAGGTATTTAGCTACTGGGTCTGCATTTAAGACAATTGTATATTCAATTTGAATTTCCGATGTAACGATTGGACAAATCATCAAGGAAACATGCAAAGCAACTTGGGACTACCTACACAATCAACATATGCGTTTGCGAGATGATGAAGAAGAGAATCGAATCGCTCAAGAGTTTTGGACCCGACGGAAATTTCCTAATTGTGTTGGTTGCATAGATGGGAAACATGTACGAATCAAAAAAGCCCATTCATTCTGACAGCATGTACAGAAACTATAAACAGTATTTTTCAATGTTTTGCAAAGGGTTGTTGGGCCAGACAGTTGGAGGTTTCTAGCTATTGATGTTGGAGCTTTTGGTAAAGAGGGATGGAGGGTTTTCACACTTTCTCATCTTTTCTTAAACCTCAAAATGGAAGTGTAGGGTGTACAATGACTTTCTGTTCTCCCAGGAACTGAAAACCAAGTCCATCATATACCTCTTGGAGATGAAGCACATCCATTAAAAACCTACTTGATGAGACCATACCTTGCAACAAAGCTAGGACCAACAGAAACTAATTTTAACCAATGGCTCCCAAAAGCAGGATAAGAAAAAGGAGGTTATTGCACAAACTATAGAGGCGTCATTTGTAAAATGCATCTGTTTGCAACTCAGTAATATTACTGACAAAAAAGGAACAGGAATCAACTTCATATCTTGCTCAGCCAACAAAATCTGAATGTTGATTTGGTTCTCATGGCAAAAACAGGGGTGTCAACGTTGTTTACACTGTTAGAGACAAGTTTAAAGTATTTTTTGTAATGATTCTTAATTAATTTGATTCAGTGTTATCCATATGTAATTAAAATATTTTTTTACTACTGATAATGTTATCCAAACATAATTAAATATTTTTTACTTACCGAGAAGTCCCATTTCTACCACAGCTTACGGTGGACATCTCTCCGATGATAGAGCGGATCATGCATGTCCCAAAGACAGCTGGTTCTCAACAGCACTTATCAATTTTTTACAATCCATCGAAATGAAAACAAAATGAAGAGGTAAACAATGGTGAGCGTTTGAGGTCACGTGGTTGACAGCTGAATTCACAGTAACAATTTGGCAGAATAGAACTGGAAAATTCAACTTTATTTGGATTGGAAAGTGCATGGCCGAACACAACCAAGTGAATCGGTTCTAATGGACGTGTGCTCATCCGTTTCTTTGCTTTTGGATCGTCCAGTCCTATCTGGCCAAAAACGGTTCTAGCTGGTGGCCTATCTAATTCCGTTTACATTTTGAAACATTTCGATGTTTACAACCTTAAAAACCATAAAGAAGGTTTGACTGTAGGAGTCCGAGATTGGAGAAAAGCGTTCAAACAGTGTTAAGAATCTATGATCAGTCGATGTTCGGGTAGTTAATAAATCACGGATTGGCAACTAGGTTATGAATGTCTGTGGAAACAAACCTTATATCCACAGTGCATACTTTGAATTGTAGAAAGTGAATTTTCTGTTTTTAAAGGTTTAAAAAATGTTAGATTTTTTTTACATACATAAGAGGGTTCGCAACAGCAGAAGTCAGGTTTGAAGGTTTGAATGCAGGGCTACTGGATTCGAACCCAGGTCCTTTACCTTACAGTGATGAGCGCCGTGTCAACACCTTAACCATTGGTCCACCAACACCCATATGATGCTGTTATATTTATTAATGAAAAGGTACAATACTCCATTTTATTAATTCACTCCACATTAAATATTTCTTTTACTTTTTCTTACCTTTAACTTGTATCAATTAAAATTTAGATTTTTAATTGTGAAAAAAGAACTTACAAGCTTTGCATAGGTTGTTTTTTATTCAATTCAATTTTTTATTTAGCGGATCGCAATAGATGAGTATTTAGCTTGATATTCCCGGCACGTAAACCCCCATGGTCGTGGGTTCGATTCCCACTGTCACCCCTGGCCCTTTTTCAAGCTACAAAAAAATTTTAAAAAAATTTTAAACTTACTTTGTGGTTTTTAACCTTAAGCCTTGCCAAAAGTGATTCAAGCAAAACCATCTTTCCACTTTCAGAAATTAGTTTTTCATCCACTTTCATAATACTGGACCCAGGAAGTACTGGCATTTTAATTAGGTACGGATGGTTTACAATTTTCTTAAGCATTATATAAGGAGGCGCAGAAAACTTAAGTTGCATAAGGTATTGTTGCCCATTTTCTATGACGATTTTTCCCCTAAAATAATAACAAAATCTAAATTCAAACAAGCCTTGTTATGTTATTTTTAATTTTCTTAGGAACTACAAACTTCCCATAAGTGGACAACAAACAGGAATGGAATTTTGTCCACTTGTTAGAATGGTCCTCATATAAAGAAAAAATATTTCCAAATATTTATTTGGTTTAGAAATGTCTGAATTAGATATACATATTGGATGTGTGCACGTTTTTTGGGGGGGTTTTTCAAAAAATAAATAAACTTTCAAACTATAAATTTATTTAAACATAATTTCCTGTTTTCTAAAATATAATGCGCCGAAGTTCAAATGTTCTTGTAGCAGAAATATCCCCTTTTTGAAAAAGTCTGATGACTTAAATAAGAAGAAATCTAAGTCCCTTTAATAATATTTTTATTAAACATAAAATAAATATTAATTAAAACATTTTTTAACAAGGAGAGCTCATCTATAAACTTTATGATTTCTTGAAAAATGAGTACAACTTGTAAATAAATAAGAGCTAGAAAAATGAAATTGCAGAGCATTGAAATGTGAACGGGCGAGAACGCAGAAAGGCAAGACTTCGGACAGCCTGAAGAGGTGAATTATGAACAGAGAGTTTCTAGAGCGGAGAGTGGAGAGAACGGTTGGGAGGGCAAACAGGGTGAACTTGTTAAGTAACTCAGTGGTAGAAAGACACAATTCAAAATGAAGGGGCAATGATTAGCTCGCAAACTAAGCCCTATCACTAGTCGATGGCGGCGAATCGTTCTTCTCTCACTTCTGGCAAACAGCCTTCAAAGTTTAACATTTTTGTCAAGGACCCACTTCTCATCCTCAATGACTACTAAATAACAAATAAAACGTTTCCAATTTATTCAGATTAGGGTATAAAACACAACTGGCCGGTCTTCCGGTCTTCCTGGTTTCCAAGGTGATTCATGGGTTCCCAGAGTTTTGTAATTGTAACCCTCGAAAGATCAGATTCTTATTTTTATTATCATGAGATATAACTGAATTCTCTGATAGTTCTGTTTCAGTTTCCCTTTCTCCAATGCCAGTACTAAGTCATCACTTTATTAGCTGTTTAGGCTTTATTGGAACACTCATGCTTATCATGTGTTCCACAGTTTGGTCCTCAATTCGTCTCTCTCCATTGTGAAAACATCATTAGCACTGTTGACTCACACTATGTTATCGTCATAAATTCTATATAAATTTTGACCGACATCGCTGCTCTACTCTATGCCCAAGATTGAACTCTTATCATAAACAATGCCTCAAATAAATTTTACCATCTTCCATGCATATGCGTCACAATATATTCTTGGCATCAACTACCCCTTCTTAACCATCACTTTCAATAAGACTTTTCCCACCCTAAAGCTAACTAGGTTTAATAAAGGACTTTGGTAAGGATGAAAGTCGAAATTTGAAAAAAACAAAAAAACATGCACACACCCAATACTAACATTTAAAAATGGATGATTTAAAGAAACCCTTACCCTCCGTATGAAGTTTCAGCCATAGAATTAGACGAAGTGCTTTGATTTTTGCCTTTAAGCGTTGCTTTGCGTTTCACTTTGGTGCCATCCTTATTGTCTGGAATAATTACTGGTTCTTCCTACGCAATTATTATAAACAAACAATAAATTCTACCCAAATATATAAAACTATTTATTATAAAATTATACAATAGTATGGTGGTGTTCTAGCCTAGAGTGGACTGTATTTTTTCGATGTTCTCGCGGGGGGTTGGATAATAATAAAATCTATAAATTTAATTAAAGTTGTAATGAGGCTTTCCCATCACCTCAGGTTGAAGCTTCCTTCTGCGAACGGGGTAAGGGGGGAAACAGGAGGGTTAGAAATGGAACAAGTGAGAGGGGCCCTCCGTAGGGCTGTCTATTATNAAAGAAAACTGCTCCTTGCCAAAAGAAAGTATTCCCCAAATGGGCGCGAACAGGTGGTTATAAGTATCAATGGTTAGAGATTTATTATGAGACAAAAGTGAGATAACTTTGCTTAATAACGTTGGCTAGGCCGTCAGTCTGAAAGATGAACTGAACCCTTCCCCATATAAGGATTCATTCAATGACAGGAAGGACAAGGACACCTCTTCTAGAAAACCCTCGCTTTCAAAACGAGTTCTAGGGTGTTTGTGGTATTTTTGGAATTTAATTCATGCCATAGTCCTTTAGTCAACGTTACTGGGAAGACCATTTTTTATATTTGACTGTTTGAAAATTTATTATCGCATTTTTTGTATCATGTATTATCCGTAGTTAGGTTTTGTTGGAACTACAGGTTCAACACTTTACAGAACTTAAGAGGAAATTTAACATGTTATTATCTCATAAGACAATTTTTTAAGTACATATACACAATATTATTATAAGCGTTAAGATGTTACCTTAGGAAACAGTGACGGCAAACTCTTATCAAGGATTCCACAATACAAAGATAGCTGTGTAGTAGTTAAAGGGCATTTAATTACTATTTCCTTTTTAGGTGGTAACAGTAGGTTCACGTCAACTTTTCTGCGACGAAGTAAAAATGGAGACAATATCTACAAATTAAAGAGCATATTTTTTTTACAATATGTAACATTACGTAAATTGTACTTCACCTTGATAACTTAATAAAAATTACAGTGAAACCCCTCTTAACGGAAAATTTTTCATTCCTTGGCAAAACGAGAGGATTTTTATAGCTTTTAAACCCATCTATAAAAGAACCCCTCCATACCGGCTGTGGACAGGGAGAAATTCACTCTTCTAGAATGTATGTAAACATTAAAAAAGAAAGAAAAATATTTGTTGCGATCATTTTGTAAATCATTTAATCATTTTGTAAAAAATTTATATCAAAAACATTTCAAGAAGGCTAGTTTGGCATGTAATACATTACTGAGAAAGAAAATCCATTGTTTAAATTTTGTATATTGACCCAAGAAATTCTGAGTACTTTTTCTTCACCCTTTTCTATGTTCAACTTTTTTTCTTCTTTTTTTTTCAAGTTCCCTTTCACCTCCTGTCCTGAGTTAATCTGAACATGTCTTGGTAATCCATTTTTAGGAATTATATAAGCACATTTTCAAAAGCTTCTCTTTCACGAAGGAAAAATTGTTCAGACATTTGACAGTTCTTTTTCTTCTTCCTTTCTTTTATTATTTTTTCTGGAAACTACTTTGCATTTATACCTTCTATTTCTTCTTCAAAAGCCTTTTGCAGAGGGATAAATTTTTTTGGCCCTTGACGACTTTTTTTTCCTGAAAACTACTCTATATTTATGCATTATATTTCTCCTTCGAAAGATTCTTTCTTTTGCTGAGAAGTAAACTGCTCAGTTATTTGAAGGTTCTTTTTCTTCTTTTAACTATTTTTTTCTGAAAACTACTTTGCATTTATACCTTCTTCTTCAAAAACTTCTCTCTTTTGCAGAGAAATAAATTGTTCAGGCATTTGACAGTTTTTTCTTTTTCTTCTTCTTCTTTAATAACTATTTTTTGTGGAAACTACTTTGTATTGTTTCTTCTGTAAAAACATCTTTTTTTTCGCAATCTAAACTAAAAATTCTTACCACTCTGCTCGTACATAGTGAACCCTGGTACATATTAGGATTGCCACCCTATTTTTTTGCTCCTTTATTGGCCAAATCTTGGTTCTCAAATCTCAACTGTATTTTGTGTTACATGCAAAGTATGTGAAATTCATCATCACCCAAAATGCTCAAGAATTCTCCTCCACAACCCTCTGTCTCAAGCGGCTGCCCGCCAGTTTCAAATGGCCAGAGTTCTGGCATCACTGCCTAAACAAACAATCCATAGACTTACTACACTTAGGTCTTACTCATTTCCTCGCTCCAGCCGGTTTGTCATTGAATATTTTCTTGGGGACTGAATTTTAGACTATCCATAAGACATGACCCGCTTATCTAACTCTTGATAACTGAATGTGCTTTATGCCGTCCACCTCTGTATAAGTCAATGAGTTTTTGGTAATGCCATTTGCTCTTGATTCTCTAATTGGGCCATAGATCTTTTTCAGCATACTTCTCTCAAACACTAATAGTGTCTTCTCTATGGCCTTACTCATCGTCCATATTTCTGACCCATATGTAAGGACAGGTCATATGAGAATTGAGAATTTAATAGATGGTCACCTATGTTGATCTAGGTATGTATTTCAGGAGTCCATAATAGCATTTGTTCACAGCAATGAATATTTGCATTACTTCCTGTTTTAAGACATTATCCACCGTTATCACTGATCTTTGAGTTTATTAACTTCTCAAAGTTTTATCTGTAGACTTGTAAAGTTGGGCTAGACTGACAGTTATCTGTTGACATATATTTTGTTTTGCTTTTAATATTCTCAGGTCCCATCCTTCTGCCAGCACTCACAATGAGGTGAATTAGGTATTATGTAAAATATAAATGATTTATAATTTTTATGTGAAGTGTGGTTGAGATGAAAAACTATAAACCTACAACCTACCTATTGAAGTACCTACACTTCGCTAACAGCACCCTGTGGCCACTTGATGTGGCGCCAAAATCGAAATGATTATACTAAATTTGAATATATGGCAAATAAAGGGAAATTTGAAAAGGTTGTAGGTTGAGGTGATGAGTTGGTGTCCCGGAGGACCGAAGTCACAATAGCTCAAGTGTGGTTAGAGCAGTGGTATATTGAGCCAAAGGTCATGGGTTCAAGACTAATTTCTCATCTCAATGACACTTAAAAATTATAAATAAATTTAAATCATTACAATGGTTAAATAGGACTTACTAAAAAACACTGATTATAACAACATAAAATTTAGCTCGATTTAGAAAAACAAATCTATTTTAAACCCCTTCTGAACGGGCACTGTCAATAACTGACAAAAACACTTTTTTCATGTTGAAGTGTCTGCTTTTTAGAGGTGACTGTTAAGGGAAGTTTCACTGTATTTCACTTGATAGGTTTTGTTATTCTTGTTAAACACTTAAAATAAATGTTAATAAATCATTTGTACCTCATGTAATTTAGATAAAATCATATCCTTTTTTTCTTGCTCGACCACGTGAGCTGCTGATCCTTCCTGATCACAGGATTCTAATTCCTTAATAGTAAGCCAAGACTGAAAGGCATCTAACGAATCAAAAATATCTGGTAGTAAAAAATTCAGTAAAGACCAAAGTTCTCCTAAATTGTTCTGGATGGGAGTTCCAGTAAGTAACAACCTATTAACCGAGGAGAGATTTCTTAAAGACCTGTAAATAAAAAATAATTCCATGAACACACTTTTCTATTTTTAATAAAAGATTGATGGTAGATTTTAATAAAATGATTAATAATTATACACAAATGAAAAAAAAAATGGACACTCGGATTTTGTTGTTTATTTTATATATGTGTTTTTATCATTATATTAATTAAAACGTACTTATTTCTATCTAAACTAAATTAAACAAGAAAAGAAATTCACGAGTTTTAATCAAATTTATTTAATTATGATGGTTTGAAAGAAAATCTGGTCTGTTTCACAAGACAAAATCTGATTGTTCTTTATTCGTTCGTGATTTATTTGATGCGTAGGAAATTTAAGACCTTAAGGCCCTGCGAGGCCAGAGTTGTGCAAAACAATGGAAAATAATTTAGTGATAGCTTCAAATTTAACTAACAATTTATTGCTGTTTTGCACAACTCTGGCCTCGCAGGGCCTTAAGGTCTTAAATTTCCTACGCATCAAATAAATCACGAACGAATAAAGAACAATCAGATTTTGTCTTGTGAAACAGAATCCCATTCTTCAACAAGAGTGTTTCAATACTTGTGAACACCGTAGCTGTCCTTATTTTTAGTTTTCGTTTCTTTCCCTATTAATTTCAATCCTTCTTTTTTCCTTTTCCTTTTTTCCCCCCATTATGATTAAGAGAATCTTCAAAGTAAAAGAAGAAAGGATGCGTAATTTAGTTGTAATACTTTAGTGTCGGAGAAAGTCTCTCTTATTTGTTATTGTTTTTAACCTTGGATATCAGCCCTGAGGGTCAAAAAAGGGCCACTGCCAGCTCAGTCCACGTTCTTTGAAGCTCTAAGACTATCGTATATAGAATTTTCTTGTCAATCGGGGATTTTTTTATCCCTCACATAGATACAATCCATCAATCATCATCCTTGATGCCATCGCGATCGTGGTTGCTGATTTTCAACCGAAACGGCTTGCAGACCCCTCTGGAGATTGGATAATCACCAACATTTGTTCCCCCTACATTTCCCATTGGAGAAGGTTGTAGGGAATCTATGATTCCCCGCTCTTCAGGATGTCGCGAGGGTCCGTAAGGGGGCCCCTGCATTCGAACCCGGGACCTTTACCTTACAGTGATGAGCACTGTATCAACGCCTACACCGTTGTGGTCGTCGCTCCCGTAAACAAGTTATCAATATTGTTTTTACATATTAAGTCAATTATTAATCATTATAACTATGGAAAATAAATAAATACAAGTGTCCATTTTTTCTTACCTTTGGGTATAATTTTTTTGACAATTACAATTACCTTGACAGTTGTGAATTTGAATTTTTCAATCTATGTCCTTCATCAACAATTATGTATTTCCATCTATACCTATTTAAGTACGATTCATCTTTTATTGGTACCTGTAATTTAATTTACATTAAATGTTTGAATGAAAAGGTCATTTTTTACAAACTTCTTAGTAAATTTATAAAGATGTCCATCATCGCTATGAAGAATATATTACAAGGGTATTTCAAATATAAATAGGACTGATTTTCTTAAAAATGTCAGATGGATCATAGACCTAAAAGCATCTGCAGGTAGAAAAAAAAATTCTGGAGAGCGTGAAAAAGTCGAGACCGAGAGCCACAATTGCCACCCAAGCACGAGTGCGAGGCCAATACTGAGGCGGTCCGAAATCTCTTTGACGAAAATTGGCATGTAACTCTCTTCCAATTCACTGAAGAAATGAACATCAGTTATGGGTGTGCCCAACGGATTGTGAATTGGAAAACTTTAGAACATCCACCCTGAGGTCCAGACTTGCCACCTTGTGACTTTTCTTCTCTTTGCACCTCTCCAAAAAGCACTAAGAAGCCAACGTTTTGACGACAATGAAGCAGTGGAAGCATTTGTGCTCCAATAACTATGAGAACTTCCTGAGAAATTTTTATATGCTTAATTAAATTAAGTTAGAATTTTTTTAAATGAGTCCTGTTTATATTTAACCCTCGTATATTTTTCACGACAGGTAAGTAAATTTTTCATATTAACAAATTGCCATTTAAGAAGAAATATTGAACAATAAATATTAAATATTCGACAGTTATTACCATTAGTAAGTAAAATATTTTAAATTAATAACTACATGCAAAAAAATTAAGAATAACCAATTCACTCTTTACATTTTTAATTATATCAAATTTATTTCATTTACCTCGTAAGAAGTAACTACAACAGGATACACAATGGAACCATTTAATGGATGACACCGGCTTATTTCACTTCTAACAACCTCCCTTTCGTATTGTGACCCATGGTACATGACAACAGGAACCTAAAACAAATGTTACTATAAAATCATTGTTCAAAAATTGGAAGAAAAACACATCTCCAAACAACACAATTACATAAAATTAAAAGATAAACATTTATTTTGTCAATTATTTAATCTTTAATAGTAAAAGCAAAATTACATCCTGTTTAGTTTCTAATCATACTATTAAAGGGTGGGCTTATTTTAGTGAGAATTAATTTTCAAAAATTAAAATTTCGTAATTCATAAATTAACTTTTATCTAATATTGAAGAGGTGGTGTGTGTGTGTGTGTGTGTGTGTGTGTGTGTGTGTGTGTGTGTGTGTGTGTGTGTGTGTAGGCGCGCTACATACTCGCTCGACCCTTATCTATTGCAACTCTTCGCAACTCCTTATCACATCTGTACATGTTCATTACCAAGAAACCCCCAAATCTTTCATTACATCCCTCAAGCCTTTGCTAATATTAATATTTTTAACTGGATCCATTCCGGACTTTCATCGAGTTAAAACCGAACCTGATTGGGATTGGTTACTCCAATTTTGCATTATATTGCCGTGTAATAAATAGTGTTCGTTTTAAAAACTATTTCAATTCACGCAAAACCATAACTGGTACAGTCAGTGCAGGACAATTTTTGGGTTCGCGGCATACAAACTTTACTGATTTATCAATCAGAAAATAGCAGATCAAGTTCATCATCAGACAACTTTCATGAAGATCTTTGTAATATTAAAATTAACTGTTTTTCACTTCAAACGGCATAAATATTTGTGATGTAACCACACTTAATCCATCTACACATTCGGGAATCAAATGTAATTTGTACATAACTTTAACCAACTGCCAACTCTTATCAAAATCAATAGGAAGTGCATGCTTCTACTTAATGCTATTTATTTTTCATTAATAAACGATTTCTAACTAGTATAGATGTATTAATTTACACAATAACTAGTGTTTTTTTTATATTAATTATAAATAAAAAATATATTTTTTTAAAATTAGTCTGTAGCCACTGCACCAAACAGTAACCACAGCTGCAGCAATGAAGTTTCACTATTGTACATCACATTTGGTGAGAACTCGCACGGCACTTGGCAAATGCGTATTCCCTATTCCCGCAACAACTAGGAGGTTATACAAACCCCGCATATGTGTATACATAGTGGCGAATGGCAAGACACCTTGAGGCTTGGCAAATTCAACGGTAATCGGCATTCGGCGAATACCGCATGTCTGGAGCCACCTTTAAAATTGGTAATTTCAGGTTCATGGCACACGAACTTTACTGATTCATCAGTCAGAAAATTGTGGATCAAGTTCATTGAGAACTTATGATGACAACTCTCATGAAAATGATTATTTGGAGAGGGCACTCTCAACATGACACACAAGAATGGCACAATTACACAGAAAACACTTTGAGCCCTAAAGATGATCTCAATAAAGATCGAAACGTTGGCATGATAAAGAAAATGTTTGTAAAACCTACATCACACGAGAATGCATCTCATGATCTCTGAATAATCATCGACTAACTGTCACTAATCACCACACATTTCTTATGAAAATGTTTGTACTATTAAAATTCTAAGTTGCTTTCAAAACTTCAAAATTTAGAAGGAATCGAAACTTGTATGTAACAAATGTAACAAAAATAAAACGTATTTAAGTATTTTAAAATTTTTTGGATATTAAGAAAAGATTTTGTTTTCAACCTAACATAATTTTTGCTAACATTATTCCTATATTTTGTTCAAAATGTATTGTTGTTAGTTTATGACACACATTTACACATTTATCCACACCTTCCCTGGGCATTAAACCCTATTATGGCCTAGCATCTTGCCACAAAAGACATTAAAAAATGGATCCTTAATTATTCCAATACCTAGTGGAACAATACCCCAGGCATGAGGCACTCGAAGAGATTCTGAGAAGGACCATCTACAAACTTACAAAGGAACTACTGGAGGGTAACCAAAACAAAATTGGTTGGACTCCTGATAGGGCACTGCCAGCTAAAAAAAACTCTAGTCACCAGATAGGAGTACAGGCTTAAAAACACTGTGCAGATACTGCCAGGAAGAACAGGAGACCTCAAAACACATTTTTGTGAGGGTCTATGTAGGTGTCCATTCTTGCAACTAGGAGAGGAAAAGCCGCAAGCAAGATTCCTACACTAAGGAGCCCCTGGCAAGGTAGAGGTTGATTAACTGAAGGTGGCCAGTGAAATATAAAAATAGAGGAGCACAGTAGATATACTCAGATCTAGGTGCAGAAGGCATTGTGGCTGCTTTTTTTTATCCCATATCCCTATGACATTACCACTGAGGTTATGTGTTCCAAAATCCAGACATAGCCCTTAGGATTTTAATTGAAAATTGTTTTTAAAAAAGTATTGTGAAATGGTATGGTGAATGTATGGTATGGTAAAAGTATGGTGAAAGCAGAGGAGGCTCTGCAACACCCAAATTTGAGTACAGTATGCCAGGAAATACTTTACTTACAATCAGTTTATTTTTTCTGGTGAAGTCTTTCACTTTCAACATTTTGCCCCATGCTCTTTCACAAGCAAGAAGATTAAAGATAGTTATTCATTGATTATTTTTTTCATAAATTTATAATAATTAATTTGTTTATGTATTTTTAAAATACAGAAGCAACTAATAACAAAAATTGTGACAGGTGTGATAAAACGTAGCACAAGGGAGTACTTGGTTTGTAACTGAACTGATAGGCAAATATGAAAATCATATTTAGAATTTATTTTTTTATATATTTATTTTTATTTAGAATTTATCATCACATATTTCGAATGTGAATGATTAATGAAAATCTTACTTGTGGGCAGAATCGTTGAAATTCCAGCATCCAATTTGGTACTGTAGACAAAGGTCCAACAATAAGAAAAGGCCCGATTACCCCTTGTTCATAAAGATGACATATCATTGCGATAGACTGAATTGTTTTCCCAAGTCCCATTTCATCAGCTAATATACCATTCATGCCAGTCTCATAAAGTACCTGTAAAAAGATTTTTGTAAAGATTAATGTTTCAATTCCATTCCTTTCAATATACGAATTTTTTTAAACACAAAATTTAAGATAAAAAGGTTAAATACACAAATGGGATTCAATCCCACGGTCCTCAAAACTGTACCCCCATGCTCTAACTACCTGAGCCGCTGTGACTTTTGGCAATTAACACCACGACAAAAAGGGGGATTGCACAAAAACATGTTGAGCTACAGATAGAACAGTTGATGTTAGGAGTTCTAACTCACAGGGTGCAGGTGGTTACAAATGTGGGGGGGTACATTTCCGAATCCCATTCATAACATTGACCTTTTTATCTCAAATTTAGTGTCCGAGTATTTCTCCCTAATTTGTAATGATAATAATTTTAACAGTTGCAAAAGCCTAAAAAATTAGTCAATTAAATTTTATGGTGTACCCCATTGCAACAGCTATGTCTAAAATTAATAAGATTAAGTAAACTAACGTTATTAAAAAAGAAAATATTTAAATATAGAATTAAAATATAATAAAAATTGTTTTATGTCCCACTGTAATAGTTTGCACACCCTACATAAATTTGAAATGATAATTAGAAAATTAAGTGGAGATTGCAACATAGTCAATGAAAAGTATAAAAAATTATATTTTCATACTTACAATACATTAATTTATCAGTAATTTATCTGTTTGCCCTTAGTAGATTAAGATTCAATTTATCAATGAAACTTCCCTATAACACTACAGCAGGAAATATTGTCTTCTATACAGAAGTGTTCACTTCTGTGATAAGAATGAAAAAAAAATTTAGTATTACAAAATGGGCCACAATGGGGATTAGAAAATATCGACAACTTCAAAACACCAAGAATTTTTAGCCCTTCCTATGACCAGAGGGTTTTCAAATTCACCGAGCATATTTGTGCAAAAGAGTTAAACAATCCTTTGAAACTTTTCCTCCCTGTCAACACTCATTTTTTAATTACATAGTTTTATACGGAAAAGCTCTAAAAAAAAATAAGGCAGTCCCATCGCAATTAAAAATGTTTTGGTTCAAAATCAACACAATATTGTAAAATATAAAATGTTTTTCCATTCATTTTGTACAACCTTGCTCCTTCTCCACTAATGGTCTTAAAAGAAATCTTATGCCATACTCTTAATTGTAAAGTTGTCGAGCCAACGTGAAGATGCTTTAAAATCCATTTGCCCCAAATGTTTTGCAATGTCTAAGGCCTTTTCTTGAATAAGCAAACCGGTATGTTAAAAGCCCAAGCAGGGCAAAACCATTCAACTATGTCCTGGTCTATGGCTGAGCCACGTTTCAAGAAAAAATCTTGGAATTGGTAATTTCTGTGTTCGTAAAATTTATTCAAACTCCAACTGAAGTAAGTAAATAAACATATTCATAGAATGAGAATTTGTCCATTCAAGGAGGTATATACTTTTTAAGGTGTTCGTTCAGGAAGAACTTTAGTAGACATTTCAATTAACTTAAAAATAGTCATCCATTGATTACAATTCTGTATTTATTACATTTTCTTATAACTAAAGATGTTTATTTCTATATACACTGGCTGGACGGACTAGTAACAATTTGGTAATTAAAGTCGGTATTTCAGTAAAAAGTAATGGACATTGGCACTAATGATTTAAGTATTTTTGTTTTCGTTGTAGTCATTTTATTGTCACAGCGATATAGAGAAGCGTGAGGAAGTTAGCCCTAATCAGTCTGAGGGTTTAAGTGTCAACCGGAACACGAGAGTAGAGAAAGGACTTGGCCAAATATTGCAAGAGTAATTCTTTCAAAGGCATATTTTCATTTTATTTTAATTATACTGATTTATCAAATCCCAAATTTCATTTTATTTTTTCTTTACCCTGATTTTATTTTTATTAATTAGAAGTCATAAATTGTTCAGTTAACCTTTCCGTTTACTTTATTATTTGTTATTTATTTTCCAATTTAACATTAGCTTCCACTGCAAGTGTATCCCAAAACATTGAGGGTACCATTATTAATAGCAGTATGCAAACCTTCATCCATTTGAAGCCAGTGATTTGATAGTCACGTAACTCTGCTCCTTCTAGCAATAATGGCTGTTGCGCATCAACAAGAACTCCTAATGCGGTAAGACGTTTAGGTTCTTCAACTGCAGTATCAACTTCCTCTTTGGGCTCTTCACAACATGCCTCATCTTCCTAAAATTGGAAAACTCATATAACAATAAATAACTAATGTTAAAGATGAAGAGGAAGGTACGGAAAAACAAAAATGTGTGTGTGAGATATGGGGATTGATAGAAAGGGCAAGACTGATATTGATAGAAAGTGAGAATGATCGAGAAAGATTAAGGTGGGGAAAGAGAAAATTTAAAAAAGTGTGATAGGAAAAGATTGACATTGTTAGATGGAGTTTTATAGAAAGAGATTTAGATGGAGAGTGAAAGAAGTGAGATCAATAGAGAAAGAGAAAGATTTCAATTGAGATTGATAGAGAGAGAAAGAGGATGAGATTGTTAGATGGAGTATGATAGGAAGAGAGAGAAAAACAAGGTGTGGATGTGGGAGTCAGTGTGGGTGAGAGGGGAGGGAGAAAGAGAGAGGAGGGAGAGAGAGAAAGAGGAGGGGGGAGAGAGGGAGAGGGAGGGAGNCATGTTTTTTAAATTTTCTGATGCCCTTGCTTGCAAAAATGAGGAATAAAATTGACTTTTTGTAAGCAATTTCATTAGTTGTTTGTAACGATTAGCATGAATTTCAGCTTCATGTTGCTCTTTCTGAAAACAAAAATATAAAACAACAATACAAATTGAACAATTCCAAGACATGTACATTAAATTAATGAAATATTTTAGTACAAACAATAGACATGAAATTGAAATCAGTAAGCAATTTTTTTCCTGTTTACATACCATTCATTCAGGGTGGTGGAGTACTACTTGATATCCCTCCATCACCTATCTATTGTTTCATACTGCTCATTCTTGCAAATAAATACATTCACTCTCAACACACATTTGGAATATAAAACTGTCCATACAATAGATATATTTGCTATCTATATAGATAGAATAAAACAACTGTTTCCTCCAAAAATCGGATCTGGGGACACAAGCACATTCTAATATCGAGTGGCCTACACACTCTCTATAAGGAGCTAAGCAATTGCAAACTTTAACTAGGTGGGACACATCGAACAACTTTTTCCACATGCCGGACACATATTTGTGTTTTGGGCCAAAACTAAGTGCCCATGTGTCAACCTTGCATGGCCTATTCTTAACCCTTGAGTACGCACGACAGCACACTTTATGCACACTGATTTTTCCTTCTTTTTTTTCATAAAACCCCTTGTTTTTATATATTTATTCCTTTTGCAATTTTTAATCCTTTGTCCAAATGTAAGATTTCATACATGATTTTAAATATTTATTATTATAATTTAAACAATTCATTAATTTGCAACTTGTCCACAACAATCCAAATAGCATTCTGAAATGGACGGACCCTCCCCCAATTCACCATAAGCAGGTTTTGCCCAACGGTGAATTGAGTGCACATGACATGTGAACTTAATGATTTAGTTGATCGGGATGACCCGAAGTCAGATCCAACAAGGGGAACTTTATCAACAGTGCTCTTGAAACATGAGAGAGAGCTTCTCTGCTGATCACCAAAGCTGCCACTTTCTTTTAATCATGATTTTTAATGCATTTTTAATGTCGAGGGACTGGACCGCAGTGGTGGAGTCTGGAAGTTGGGACATTTCGGTATTAGCTGCCTCGTCTGCTCATTTCCTCCAGATCTATGTGTCCCAGACAACAACCACCATTTTGCAGAGTTCCTACTGTTCATGGTATCTCTCTAACAAGTGAACAACAAGAACGTCCTACGTCGACGTACCCAATATGAAATGATTGATGTTATTTTGATGTAATTAATGAAGGATTTGTTTTAGTTTTGAATCTTTTTATTAATATTATTTAAATAAAGAATACCTTCAAAGCTGACCCATCTCTTCTACATTCGGGGATTGGTTTACCAGAATAAAAAAGAAGGCAAGGAGGGTAAGAAATATTATGTGCTTAAGGGGTGAAATTATTTGTTCACACAGAAGGGGATGTTAAGAAAAATAGGTTATTATTGAAGAAAATTAGGTCCCCAATGTCATATAAATAAAGTCGTTGAAAATAAATGAGGAGCACCTCTGCATGAAAACTACAAAATTGCAGATGCACAAAGGAAGCATTTAAGAAAGAAAGAAAGGAAAAAAAGAAGTAATGACTGGAGAGGAACAAAAAAGGACTTTAAAGAGAAAAGAACAATAGTGGGTTGGATTTGAGGTGAGATCAAGTTTTTGACTTTTGAAGAGGCTAAGATGGGGTAAACAAAATGCATTTTTTTTTTTTTTTTTGCGATTTAACAGTTCAGCAGTATTTGTAAACATACCTCCAATTTTTCTTGAATTGAGGGACTCTTTTTACTAGAATGACGCTTGGTATTATTTGCACCTTTCAGCCCCTCATTATTCTCTGAAAATAGTATTATTGTAAGTTAGATGAATTCATGTCATAAAAGGTATACTGTGTAAGTAATAATCACCAGTATTTATTTTAGGTTCCGCAGGATTATCCATGTTTTCAACTAGCTCCAGCTTTCTTGTTGTTTTTTTTTTTTTTTTTTAATTAAGTTAGCACATACGTTTTATGGATACAAAAATGATGCCTTAAGTCCTGTTGTGTTGCAAATCTTTAAAAACAATATTAAGAGTTAATTTAATGAAATTAATGTATAAAATTTGTGTCTTCTTTTTTCAATTCCTGCTTTTTGGTTATTAAATAACATAACTAATACTAACGTGTTTCAAACAACTACAGCAGGGCTTCCCAAACTGCCGTATGGAGACCCCTTGGGGGTCCACGGCGAACTTCAAGAAATAAGGAATAATTACAAAAATAAACGGAGAATGAATAAATAAAATTAAAAAACTAATAACAACAAATACTGAAAACTAAAGTTTTTTTTTATTTTGCAGCAGCAGTCTTTGTGTTCTCCACAGACATGCTTCAGCTATGAAACAAATGCCAACCTCTTTTAAGAAAGTTTTTGATGAGAAAAAAAAATGTCCATGAGAATCCAACTTGAAATCTATTTTCGAGTTTGATAGTAACCCCCATTTTTTATTCTGTTTAGAAGACAAAAAATTGCAATCACTCGTTAAAAAGCAAAAAGTGTTCTTTGATTTGCCATGACGAATCCAGATTTTCTATCTACACAGCCACCAAAATTTTTGGATGAGTCTTAAAATATTAATTATATCATCACCATTGAAGTCAAGACTTTTCACAATAATGTGTGAGGATAGGGAAGCCTTTGACATTCCCTGCGTCCCCATAGAGAAGTGAGGTGGCTGTCTCATGGAAAAGCACTTTTCCAATTACAGAAATTTCGTTCTGAAGTCTTATCTTGTTGACGGGTTGTATACTGTCATATTTATCAGATATTTTCATTAAAATGAATGAGATGAGTCTCTCTTTGCGAGGGAAGAGTATCACAACTTTCAATACCAATGACAAAGTTCACGCCTTCATATGAAAAATCAAGTTTCAGGTTGAATCTGTTGAGAAGGAAGATTGCTTTCCTGTGTTAAATGATTTTTTTAAGAAAACAAACTCGAGCTTGTGAACTAGTTCATGGATGAAATAATATGCTAACAACATTGAACTTTGGAGATATCCTTTGATCACTACTTCCCAACACCTATGCTGCAAGACCATGAATCGGTCGTCAAACCGTTTTCAATTTCGACATAATACATATGTTTGATAGACAATTACTTAAGACTCTCCACCTTGAAATCTACTTGTGAGTCCGACCTTACTTCTATTTTTGAATCGGTCTAGAAAACAAAAAAAATTCAACCACTTGTTGAAAAAGCTAAATGCTTTCTTCTTCCATTTGCCACAACTTACCTATGCGAATCCGGATTTTATACCTATACAGCCACCAAAACTAAATTCAGAAGCTGTCTGAACCCGACATCTGTCTCCAGCTATCAAAAATGGAACACCATGGAATGGACCGGCTAAATGTAATTTATAAAACTTTAATTTTCTACATATACTGAAAGTACCTAATTTGAAATACTTAGATGAGAGGGATCCTCCCTGGATTTTGTTCTGTGAAAGGGGTCTGCTGGCTAAAAAGTTTGGGAAGTCCTGAACTAGACAGTTTTTAATTGGAATACATCCAAAAATATATTTGCTATAATCCTAACAAGAAGCAGAATATTAAAGGCTCAAGACATTAAAAAAAATTATATAATATTTATAGCATATGTTACTACATCATGAAGTACCATGAAAATATAATAATAATAAAATAAAAACCTGCAAGTTATTTATATTATCATAAAGAGAGAAAGTTTGTATGTAAGAGGTAATCAAAAAAGCTCAGCCTAACTGCTAATCCTCATCGCTGCGATGTTCAATGAAAAAGGTAGGGGACGTATAAGGAGAAGGAAAGCCTATACAGTATCATAACATCATTAAGTGCAGACGTTTACCGTTTTAAGCTGCTGCTTTGAACTTCAGTCTCAGTGAAGAGACTAGAGTGTGTTATCATGCTCGCAGTACCTCACTGGGGAAAGAAAGAGCGCTATATCATGCTCACCATCCTGAACGGGTAACAGCTGAGTCAAAACACAAAATTTAAATAGTTTAAAATTAGCATACCTTCCTGAAAAGTTTTTGACTTAAAAAAAATTATTTTAACAAATAGTTTTTCACGTGGAGATTTAATATACTTTTATTATTTAAGACCATTCTGGAGAGGTGAATTACTCTAAGAGGACTGACAGCAATGTCCGTGCCGGTATGGAGGGATTTGATTATCTCAATATTTCTAGGATAGAAATACAGTGACATTTTAAAAACAGAATATAAGGCAAAAATTACTAAGCAAAGGACCAATCTAAAAATATTCATAACACATTAGAGGAAGAAACTCAGAATTCAAACACGGTTCATGATTGGGGTATAAAAATGGACATCTTGAAAAGACAGGTAATCCAGTAACGTAGGAGATGAAGATTTTGTTGAGGCAGAACACCTGACACATTTACCAACCAAGAGCTACTCTCTCTCAGGGAAAAAATCATCCACGAACACAACTATTACCACTTTTCCTCTAGCCTGGGGAGATGATAAAATTCACAGATGTATACAATTAAATTCACTAGTACTATATGTACATAAATAGCTCCTGAAGGGCACTGTATAATTCAACCCATATACTATCCATAACATCCTCAACATTGCTTTTGTAAACAAACTGATAAGTTTCAGACCAAATTCTCAATCCATCCTAACCCTACTGCTTGAACTCTCTACACATTCCCATCTTGAGAACTTACCACATCTTAATCATCGATGGCCTTGAGATCCTCACGTCCCTAATCCCTCACAACGAGTGCCAGCATTGGCTGATTTCAAGTTAAATATTTAGGTCTTTTTCTAGAAAGCAGACCAACATGGAATCCCCTTGCAAGACTTAAAAGTCAACAAAATAAAAACTTATGAAATTATCTTAAAAGACAACAAACAAGTCGTGTAGGACCAAAATCAATACAAGACTTTACTGCAACCACTTTGGACAAGGGGATGCTTTATAAACTAAAACGCTTCCTATCTACTCCTTATTGCCTTGTCCTGAAATTAAACCTAACCGATCACTGCTTCAGAGTTCTTGGAAGTCAGACAGGTACAAGTTGACATCCCATAGAGGAGCAGTCCCATCGTTCATATAATTTATACTGCTGACTTATCTATGTATCCCAATACCATCACCACCATCTATGAGGACTAACCAAAACTCAAATCCTATTCAAGGCACCTCCAATCTCCAAGAACAGCTTGAGTTATCAAAGATTGGTATAAACAGTGGAAGACAAGACTGAAGCATATACTCATGTACGTTCACTAAAAAAACAGCCCTCCTGCACATCAGAGAAGAAATATTGACTTCCATTCAAGTCAAGTACATAATACTATACCTAGACATCAGACTGGCATGGAGTACTGAGTCAAGACTTGAAAGACAACAGACTTGGACAACTATGAAGACATCTAGGACCGAAATCTGTCTTGACCATCATAATTAAACTTTATACAAGACTTTACAGCAACCCCTTTGCACACAAGGTGCGGGGCTGTGGGGTTCTGCCAAGCCATCCAAAATCCAGCGGAATCAATCAAAAGTCCTCAGCTAAATCGACAAAGCTCCTTACTATATCACAAACATCATTATCAACGACGTCAACCAACATATACGATCACGATTGCAAGTTTCATAACAAGCCTTCGATTCCAACCCTACAGCTCGAACCCTCTGTAAACATTCCCAACCCAAGAATCCTTCACGTAGCTTTCATCGGCAATGACCTCGGAGACCTCGTCTCTTAAACCCTCTAAGTGCCAGTATTGGCTGGCTTCTCATGGCACGTGTTCTCGATGCAGCACTGGCTGTGACCGTGAGAAAACACCTTGTAGTCGCATTTTTAAATAAGTACAAAGATGTATAGGCTACAAATAAAAACAAACATAAAATCAAATTAAGAATTAAGCGGTTTTTCCTCTCAATCGGCAACAAAAGCAATTACTTTCCGCCTAATTAGTAAGACGTTAGTTGTCTTATATTGTCAATGGACAAGTCTAGCTTTGATGTGAATAAAATCAGTCTTAAAAATCGGACCGGCAGATAAATAAATAAACAATGGAAATTTATGATAATAATGACACTTACGGCTCGAAGTCGGTAGTCTGAAGCATCGGAAGGTGAAGCAAAGAATGAACAAAATCACGTCAAAACCAACAGAGGATCGAATATCGATTTCGATCATACGGGAGACTCGGTTGGAAACACCCGCCGACCGCCGTGCCGCCTTACCGGGAAATAAACAGGCGGGACAAAGAAGCCTTTTATCCTCACCGACAACCTGTTGTTTGCAATCTAGCGGAATCTATTTCCACTAGAAAAGTTTCGTCCGCCTTTTATGTTTAATTTTCAAATTTCAGCTTGTCTTCATCCTTTCTTCTCCATTTCCGTAAAGTCTTTAAAATTAAAACGAAAGACTCAAAAGTTTTATTGTGTTAAGTAAACAAAATACAAATTTTGTGTGTGTGGTGTTTGTCATTACATCCGTCAAGAATAGAACAAATTAATTCAATTTCATTCCGCTTTAATACATGAAAAAACTCATCAAAGTCATAAAAGGCATTAATAGTGAGGAATTTTGTTACGTTAAGTTTAAATTTTTTCAGTTAACAGTTTGACATCATCTGGTAGATTATTAAAAAAAATTTATACCCCAATATTTATAAGAGTTTTCACATCTTTTAAGGTTCAGCCATTCAGGAACTATTTTATTACAGTTTCTTGTATAATGTTTATATAGGGAATTAAATTTTTTTAAAGTCTCACTTTTTTTTTTTTTTTTTTTTTTTTGCGTTATGAACTATGCATATTAGCCATGTGACGAAGTCTCACTTTGTAACAGTACATTACATACTGTAAGATATATAAGCTGGGAAAAGTCATAATGTTTAATGTAGTAAATGTTTTTCTGCAGCATTCCCTATACTTTAAATTCCCTACAATACAATACAATACACAATACTTTATTAGAAATGATACAAAAAAAAAATAGAAATACTGATACAAAGTATAATAAGCATGGCTAATAGCCGTCTGCTGAGTTTACTACTTAAAAGCTTACAAATACAGAAATATTAAAACAAAAAAAAAACTCGAAGAAAAAATTAACATATAGCAGGTGTATGAATCCTAATAGATGGAAATTACCTTTTGAGAACTGATAGAGTACTAAAAAACAAAGCAGTAAAAGTAAAAGTATATGTACAGGGACGACAATTATTGCATATCTGAAAGCCACTCGTATCTCACTCTCCAGGTGTGCCGAGCAAAGGAAATTAGCGGTAAAGGGGATACTTGGTTAGAAAGATATTCCAGTATTTCAACTCTGGAGATGACTGTCTTACCCAAGTAAGATACCCGCAATTCTGAGAGAAGAGAGCAGACTCCCAAAAAATGGTATGAATCTTCCCTGGCGTGGCTGTTACAAAGTGGACAAGTTTCATCTTGAGGATCATTCAAAACCCAGGGTTTGAATTTCAAATATAACAATTCTCCTCTTAGTTTGAATAGCCAACAAGAATCTCTAATATTAAGGTCCTGGGAAAGGCTCGGTTTATATGAGAGTAGGTGTTCATTGAAGTTCCTTATACAAGTAGAACCTCTCTGTGCTTTTCGCCTTATTCACAGCTTCTTCTTGATGAACTTCGATTATTTTGTAAGGAAGTCCGAGAGATTCTCCCGAACACCGGAGTTTTGCCAGGAGCATGAGTATTTCTGGGCTAGAGAAGCCCATTGATTATACCAGGAGATATTCTTTCTAATTATCTATAGAGCGATTATTTTAGGCAGTCGAACATCTGGGAGGCTCAGTATCTTTGACATATATTTTAGGTGGAGGGAAAAGGTATACGAGAATAGAGGAGGTAAACAGGATTCTAGCCTTCCCTAAAATTCTTATAGCTTTATGTTGCTTTTTGAAGACTAGTTTGGCATGAGAGACCCCAGACCAATAAGGCATAGGTAATATACGATTGCAAACAAGAGAAATAAACATTAATTAAAACTCTTTGAGATACATTACATTTGAGACTTCTCAGTAAAAATAATTAAATATTTATTTTGAATAATGGTTTATTAGCACCTTATTTATTACAAAATACATTACAAGTTTTGACGCTGAAGCTATAATATAATATAATTTTAAAAAATTTAAAAACTTTTTATTTAGCATGTTAGAATATGTTATAGCTACAACAAAACACTTGAAAAGGATGCCACCAATCGAGTGTATTTTATAATAAATAAGGTGCTAATAAACCATTATTCAAAATAAATATTTAATAGAAACCTTAGCATAATTCAACGATTAAGTAAAAATAATTGCTTGCTAAGTTTATGTGCTGCAAATTGGCAATGTGCATCCCAAGAGAGATGTGAATCTATAACTACACCCAAGTGTTTTATCGGTTGATTGTCTAGACTATTTCTTGAATTAGAAGTTTTTAGAATCATAAGCTTTGTCTTCTCTTTGTTTAGTAATATATATATATATATTATGCAGGGTGGGCGACCAAGACCCAAGGGGCTAAATGCCTGGGTAGATTCGTACCCCGTCCCTAAAAGGTCCGGGACTTGGTCGGCTCACATGTCCTGCATAAATCTCTTGGACCTGTTCACAAACCCCAAGATTTTGGACCATTTAATCTCGTGATCAAGTGATCAACCTCTTTGGGTCATTTTCCGCCTTAAGCTTTCCGGCTGGGAAGCGGCTAGGCCACAGCCCATGAAAAACCCCAGCAGCAGATTAGTGCATAAAATAACTATTTATTTTGTATTAAATTATTTTTAAAATTTTATTTTCATATTTCAGAAATTTAATTTTTTTAAGGAAAGTTAGTAATTTATCTATTGGTCAGGGTCATCACCAAGGAGTCTTTGATGTGGGTTGGAATTTTCATCTGTCTAGCTCTTCATATTTTTTACAATTTGCCAAAATGTGCTTAAGTGTTATCCTTTCTCTAAAAATATCACAAAGCTGAGTATCTTTTTTTGCCATGAGATGAGAATGAGTTAGCCTACAATGACCAATCCTGAGCATAGCAATGACAATTTCTTCTTGCCTGGAACGCCAAACAGGCCCATGGTTTTACTCAGTCTTTTACCTCCTGCCATAGTTGCCAAGACCCTCTTTTATGCCAAGCCGTTTCATCAGATTTTTAAGGGATTTACATTCCTTAAACACAAATCCTTACACTAAGCCTAAGGGACCTCTCAGAACTCCAACCAAATCTTGATTTAATCAAAATCAGGATTTACCATTTATTAGGCATTAAAATAGACCCCAAACTAAACTGGACTGCCCACCGTACAGATCTAGAAAAAAATCAAATTCAAATATATTTTTATTGCTCTGCCTAGCTATACAGATATCAAGGGAAACACTAAATCATATTATGGCTGCTTTCATGCCTTTTACTACATATTGGTGTGGGGACAAGCTCCATTAGGAAAAAAAAAAAAAAAAAAAAAGGTATTTGCTGCCCAAAGAAAGGCAATCAGGGTTATTACAAAACAAAAATATAGAGACGACTACAAGCGAGCTTTCATTAATTTAAAAATTTTGACTCTCCTCTGTATTTATATTCTAAAGCGTATCACATGCGTTATAAATAACCTTCATAAATTTAGAAGTGCAACTTCCTTACATAATCATGAAAGTAGATCTCATAAAAAACTTGTCACCACTTGTAACAGATTAAAAGTCACACAAAATTTTACAAAATATTGGATGGTGCAATATTATAATGTTCCTGACAGATTAAAACACTTAGATACCACAAGCTAAGGGAAGTAATTTATCAACATCTAGTCATACGTCTTTTATAGTGCTGATGAATTTTTAATAAGTTTTAAATAATGTGTGGTGTTTAGTAACCGTTAGTTAATGATCATTTGGAGATTGTGAGATGCCATCTGGTGTGACGTAGGTTTTAGAAAAACATTTTCTTCATCTTCAGGGTTCAAAGTGTAGATGTGTCATTATTGTGTGTCGTGTTGAGAGTGCCAAGCTGAGTTGTGTTGAAGATGATCTCAATAAAGATTGAAACGTTGGCACGATAAAGCAAATGTTTTTCGAAATCCTACGTCACACCAGACCGCATCTCACGACCACCAATAAGTCCTAAATAATATTGTCTTATCCTATGTTTATTATATATTTGGTCATTGTTGTTGCTACAATTTCTTTCACTGTGTTTTCTTTGCATCCCAGGTTATATCTCCACTGAAGAATAAACATTTTTAAATCAATAAAAACTTACCTTCAGTCATTTCTATATTTTAATTTTGTAATAACTCTGATTGCCTTTCTTTGGGTAGCAAAATCCTTTTTTTTCTGATGGAGCTTGTCCCCACACCAATATGGAGTAAAAGGCATGAAAGTAGCCATAATATGATTTTATTAGTGTTTCCCTTGATTGTACACTAGGCAGAGTAATAAAAATATATTTGAATTTGATTTTTTTTAGATCTGTACAGTGGGCAGAACAGTTTAGTTTGGGGTTTATTTTAATGCCTAATAGGCTGACTAAATCAGGATTAATTGGGGTAGATAAAGAACAGGGTCTCCTGTTCCAATTCTTGGAGTTAACAACTTTGTCTCATTGTATAACCTAATATGCATTGAGTGGATGTATTTATTAGCATGAATGTGTAGCACGAGGGTTGATGGCAAAATATTGAGTACCCCATCAACCCTCAATTAGGTTATACCTTTTCATGATTCTGTGAGAAATTTTAGTGCAAAATTGTCCTACAACCTCTCCTGGCAACCATATATTAATGGCATCAGACGAAAGGTCTACTATTCTCTGTTTTTCCTAAGACACTTGGCCAGTTATTTGAGTACTTTGGTTCATTCAAATCATGTTCTAATCTACTTCTCCCTACTGTTCATCAATGTTTTTTTCTCATTAATTTCTGTTAAAAAAAAGCCAATTATTTGCAATATTACTCGATTTGCACTTCATCTTCCTCCATGCTCCCTTATTTCGGAACATGCTAATTTTATTCTTGGCTGTGAAATTTACTCCTTCATCTTATGGTTTAAAATTTTTTTCAAAATTCTGCACCCCTTGAAATTTAAACTGGAACTGGAAAACTAGTATATTTGACTGATTATTTACATATATACAGATTGCAACCTGATTCTTTTTTCATTTGTGTTAGAAGTGCGAAAGACACTGGGCTTTATAACCTTTAACAACCTTAACAATGTAATCATTTTGTCTTGTTTAGCCTGTTTCTGCATTTGCAGGGAAAAACTGATTATAAAAAAAAATTGGAAATTACGACATCCTGATTCCTTGGAAGCACAAACGATTGAAAACAATCCTGCACTAAATAATTTGTATATACACGTATCCACACGCATTACACTTATTTATCTTGTAGTATAGATACATGTACATTTGAACATACACATGTCCACACGTTACATTTACTTCCCTATTTAATTATTTATTCTTAGAGTATGGATACACGTGGGTTCATGTGCATATGTATGCAATCACCTATTTATTTGTGAATATATGTGCATATTTATTTATTAGATAATTAATTATTTATCCCATTTATTTATTCATTCTATTTATTTTACTTTTTACATTATACATATAATGTTTATATGTAATTTATATCTACGTACATGTAAGTTATTTAAACTTTGTTATCTGTAAAAATGGTGATTCACACTCAAAGTACTCTTAAATTGTTCACATAATTTAAAATCATTACCACGAGTCAAAAGTGACAGCGGTTTTTTTTATAATCAGTTCCCCCCCCCCAAAAAAAAGAGTCAGGTTGCAATCTGTATATATGTAAATATTTAGTCAAATATACTTGAAATTGAAAAGTATCACTGAATATTTGCGCATTCAGTTCACATCTTTGTCTTGAACTTCAACGCCATTATATTCATACCATTACACAGAATATAATAATATATTTTCTGCTCACTGAAGAGTAGCAAGGAAGGGAAATACACACACAAAAAATACATGAAAATATGTTTAAGAAATTTATTTAACCATCTCTTCCAAACATATAATTTTTAATAACAAAATTCAACCAAAATTGACTCTTCATTACGATCACAACTACAGTACACAACATTCATACCATTATATACATAGTCAAATCAAATGAACCATGACTCACATTTGTAAACTTTTAATTGAATATAAATGAAAACAATAATTACACATTGATCACAATCCACGGGCTGTTTTAAAATATCATTCTGTTATCTGTGTAATACCGTACGTAGGTCCTATCAATTCCCCATATTTTAATTTTTTCAATCTAGTTGGTGTTGTATATACATTTCTTTCTGATGCATATACAAACCTAAAAACATGGTTAAGGAAACTGTTTTGAGATGTCATAAAATGTTTGCAGAACAAATAAACGTAAGTGTTTATGCCACATGTTGTTTATATCCTTTAGTTCATTATTTTTTTATTTTTTTTTTAATTTCTGCGTAAAAAGTTGGTTTTATTAATTTTTTTAAATTTATTATTTTTTTATTTTTTTAGGGGGTCCACAATTGCAAAGATCGACATTCGGGGCTCCTGGTGTTTTTTCACTGAAAAAGCCCATTACAATTTTTTTTTTAAATTTAGTTCGACTATTTCTGGTTAATAACAAACAAATAAACAAATAATATGGGCAACTAAGAAAGATAACAATTATGCAGAAATCTTGTATCACAAAATATTTTAAAGAATTAATCCACTGTTATATTATATTAATAGCATTAAAGTATATAAAAATGTTTGTAAATGAATGGTGCTATCTTTAGAAAAACTAAACTTCACACAAAAGAATTGTGAAAAGTGAAAAATGTAATGTATGAGGAAGAAGTGTGAGAGAAGAAAAATAAAAAAGAGAAACGAAAAGAAGAGGATAAAAGAGATAGATAGATAGATAGATAGATAGATAGATAGATAGATATATATATATATATATATATATAGAGAGAGAGAGAGAGAGAGAGAATGAGTGAGGGATTTTAAAAATTGGAAGCATAAGTAATGAAACAACTAGAAATTCCTCATTTCATTATGCCTAGTAAAATCAATTTGTTTTTGTTTGCATTTTAACATGTTTATGCAAAATTTCACTATTTTTCGTGGTCCGCTTGACCAATTAATATCATACAATTAATTAAGGTTTTAAGTTGTGATAAAAAAGTCAGTGTCACGAGCGGGATTCGAACCCATCGAAGTCACGATAGCTCAACTGGTAGAGTAGCGACGTATCTAGTCGAAGATCGTGGGTTCGAATCCCGCTCGTGACACTGACTTTTTTATCACAACTTAAAACCTTAATTAATTTTATGCAAAATATACAAAAGCTTATAGGAGGACTGTGGCGACCGACTTTATTTGCCATGATAGCAGTTTTGGGTTCGAGAGACCACAGAGCCCATGGTTTTTTAATGGATTATAGTATGAAAAATGTATTGTAAAGTAATTTGACCCCTCGACAACGTGATGCAACAGGTAGTAGGATGTCAAGCCCTTCTGCATGTCAGTAATAACTTTACTTGTATGTCTAAAGCTAAACAAAATTTATACAAATATATTGAAAGGATACGGTAAACGAAGCACCCAATAAGTACTTTGTGACAGAGCGATCGGTTTTGGATCACCAGTGATAAAAATTGGGCAAGGTGGTGGAGCTGGTCGAACCTTTGGATCAATTGTTACAAAAACTGGCGCTTTGGGAGTCACCACGTGTATCCTCATTAATTGAGCTAATGATTTGCTAAAAAATAATAATAATAATAATAATCAATTCAGCACAAGCTAAATGTTAAGAAATTAGTTATTGAGTCTTTTTTATTTAAATTTCTGATTTTGTCTATTGCTGTGATAATCCAACAATAAAAACACTGTGTTGAAATAATAATAATTTTAAATAAAACAATGTGTATTTGTTAGAGAATTGCACAATTATTATGGTAAAACAATAAATTTGCTGGCATATTTTGAACATATTAACTTACCTACAAGGACATGGCAAATAAAGTGGCATATTTCCCTTGGTAAGTTTATTTGCATTTTCTTTTACAATTCCGTTAGCAGAAACCTTCAAAATTTTACCAGGGGCAGAACTCATGAACCTGTGCCCCCTAAGACATTCATACTCCACTCCGATGAATATCTTAACATTAATAAAATCTGTAATAAAATGCATAATACGAATAAAATCATAAATACACGTACAAATAATGTAAATATTCTTGTGAAATTTTTCCGTACGGTCTGCAAGGCGATGAACCTTTAATTTGGTAGTTACAGATTGTTCTGGTCTACCTATCTTTCCTCCGTTAGTCTGTCAGCATTTCAGCATTTCTCAATCTTCAGTGTTGGATCTTGGTGACAGACACACTGAAGATAATGAAATATTGAAAGACTTCTGACCAACTGAGCAAGGGTACACATACCAAAAGTTCAGAACAACCAAGTTAAAAGTAAATGTGTGGTAATAGTGACCATTAGTCAATGATTATTCGGAGATCGTGAGATGCGGTCTGGTGTGACGTAGGTTTTAGAAAAACATTTTCTTTATTGTGCCAACGTTTCAATCTTTATTGTAATCATCATCAGGGCCTGGGATTTATATTGTTTGAATTTTACTAATACATGTACACGTAGGATGTAGAAAAAAAATGAATTTATACAATGCTAGAAAATTTTAGATTCAATCAAGTGAGTGAGTTCAATAGTTCAATACTTCAATTGAATCTAAAATTTTCTAGCATTGTAAAATTCATTTTTTTTATTTAAAATTTTCTAGCATTATACAAATTTATTCTTTTTTTTAATCTAAAATTTTCTAATATTGTATAAATTCATTTTTTTTCTAAAATTTTCTAGCATTGTATAAATTCATTTTTTTTCTAAAATTTTCTAGCATTGTATAAATTCATTTTTTTTCTAAAATTTTCTAGCATTGTATAAATTCATAATTTTTTCCACATCCTACATGTATTTGTAAAATTCAAACTATGTTTATAAATCCCAGGCCCTGAAGATGATCTCAATAATGATCGAAACGTTGGCACGATAAAAAAAAATGTTTTTCTAAAACCTATGTCGCACCAGACCGCATCTCACGATCTCCGAATAATAATTAAAAGTAAATATTCTTTTAAAGTCACAAGTTTAATTAACTCTTAATTAATACGTTTAATTAACTGAACCTAAAGTATTGCAAACAAAAATAAAACATGATTCTATCTACAATGCAATAAAGAAAATTGAAAAATACAGAAAGTAAACAAATTAGTGACTATTGCACAAATTTTTTTGATGTGTTATTTTACTGGCCTTCTGATGTCGCATATACATATATATATAAGAGTATCAGGGAGGAAGCCAGCAAAGAAAACTCAAAAATTGTAGTCGGGCTATTGGCCTATTTAATGACTTCATCAGGACTAACAATCATAACTTAAATTAGAACAAATAGCATCAAAAGAATTTTTTAGCGCGAGTATGGACCTCACAGATGAAAAAATCTCTGAACTCAAAAAAGTTTCTTTTTAAATCTCTGAGGTCCATATAGATGATTAAATTTTTTTTAATGGTTAATTATTCAGAAATCGTTTTTAATGGTATTTGTTTTAATTTAATTTATAGATTGTTTTCTGAGTAAGGAAATAAATAGACCAAAAGCTTGACTACAATTTTTGAGTTTTCCGTGCTGGCTTCCTCACCAATATTTGTACAACAAAGTTCCCAAATAATATTAATTATTACAACTGATAACTTCTGATACTAAAATCAGATTTTTTGATAACTGGTAGAAAAAATACACAATGGTATGTAATACAAATATAAAATAAAGTACTTTTCAAATAATAATTAACGAACCTTTTGGGTAACGCTGAAATTTTTTATAACCTCCTCTACAGAATGTTGCACTGGGTATCTTTTTTAGATCTGGTGATATATTAGATATTACATCATGTTCCCTGAAATAAGATAAATTCGGTGTAGAACAAATAGTTTTATGAAGAAAAAGCTAGTTTCTCTTATTATTAAATAAATTCCAAAACTGCCTAGATATGTACTAAAAATGATAGTAATTGAAAATAAGTGAACATTTTCTATAAGATTTCAAGGAGAAATGACGAGACTGCTGAACAATAAAATCATTTATGTAATCAATATAAAAGCACAATTATTTAAGAAAGTATTTATTATAAAATTATACAGCAGAATCAATTGAACTAAGTTTTTAACACTCGCACCACCGTTGCGGGTCTTTCAAGGCACAAGGTTTTTTTTTGGTCTTGTGTTGTCTATCTACATGGTCTTTCCTGAATATATAGAAATTTTCTTTGAAGATTTTGAATAAAAATTCATATTATTCATTTTGTAGACAAAAAGATGCCTGGATCTATTTAGGTTTGGATCATGGTCGTAATAATTTTTTTCCACTACAAATTTTTTGTTTGTTTTCAAGTACAATTATTATTAGCACTTTACTCACTCAGGTAGGAAAAATGCTTAGCTCTACTACTTGCACCCTGGATTACCTTTTGTCTATTGTCCTGATTTTTCTGTTTACCCCAACGCTTTCATTTTTCAGCTTATATTCAGTTTCTGTGTGAAAGTTAGCAAAACTCGCACTTTCTAGCGGACCAGCAAGCTAGGACTAGTGCAATCTGGACTGTCGTCTCCTTCTGGGCATTGGTGATTTCAAATTTATGAATTCTTGTGGACCATGGCTATCTAACCATCAACCTGACTGAATCCAAACTCCTCATCCTTATGAATGTTTGCAATCCCAAGCTTTACAGCTGCAAGCTCTGATGAGAGGTCTTTGAAAACCTCGACAATTTCAGCAGACAAATACTTTTTTTCACCTTGGCGACTGAATTTTGTGTGGGAATGTCTGCAAATTCCAGCTGCTGCGTCTGGCGTGTGAATGAATCAATGATGTTCACCTGCCAGAGTCTGACTTCACCTTGTGGGGTGACGAATGCATACAGCAAGCTGTTTTTCAATCCCGTTCAATGCTGTGTTTTTACTTGTGCAGATGATATTTTGAAAGAGTTTCGAAGGCAGGAAGAAGAACAAAATATTTTTCTTGATGGTCAATGTGATAGATGGATGTGATAAATGCAAGCAATTAAGCAATATTAAGTATGTGGCAAATATTCAGTGGCAACCAAAACACGTTCTATGAGCCAAGAATATATCACGTTAACCACTTGGCTACCACAGTCCCCTTAAAGATTCATAACGTTATAGTTAGGAAATAAAATAATGTTAATAAAATGTTATCTTATTTTATCTTTATTTTTTATAATATATATTTTATATTTTAAAATTATATAATATAAATAAAATGTCAGCATGTACATGAAAATTTTTGTCACCTATGTACACACTAAATAAACATTATAAAACAAAAATCCTTATTATTGTAGCTTTTCATATAAAAAATATTGAGTCTAAAAAAAATACCCGCTAGGGCAGTGTGAGTGTTATTTAATAAGAGCCTACAGTCATGATTTATAATTAGCTCAAAAATTCAAATTATTAAGCTGTATTAAGCTCACTCCCTATGTAAATCATCTCTATTTCAAAAGTATTCTATTATATAGTACTTGGTAGTTTGATCAATCAAAAAATAAAATAAATTCGCTCACTTTATAGTGACGTCCCATGGAAGAAGAAACGATGAACCAAGAATAAATCCTGGTTGGTCATGAAGGCCAAGATTGTGGGAGTATAGACTCGACGGCCCACGGCATAAAAGTGACCACGAAGGAAACTGTGGTAGAAGTCCATGAGGGGATTCAAAATGTAACATACCGGGTAAATATTCAGTAGTAGAAGCTTGTCTAACAAGGTGTTTATCTGAAATGCCAAACTCAATTAGAGCAATAAAAAAACCAAAACCCAATTTGAAAGTAGAATGCTGTTAACTTCCAATTTCTTTATGGTGTATTATATTTACATACCTTGGCTTTGAGGACTGAAATAGTCCAACACTAAATTCCCTGACTGATCAGAGAGTGGAGGTGTGGTTGGTGTGCCTTCATGTAATGTCAATATCAAATGATCAGGTGTCCACAGTTTACCTGCACAAAACGCCGCAACGTTTTCTATTGTGATATAGAAAAATATTAACGTTATACAGGCATTAATCGGATTGAATCATTAGCATTTCCTCCCCTTTTTAAAAATGATTACAGTTGTTACTTACTTATATTTTCAACACTGAAGCTTGCTTGTACTGATTCGTGATATAAGTTTGCCAATGTATTGATGCTGCTGCTTGAATTTTCCTGGTTATAGCCATAAGCATTCACATCGGCAGCTCTGTAAAAACACATTTTCAATTTCAATAAATCGAAGGAAATGAAATGTAATTAATTAAAGGGAAAATTACTTGTAGTCGTGAATGCTTGGCTGAAAAACAGGAAAATTTATGTGATCTAAGTGAATGCAACCACATTCTTTACCAATATCACGATAAAAGGAATAATTAGCAGCTTTCAATGTAAAAGGATCTGGACGGTTACCCTGTTTAACGCCACAGTTACAACTTGAAATGTATTGTATTCCACTCCAATGTTCACTTTCCCTTAAAATAAGTTTATTAATATTTATCTTCCTAAAACGCGTCAAGATCTTGAGAGGGTTCTTTTCGAAGGACATGCCTGAATTAATAGACAAAATTTGAAGTTCTCTATGAAGTATTCTGAAACGTGAATAAGTTATCAAAGCAAGAGAAAGGAAACAATAAATGGTTGCAGTTTTCAAACTTTCTACTTGAGTCATTCAATAATTTATAATAAATTACATCAACTTCACAATCAAACAAACACTAACTAATATAATGTATACAGGTTGAGATTAACTTATGTTCCCCCTACATTTTTTTATTGGGGCATTTTTCTGAAAAACCATGTTACATAAATTTTTATGTTTGTCTAATTTCTCGGAAAAGTTTGGATTGAAAGTGGGTTTAATGCCCCTATAAAAAGAGCAAATTTATTTTCTTTTTTGATTGATTAATATACTACCCAGTACTATCAGACCCCTGCATTGACACGTGCTCATGACTGTGAGGTAAAAGTCTTCCTGCATTCGAACCTGACATACTTATAAATGAGCTTTTTTTTTTTTTTCAAAAACACCAGCACCACAATGGTTAATATAACCTGTTAGTTGAAATACCCCCATAAAAAAAGCTCTGGGACAAAAAGATATCCCACCCTAGTATTTTGCATACTATACATTAAAATTGTGTATTGTCATTAAGGTTTTTTAAACATAAATGACATTTTCAGGTAAATTTTTAATGAATCTTGCTACTTAATTGACAGTAAAATTTTAATCCCTGGAAATAATCATAAATATTGACTTTGTGGTGGGACAAAATGATTGGACAGACCACCCTATTATTTTGCCTAAACATTAAAATTGTGTGTTTTAATTAAGTTTTTTCAACATAAATGACATTTTCAGGTAAAAAGTTTTGAAATGGCCAGCTCGGTCTCCATTTTTTAATATAAGTGAAAATGTCTGGGGACATCTTGTCAGGGCTGCTACCAGTTCCGGAATACAGAAGAGATGAAACCCATGAACCAAGAAGAATGGGAAGAAAGAAATTTTCTCAAGATATTCTTCGCCTCCACAACCTTCCAAATCGAACCTAACTAAACTAGAGAAAGGTGGAGCCCATACTCAGTATTAGAGTTATTTTGTCATTTATTTTATGTGGTTTTTAAATTTTATTCAAGTTTTAATAAAAACATTTTTAAGATCGTTTGGTCCCACCTCAAGATAAAATAAAAACCACAATCACCCGACCGCATCTCACGATATCTGAATAACTATCGATTAACGGTCACTAATCTCTACACATAAAATAAAAATGTAAAAACAAAGTTATTTTTTATTAAACTTAAAAATACCCGAGATACTCATCATTGCATATTTTCTGAAATGTTTTTTTTGATGCTGAGTTCAATAGTGCTGTTTTTAATTTGTAACTACCATTCTCAAGTTATTGACAAAAAACTTTTTCTGAACCCTTTTCTTTTTCGGATAAACGTAATCTTCTCCAACTTTTTCAACAAATCACCTGTTTCTTTATTTATTGAATAGTTTTTTAACGAAGAAAAGTTCCCATCCGTATCAAGTTATCCTGGAGAGTTAGATCAAATATTTTTGGCTCCTGAGAAACTAGACAAAAACAAAAAATAAAAATTCTTCATTCAGCCTTGTCTTCCATTTTTTGCACCAGTCTTCAATAAGCTCATAAGCTGGATATTAGAGGTAGCTTGGATAAGTTTGGAATTAGTGGGTTGTCTGCGTAGACGGGGATGATGGAATTGGGATACAAATTTATACATATTACATATTTTTTGGGTAAAGAAGAAGAAATAAATTTTAATCCGGGGCTTTGCTTCCCCCTCCCCCCATTGAATAACAAAACTTACAATATTTGGCAGTTGAAACATATTAAATTAAATAAAAGGGGGAAATTAAGCTTACCAAAACAACAGAAAATGAATTGTCCTCATGTGAAATTAGAGGGACAGGGGGTAATGAAAAATTAAAAAGTCCCTATCCTTGCCCCGTTATCCTGGAGAGTTAGATAAAACTTTTTGGTTCATAAGAAAATAGACAAAAATATATTTAAAAAAAAGCCAGGTGCAAAAAATGGCTACTGCGGTCCCACATTTGAGTTTATATGCTAACTAGATATCAAAAATTAAATTTTAAAATAAAAAGTATTGATTTACTTATTATCATTTACTTATTATTTACTTTATTATTTAGTATATTGAAATATTTTAATTAAAATTGTAAAAAGAGAACTTTACATCAAATTTTTCAAAAATGCATACTGGAAGAATGTGTAAATTATGATAATAAATTAATAAGTCAATTTAATTCTCTTAGCAGTAAAATTTTTTAAAAATATTACTTATCAAATTCCTTATTAAGGCATTGATGAGCTGGCCAAGTACAAGTGTTTTTTGACAAACTTTGCATTTCACATGTTTGTCTTCCTGATTTCCAAAGGTTATCACACTGGATCTTAAGTTCGGTGATGTATTTGTCTTGTTCTGGCCCTCTTGCATGATGTGTAAATACAATAATTGCTTTCTTCACCTAAAAAAGATTTAAAACATGAGAGTCGGGAGATTAATTGAATCTATACTATTTTTTCAATAAGAATAGAAATGTAACCCTAAACTTTTGTAGTTATAACTTTTACAAGCAATGTTGTAATCGTAAATGTTGTACTGTAAAAAAAATAATAAATAGAAACTTATGAAATAAAGAGAAGTGAATTCTCATGCTGATTATTGAAGTAGTAATTGTTGCTAGTTAAACAATGCATTTGCAAAGAGCTACATATATGATAAAATATTAGCACACGTATTATGAAAGTATAGTTTAACTTCCACTTCTTAAAAATGTGATAAAATCCTAAAAAAAATACCTGTTTTTCATGAATTGCACGATTGTAGTGAGGAGGTAAATTCTCTTGATAACGTGACACTGCTAATGGAATGATTTTTTTGCATCGCGCTGAGCTGAACTGCAGCTCCGTGCCCAATAGGGATTTCATTTCATTTGTGGCTTCAGTCTGTTTCACCCCAAGCATGGAGTAACGAGACAAACCACTTGCAATTTCTAACCAATATTTCAAACTTGGTCTCTAAAATGGTTTTTCTTTTAATTTAAGTATATGGAAAAAAGCAGTAAATTAAAAAATAAAGACTTACCATAAAAAATGGCTTGACATTGATATATTTCCCCATATTGTCATAAAAACCATCATTGTGAGCTTTACGTATATGTTTTTGCAAGAATGTTTTAAATCTATGGCCTAGAGTAGGAAAAAATATATGGAAAAAATAATAGAAATTTGGAAATTAACAATTATACAATAAATTAAACAATTGACAGTTAAAATTAAAAAAAAAAAATTTTCTGAATCTATCTGCAAAAAATGTTTATAAGAATGTGTACAGTGCAGAACTAAATGCTATATCCTTCATACTAAAAATCATTGGGCACTGAATTTTGCCAAATTATGTCAGGCATTGGTCCCTGATCCACAGTGGCCAGTTGAGAAGCATAAAGGCCATACTTACGAGGTCATGCATAGGTCATACTAGACTTGCACATTGGCACTTGCTGGCAGAAAAGTGACCGCATAAGTGCCCATTATGTACCAAAACATTAAGTGTTGAGATATTTTACAAACAGAAAACTAGTAGCTTGCAGGATGAATTATCGAGTTCCTGCTGACCTGTGCATTAAGGCAGCTGGCACAGATCTCTCTTTCAGTACATCAGGGAGAGTTTTTAAAATTAAATAGTATGTGTTTATGCGTTGTGCATTGTTTGCTGGAGAGTGAAAGTATTTATTAGCATGAATGGTGTTTTTTTACCCCACCCAAGGAATATCCGATAGTCTGGGGTAAGAGTGTGTTGTCTGGAGATTGAAAGTAATTAATTATCATGAATGATGGAATTATCTTCCACCCCAAGGAATATCTAGTACTTTGGGAAAGTAAATGTGACCAGACTTGTTAAGAATGGTGAAAAGATATCAGTGTCATCGGAATATTCACTGCCATGACTCCAGATGGATGCTTCTGGTTATCTTGCTGCGGAGCCGTAGTGTGTTTGCATGGGCGTTCACAGTCTTCACTGGGGAATTTCAGGGGTTCCTCTAGTGTTTCAGCCAGAGGGCAGGGCTCCCGTCACTAGCGGTGTTTCCGGGTGGAGGTGGAAAGCATGAAAAAATCTGTATGTGTTAGTGTTTTCTTGTTCTTTTAATAGTAATTTGACAACCTAAGGTACTTCCAAGGGGTTAGCAAGTCAAGAAAACAGGAGACAAAATATAAGAGAGTCAATGACAAAGATATGTGAAAAAAAAAGTTGTTTAAAGAAAAGAGGGCCGGCGATGACCACTTGATGTTTGCCGTTGCATAAATAATACATACCGCTATAAGAATTTAATTTAAATTTTGCTAAACTGGTCTACCAATTCTCACTGATATTTGTTATTTACTTAAAAAATAGGAATTTTTTATCCTTGTTAGAAAAATATGTGTCATAACACTAAATAATTGATGTCAAGTAGAAACATACTCTACAAAAACTATAAAATATATAATCAGCAAGTGAGAATGAAAACATTAAGATAAACCATTTCAATTAATTATTCTTTTCATCTCAACCAAGACCTTAGATAAAAAGAATAATTAATTGAAATAATTATTATGGTCAATTATGACAGCTAAACATTTATAGATCAAGATAAACTTTTTAAATGAAAATATAACAAAAATATAATCATTAAAAAATGATATCGTTCTTGAAATTATGCATTTAAATAGACAATAATTGTTTAAAGGCTAGATTAATGAATAGAAAAAGTTCAGATTTGACTTTTGTAAGATTTGAATAATTTTAGTTTTGAATTGGTACCTTGACATCTTAAGAATATATATGTGAGGGTGAAGTTGATTTATTAATTGGAGGGTTCCGGGAATAGAATAATATAGCATAATTTCTTTTAAAGAATTGAACATTGAATTGATAATTATTTCTATTATTAACACTGGGAACTCAGAAAGACTTTTTTAATTAGCATTTTGTCATAGGATTCCGGTGTTTTTTCATTGAAAAAATCCTTTTGGAAGTAATTTGCATTCATAATTCACATTACCTCTGAGATTTAAATACAGAACTGGGTAGTATTTTGTCACTTATGCTGTTGTATTGTAACATATAAAGGGGTGAAAGGGGCATCATAGCCAGCTGTTATAAACATCAAAACAATACAGACCTAATTTCACAATAACTCTCCAGAACCAATATTACACAAATCTTTCACATTTTACTTATTTACAAAGGGATATGATTGACCAGCCACAAAAGGTGGCAAAATGTCAAAATGCGTCCGCCAGACAAAATCAAGAACAACAGGCTGATAGGTGCTTATTATCATGTCTATGTGCATAGATGGATGATCATAGACGATCAAGTATTAGGTTCATCACCTCAATCAAAATATCAACAGTACGTTAGGCAAATTTGAAATTCAATCAATTTAATTATTAATTAAATTATAAATAATTTATAAAATCATAAAAACCTTCTAAAATGTACAAGCATACAATGTACAAGCTTGAAGTCATAAATGGAAAATTTGCACATTTTATTTGCATATAAATTTACCTGATTTGTAGTTTTTTCCATGATGCAGTGTCTCTTCAAAGCTAGCAAATGATACTAAATAAAATAAAATGATAAAAATTAGAATAGATTAAAAAAACTAGAAACCACAGAAAATCGAAATGAGAAGTTTGGTATGGGTGAGTGAAGTCACAGTAACTTAAGTGGGAGAACATTGAATTATTTATGCAAAGATTGTGGGTTCGAATCTCATTCATTTTGAAAAATTGTATGCATATAATAAATTGAATATTTAGTCTGATTTTGGAAAAGTGTCTTTTAATAAATATGATTATATACCACAGAAAAAAATTATACTAAATAAAATATTTGCTTGTTGAACTGATCGACTATTGCACAAAAGCATTTTTTCACTTCATGGACCTTCTGCAGGGCTGTAGTAACTCAAGTCGTCAGATATCAGTACGCTCATGAACACAATGTACACTCAACGGATGGATGTCTTATCATAGAAAACATGGCATTTTTGCTCATCTTTTGTACAAAGAGTACATTTATAAACAAGATAGATGCTATTTGATATAGACATATAATTTTACACATGCTTTTATCCGCGACTTCATCCACGCAGGACTCTCTGTTTTAATGTACCTTTCTAATGTGATGCAGAGTGCTTCTATGGTTTCTAATATAATGTCTTGTTTCTCAAATGTTTCTCTTCTTCAGTTAACTTTAGTTTATACATGGTAAAAAATTGTCCATTTGTTTCCTTTAGAGATGGAATTTTCAAAAATCCTTTCTTAGCGGCTATAAGAATGCACTGCCGAAATTTCACCCTTGGATTTGATCAGTGCATTGTCTGTCAGTCAGTCACAGAACTGTTTTGTATATACAGAGAGGGTTGGTCTTTTGTGTTATCCATTTCAACTGACAATAGGATAGGAATGAGAACTCCCAAAATTCAAATTTGAAGCAAGAAAAAAACCTTAAGCCACCAAAGATTGATAAAAATAATGCCAACACATGCACTGGAGAAGGAGACTTGACTTCACAAAAATCACCTAGACCCAACAGTGTAGATGGTGAAATGTGTCTGACACATTCACCCAGCAAGGATAAGCAAAACAAAATGAATGGTAACAACCAAATTAAAGGTTCAATGTATAATGACATGTCCAAAGGATATTGATCAGACTATACACAGAAAAATATAGTTGGTAATAATAGCACATGAATGGCAGATGAAGTGTTCCATGCTGCATGAATCTTGTACTTTATGTTTATTTTAATTGTGATAAATAAAGTACTGATTATTGATTTATATACGGTCAAATTTGCGCGTGTAATGAGTTGAATCTATCACTTCCCGCAGTCCACTGGCAATTTCAGCTTTTGTAATTTACAATGAATAACGGGCAGGGCCTTCTCGAATCACCTGCCCTGGGTGTTGGCAGTCTGGGATGAGACCTCAGTCTTATCCATCCATCCATCGAGGTTGGACTCCAGGTACTGTCAACCACTAGGTCAATTCAACACTCGATGCATTGTTTAGATCCAAACCAATCACACTCTTACTCCCAATAAAATACATTCTTTTTCATTTGCACACCATTCATTCAGTTAGGGAGTGGATTACTTGATATTCTGCCATCTACCCTCTCACTCTACACTTCCACGCTAATAAATACATTTATTCTCAACACACACTTGGGGACCCAGCAGTAACAGCACAATATACAATAAAACAGCCCTGTTTACTACAGAAATCAGAACAACCCAAAACAACATCAATTACTCTCTATATAGAGCCAAGGGAATGCACCCTTCAATTTCCCTGCATGTATACAAATACATTGGCCCAAAAATAAGTGTCTGTGAGCCAACCTCGCATAGCCTATCCTTATCGCATGACGATTACTCTTCTTCTACAAGTCAGGCCTTCCGAGGGACACCTATCAACAGTGCTCTTGATACACAAGACCTTCTCAGCTGATCTGGCCCACAAACACTGCTATATTCTTTTAATCAAGTGTTTTATTGCATTGTTATCGAAAAGCAGTAAAATATGATGGTGCATCAAGGAGGTTAAGTTTATTATTGTCAATATATAACATATATCTTAATCCTGAATAATCAATAAAATATATAAATATATACACACCAGAACATGACGAAGAAGTCGAAGAAGATGGAATACTACATTCGGATAATGGGCGACCTGAAAAAGCAAGACAATTATGAGGGTTTTTTTTTTTTTTTAATAAATAGGAATGTTAAAACATACAATTAAAAGCTCCAATTATTATTTTTGTTATAGAGTTATTGTGTAATAAATATTTTAGACAGTAATTTCAAATTATTTTATTATATATTTTAATATCAGAAAATTTTATGTTCAATGACATGCGACATAAACGACATTGCGTTTATGTTCAAGCATCCCAATGAAGTAAATTGGGATATTTTTTAAATACAGGAAAAGCGCTTGTTAATAAAAGCACACATTAAAGTCCTGAAATTGGTAAAATTGTATACATAGTTCTGTTCAAAGTTGTGATTATTTTATGACTGTAATTTTTCAAAAAAATTTTTATATTTTTTATGCTAGAGAAAGTTAACTGAACTTACCATCATTTAAACAATATTGTATAGGGGGCTCTGGAAGTCCAGTAATAATGCAACCTAGTCCTAAAAAAAAATTACTGTGTGCATATTATCAAACATTTCAAGTGTTCTTCTTTTCTTTCAAATTTCAGATTGTAATAAAATAAAAACCCTTTTAGATACCTTACTATTCCTAATGAATTGTTAATAATGCCAAAGTAAAACCTACTAAACAAATTAATTCAATATAATTGAATCAACTCTTGAAGAGAGCCAAAATAAAATATTAACCTAGCTCACTATAGATTGTAATGCTCCGGTAATTTTTTTAAAATAAATGTTTAATTTTTGAAAATGTATACAATAAAAACACCGAATTATATTTTGGGCAATTATATTTTTACAGATATATCCAGAACATCTGTTAGAAGTTAAAGAAACCAAAGGAAAAACATCACTCAAATAAATTATATTAATATATGACAATTATTCGTTACAAAGTGAGAAAGTTTATTGGACCATGCTATAAAAATAAACAGAAAGCATAACTAATTTATTCAAGAGAAATTATTAAGAGATAATAATTAAAACCCATTATTTTAATAAAACGAGTTAATATCAATTGAAAATACCTTCATTTACAAACTGCTGTTGTTCTTCAGGTGGGTATTGCCCTAAAACAAAAATAACAAATTTTGTAATATAAAACCTAGACTAAGTTATAACAAAAAATAAGTTATTGTTATTGCAATGCTTGTTGCATTTTTTAAGAAACTAAATTAATAGTTCTTTGAAATTTAAATTTGTAAATTTAAAAAAAGTGACAGTTAAGCACAGAAAAGTAGATTATATAAAATAGATTGTTTAAAAGAAAATTTAATATTTACAAGCACTTTTTTTTATAAATCAAGCGCACTATTTATCAAGCTTTCATTTAACTTATATTCTCATAGCAGATACTAAATAAAAATAAGATTAATCAATAAGTGAAAGACAATGTCATGCTCATATTGCACTTTCACAATAACCTAATTACTGCTGGTTGAACAAGAAAACTAGAATTATCTTTTAAAGAAAGTTTTATTTAAATTTAATTTGTTTTTAGTCACTACTAAAGACCAAATTCTCGTGTAATTGCATCTATTGCTAACTCTGATTTCAATGAAACCAAAACAGAATAAAAATAAAAAAATAAACAGAAATTCGCATCATAGTTTGCACGAAATTACGTTTTTATGGTTTGCTGCACAAATTTGCATTTTTCCCAATTTTTTTATGTTATTATTTCATTTGTTTTAATACATCAAAACAATGTGGAAATACATAATTTTTATAGGTTAACAGTATTGAGTAAATCAATTGAGGGTAAAATCTTTTTTATAATAAGCTTTGAAGTTTTCAAAAAATTGTTGTATGTTTGAGATCCAATGATCTGCTTTGTTCCAACACTTGCATATTTCTCACTTTTCATTTATGTCTTACTTCAAATTGGGAGCAAAGCAAAACCATGTTAAAAAAATTCTAAGTTCAAAAATGATGACTGCAGGGCTACCTGGAACCAAAGACTGGCATACAGAGTTGAACCTCTTGCAATCCACCAATAATTAATTCCAGGTTTTGTAATTTACAATACTTACCAGCAGGCCTCAAGAATCATCCAACATGGGTGTGGGGACAGACCTTGGTCTTATACGTCCAGCCGTTGAGGTTGGACTCCAGGGCTATCTACAGGTAGGTCATTTCAGCCACCAACACAATCAGTAATGAAAACCCATTCATACTCTCACTCACTCTTAAATTCAATTCTTATTTACATACCATTCACTCAGTTAGGGAGGTGGAGTACTTGATATTCTGCCATCTCACTGTACACATTCACACTAATAAATACATTTATTCTCAACAAACATTAGGGTCAGCAATATCAGCACAGTATAAAATAAAACAATCCTGTTTCCTCCAAAAATCGGCAAAGGGGACTCAAGCATAATTCTCATATCTCGTGCTCTCTATATAAAGCCAAGGGATTGCACCCTTCAATTAGGTGGGATACATCGAGCCTTTTTCTACATGTGGGGCACACACACACACACACACACACACACACACACACTTCTAGGAGTCAGATCCTCTAATGGCCACATATTTGACAGTGCTCTGTATATTATATTACAATAAAAAAGTTAATTTGTTGTACTTTACTGTTATTATTTTTTTACTGTTTAAAGCTAAATGTTGTTTATAGAATATCTGTTCTTTTATACATAGTTTATAAACTTTAAAATTTACTTTATTGGTTATTTACTTGTATATTATCAATTTTTTGGGGGTTTATGCTATATATTACCCATTACTTTAATTTTAATTTTATTTTTGTACATATTGATCTTAAAAAATGAGTATAATCATTTAATCATAAAATAAACAAACACACATCATAAACAATGTTTAAGATTATTACCCCCTTTATTACCCTTTTTTGCATGATTTTAGGTTTTTACTGTACGTTTTGTAAGTTTTTACTGCACGAAAATTCAGTCTTTAGTCATTACTGATTATTTTAGTTCAATTTTTTTTTTTTTTTTTTTAATTGAACTGCTCATTAAGTTGCAACATTTAAAAAATACTTAGACTCTTTCATTGAGTTTTATATGATTAAGTGTTAATAATAGACACAAGTGATTTACTGAAAAGTCAGAATTCTTACAAAACATAATTATGTTATATTTTTTTAATTTTATAGGGAACAATATAGATATTAACCTGCCAAATTTAATGTTAACTTATTATTAATAATAATAATAATAAAATAAATCTCCTATACAAAAATGAAAGAGAAGATGGATGTTAGTTATTAATGACCTTACTGTACCAGGTAACCAGAAAAGTTTATGCAGTTTTTCATTTGTTATTGTTTTAATACCGTCAATCAACATTTTTATTTACATTAGGTAGTACATCACGTAATTCCAAGGGGAAAATGCATCAATTCATCAATAAAAAGTGTCTCACTGTAATAATAAAACTTTTTCTTTCTCGTGTCTTCAAAAACCATAAGTCATGCTTATTGTATGAATTTAAGTTCGGTACTAGGGCATCCGAGGCAGCTCATGAAATTTACATAGCTTTCAGTGATGAATCAATAAGTGACCACACTGCCAAAAAGTGGTTCAAAAAGTTTGCTTCTGGGAATGAAGGGGTTGAAGATGAACCATGGTCTGGTAGACCTGTCTTGAATGACGACGAATTGAGGGAAGCTAACGATCTTGATTTACATGAAACATGTCAGGAGCTCACCAGTGTTCAACATAAGCAATGAAACCATTTGCTCTAGCTACATAGAATTGTATGTAGAAGCTGAGCAAATAGGTTCCTCATAAATTGACTGACAGTAAGAAATTTCAGCATCTAAAAATCTGCGAAACATTTATACAAAATGGATCATGTGCAATAACACCAGCAGATCATACAATTGGCTGTCACCAAATGCTCCTGACTCACCCACCAGAAAGTATACTTGACCGTGGTTCAACTTTAATTCTCTCATTCCCAGAGCCAACCTCTTTGAACAAGTTTTGGGCAGTGCGCCCACTTATTGTTTCATCACCGAACGCAGTGCAAATTTTATGAGCTTCCTCGGCCGCATTAGGGCCAAGTTAAAATTCATAGAATAAGTGAGTACAAATTATGGGTTTTGATGCCATGGAAAAGAAAATATTTTATAATTTACAAGGATCTGTTCAATCAACTTTTTCTTTAAATACTGACACATTATTCTCTTGGTATTACGTAAACACCTAATCCTCCTATATAAACAGAAATGTTAATTAACGGTATTCAAACAATAACAAATGAAATGCCGCATCATATTTTCTTGTTAACTGGTTTAAAAGTGTTGTTTCAAAAGGAAGCATAATCTTTCTAGATTACAGTTAATAATGTGTAAAATGTAGCATTGAAAAGGACCAGGCAGTTACGAGAAAAGTACTTACATAATTCCTGAGTTAGTTCAGTAGAAGTAAAAGTATTGGCTATAAAAAAAATAACACAGCTTTTAGTATTTTAGTAATCAAAAGTTCAGTAGGCAGAAAAAAAAAGAATCAGGTTTGAAACAAGACCACTGCAGATCTGCAAGCTCTGAAGTTTCCTCTAACATTTGTAAATTAATTCTATTAAGATCTATGACATTTTTGGTGCATTTACTTGAAAAAAGTAGCTTTTTAGTTAAACAATTAATAATAATAATTTTAAAAACTATAAGGTAAGTATTTGTTGTAAATAATTACTATTGATGTTTTTCTATTTTGTAAGGTGGTAAGAAAATTTTTAACTTAATCTTATATGAAAACAATATATCTTGTAATCACTATTTTCATGGACCCTCAATCATTATTTTGTAATACATACTATTTAATAAGTGAAAAGTGATTTTAGCTCTTTGGTCTAGTTTCATAAAAAACAATTTTAGCAAGCTGATTGATTTTTTTTCTTTGTTATTACATGCCTTTATTAATGAGATGCAGTTGAAATCACTATGCATAATTTGTTTTGCCATACACCATTGTAATTTTAAAGTATTAAACACTTACTTAAATAATATTCTTCGAGGGCTGTGTGCGGTATCATGCATGCTTCATAATAAGGATCCCCAGGCTGACCTTGAAATGACAAAATGAAAATACTTACAGTCGTAAAAAATTTCATCAATTTTTAAACTGCATATATAAAAATCATGAAGTTCACATAATTTTTTATATACCTTGAATGCCAGCAGCAGACCACGGATTAAAGTCAGTAAACACATCTAGAAGAAAATGTACAATCAGTTTCCTCTAAACAAAATCTCAAATTGTGTTAAAACCAAATAATTATTTGAAATTAAACAACAAAAGAGTTATCCCTTCTTTTAACAGTTTATCTGCACTGATCATATGTTATATTCTATTTTACTTTAAATACTAAATCCTCACAAGGAAGTTTTAGCAGCTAGGGTGTCATATTGGATCATTTGGGGAGGGGGAGTCGTCAAATATAAGAAAAGTGCCACACCACCAAAAATCGAGTTCGGTGTGTGGGCTGCACTGCATACACGCAGGGGCAGATTGAAGGGATGTTGTTCCCCCCACATAAACTGAACTGAATGCTTGTATATTGAGAACAGGAAAATCTTTATAATATGCATGGATACACTCAGTACGGTTTCATAACTAAGGAAAAAGCCTCTGTGGATCGACTAAAAAATAAAATATTTGAACAATTAAAAGGGGTCAATGCTGATAGGAAGAATATCGTGCTGGACTGGATTTCTGAACACATAGGAATAGCTGGGAATGAAGAAGCAGACAAATTGGCTAAAGAGGTTGCATCCGTGCAGCAAATGTGATAAATTAATGAATAATAAAAGATAAATGGGAACATCGCTGGGCACAGGCTTCTGCTAAATTACATCATAGAAAGACTGGCATTGATCCAACTTACAAGGTTACCCATAGGTTATACTAGGCTTACACATGAGCACTTGCTGGCAGGAAAGAGACTACATCAGTGCTCATTATGTACTGAAAGATTAAACGTTGAACATATTTTGCAATGCAGAAAACTAAAAGCCTGCAGGATGAGGTATGTTTTCCTGCTAACCTATGCATGGCATTATCTGGATCACTGTTTTAGAACATCAGGGTTATAAAAGTTTAAAATTTATATAGTATGTGTTAGTGTGAATGTAAATTATTAACGTAATGAGGGGACTGTCACTACCCTAAGGAATATATAAGTACATTTAAGTAGGGGGTATGTTACACAGAGAGTGAAAGTAATCTATTAGAGTGAATGAGGTTATAACCCCGCCCTAAGTATAGAGTACTCTGGTAGAGTAAATGTGACCACTTGTCTTGATAGAGGAGGTGAAGGGATATCAGCATCGTCAGAATATTTAATATCATGACTCCAGACAGGTCTTCTGGCTATCTCGTTGAAAATTTTTTTTAAAGCATATAAGGCTGGTGATGACCACCATTATTGGCCCATAAATAATAGATACTACTACTACTAAATCCCCATAGAAATTGTATTTTTCATTACACTTGTCATAGAAAAGAAGTGTAAAAATACCATGTCCTTAATTCAGTACATTCAGGTTTCTTAATATTTAAGTAAACTTTGCTTCACTGATATTGTTAAGAAAATTCTGTTTTACCTGAAATTCTTTTTCAACAGATCCCCACACACTGAAAAGAGGAGATGGAAGGCACTCCCATCTCACATTCTCTCTTTACATATACTCACACAATGACCAAGAGCTCACTTAGAAGGAGCACAATTAATTCTAACAATAATAAATATTTGGACTAGTAATAAGTTATTATTTACGACAACTACATACCGATAGAATGTGTAGGCATTTCATAAACATTAGGATCACCCAAATCGCCATATGCTGGAAAAAAAACATAAATTGTAGATATAGTAAAATTTAAAAAATAATAATAAAACTGATGATTGATATATCATCATTGTTATCTTTTGTACTAATTTATTTCTTTATATATATTAATAAAAGAATGATGTTGTCAGGAACAATAAAAAGAGCAGTAACGTGAACAATACTTTTAATTATAAAAGCAGCAATGCACAAACAGGTGTCTGTGGAATAACTAACAAAGTAACAACTTCCCTCTACTAGAGTTACCGGTGTTACCAAATTCATTTTCTAAATTTATCTGCCAATACCCTCCCTAAATTTTAGAAATGAGTAAACACTTTCTTTCATATTATTAATCAATGACAAGGAACTTGAATAACGTAATTTAAAAATAACATATAACATAGAATTCACATATAATTTATACATTATAACTTATAATCTAATATTATTTATATAAACATAATTCTAAAATTTCTAATAGCAATCTTAAAAATCAAGTAGACTAAATTCCTTTTTGAACTGACTGAATTTACTTTTAGGAATTGCTTTTGTCATAATATATCGCAATTTGATGATTGATATTGTTGGAATATATTTCACTTCAACGACATTTTCTGAAATTAAATGATGTTTAACATCAATATGTTTACTCCTTTTCGTTTCACGAGTGTTTGCCATTTTAATTGCAGATTGATTATCCTCATAAACAGTAATCTTCATTTTATTTTGACCAGTGATAAATTCAAAGAGTTGTTTTAAAAACATACATTCAGTGATACCCATAGATAGTGAAACATATTGAGACTCAGCAGATGACAAAGCAACAACTTCTGTTCCTTTGACTTCCATGAAATTATGTTTTTATTTAATTTAATGACAAAACCACTGATACTTTTACGATCCCTTACATCTGATCCAAAGTCTGCATTGACAAAAACTTTCATGTTAAAATCACTGCCGTTATTCTTCTGAAAAATCAATTTACAATTTTTTGAATCTTTAAGTATCTTAAAACGTTTTTCAAATGCTTCCACTGAGTTGGACTGAAATTATGCTGAAACTGACTGAAGAATGTAATTGCAAAACATAAATCTGGTCGTGTTCCTAACATCAATACATTAAACGTCCAACAAGTTCTCTATATGGCAAAACACAATTAGTAGGATTATAACTAACTAAGTCAAATTTAAGTCAAACAGGCAGAGGTATAGCACTTTCTTTACTACTGGTCATCTTAAATTTATTTAAAATCTTATCAATTAGATTATTTTGTGATAAATACATCTTATCATTTTTCCTTTCAATTTCAATTCCCAGAAATTTATTTTTCTTCCCATTAGTATTAATAATTTCTTTAATCTCAAATTTTAATTTTAACAAATTTATAATATCTGAAAACTCGTCATCTTTATCAGTGAACAAAAATTATATCATCTACCCACATTAGTAAATATGTACCTTTTGTACAAACAAGGATCTACGTTACTCCTTACAAAACTCATTTTTATAATATAAGAATTAAAACAATCATTCCATTCTTTTGGTGCAAATTTTAACCCACATAACGACTTCATTAACTTACAAACATATCCTTCCTGAATGTTCTTTAATCCTGCAAGTGGTTTCATATAAATTGGTTCCTTCAATGTCCCATTCAGAAATGCTGCTTTTACATCAAGCTGATGAAGTCTTAATTCTTGCTGTAGTGAAAAAACTAATAGTGCTCGTATTGTCACCAACCGAGCTACTGGTGCATACAGGTCAACATCTTCAACCAGTTCTTGAAGAAAACCACGTGCAACGAAGCATGCTTTCTTAATTGGCACATTGGATATGGTCTTTTCAGTAAAAACTCACTTTGAATCAATTAGTTTTACACCTTGAGGTTTAGGTACCATTTCCCATGTTCCGTTTTTTTCATGATTCTGTAGCTCCTCAGTAATGATGTCATCCCATCCATCTCCTGAGTTGATTGCTTCATTGTAAGTAGTAGGCACCTCAGAAGGTAAATGCTCCGCAGTCAATGCCATCATTAATTCTACTTCAAAATCATCATACCTTCTAGGTAATCTCTTTACTCTTGAAGATTGCCTTTGTCTCTTATTCGTCTGATCCTCTTCTTCTGGTGTAGGTTGAGCTTCTTCTTCTGGTGTAGGTTGAACTTCTTTTGGTATAGGGTGAAGGTCCTCTTCTGCAGAAACTGGTACTTCCTCAGTATTAATGATAGGTCGATTTTGTGATTCATCAAATTTTACAGAACAAGCAGTAATTTCTTTGCGCTCATCATGATCCCACAATTAATAACCATTTGCTGTATATCCAATCATTATAAGCTGTTTACGCCTTTCTAATAATTTTCCATCTCGATCCTCCTTGGGTATATGTGCAAAAGCCCGAGTTCCAAATACTCTAATTTTTTCTAAGTTGACTGGCCTATTGAACCAACTTCAGCTGGTATCTGCTCAGTTGCTTTTGTAAAAAGTCTGTTAATTCTCTTGTGTAATTATCTGCTGTGGTACAATGGTTCCAATTTTATTCTGCATATTTGAAGAATATTGCAAATTTGAAACATTGATTACTTAAATAAATTAGGCAAATAAGAACATGAGGGAAAAAAGAGCCTAAAATTTGATCCGAATTTCAGTTAGCTTTCCAGAAAAAAAGACAATTACACTGACACAATATAATTATCTTGAAATTATCGGCATTGGATTTGAGGTTCCTATATCCAAAACTTCTAGGAGAGTTTTTACCCTTCCTGAAAAATAAATTTTTCTGAGATAGTCAGGTTGTGGAAATATGGGCTTTATTTTAAACACAAAATAGTCGATCTCAGTCCTGTTTCATATTTTCAACCTAGTAAACCTAAAAAAATTCCGAAAGTGGAAACTTCACTTCTAAAATAGCAGGTTGGATTTTTCCTTTCAATGCAAAACAGGTATTAGTAAAATCCCTGGCGATGCAGGAAAAATATTACAAGATAAATTAAAAATCACCTTTGATAAAAACACAGGATTGACTGAATTGAGCAAAATGAATAAAATCTTAAATTAAAACAATAAATATTTATTTAGAAATCATGAGATGCGGTCTGGTGTGATGTAGGTTTCAGAAAAACATTTTCTTTATCGTGCCAACGTTTCGATCTTTATTGAGATCATCTTCAGGACTCAAAGTGTTTACCTTCTGTGTAATTGTGTCATTCTTGCGTGTCGTGTCGAGAGAATTGCCATGCAAGAATGGCACAATTACACAGAAGACAAACACTTTGAGCCCTGAAGATGATCTCAATAAAGATCGAAACGTTGGCACGATAAAGAAAATTTTTTCTGAAACCTAAATCCCACCAGACCGCATCTCACGATTTCTAAATAAATATCGATTAACAGTCACTAATCACCACACATAAAACAATAAAGTTGTTATAGAGTGAACCAATGTACCAGTTCTTTTAAGTTCTTACAAGTGTGCTTCCATCACCTGTTTCAACATTGAAAAATCTTTTTGGAGGTAAAAAAATATTTGTTGAGTTACAAATGCTGTAGTTTTAGTGAAAACTAACTTTGAAGTGTATCTACTTGTTAATTTTATTCTACATATTTATTTGTGAATTTGTCTAAAAGTTTGATTATTTATTTAATATAATATTTTAAATTTTGCGATTTTTTGTGTGACCTATTTTTCTGTCCTACTCCTTTCAAAATATATACGTACAACGCCAAAGGGAAAAAACAAATCCACTATAGATGATGAAATGCTGGAACATGTCTGATAACCAATGCAGTGGGAATAAGTGAACAGTCAGAAATAACTAAATTACAATTGTATCACTTCACAAATAAAATCCAGAAATCCCACTAGGTGTACTTAAACAAAACATTCATACATAAATTATCAAAGGAACACCGGATTTAATTAAACTTCAAATAATTATTGGAACTAAATTTGGCAAAATTTTCTTTTCTAACACATATTTCTTCTTTCCAGTAGAATACAATATTATTAATTTAGAAAAAAATTATACCTCAAAAATTAAGATATATGAAAAAAAAGTTGCATAAGCTATAATTTGATTTATAGAAAAGCTGCGACAACAAAACAACTTCATTTCACTTACATTTTTCAATTATTCCACAATCAAATGAAGAAACTGGCTCTGAATATGTTGACAGATGTGAAAAGTTATCCTCTAGCATAGCCATGCTCCAAGTATGTCCTGGTGAAGCCCATTCAGGAAGCTGTTGTACTTTTTGTGGAGATGTTTCTAAGAGAAAGAAAAAAAGGAACTATATTAATTTATAAATCGTTATGCTAGTTGTATAGTAATTAGAATATCGCTATTGTTTTACATGTCAAAAATCTGTAATAATTTGTAATTATGTAATCATTTGTATTTACCAATGCTATTCAACAGTTATTATTAGGTATTATTTAAAAATACCCAGTATATTTAGCCAGACTAAATGAAGTGATAGCAGTTGATACAGAAAATGCAGTTAATACTTTTAATATTTAACTAAAACTTAATTTTAAAAAATGGAGATTTTAAAACTACATATGTCAAGAAAATATTTTAATGACATTTCCTTTAAAATGAAAAGAAAATATTGAAAATAAAAAGGGATTGCAGTGGCCGATTGGTAGGGAGTCTGATTCGTATTTGCCACACTACCAGTTCTGGGTTCAAATCCTGGCAGAGCCCATGGTTTTTAATGGATTGTAGTATGAAAAATGTATTGTAAAATGGTTTGACCCCTCGTCCATAGGTAGCCCTCCAGTATGACAGGAATTACTTACAACTTTTAAAAATAATTTAATTGAAAAATTACCCTGTGCAGAGTTCACTGTTCTAGCCCTTCCTGGTTTTCTTCTCCACATAGAGTCTAGTTCTTAAAAAGAATAAATAAATAAATAATAAATAAATGTGACAAGAAAAGAACAATGATAATTTTCTAATGCTTGGCATTTAAATTATGTTCTAATGAAATATTCATTTTTATTAACTTTACAAACTACCCTTACTATAGCTTGGCTTTGTTTGTTTTTGCTTAGCTTCACACAACTGAATTGACTGAAAAGTTAAAAAAAAATATATAAAAGTTTGGTCATACTGTGGCCAAAATAAAAAAAAGGCAAGAATTATCTTAACAAGGCTAAGGATATGCCACACTCATCCCTCACATGGCCATCTGGTGGGCAGCCGACAACAACAGTGCCCCCAATGTAACGAGCTGATGTCAAGTCTACTAGTAGACTGTAGTGTTTTAAAAATCCATACAGAACGGTGTGGCCTACCCTCATAAGAAAAAAGTCTTAAAGCATGATTAACATAAAAATTTATTTGAATATCTAAGAGTGGTGAACCCTAAATTTAATCTGCCTCTTCACGTATATCATGTCTTATAATTATGGATGTATGTATTTATTAGCAAGAATTTTGGTTGAAAACAGGCCACTTGACGGAGTATCCAAATATCTCAACAGCCTGTTATCTAGGTTTACTTATTGCTAAGGTGGTGCTAAGGCTATGAATGAGTGGTCATTGGCAGAATTTTGCCGACCTTGATGGCACCTATATGTTTTCGATTATAAATAGTTTAGTATGTAATACTAGTGTGAAAGACGAATAAATGTATTTTACTGCGAGAACGATGTTGGATGTATGGGTATGCATGGTGATTTAGTCTATGCGTTTTTATACGAATGATGATTGGTTACCATTGGAATATAGAGAACCGTTGTAGCCCAACACATAATAGTATGCTTGTCTTTTGTATGAATGATATAATGATGCAAAAATTGATGTCATAATATGTGAAGGTTTTGGGGAAGTGTCCTAGGTCTATTAAGATAGCAGATAAAAAATGCAGAGGATAAGAAATGCAAAAGAGAATAATGCAAAAAAGAAACAAGTGAAAAACTTGACTGAGAGCAGAGAAACTTGCTGTTTTTCAAGGGAAAGAAAAAACCTACCCTTATTGATTAGTATTAGTTATCTTACATATTAAAAAAACTATCCTTATTGATCAGTATTAATTATCTTGCATATTAAAAAACTACCCTAATTAATCAGTATTAATTATCTTACATATTAAAAAATACTATACTTGTTGATCAGTATTGACTACCTTACATATTAAAAAAGCTATCCTTATTAATCAGTATTAATTATCTTACATATTAAAAAATACTATCCTTATTTATCAGTATTGATTACCTTACATATTAAAAAAAACTATCCTTATTGATCAGTATTAATTATCTTACATATTAAAAAACTATCCTTATGGATCAGTATTAATTATCTTACATATTAAAAATACTATACTTGTTGATCAGTATTAATTAGCTTACATATTAAAAAGCTGCCTATATTGATTAGTATTATCTTGCATATTAAAAAAACTACCCTTATTAATCAGTATTAATTATCTTGCATATTAAAAAAACTACCCTTATTAATCAGTATTAATTAGCTTACATATTAAAAAAAAACTGCCTATATTGATTAGTATTATCTTGCATATTAAAAAAACTACCCTTATTAATTAGTATTAATTATCTTACATATTAAAAACCTACCCTTATTGATTAGTATTAATTATCTTTCATATTAAAAAAAAAACTTAATGTTTAACTTTCTGTATTAAATACAAACCTGTTTCATTTGATGATGGTATATATTTTGAGTTTATATCTAAAAGAAGGGAAAAATCTGCAAATTGAAAAAATAACAAATTTAATTAACCGCAGAATAATTAATGTGAATTCTTCATTACTTTCATCATCATCATCATCGTCGGTAGCCGTAGCATTAACGCCACCATCATTGCTAATGTTACTATCGTCTTCAAGCTTTTCCATGAGTCTTCTAAAACTCCTATCAGCTCTGCTCTCTGACACAATATTATTTTGTACAAATACAAACTCATCATTCGGAGCGATCGAGAAAAAAGCTCTATTGCTAAAATAAATAAATGATAATAAACAAATGTTATTTTGACATTTTACAAATGGAGACATACCAGACATTTTTCACCAGTCTGGATCTTCTTAAGGTGAGATATATTTGGTCTTCAAGAGCATGTTCTAATTTAGTTGTTCTTGCTGCTCTTTCCTCATCGTCTTCACTACAAAACATTAGACATTAGTAAATTCAAAGATTGAGTTAGTCATCATCAATTTTATTCATTGGAGAAAAAAATCTTATGTAGATAGAACTTATTTTCTACATTTCTTCAGTGAAATCATATAGAATTTAAGCAGGGTTCAGAATTTACAAATATACCACTAATTTATCTTTCCATTTATTTATTACATATTATTTCACATATTATTAAAATTAATACTTACTTCAGAATGTCAAAAGGACACTCAAAAACAAAAAGGAGCCGAGGACAGCATATTCGTCCATGAATTAAAAGATCATGTTGAAGGTCATTATTCAATCGTGTTTTATTACAGTTTGAGTTAAATTCTTCAAGATCCGAAATAATATTTGTAATAATACTCTGATAACTTGGTCTAAAAGTATTTAACAATATTATATATCTCGCATTCATCCGAGTAAGGTAATAGAAGAGCATTACTAACCTGACACGACTGAGCACTTTCAAAAACTGAACTACTGAGAGATCAAGCGTTTCACGTGGATGACATATCACAATAATATGAGATAAAGAAAATAGAAATAGTAATCCTTTTACATAAGAACATTTGAAGTTATTCCAACAGTACAGAAAACCCTTTGTGAACACATAATAAAGCATTAACGACTTGTAGTAATCACATTATAATTATGAATTCACTCATTTCATGGTCTGCTTGACCAATTAATATATTACAATTAATTAAGGTTTTTAAAGATAAAAAAGGTTAAAAAATGGCAAAAAGGAGGGAAAATTCAAAAGGTGGGGTTGAGATGGGAAGTTGGTGTCCGAGTGGATCGAGGTCACGATAGCTCAAGTGGTAGAGCAGCGGCGTATCAAGCCGAAGATCGTGGGTTCAAATCCAGATCGTGCCATTGACTTTTTTATCTCAACTAAAGACCTTAATTAATTGTATTATAATTATGTTTCCATTAAGAGATTTTGTTGAATTGAGCAAGTTTCTAAGCAAAAAAAAGTGTGCCAATTAAAATGAATGAGTTAAGATTGCTTCACGTGAGCTCCTTTAATGGAAACAAAATTTACAAACGAAACAAAGGTATAGCTTAATTTTATTAATTGTCATTAATATCTCCTAATTATTCAACCTGTATTAATTGATAGTCATGAGGTTTAATAAAATGAATTTAAATTTATTTCTGGAAGTACGAATACTGTTTGTACTTCATAATCATCTATGCAACCTACATAAAACCTCGGCCTGCATATAACATATTCTTTAAATTTCATTTTACTTTATGTTCTACAAGTTCTGTACCTTCTCTTTTAAATCATTAGCAGATTCTTTGAACAAATTAGCTAGCTTCCTTGGATTGAATGCCCCTACTAGAAAGAGGTACAAAACCTTCTCGTTCGCTGCATAATACCCTTCTATACAGCACTGTAAAAGAGGAAAAAATGAATATCTTATGACAATATTATAACAATAAGTAAAGCAATTTTTAACAAAAAACTCATTAATGGTAAGTTACTGATGGATATAATCCAATCACTTATTTTTGTGGATATTTTTTTCATTAAATTCTACCTACCATACAATTTATACCAAAGCAAAGGTTAAAGGGTTAAACATATATGGAAAATCTATTTTTAAAAAATTACATCAGTTTCTTCATCATCAATATTTCTATTATAGTTGTCGTTATCATCAAGAGTAAATCCAAATATTGTCGGGTAGTCATCAAGGATGGATGTTTTTCCAAAAAAAGAAACAATGACGACTTGATCACTCAACTCTTCCTCGGAGAAAAACCTGAAAAACAAAACGGAATATGTTTTTCTCAGAACTGAAAATTCTATCAACAGTAATATTTACTTTATTTAACCATTGTTTTTGGACCTTTTTTTAAATATATATGTATCTTCCAATTTGTCTAATAACTGTTTGTTTTTGGACGAATAAGATCATCACTCTCAAGAAATGCTTTTGATGACACCCAAACATAGATGTTAAGGGTTGATTCAATTAAAACAATTAGGACCGCCCATAAAATATAGGAAAAAGTGTCAAAAATACAAAGCAAAAAAAATCAGACTCTAGATTTATGCGAGGGCTTTTAAGCAGTACGGGTACAAAACTGTGCATCTTTCCAGCAGATAAAACACCATTATTGATGCAGTAAGATGTTTTCCCCAAATCAACAGCCCTCCACCCGAGAAGCAGAGCAAGAGAATCCTAACAGCAAACCAAAAGATTGGTCCCCATTCAAGTGCTTGAAAACAAAAAACAGCAATTAACTTAATTCATTTGGACACTCTCGACTCTCTTAGCTAATTGTGAAAAAAATAAAAATTGAAAGGAAATGTCCACATTTTTTTTTTTTTTTAATTCACTTGTCACGCCTGGTTTTACCGCAGGGAACTGAAGAAAATTTTACTTAATTTTTTTTAATGCTTTTTATTTCCATGAATATAGCAATATGATTATTTACACCTGCCGCAGGTGGATAGAAATGATGCTAAAAAGCAGAAATGTGCAGGCCTCCATGTTCCATAAAAAAATAGAAGCAGTGGTGCCGAGAGGATGTCTGCAAGGACCACTCTCGCCTTTGCTGTGGAATGTGGTAGTGGATGACCTCATATGCGAACTAAATGAGTGCGGAATTTATACCCAGGGCTATGCAGATGATGTTGTCATACTAGTCAGAGGGAAAATTCGACTCAACATTAAAAGAGTTCACCCAAAGAAAACTAAAAATGGTGGAACAACGGTGTTCACAACGGGACTTAAAGCAAACCCCTCAAAAACTACCCCAATTGCTTTCACCAAGAAAAGAAACAGAAATACAAGGCCTTCTATAATGAAATTCTGCAGTTAACAAATGAAGTTAAATACCTAGGAATAATCTTTGATAAAAAGTTAACCTACAACCTTCACCTGCAGCATACCATAGCAAAAAGTAAAATATTGCTAATGACCACAAGAAGAACCCTAACCCTAGGCAAATCTTGGGGATTAAAACCGAAAATGGCCCATTGGCTTTATACAGCAGTAATAAGACACAAAATAGCCTATGGATCATTAATCTGGAGGACCAAAGCTCAACAAAAAATAGCTACTCAATCACTAGGCAGCAGACAAAGATTAGCAAATCTATGCATCACAGGGACAATGAGAACAGCCCCTACAAATGCATTAGAAACTAGGAGAGCATCAGATACAATGGTATGGTAGACAGATTGCTCCAAAACGAACAAAGGAACTGGATCGGGTGTTTTCGTACAAGCCGAACAGATGAGCAATGAAACTCATAAGGGAATTACATTTCAGTCTTTCAAGCAGAAATACATGCCATCAACGCTTGTTCCCTGGAAAATCTTAAAAGAGGTTACACTGGCAAAAAAATTCTCATAAGATCTGATAGCCAAGCAGCTATTAAAGCATCAGCATGTAAAACAATCAAAATTAGTCAGTGAATGCATCCAAAATCACCGAACCCTGAGGAAACGAAACAACCTGATAATATCCTGGGTGCTAGGCATTTTGGGTAACGAAAAAGCAGACGCATTGGTCAGTGGAGGATCTACAAGACCATACATAGGCCCCGAACCTATACTTGGGAAAACAAATACAGAATCCTCCATCGCAGAATGGATTCAAATAAAACAAAAGGAGAAGTGGATAAACTCTATCAGCGCTAGACACAATAAACTTGTGTTAAAACAACCTCACCAAGACTGGCAAACTCACTGCTGCAATTGGAGAGGGCTAGTCTCAGAGTAGTGATAGGACTATTAACCGGTCACTAGCATCTGAGAAACATCCACACAACATGGGCATATACAGCGATGATCCCATCTGCAGATTATGTAATGAGGAGAAGGAAACAGCCACTCATATCATCTTCGAATGCGAGGCAATGGCTCAATGGAGGTTTAACCTAACGTACGGAAAAAACTTAGGGAATCAAATTGCAGCAGCGACAGTCAATGACCTGATACTTCTGAGAAGAAGGATTAAGTCTATTGCACTGAACTACGGAACTATTTAGGTACAATAAGCCAGAAGGCTGTAGTGCCTGGGGAGTACAAACCCCGCTTCCTAGTATCCTCTAACCAAGATTATGTACAAAGCATAGGCCGTTGTTAAGATAAAAAAAAATAATAATAAAGAGAAAAATTAAGTAATTTATTGTACATAAATTTATCTTGTTCTTTGTTCACCAGATTATTATATTGGCTATTTCATTATTTTTTATCAATAATCTTGACTCAAAGAAGACGGATATTCCATTGATGTAAATACTCATATATTTGAAAAAGAGTATGTTTTGTTATTTATATTAATTGTGAAATAAAGTGTTATCATTATTAATAATACTCACTTGAATAAGTTTTCCGCCGGCAATCTGAATTTCCACTCCATTTTCCCAGGGCGTGAGTTTAAATTCAAAACGCATTGGCGAAGGGGGGGATTTTGAACTGAAAACGGGAAAAAGACAGCTGACGGTCGGATCTTTCGACATACGGCAAACGTCCCATCACTCTTTCCTCCTCCAATTCAATTTAGGCTCAATTCACGGGCCTCCCTCAAGTCCGAAACCTCCTCCGACCAAAAAATGGAGGTTACACAAACAAAGATTTCTCTCTTTGTTGTCTTCGAGATGTTCATGAACGAACGAACGAGTGAATCGATCATCAAAATCCCTTTTCAAATTTTTTCAGTTCATCAAACTCTCATAGATTACATATTTTACGGAAATTAATCAAATTTACAAAAATCTTTAATTATAGAAATATACAATATATAAAATCTAACAATATAAAAGCAAAGCTAAGAAAACAAAGGAAACATTAGTTAAGTATTAAACAATATGTAAGAAATTACCTTAAAAGAATGTTTTATATATGTATATAAGTATATAAATCACGTGGTTATAAACAATTTAAGTAGCAGATAAACAAAATTGTTAAAATAACAAGAACAACAACAAACATTAATAATAATAAACGATAAACTATATTTATATATTTTATATAATTATGTATAATAGTTTATATAATAGAATTTCATTTTATATCATACAACTATATTTATTTCATGTATTTGTAGTAACATGGGGTGCCGATCCGTTCAGAGGCATGCTATATTATAAAGTATAGTAGTATAAAGATCGAATTTGGATCAATTTTTTATGAACAGGCTTCCTACTCGTTTTTGAAAAAAAATTGACATTTTTCATAATGCTTGATTAAGGCGCATCCTTGGTGGTTTGCCAAGTACTCCGATCGTGGCTTTGTCGGCAGAATCTTGTGAGCCTCCCCTGGAAATAAGGCGATTAAAATTAGCACCGAATTTCCTCACTAAACTAGTCAGCCAGGAGAGCTACTCCCACAGAAAAAGTTCAAAACTGCAAGTCCTAGAATAAAAAAAAGACCCCCCCCCCACATTAGTTTCGGCTTTTCTACATTCAATCCCGTACATATACTCACTACTTAAAAGCTCTGTTGACCCTTTATACCAGCAAGATTATAGAGCATTGACAAATAGCTTTGACACAGTGTTTTTAAAACACTACTCGAAGTCCGCTCAACACAGTACAGATGGAATTTATAGCAGATATGGCTGAAAACTATCCAGACCACCTGCAAATTTTTACTGATGGATCACTCTTGGATGGCAGGTCAGGTTGCGCTATTTTCTAATACAAAACCGAATGTAAAGAACAGTACACTCTTCCAAACTCAATCAGTGTCTACACAGTGGAATTAACCGCCATAGCTAAAGCACTTGAATATATAAAAAAAACGAATGAAGCTAAATTCTGCTTATTACCGGACTGTCGAAACGCTGTAGAGTGTAGATAGTATAAGTAAGGTAACCCCAAGCTGTAAAGTTAATAATTATATCATTGCGGATGTTTACCAAAAGATCTTTTATCATCAGCTTAAAAAAACTGGAAAAACTGTGATAATATGCTGGGTTAAAGGTCATTCAGGTATTTATCATAACAAAACAGTAGATGCATTGGTGAAGGCGAAGGAGGCCATTGTATCTGGTGTATCCCATTGGATGAGAATTTGTAAAACTGACAGTAAATTTTTTTTCAACCAATTGTATTCCAATCTATGGGATAAATAATACAGCTCAGCAACAGCTGGCGAGTACTATCGAGTTTTATTCCCAAAGCTTAAAGCAAAACTGTGGTTTTCGGAAGGAGGCAGGCAAAAGGAATTCTATTCTTTTATTTTCATAATGAAAACTAATCATGTCTCGAAACGCTGTTGACAAGTAACAACATGACGGTTTTGGATTTGATTTAAAAATTTCTTAAATCAATAAACATTTCTTTTTAAGGTCTGGGAGAAAGGGGGAAAACCTACTAAAATAATAAAGATAATACTTAAAAAAAATCATATGGCAATATTTCCAAAGGAAAAAGCCAAGGGGGAGAAAAAAATATTTATTTCAAAACATTCTATAAACTTATTGTCTTTTGGATTTGCATTTAGATTTGTATAGGCCCAAATCCGAAATACAAACATGTGCTGCGCTGAGCCTATTGGCTTCTTGTAGTCCACCGGCAATTCCAGCTTTTGCTATTTACAGTAAATTGCCGGCAGACTCAAAAATCACTCATCACGGATGTTGGCAGACCTCAGTCCTATTCTTATCCAGCCAGTCACTGAGGTTGTGCTTGGGGGGGAGGTACTGTCAACAGCCTGTTCAATTCAGCACCCAGCGCATGCAGTTCCAAAACCCATATGTACTTACGTTCATTCATAAATACATTCACTCCTATATTACATAGCACTCATTCAATTAGTATGATGGAGTACTCGATATTCCTCCATCACCCTTTACACATATTATATAACTAACCTAATTGAAGGCCGATGGGGTACTACCCTCTCACATCACACATTCATGCTAATAAATACATTCACTCCTATATTACATAGCACTCATTCAATTAGTATGATGGAGTACTCGATATTCCTCCATCAACCTTTACACATATTATATAACTAACCTAATTGAAGGCCGATGGGGTACTACCCTCTCACATCACACATTCATGCTAATAAATACATTCACTCTCAACACAAGCTAAGTATACACGACTATTATTACTATATACAATAGAACAACCCCATTTCCTCCAAGAATCAGAACTGGGGGCACTCCTGTGTGCTCTCTGTATGGAGCCAAGAAATACAAATATACATTCATACATAAAATATATATATACATATACATACACGTACGGAAATCCAAGTTAAATAATCTCTATGAAAAATATTTTATTGTTATAAAAATAATTAAATATAATTTAACTTAAAATATACATAATAATTCAAGATTTAACATGTCTGCAAACTTGACTGTAGAATAAAGAAAAAGAAAAATTAAAAATATTAAGATATGGAAAGTTATTGGTTGAACAGTTGAATCTATCAATAGGAGTATTTTTACTATAGTTAGTAGACTGGTATGAAATATGAAAAAGTCTATTATGTCTGTTCAAGTAATACAGATTAGTTCATTAATTAATCAAAATTATAAATAAAAGTATAAACAAATATAAACAAAACTATAAAACAAAATAATATAAAAAATAGATAAAATTGTGAAGTGTAAAACTGTGCAGATTGTGCAAATGTGCATTTGAACCCGAGACCTTTACCTTGCAGTGATGAGCACCATGAAAAAAAAAGACTGTCAATATAATTATTTTGAAAAGTATAAGTAAATTAGAGTGAAGTCTACATGTCTCTAGGGGAAGTAAATTACGTACTGTTCAAATTGTCTACAGTCAGTAATTGTACAGATTGAAGATTACAAATAGATTTTGCAGTGTAGGGATTCCAAACAGTAGAATATTGATCTTACAAGAGATATGTAAATAATGATTAAGGCATTTGGATTGAGATCAGAAGAGTAACTATATAAGAAACTCAGCATTTTTAAACTAGAGGATTTAATATGATCAATGTGGACAATAAAATTTAATTTGTGGTCAAAAATAACACCTAGGTCTTTAGAAGTAGTTTTAAAAGAAAGTATTACGAAAAAATAAATGAAGATACAATTAGTTTTAGTATGGTGAAAGCTCATATAATAGCATGAAGCAGGTAGCTTTTTAAAGAGTAGTGATAAAGAGTTCATTCACATTAGCTTGAGTAAGTGGTCATCTTTCAAAATGGCATGAAAAATTTTAAGTCATCAGTAAAAGAGAGGAATTGTGTATTTTAGAATGGAAGGAAGGTCGATGATGAAAATATTAAATAAGAATGGAGAAAAATGTGCCCCTGGGGGGAAACCAGAAGAAATCATAATTAATTACAAATGATTATAATAAATGATAAGTTTTGAGCACTGATTTTGACAAAAAGTTAGGGATGTGAGAAAGAATAGAAACAGGAAGATAACAGAACGACCGAGAGAAGTAATAAAATTTCATAAATGAATTAGGACTCTTTAAGTACAGTTGGCTTATAATTGCTTTGTTTTATTCAAATTTCATGTGTTAGAAACTAGAAAATTTTCAAAACACTCTGAATTTTACGTCAGAGTAGTTTCGATTGAGGCCGTGACGCTTTTCTAACTCAATTTTTCTAAAGTCAGATTGTTTACATCGGAGTAGTTTGTTTTTGTTTATAACCATTGCTATAAGTTTCAACAATCGTGCTAATGGTGAATATATTAAAATGCAGGTAACGTGTTGTTTTTATTGACAAAATATTAATAGTTGATAGTATAAAAATGAAATTCAACCACCCATACAAAGTTTCTTCTAAGGCATTTTAACCTTGCTCAGCCTTCACAGTAAAAAAAAAATTAAAACGATTATTAAATTTTATAATGCATATTTACGCAAATTGTATGTAGAACGGTTTTTACCATCTTGCTGACAAAGTGGAAAAAAGAAAAAAAAATGTATTTTGGGTACTTAGTCGAGGGAGAATGCAAATATCAAACTGCAATTAAACTTTTTTTGTACTATTTTTCAAAATTGTTGAAATCTTTAAAAATACGAGACTGTAGTTTGATTGTCTCCGATCGACTTGTAGTACACTGATCGACAAAATAAACGCACAATTCTTAAATTTTATTGTATTTATGTTTATTCATATTTTGCATGCCAAAAGTAGGATTGTTTGTAAAAAATTAAAAAGATAATGTTTATTACCTAATTCTAAAAAAACATTTATTGAGTAAAGAACAAAGAAATATTAAAAAAACAAAAAAAAACTATCTCCTTTAATGCAATCCATGTGAAGTAGCAGACATCTTACCTGATACCTTACCATGGCATTTAACAAATAGCATTTTCAAGGTAAGTTTGGGTCGAGTAAAAATTCACTTCCAAAGCCCAAATGTTCCATTTTTGGATTAAGAATATAGTGTTCCATTGAATCAAAAGTTTTGGACATATCGACATAAATTGAATCAACCTGCTTACCATTTGCTTTAGGCATTACGACTATTGTTGCTAACAGAAGAGAATCTACTGCACAGTTAAAAAAGAAATTTAATTATATAATAGGTTTTTACGTATTTCAGTTTCAGTGCCCGTGTAAATTTAAAGTTGAGTCCCTTTATTCCTTTCTGTGCAGCCCTGTCATGCGTCTGTTTGACTAGGATAAGCTGAAGGTGGTCACACTCAGGCTGCTGGTCCATCCACTTTAACGCCGTGTCAATACATTGGAATGCCTCGCTAACTGATGGTCCCTCATCCACTTCGGTAATGATGTCATCATCTTGTTCATCCAATACTGTCATATTTTGAATATGTTTGTCGTCGTTGAGAATTTGGAACTCTCTGCAGAATCCCATGACAGCCATTCCATCACTTCCTCAATACTGGACACTGAACATACAGGGTCAGCCTCCTAATTCCCTTTCTTGAGATAGAGAATAGCCATTTCGATTCTGCTGGTTTGATCGCCTTCATTGATGCTGCTTGTATCGCCTTCAGTGCCAACTTTCATAATGGAGTTTCAAACATTTCTATTGGTTTTTTAGATTCCTCCGTGTAGTCTGTGGGATGTTATACTTGTAATAGGTCGTTACCAAATTTTTTGGTCAGCCAATCTTTGCTCGGTTGGTCTGTCAGATATATTTCAGCATCTTCAGCAAAAAGACCCAATATTGAAGATGGTGAAATAGGGCAACGCTTTAGTATTGGGTTACTAATGACCAAATTACAAGTTCTCTTTTACTTTGTACTTACACTCATTTTAGTATATATTTAATTTACAAAAATCTTGTAGAGTTATTAGAATGGGTGTAGATAATGTAGAGGCCATTGTTACTTTATCCCGATCTTTTCAGGTTTTAAAAATAAATAAAATACAACTACTTCAAATTATCACATTGTTTATTAATATTTTGTTTTGTTTTTTAAGAGTGAAGATGAGTGGGGAGACCTGCGTCAAAGGTTTAAAAAAGAAGGGCTAGACTATGAAAGCCTTAAGGTTGAAGACCGTATGCTACAAATATGGAGGTGGTTAGTCGATGCTGAGAGCAACTTGCGTAATTCTAGAAGAATGCTCGACAAATTATACGAACAACAACATGAAGAAATAGAGGTACCAAATGAAATATGCACTTAACACAGCCAAAAAATATATAAAATTTTACAACTACAAAAAATACATAGAAGTTGTAAAAATAATATTCAACCTAATAAAAAGCACAACAAAAAACAAAGAAAAAATTCAACATAAAAATCAAACAAAACATATAAAAAAGAAACAGGAAACAATGAACAACCAAATTATGTTGATTTTTTTTTTTTTTTTTTTTTAATCCGTGTTTAGTGTATAATTTTGCTTTTTCTGCTTTGGTTGTTGCCTATATTTATTGTCTTTTTTTGTGTTCTTGTTTCTTTTTTTTTGTGTTCATTTCTTTTTTATGTATTTTGTTTCTTTTTTTTTTGTGCTTTGTTATTAGTTGGTAAATAAATTTTGCCCAGGACTAAAAATTGAATTACTACATTAGCTCCACTCCCCCCTTTTTTTAACTGTCACCACTATTTTCCCATATAGCATAAAATTTTTGCATTTTGGTTTAATGTATTGGGTTGTCCGGAAAATAATGCAGGATTTTAAGTTTTCATTTAAAAAAATCTATATAAAATATTCTGTTTACGTTTACAGGATTACTCATTTGTATGAATGTCAACACTTATTAATCCTCTTCCAAATGATATNTTAAAGAACATTGCTTTAAAGTAACTAGTTTCTTTTTTTTTGTTTAATACCAAAATCCTGCATTATTTTCCGGACAACCCAATAATTAAAGAAAGCGTATTTAATGAAAAAGTTTTTTTATGAAATTTGCCAAGTTCTACAATGAGGTAGAACAAATTTACCATTTTTTTTACAAATTTTACATTTAGTAGTTTTTGAAAAATTTAATGTTTGTTTTTTCACTAAAAATTAAATTGAAAGTTCTAAAAGTTGCCTTCTTAAAGGAAATATAATGTTATTTTTAATGCTTTTTTGGATTTCTCCAAAAATGAATAGTTCAAGAGCTACTAGTGGATTTATGAGGAAAACTAGATATTTTCAAAAAAACACATAAAATGTTGAATGTGAAAGGGTTGAGAAACAGACAGTGGTTCATAAGAACTTTTTTATCACTCTGGAGGTGTGAAATTAACTGGTAAAGTTGTGACGCAAGTAGCCTGACACCCTGCATAAGCTCACTTCTGCATGCGAATGTACAAACAGACATATAATTGACTATATCACTTCTTACAGTCCATCGGCAGTTCCAGATTTTGTGTAATTTACAATAAATTACCGACATGCCCTGAGTATCACCCACATTGGGCAATCTGGGGTCAGACCTCGGACATATCAGTCCAGCAACCAAATTGGGCTCCAGGGGCATTCAACAGCTAGGTCATTTTAGCCCCCAACACAATCAGCACCTAAATCTGAACCCGTTCACACTCTCACTCACTCTTAAATATATTCTAAATATATATTCACTCAGGGTGGTGGAATACTCGATATTCCATCACGCTCTGCACATATTATATAACTAACCTAGTAGAGGGTCAATGTGGGTGTCCGTATTCTGTCATTGGTCCTCTCACCCTACACATTCATGCTAATAAATACATTCATTCTCAACACATGCTAAGAACATAAAACTATCAGTACTATATACAATAAAAACAACCCTGTTTCCTCCAAGAATCAGAATAGGAGACCAAATTACTTGCTGCCTCTCATATCGGATGGCATTCCTCTCCTGGCTTTCTGTATGGAGCCAAGTAATGCCACCCTTCAAGATATTCCTTCGTCACCTTTTACACACACTATCTATGTACAACTAAACTAATTGAGGGACGGTGGATGCTCAATATTCCACACTCTCACACCGCACATTCATGCCAATAAATACTCTCAGTACACACTAGTTGACAAAAAATACATAGATCCAAGGAATGACACCATTCAAGTAAGTGGGACACATCGAGCAACCTTTCTTTACAGGTTGGGCAAATGTGCAGGCTTTAGCCCAAAAGTGTCCCTTTGTCAACCTCGCATGGCCTATCCTTAATTGGGTGAGGATAATCTCTCTTCTACGAGTCAGTTCCGCCGAGGGCCACCTATCGACTGTGCTCTTGATCTGAGAGCTTCTCTTCCAATCCATCCCACCAATACTGCCACTCTCTTTTAATCATGTTTTTTATTGCATTTATCTGTAATGTAATTAATAACACTTCTTATTATTCATTTATTTCTACTTAATATTTATTGCAATGTTGTACAAATTAACATTAAATCACAGTTCTTTAATTGAATTTTTTAAATGTAGGAAATGGAAAATTATGTGACAAAGGTAAAAAAGTTAGCTGAAAAGAAAGCAGATGAGTTGGAAGTTGAACACTTAGCATTGCAGCAAGAAAAGGAAGAGTTACAAAGTTTACTTTCAAAAGAAGATATACTCGGCAATAGCCTTCAGGAAAAGGTAGAGATTTGAATTTGAAAATCACAAATGTCCCATTAACTAGTTTTAATTTAATCAATTTTTAATTATTAACCTGGTGCTTATCAAGATCCTCAGATATAAAACAGAAAATATTTTTTAGTTAACTAGTTAGATACGGTCATAAGTTTGGTTTTTCATTTACAAAAGGCCCCTCCCCATACATACTGAAATTTTGATGTTTGACCATGTTTTAAGATGGTTAATAATTAATTAGTGACTAGTGTCACATTTAAAAAAAAGTTAACCGTTTTAGGAAAAATGTATTTCTTCTACAACAAGGGATTATTAAACTATGTATAAATGATCAACGATTTGGAGACAATAATTTGTAGTTATTTGTATTAGTTTTTATTATAAACATTTTAAATGTGAACTACACTGCTCCCTAAAAAAAAAGTGACACACTTTGAAATTTTGATCTCTTTTTTAATGTGACAATTTTTGGCCATATGTTTTGTTTTACTACTTTAAAAATGACAATAATTATAATTGGACAGAAAATATTTGTTTTTGTCACCAATTGTGAAATAATACTGCTTAATTCCTAATTTGGTTTAAAACCCCCATTTTGATGTTTACATGTAAATCATTTAATTCATTAAAAATGCCTTTATTCATTATTGTGCTGGTGGCACAAAACAAAATGATTATGAAAATGCCCATAACCAGTGAGCTCATACCATCACATGGAGTACCATCACTCATAGAAAGAAGTCAGTCTGAATTCTCTGACAGACCATGGTTAGGCAAACATAAAACTCACACTGTGTAAAGATTTATCAGATTGCACACTCGGTGAATTAGCTTTTCTAGTGCTTCTGAAAAGTCTCAAAGACTTTAAACCATGCAAGTTGTGTCAATTAGCACTGAAACAGAAAGAAGGAGACTTGTCTACATCTTGGAAGACCAGCAACAATTCCAGTGTTTACTAGAGACGGGAACACTTAAGAGACACCGACATTGGACAGAAACTGAATGGAGGAATGTTATCTTTTAAGACAAGTCCCAAATTTCTGTCCATTCACCAGACAGACATCTTTGAGAGCAGCTGGAGACCAGATGCAACATCCAATGCAACATTGTCAAAAGGAGGCAAAAATGGGATTATGCATTTTTAATAGGCCGTCACTTAATGCAGATCTCTACATGACTCACTTTCTTGAGGAATTTGTGGTGCCATTTGCTCCTGTTCTTGACAAGGTTATGCAGTAATTTCTTGATGTTAATAATCACACTGTAAGATTTGAAACCCATTGAGCACTTTTGGGATGAGCTCTGACGTCGGTTAAAAAAGAAATAGCCCTCCTACAACCTTAGCTGAGCTGAAAGTTACTTTAGTTGACATTTGGGATAGAATTCCTCAATGAGCAAAAGCAAGTACTTACCAAGAAATATCACAATTTCAAAGTGTGCTACTTTTTTTATGGAGCAGTGTTCTTTATATTATTATATATATAACATTCTTCTCCTTACTTTTAAGGTCTGCTCAGCATTAGAAGAAAGAAAAAGAGCAGTAGCTGAATTAGAGGCCTTAAAAACCTTCAGTCTTTCTTCAAACGGAAACCGTTTTACGACCGAAAATGAAATCCTCAGCGAAATGATAAAGGTAATTTGAAAAAAGTCAATATTAATGAGTCAAAAGTGTATTCTTGCAAGGTATAATGCTTTTTTTTTTAATTTTCTTAGTTTGAAGTACATTTCAAATGAATGTAAGATGTATCATTGATGAGGGTTGATCTAAATAATATATGAAAATATAATACACTTTAATATGTATTTTAATACATCATACATAACCAGTTTGTAAATCTAGCTTAACCCATAGTTTTTTTTTTGTCAAATGTAAAAATATTTTATGGAAATATAATTTAATATGTATGACCTTGTTCTAGGTGTCTTCAGAAAAGGAAAGTTTAAAGAGAGAAGTAGCAGAAATGTACGATAGAGTTAGCTTGTTGGAAAAATCATCTCGCCAGCTTGAAATTGACAATGACAGGCTGTCTTTTAAGGTACCTTCATTCTCTTCCTAAACCATGTATGACACTTGTACATGTACAAATATAAATATTTTGTAGGCCCATTGTTCTAATATATCTTAACTTTTATGACATTTCTCATTTATTATATTGTATATTGTAAATACATACATTATTGCTGGTAGATATTTGTAATTACAATGCAAAGGAGTCCTTATTTTTTCATTGATATCAGCTAACTTTAAACCACTTATGGTATTACCAGGTAACCAGAAAAGTTTGTGCAATTTTTCATTAATTTAATTAATAAACGTGAATTAACATTTCCATTTACATAAGAGGGTTAGATGTTTAGATCACGTAATACCAAGAGGGTAATGCATCAGTTCAAAAAGAAAAAATGCCTTGAACAGTTCACTGTAAATTATAAAATAATTTATTTCTTATGGCTTCAAAACTCATAATTCATAGTTACTGTATGAATTTCAGTTCGGTACTAGGGTGGCTGAAGCAGCAAAAATTACAGTATTTGGTGATGAAACAACAACACTGGCCAAAAGTTGTTCAAGAAGTTTGTTTATGGGAATGAATTAAAGTTGAGCCACAGTCCCAGAAAAATTGAGAGAAGCTAATGAACTTGATTATATCAGGAGCTTGCCAGAGTGTTAAACATAAGCAATGAAACCATTCACTGTAGCTTACATCAACTTGGGACAATTGGCTGACTGTAACAAACTTCTCGTCAAAATATTGACCAGATTGACACATGCGATGAAAAATAGATCCAGGAGATCGTACCATTGGCTATCACCAAATGCCTCTTCCCATTGATAAAACCAAATATTCACCAACAAAAGGTGATGCTTTGTGTTTGGTGTTGTTCATCAGGCATTGTGCCCTACAAACTTTTGCTACTATGACTACAGAACTTTACTCAAGCCAACTGCAATGAGTATGCCCTGGCTCATAAATACTTACTTTCGAGAACAGAAAAGGTGTAATTTTCATCAGAGCAAGACGATACCTCTTACAACTGGAATGACAAAGGAGGTGACAATGAAACTTGGTTGGGAAATCCTACCACACCCTCCACACTTCCCAAACCCGGCCCCACCTGTCCTAAGGAATGGACAACTATATGTGCAATTGAGAGTTTGATAATCGTCAACAGCTGGAAAATGAGCTGAATTTTTTTTTTAAGTACTGGGACCCAAACTTTTATAAGAAGGGCATAACTGGGGTAGTAACACATTGTGAGGTGATGCCAATAGAGACTATTTCCCCATATAAAATATTTCTAAACTAATTGTGATGATTATTAAACCCTTTAAACCTGCACAAACCTTTCTGGCTACCTAGTATTTTACTGTGTTTTTCAACTTTTATTTACACATTGATACGGTGGTATATTTATATTTACTATATAAAGCGGTTTCGTTTTTTACAAAACATTATTTTAAGTCACCTAATGTATTGTTCTGTATTCTCTTAATGGCTAGCTATCAGAAGCATTGGCTGAAATTGAGGAAAGGGAGGCACAACTAGGATTAAGTAAGTTTACTTAACATTTAGTGAATTGGGTGCATTTATCGTGTGAAGTTACTATTTTTTTTATTTAGTAGTGTATGGAAAATTTAGTGAACTAAAATTGGCTCATATTTAAAAACACTTATGTTTCTCCAAGTCCATTGGAAATTTTAAATTTTGTAAAAATATGTGTAAAAAGCTGTTTGTATCAAAATATTGACATAAATAAATTCTAAATTAAGGCCTTGTAAATGGTAAAAATGGTAAAAATAAAGTGTGCACTGAATATAATTTACAATTAAGTACATAAATATTTTCATGATTTTGAATGGCCTTAAAATGTAGGATTTTTAACATCTTGTTCATTTTTTTTTCACCAATATCATTCTGCATGTCTATGGCAACATCTTTTGCAGAATAAATAATCAACAATAAACTTGATATATTTATAGATGTTTTGAAGGTTGTCATAAAAGTTAGAATATTGCAATAGATTTTTTTTGCAATTTTCAGTAATGAATTATAAATGTTATTCTCTAATGGAGGGTTGCAGACTTATGTTTGATATTTCATCCACTTTGTTATCGTGCCATCACATAAACTATTTATTAGTATTTTATTATTATTATTATTGTTAATTTTTAAGGGCGTTTTATTATTATTATTATTATTTTATTATCTACAGTCTCATAACATTTCTATAGATTATTGTTGTTGGGTGAACAACACGTTGAACTTGAATATTCTTTCCAAATAATGAAAAAATATATTTATTTTTAAACAAAGATAATAAATTTCCTCCATTTTAAATTACGCTCTATCATAATGACTAGAACCCAGATGTACATGCGATAAAAAAACCCTCAAATATGCATATAATTTGCAGAAAAAACTTTAAAATATGTAGCTTGAATGTCTGAGACAATTGAAACACAACTTTTCAACATAGTTGATGGGGAGCATACTTGTAGGAACTTAAAATAACTGGATTGTTGGTTTCCAGTAAAACAATTTTATTATTTACATTTAAGTGTCATTAATTTTCCCCCAATTCGGTCAATTTTCTCTTGTAATATTTTTCCTAAATTGCCGGGGAATTTACTAAGTTATGTTTTGTGTTGAAATGTCCAATCAGGTTGTCAAATCCAACCTAGGCTATCCTGCCTGATTGACATCCCTAGTGCAAGCTCTAGCATCATTTTTCTCAAAAGTTATTGGACCAATTTTCATGGTTGATTATTCATTTTAAAGAAATTGTCAAGTGCACTTTATAAATGTAACAAACATAGAAATCGGGCTATTATTTCCCTTCAAAAAAAGAAAACAATTAGGTTAATTTCTGACAAATAATTTTGCTATTTTGTGTATTTTCTTATAGAAATTTTTTATATATTTAATGGTACATACTTCTTTACCAAGCTATGTTTCTCTTCTTTCAAATGGTCTGTTTGGTGTTAAAATCGCTTAAGCCATTTTTGAATTATAGCCATTTCAATCAGATATTCCAATAACGACTCATCAAAAATCGGAAAAATTTTAGGGGTCAAAAAATCAATAAATTTAAATTCAAACATAAATTTATATTTACTGGGTTTCTTGAGGTTCTGTAAAGAAATTTGATATTAGTTTCACAGAAAAAAAATTGGTTTTTAGACATTTTTTGTTATTGATAAACAATGGTAGCTTTTACTATATTTTTATTGCAAAAAAATTCACGTAGTTAATTTGAGCAAGTGGAACAGCGAAATAAAATTATTCAAAAATGAAAAATTTCAACTTAAAAAAAATTTTGCGAAACCAGGTCCTACTCACAACAAGAGGCAGATACGTGTCTGATATTTTGTAGAGTAGCATCACCAAAAAAAGTTGGTTCCAAATCCGTGACCCACAACCAGGTTGCCCTCTTGTTAGACCGGCTATTTTGGTGTTTCAAATGAGGCCCTTTTGCACAGACTGACGACTTCAGAAAACGTTATTTTTCAGAAAAGGCTAAGAAGTATACCTAGAAGTTTTGGCAATAGGGACTTCAAAAAAGATGCCGATTAATTCAAGAAAATTTTGTTGTGACAGATCTTTTGTCTTTGTTTCTGGCTAGTTAACTAAAATCCAATGAAATTGTAAGTTTTTGTTTTTTCCACTCATGTTCTTGGTTGCTTAATTTTTTTCAGTAATCAAAAATATGCTTAATAAAATTTGAACCATTGTACCACAGAGGCATGATTTGGAAAAATAACTGATCACCATTGTTATAAGTGTTAGTAAGAAGAATACGCAATTGCATAAAAATCTGAGCTCTAATGATAATAAATCATTATTGATGACAGAGTTTTATTTATCATGACAAACAAAATGTCCTTATCCATTTTTAGTTTTTAGATTTATATAAGATTTTTTTAAATTTATCACATTCTTTTAATATTCGTTTTTTATTCTCCCAGGTGAAAGACGTAATATGTGGATACCTGATCAAAAAAATAGGCAAAGGTGTGTAAGCCTTATTTATTGAAGTGTACTAAAAGTAATGTGAGTACATTATGTTACAGTGACAATTCAAAGGGTTCTCAGGAAGCGTGTGAGGCGGAAAATAAAGAGGTTCTGGCCAAAGAAACTTTTTCTAATTCATTTCAAAGGGAATTTTCACAAAGTTATGGGTAATTATTGTTTTCATAATTGCATTGTTCAACTGTAAGGCTACTCTTTTATATTAAAGTATGGCATAATACTTTATGTATTCTTGGGCCTTATCATAATTTTTTACCAATATATTACATTATACCAATTATTACATTAATAAATAAAACTTATTTTGCTTAAAACACTTTATTTTTTTAAATTGCAGAGCCGATTCAACACCACCATCTTTACTTATGAGTGAATTAGCAAGTCTAGGTTCTCCAAAGAGGTTATCTAGTTTGTTAGAAGCATGCAATGAACTTGCTAGAATAGAAGAAGTCAAGAAGTTACAGGTAACAAAATTTATATATACAATATTAAACCAATAAAGATTAATTAATTGTTTATAATTTATTTAAACAAAGAAGGCACAAAAAAATTAGGCACATTTTTTTTCTATTCTTTAGAGTGTAAATGTATAAACCATTTTTAGATTAAGAAATGTGTTTTCCAATATTGAGGACTGCATGTTGCGATTCATTCATGACTTCCAATATTAGTATCATCATTGTTTAAAGGGCCTCTGAGGTAAACAATAAATCAATTCACAAACCACAAAATATAAAATAAGGAGATTTTTAAACACAACAAAATTAAATATTTATTTTTGCAAAAATCATGCATTTCTTCTAATGACCTTAACAAATATAATGAAACGCTATTAGTATTTCATGCTTAAAATTCTCTTTAATTTAACTTATTTAATCACGCTTTTAACACAGTTATTTTTTAACCTAGTAAAATAAGTAAATCAAAGTTGTCATGTAGTGTTACTCTTTAATAATTGTAATGTTCATATTTACCCTTCTTTTCTCAAACTAAAAGTACTGATAGATATTTAAAAATAATAACTAATTTATTATTATTTTTATGTTATAGCATACATATTATTATATATATAATGAAGAGAGAATAAATAATGACCACCAGTTTCAAGAATTAAAAATTAACGGTCTGAGATTTATAACAAATTATGTTTAATCAGTTTTTTTACAAACTCTACTACCTCTATCTGCTTATTAGACTCACTGAGGGGGGAAAAATTTAGTTGGATGAAAAACAAATTCACTTGTTATCTGCCAATCCTTAGACCTATTGTAAGGTCATCTTCAGGGCGAAACAATCTTAAATATGTCTACAATTGACACACTTCCCCAGAGCACTCGATATTCCTCAGGGTATTTAGGGATAAGCCCCTCCATTCTCACTAATAAATACATTTGTTCCAATAGAGAACACATATCACTTACATGAAGGGGCAAAGGGATATATACAATTAAAAACGTTTATGGCACTAGATATTGGATCAGCGATTTGTGCCTGCCTCATCCAAGGCCACTCATAGATTATTTGCAATGTTGTATTTCTTTCTCTGTGACATAGTTCTTTGCAGCCTTTCCCTATGCGGCATGCGCCTTTTCCTTTTTAAACCCAGCCTCTGCAGGCTAGGAAGATTTTTTTTTTACATTTGTTTTACAATTTGTACGTGTTTCTTTTGCTTCAGTTGATCGTCTATTAATTTATTATACATATTCATTTATTACAATTATGTTTTGTAAATCCGCTGGTCACTGTTAAATAAAGTGTTTCAAATTTCTTTCATGCAGTCCCAACACTCCAAGGATTTTAACACTATCAATATATTGGTTTGGATCAATATTGGATAATGTTACATTTCTTGGAACTTTTTGGGACTGAACCTATGTTCAAAGAAATTTAAAACCATTTATTAATAAACTTAATTATGTGAATTTATAGACATCTTTAAGATTGCCGTGCTCTTATGATGGACTTAAAATAAGTCGAGAGCTCGGCAAATAACAATTGAATTTGTTTTTCATGCAATTGGCCATACCAAGATTCATATTATTCGTAAGTAAAAAAGTGGTCAATGTATGTAGCACTTTAAAAATCTCAGAGTGGTTATTTATTTATTTTTTTCTCGCCCCTTTATACACATTAAAATTAAAATTTTATTAGGTGTATAGTGTAGGCTTATTTTTAAATATTTGTACATACCTGGTAACCAGAAGTTCCTTTAATGCCCTTATGAACTTGCATATTAGTCAGAGAATGATTGTTTCAGTGTAGTTGGGGGTAAGGGTATTGTGAAAAAAGGGCCAGGGGTGATGTGGGAATCGAACCTACAACCGGAAGTCTACGAGACGAGAGTTTATCATGCCTAACCACTCGCAGTCCCATTTGTTGTTTTAATACTGTTAATCAACATTTCTATTTGCATAGTTGGATTAGATGTTTAGATCACACTATACAGAAAGGATAATGTGTCAGTTCATAAAGAAAAAGTTTCTTCAACAGTTCACTGTAATTATGAAATATTTTCTTTATCACAGCTCGGTACAAGGGCAGCTGAGGCAACTTATAAAATTTGCACTGCGCTCGGTGATGACACAATAAGTGAGCGCATTGCCCAAAAGTGGTTAAAACGTTAGCTCCTGGGAGTGAGAGGTTTGAAAATGAACCACAGTTGGTAGTCAGGTCTTGAATGGCAATGAATTGAAAGAAGCATCGAACTTGATTGTCAGGATCTTGTCAGAGGGTTCAATGTAAGCGATGAAACCATTTGCTCTAGCTTTCAGCGATGAAGATGTGGAAGCTGAGCAAATGTGTTCCTCATAAATTGATCGACAATAACAAGCTTCAGCATCTAAATATTTCCCTTTCATTACTTAGACAAAGTAGAGGCATTTTTGACTGGATTGTCACATGCAACAAAAAAGGGATCCTGTACATTAACACCAGGGTTGTACCATTGGCTGTCACCAAATGACTATGCCTCATTGATATGAAAACCAAATATTCATCAACAAAAGGTGATGGTACAGGTTGGTACTTGGTTAGAGTACAGCAGGCATTGTGCACTACGAACTACCACGATGCTGGACCATCACGACAGAAATCTACGCAAGCCCACGATGGGTCTATCTTGTCCTGCTCCAGAAACAACGTGCTCTCTAGAATAGAAAAGGGGTAATTTTTCACCAGGACACCTCATACATCCAGAATGACAAAGGAGGTGACAATGAAGCTTGGTTGGGAAGTCCTACCACACCCTCGATACTCTCCAGACCTGGCCCCATCTGACATTCACCTGTCCTTAGCAATGGACAACTATATGTGCAATTGAGAGTTTGATAATCACCAACAGCTGGAAAATGAGCTGAATTTTTTTTTTAAGACCTGGGACCCAAACTTTTATAAGAAAGGGGGTTGTAACACGGGAGAAGGTGATGCCGATGAAAACTATTTCTCTGAATAAAATATTTCTAAGCTAATTTTAATTGTGACAATTATTAAATCCTTTAAACCAGCATGAAATTTTCTGATTACGTGGTACATAAACAAATAAATATATTTAAAGTTCTATTTTCTTCAATATAGCACCATGAAAAATTAATCAGGATCACTTTACTATAACACTTAACGTAGAAAAATAGATGTTAACAAATATTTGGAAATGCTAAAGAGTTAATATTATTTTAAATCAAAGCAAAATTGTTTTCAGCATGAAAGTGAAAGTCTTCGTTCACAATTGACTCTTCTGGGTGAGAAATACAATGCCTTAGCTCTTAAACACATTCATTATAAGGCCAAACATAAATTTCAGTTGGATCAACTCAGGTACAATTTATAACATTCTAGAAATGCATGTGTTTTTTTAAAGATTGTGAAAAGAAATCAGACATAAAAGTATGTAATTATTTTTAATGATTGATCAAATTAAAACTTGTATTAATGGTACTATGTTAATATATTAGACTATTTTATTGTTACATGAGGTACTTTTTCTATTTAACAAATCCATACATCTATTTATTTTAGTTCATATTTTAATAAAAGAAATTCTTAATTTTAGGGAGCATTTGACAGCTTGTGAATGCCGAGCAGAAGGATTGCAGACACAACTAAGTATTCAGAGACAAAGGTTACGAGCTGAAGAAATATTTAGAAAACAAGTTGAAGCTGATTATCGCAGGCTTCAAGAAGAAAAACGATCCATCGCTGCTAGGTTTGATTTTTTTGGATTTGATTCGATTTTTGAAATAAAAAAATTAATAACAGTCTTATCTTCTAAGTTTAAACTGAGGTTTCTCCCAATGTTTAAATTTGTTTGAAGCAGCTAATGAATTAAAACATAATCAATTGTAATTTAATTTGGTTTTTGATTATCCTGTTCTGTCTCTCCTTGGCCTTTGCTGGCATTGTTCGTCAGACAAGATATATTTTACCATTTTCAGTAGTGGTTATTGTAATTTCTTTAATTGAATTACATGGTTGCAATGGTTGTTGATTTGTTTATTCAGGGCTGTTATTGTGTTCATAAGATTTTTTAAAGATTGTTTTCATGAGATTGTTTTAAATTGAGTAAATGATGTAGATTTGTGTGCCCAACAATTTCTTTGTATTGTAAAGAGATATCGTCAGAGAGAATTTGAGTAAAATAATATACAAACCCAGAACTTAATAAAAAAAAAGCTGAAGTAATTTAGTAACTTAATTAAAAGTAAGTTTATTGGTCTATTGTGCATCTCCATTGTTGTCTAGAACTCCTCATTAAACTTAAGGCTTTTTATCAGATCACAACATTTTTTCATTGTCTCCTGTGGGTATCCTTCATGCTTTTCCTTTCCCAGGAGTAGGAATCTTATACTACATTCTTCCTAGCCTTCTCGTCCTGGCAATATATTTTTTCTGTCCTCTGAGACTCCAGAGTTTGCAGAGCCTTTTCTTCTTATATTCGCATTAATTGGGTGTCTCTCAGGGCATCATCTAAACACCCTTCTTAATCTCAATATACACAGTTGACATTCCTGTTCTCCCTGCATATTATCTGCTCTTTTGCTGATGACAGCCATCCTGCCATATAATCTTGGTCCTTCCTTTAAGCTAGAAATCTACATTTTAAATTCTTGCATTTTTCCTAAGATCGTGAAACAAAAGATATTTAAATAACATCATTATTTTTTTAGGGACTTAATTGTGGTAGTTGTGATGCTAGGTAGGAATCTTAGGCTACATATCACACCAACAGAGGACTGTTTCTGCTTCTTCCTGGCAACATCTGCAAAGGCTTTTTTCTGCTGCTCCAAGTCTTGATGCCTCTGGAGTCTGCTGTGTCCAATCAGCAGTCCTACAATCATTCACGTCTTTACACATCCTAGGTGAATAGTTCTGCCTTTAGTTACTGCGATGGTCTTTTGATGAACTTTTTCACTTCTGTCCTGGAATGTCTCATTGAACAGAGGACTTATTCTTAACTCATTTGGTAAGCTGCAAAAGATTCAGGGTCAATAGGTTCCTTAACAAACTTTCCTTGACCAGTTTATTAGCTTCCTCGTTGCCCATTTTCTGTAGAAATCCTGTTAGAAAGGCTTCTCTTGAGTATCCTTGAGGCCTTTTCATCTCTGAGGAGTAGAAATCTCAGCCAGCATAGGAATTCACACCAACAGAGGACCTGACCCACTGTTTTTTTTCTTCTTCTGGCAAATATCTCCACAGGCTTGTTTCTGCCTCTCCTAGTCTATACATATGCCTCTGGAGTGTACAATATCAGTTAGCAGTCCAGTTATTATTCTAGACCTAACTCATCCTAGATTTAGTAATCCTGCCATTAGTTTTTCTTCAAGTTTTCTTCATTTAACTTTTTTACATGCCTCTGTGCTAGGCGCCATTCCCATTGAAAAAATGTTTTTGGCAGTTTGGTATGCCACAAATTGGTTCAGGACCAATAGGTGTCTCATCAAACTTTCCTTGGCCAATTTATCGGCCTCTTCATTGCCTCTCTGCCCTGTGTGCGCTGGTCCTAGACAAGTAATTTTGTTATTTTCCCCAATGTCTGAGAGGGCCCTAATGCAATCCCAAAGGACTCTAGCCTTTACCACTGATGCCCCACCCTCAGTGCCACCGGGTTTCCAAGTAGATGGTTAGTTTCCTAAGCTCCTTTCTAGTTAACAGTACCTAGCCTTTTAATCTCATTGGTACATTGTTCAATATCCACAGTCTCCGCTTGAAAGACAGACACATGTTGCTAAATCACAGGCAAACAATACTAGCCTCAAAACCACCACACTACAATTTTATCACCCTAAAGACCTAAACAAGAAATGCCACAAAAGTTTATTACAAAAAAATGTAAATTGGTAGAAAATATCTTAAAAATATATAAAATAACATTCATGCTTTATGTATGAAATGTATGTAAATAAAGTTTAATTAATATAGTAATACATTTTTGGTTTGTTTTCAGATTATTGAGTGCAGAATCTCAACAAAGAGATGAAATGCGTGAGTTAGCTATTGTTCAAAGAAAAATGGCCTTACTTGACTCAGCAAATTCAGAATTAATAGCTCAATTATTAAAATTAAAATATAAACCTAATTTAACTAAAAGCACAACTTGTGATAATATGTTATCATCTTTATAAAAAAAATTCAATATTTTTTAAATTGCTGAATACACATACTACATTAAAGGTAATAGTTTGGGAATGGAACTGGTATAACTAATTTAAAATTTGAATGGCTGCAATGAAAATCTATAATTCTGTTCAATTTAACTAAAGAGATATTATTTAAAGTCCATTTGATTCTTTACTATTTACTTACATTAACTAGTAATAGAACTGAACTGATTACTGATTTATATAAGCTCAAATCTGCACACACATGTACAAGAATTGAGCCTATCACTTTTCACAGTCCACTGGTAAATCCAGCTTTTGTAATTCACAATAAACTACCGGCAAGACTTGAGAATCACCCACCCCAGGTGTTGGCAGTCCAGGGTCAGACCTCGGTCTTATCCGTCCTGCTGCTGAGGTCGGACTCCAGGGGCTATCATCAGCTAGGTCATTCAAGCCCCCAACACATTCAGTTCCTAAATCCAAACCCATTCACACTCTCACTCTTAAATACGTTCTTACTTATTTACATACCATTCTCTCAGTTAGGGTGGTGGACAACTCGATATTCATGTCCACTTCTATAACTAACCCAACTGAGAGTCAATGGGGTACTTACTACACATTCATGCCAATAAATAGATTCACTCTCAATACATGCTAGGGAAACAAAACTATACAATAAAACAACCCTGTTTCCTTCAAGAATCGGTACAAGGGTCCCAGATATTCACCGTGCTCAAGCACAATTCTCATATTGGGTGGCATTCTTATGTGCTCTCTGCATGGAGCCAAGGAATTGTACCATTTACTAGTAATATTTTAATGCTTAATTTGTTGAATTTTAATCTGCAATCTAAAAACATTGTGCCATTTTATAAGCTTTCTTCAGCTTTACTGTCAGCTCCATTGCAGGATTTAAACTTAATGATTAAAAAAAGTACTGGAATGTTTTATTAACATAATTAAACCGCTTGCACAATCACTTGATATTTTCCTAACTACATTGCAATGTTTTTTTCTACATTGTTACAAATAAATATTCAAATGATTCAGAATAATAAGGTAATTATTTTTACTACTTGTTATAATGTGTTTTATATTAAGAGTGCAAAATCTACGGATTTTAAGGTATAATAATACCAGCTTGCCATATAATTAATCTATGTTACCAAATAATGGTTTTGATAACTACCTTCTCATACGTATTTGATAATTCCTTATGAAATTTTGGGCAAATGCAATAAAAGCGATATTTGTAAAATTGTATCTGATGAGAAATCATGACAATTATATAAATATATGTAAAAATTCTGATACAAATGGAAGAATTAATAATAAAGTAATTATTTTGGAAAAAGGTAGATTTTTCATTTTATCGAAATCCTTCATATTTATTTTAGTTTGTGAATAAAATACTTCTATACCCTAGCTGTATCCACAAAGGTTAATTAATTTTTACTAAATTTATTTAAAAACTAGCATCCAACTATTAACTTTTGGTGGCAATAAATTGAGAGAATTAAAAATAATAAATAAGAATATGAATTTCAAGGATCAAGAAAGTGTTGGCACAGTAGAAACATTTTTTGAAATAAAACTTTAATCTACACTTTATTTTTTATTTATTTTTTTTTTTTTTTTTTTTTTTTTTTTTTTTTTTTTTTTTTAAACCAGTACCATTTGCAGCAATTACAGCCTGAAGTCTTTACAGTATCGAGGGTTCAAGGTTGGATTATTTCAGGTCCAATTTGATTTTGTTCTTGTAATACAACAGTTTGTAGCTGATGCTTTGAAGAAATTTGATTTTTTCGTACCTTTGAGTCTAGCAAGTACCATAAATGCTATATGGGATTTATATCCGGTGATTGGGGTGGAGTTTCGATTCGTCTCGAATATTGTAAAGTATCCATTCCTTAAGATAAATGATTCCCTGATCCCCATCTTTTCAGCAGTTCAAGTTATTGCACAAAATGTCAACATACTTGTCCGAATTCATAATACCTTCGATGAAACATGTTTCCAACACCATTTCACAACATGCAGCCCCAGACTAAAATTTTCTCGCCACAATGGTTCACTGTTGGGCCTGCCATTACTCATTCCAAACGCGTTTGGACGTATTTGGTTTTGTCCATACTTTTTTTTTTTTTTTTTTTTTTGAGAAAACTTGTCTCATTGTTCTTTTTTATGATATTTATAATTGAGCTGAAACATATCTAGATGATTTGCAATTTCACAATAACTCAATCCTCAAGATCACAATTTTACAATACGAATACATAATGACACATAATGTTCTTGAATTTTATTGTATTTTAGCCATGTTATTACTGCTGAATTGGTCAGAAAATAATTTAGAATAATGATGTTCATGCTTCTTTGTGTTTATTTCAAATTGAAAGGATTCAAATTAAATATAATGTTTTATGTAGGGTAATTCAAAATTAAGCAAGAAACAACTGTGCCAGTACTTTTTTGACCTTGAAATTCATGTCCTTATGTATTATTATCTTATTTTTAATTCGCTCAATTTATTGCCACCAAAAATGAATGTTGGATGCTAGTTTTTAATAAATTTAGTGTCAAAAATATAATTAACCTTTATATTTTTGAGATTTAAGATAAAATAGTGCCAATAATTTTTGACCATTCTGCAAATGCAATGCGGGTGTCATACCAAGCACATTTTTCTCATTTGTAATTGATTTTGTTTAAATACCTTAGCGTGCCTAACATAGATTTTTTTTATTTAGAAAATCGATGTAGAAATATCAATTGTGCATTTATAGAATTTCTAAACTTCCAATCCCACAATGTTTTGTACTCTTCATTTTCAAACTTGTATTTTCCATTCTAGCTATCTTCATTTCATAGTTTACGGTCAAATTATTTTTATAGAAGTCTTTATTGTGTGCATTATAATTTTCATTTTGCAAATTACTAGCATGGATTAATAATTTAAATTAAGATAACGATTCAGTTCTAGTATTGCTAAAAATATTTATGAATAATCTATATCCTGGTCAAGTGGGTAAAAAACAAATTCAATTACCTGCCGATATTTCAACCTATTTTAAGGTTATCATTAGGGCAAAACAATTTTAAAATTTAAAGAGCTTAAATTTTAAAATAAAGAGGAAATCTCACAATTTTAAAGATGTCTACCTTTAGTCACCAGTACCTCCAAGATGTCATTTGTATAAATCAAAAATAAAACTGGTCCTAAGATAGACCCTTGAGGAACACCATACTCAATGGAGTTGGAGTCACTCAAAGCATCCAATCATGCATATTACCTCGAATTGAATTTGTTGTTCATCCAATTGATCATACCAAGATCCAGACTATTTGAAAGTGAAAATTGGTCGATACATCTAACGCTTGAAACTAATAATATTTATTTTAACATTTTGTCATAATTTAAGTTTTTATGTTAAGAGAATGATTCAGTAAATCTTTAAAATGTCATGCATAATTGAGCTTGAAGCATTGATTGTGTGATAAAATAAATTGAATTTGGAAATATGACTATTGTAGAGTGAATATGAATGAATCCCTTTAAAATGAGATAGCTTAATTTATATAATAACTTTTTTTTATAATTTTACTCACCTTTCTAGGAAGTCATGAATAATTTTCTATAAAAGAACTTACATATTTCGTTTTTCTTACTGAATGAATTTTCATGAAGTAATTAATATTTATATGCCTCTTATTTTTGCCATGTTAATTAGTATTGAATATAAATTGTTTATGAATACAAGAAAGTCCATAATAATCCAAACAGATTTTAATGAAATAATATACTAGATAAATATACACCTGTATGAAATATAAAAGCAGCCAACTTAGCACATTGTCTATTGCTTGAAAGGCTAACATTTAATGCAAAAGCTTTTGCATTTTAGAATTAAAAATATTCAATAAATGTTTGGTTTTTGTTGTTTAATTTTAATTAAACGACAAACATTTGTAAAACATTTTATTATTTATATACTGTTTACATTTTAGTATTACTCTATTAAACATTTACAGTGTCAGTGCCTTAACACAAATATTTGGATTTAAAAAATATTAGTAAAATTCTTACGCCGAGTATTTGCCGGCTTCGCTCTGTGGAGATGAGCGGGGTTATTTAATGTAATATTAAATTAAAAATGGGCGCCACGCTGTTTAATATGACACGGAAACAGTGAGCCATAAAGGAAAATAAAAGAAAAGGAATCAAAGAAAATTCAGTTAAATTAAAATTAACTAAGTAAAAGAACATAACATTTACATAAGAAAACAATTTTTTAAAAAAAATTTATTCCAAAGGAAACTAAAATAATAAACATAACAAACTTACACACTAAATGGACCTTAATTATCTTATAATCTAAGTAAAAATTCATTACAATCTAAACTTTCCTGGGAACCAGTGTCCATCTATTCTTCTTGTTTCTGATGATTGGAAATCCCCGTTTCCAGGAAAATGTAGAGCACCTTCTCTAAAGTTGGGTGGGTCCGCTGTCGGCTTCGTCGATCAAGGAATTAATAATTTTCTAATGATCCGGCCAGGCCGTAGGGATCCCCGTCTCAACACACCCTGACATCTCTTCGACTCTCTCACCTACACTCATCCTAAGCCCATCCTAGGACATCTTAATTTTTTATTGACTCACCGCCAACTTTAGTTTCGAAGAAATTATAATTTAGGAGGCATCCCCGGTTAAATAATAATAATACATAAATATTCAGTTACGAATGTAACAAAATCATTATGTTTTGTCATGATGTATTGAAACATTCAACAGTACTATCTATATAACTATAACGTTAAAAATTTTGCAGTATTCAATATTGCACTATTTGTCAAGAGAAAATTCACCTTACAAAAATTAATAAGAAACTAAATTCTTCGTACTTTTTCCCAATGGTGTGTAGTCCTTCTTATGTTCTTCTTCAATTAAATTTATTTATTAAAAAGTTTCATTTAATTGTATAATAATTAAAATGTTCTATGCCATCTGAGGAAAAAAGTTTAACAATTTCAAAATATGTTGCAAGAAGTACATTTAATTTACATCATTCTTATCATAGTATTTAATAAATAATTATAGTGATATCTTTATTGGCTGTAATTGCTATTTGGCGATATCCAAAACATTGCTGTAGAGTTGACCATAAGTCAACACATTATAAATTGCTTAAAGGCAACTGTTGTTCTTCTTCTCCATTGCATTCAGACTTATATAATTTTTTTTTTAAACTTGGGAAAAAATTATCAGCCATTAATTGTTATTATGAAATGATTATTCAGAAATCATGAGATGCGGTCTGGTGTGATGTAGGTTTCAGAAAAACATTTTCTTTATCGTGCCAACGTTTCGATCTTTATTGAGATCATCTTCAGGGCCTGGGATTTACAAACATTGTTTAAATTTAACAAATACATTTAGGATGTGGAAAAAAGTGAATTTATACAATGCAAAAAATATTTTTTTTTATATATTCAACCAAAGTATTTCTCCTCACTCAAAGTGTTTGTTTTCTGCTTAATTGTGCCATTCTTGCGTGTCGTGTTGAGAGTGCCAGTGAGATATTGCTGTTTTATGTTTATATACGTTGGATTTTGAAGGGGTGGGGAAGGAAGTCGTGCCAACGTTTCACAGAAATACACAGAAAACAAAGACTTTGAGTGAGTAGAAATACTTTGAATGAATATAAAAATATTTTTTGCATTGTATAAATTCACTTTTTTCCACATCCTAAATGTATTTGTTAAATGTAAACAATGTTTGTAAATCCCAGGCCCTGAAGATGATCTCAATAAAGATCGAAATGTTGGCACGATAAAGAAAATGTTTTTCTGAAACCTACATCACACCAGACCACATCTCACGATTTCTGAATAATCATCTAATAACGGTCACTAATCACCACACGTTATTATGAAATTTGGAGATTGGTTTTACATTATTTGGCAGAATTTAATTAAACAAGTAAAATTTGTCTATGATATTTGCATTTATCTATGAAATCCATCCGTCGGTATAATTGAGTCAAGAAATGGACAAATCAATTTGATTAATAAACTCAACAGTATGTTCTGATTACTTATTTATATTTAAAACAATTTAAAAAAAGGAATTGTATATAACGTAGTATTTTTTTAGACGGATTTTTGATATGATTAATGATGATGGAATTGTTATTTATTTAAGAAGTATAGATATTTTTCAACTCCTCCAAAATATATATTACATAGTACAAATCAAGTGTAGATAAATAAATATGTTCATGCTAAATTTAAATAATATATTTGTATTGTATATGGTTTATTGTGGAACTTACAAAAAAAATTATTATTATAATTTTTTTTTTTTAACATCAAACCAATCTTGTTTTACAAAATGTTTACTTTCCTGTAGTCCAACATAGTTTTGTGGCTAATGATGCAAATATAAATGTGATAATGGTTATTTTTTATTTTAAAAAAATTATCTGTTTTAATTGCAGGTTCAATTGTGTAAGGTTTTGCATGTAAAAATAATTTCTGTGAATACTGTAAATGTGCTATCCAAATATAATAAAATCCTAAATGAACTATAACTGGCTTTAAAGTTTAACATTTGAGATTATTATTTTTTTACCCCATAGTACATTATAAGCAGAAAAAATTGCCTACAAAACATTTAAAACGATAATTTCAAATGCTATGACCAAAAATTGACTTTTTCTTTCAGGAAAAGATAAAATTATTTAATAGTGTACAATCTTGTAAGTAATAAATTTTATCCTAAGATTATAGTTTTCAAATTCTGTACCAAAAATGGACTTCTTCTGTTATGGAGAACATTTGAAATAGTTTAATCGATTTTTCATAAAACCACCTGATCAGATTTTCTTTGTTTGATTATCAATTCCCATACTACATAGGGCCAAACATTGTCTCTTAAGATCTGTACAACATAACTTAATCATTTTTCTAAATAAGTTGTTTTCAAGTTCTGGTGCCAAATATACTAACTTTTTCTTCCTTTTTTTTTTAAGTGAATACATCCATGTTAGTACTAATTTTTTTGCTAAAAAATAAAATAAACAAGTGGGTCCAAGCTCTAAAAACTATGTACAAAAAATTGATAGACTTTTTCTTTTGAGAAATTATTTAATGTATATTCACCTGAATACCATCATGTTAGCAGGTAATTGATTGATAGGGAAAAAGAAGAAATAGAAAAAGTGGTTCCAAATTTTTGTAACAGCTACCAAAAATTGATTGACTTGTTCTTTTGAGAACACTTGAAATTATTTAATACATCCAATAATCCTTTTGCCAGTTTGTCTGCCTTTTCATTGCCAAAAATTCCTTCGTAAAGTGGTACCCAGTACATAATCAGGCTGTTGTGGTTTTGAGATTTTTGTTGCAGTAACTGACAATTTTGTTCTAATTTTTTTGTACCGTTAATAGCTGCTTGGCTGTCTGATATGAGGATTTTTTTTGTCAGTGTCTCTTTTAAGATAGCCTATCATTGATGACATGTCACGGATACTACCAGACCTCCTAATTTTATCAATTTCAAGGTTTGAAGTAAATGGGCAAATTTATTTATGTCTCAATATTTCCTATTTTTTGTTTAATTTTTATTGGATGTTGCAATTTTTGCCTTAGGGTTTAAGCTATTGGTTGTAATTTATAAACAACAACAAAAATTACGATTGATTGCCAAATTTTCTCTATGACATCATTATGACGTCAGATTGAAATAATTTTCTCTATGACATCATTATGACGTCAGATTGAAACAATTTGTGATTGTACTGAAATATATGAAAAACTCTTTCTTTAATAAATCTTAAAAAATCTTTCCATAATAACAATACAAAAACAAATTTAATACAAAACTAAAAAGTAAATTTAATAAAGCAGAATCTTACGATTTTTGTTATTAAATATAACATAATATGTTAATAAATTGTTTAAAATTGAATAGTGTTTTTATAGTAAACATATGTATGTAAATTTTAAAAGTTTTGTGGTTTTTTAGTATTAGCGATTTAATAAATTGGAAATAGGTTAATTTTAAAATTTTAATCAGCTCTGTTGGATCAAGTATCTTCTGTAATATTTCTGCGAGGTTTTTAGTGATAACTAGGGTTATCGATGCCTGATGTATCATTCTGCAGTCGGAAACACGTTCGTTTTGATGTAAAGTGGTTTAAAGTGATGCCCGTCGGCTTATTTGTGGAGGAAAATTGCCCGGAAACCGTTCTGGTCGAAGTTCGTTCTCCTTTCTTTCGAAGAGATGAAATATTCGTTGGTATTTAATTAATCTGTGACAAATTTGTAATTGAATTGCCCCGAGGATGGCAAACACGACCCCGGGTGACAAAACGGTCAACAAAGTCGCCCTGTGCTCTGCGATTTTCGCGGGGTTCGCTTATGTCGGCTATTCGGTCGTCAGGACGGCCTTTTGCCGGAAAATCGGAAGGAGAGAAGGAGAAGGTGAGATCTTACAACTGACCAATTAATTATTTTGTCAATTTTGTCGCCCGACACTGTGTCGCCTTGTTATTTATTGTTTGGCGTCGGCCTTAAGACGCAGCCATGTTTCTATGACTTCTGGAGGGCTGCCCCACAAACCGTCGAAAGAGGAGGTCTAGCGGTTCCAACCGAAGGCACCCTCAAATCTTGTCAGCAGGGCACCATCGTGCTCTGTTCGCTTTTCATTGTGCGATAGGGGAATATACAGTGTATGCGCTTATATACTTTTTGTGTATGGGAATGTAGGGTTCTAGAAATTCAATAAACCAGAGAGAAATATTCCTAAACATTTATTGTAATACTATTCTGTCTTAAGACAAATACAAACAAATAAAATTGTCAAACATCTAGACAAGTCAGCCACAACTCCAACTCTGGGATAAGCTTATCAACAAAAGGACTTAGGTGAAATGAAGCTTGCCAATACCGGCTTCCACATCATCTTCCAATATCTTCTTTTTGCAGCTCCCTGGGTCTTCAACAGTTGACTTTATACGACTGGTCCCAACTGCTGGCTCTAGCTGGCCGAGTCACAGACGGAGTGTGGCTGCATACTGCTCTAGACCGAGTCCTTACTTGACTCCCCGACTGGAATGGCTTTTGCTTTACAAATCATCCCCTTTTATACCAGTTCCTTAAGAGTAGGGGAGGCCAGGTGGAATCGGGTGAGTTTCTCTTTAGCAGTTTCCCTTAAGGGGCACATGCAGCAGGGGTCCAGCCAAGAAGGATATTGCCCACCTGGTTGATGTGACCCCAAATTTATAGTGTTGCTGGTTGAACTGTGTCTGACCTTCCCACACTAAATAACACTTTGACATTTGTATTTTAGTGGACAGACTAGTCAACTATTGTGGTTCTGTGGTCTCCAGGTTTTGGTCCACTAACAGCCTTCTTTCTAATGGTTGTTTGACCTTTCTTAAAACTATTTTTTTTTTAAAGGTACAAATAGGGCTTTAAGCCCCCTTACATGTACTTCTATTAGAAATAAATTATGTTTCATAAATATAGTGAAATAATAATCACAGCAATAATAATAAAACATACAATAAAATATACAAAACAATAATATATATTTTAAAATATTAATTATTTATAATCAAATGATGAAACCACATTATGGCAGAAAAGCAGAAAGAGAGAGAGAGAGACAGAAAAAAAAGAAAAGGAAGCGGGAAGAAAAGAGATGATTGATGTGATTTTTAAAAACTGCGATGTCATGGACCTGAAACTTGATTTAATTTTAAATATATTTATATTAAAACTCTATGTTTATAAGTATTTAAAATGTTACGTGTTGTTCAATATTTTTAAAAAGATAGTTCCTACTCACGGTTAGTTGTTTTCAATGATCTGGATTTCAAAGTTATTGCTCATCGTCAGGTTAAATGAATTTACAACCACATCTCTCAACATGACTTTGTAAGTGAACCGTCAACACTNACTTATTTATTTTTATTAATTAATAAAAACACCATTATGGAGTTCCACAGCAAGAACTGTGCCACACTCAACATCTTAAGATCACAAATTAATCACTAATTTGTAATTATTTTCTTTCAGTATTATTGGAAAAATTAAGTCAAAGAACAATAATTATTATTTCAATTAATTAATTTTTTTATGTAAGGTTTTGGCTGAAATGAAAAAGCTAGTGTCATGAACGGGATTCGAACCATTTCAACCAAAACCTTACATAAAAAGATTAATTAATTGAAAGAAGTAATTTGGTCAATCAGACCACTAAATATAATGGATTTAATAATTATTCTCTTCAGTGCCTAGGTGAATATCATTTGATATTTTGAGAAGGGCTGTCTCACAACTATGAAAGTTTCGGAAGTCAGATTGAAAAGGGGATTTAAGGGCATGGGAGTCAGTAAATAAGGATATTTGTTTAAATAAAATCTCAAATGCTTTGATTAGTGATGGAAGAGTAGTAATAGGGCGATAGTCATTAGCAAGGGTGGGTTTATTTATTTATTTTAGTTATTTTAATAACTTCCAAACTTTTTTTAGGATTGGGACCATTTACACTCTCATTCCTACTCACATCTTTCCCAGTTATGGGGATAATTGGGTATTGGAGACCCAGAGGTCCCCGAACCACAGATGCAGTCTCTCCGTGCGGGTACCACCTCTACGGTGCCAACTGTTAATTTCGTCAGACATCAATCCTTAGTTTTGAAATAAGTAAAAATAAACATGTTTTAGTTGGCCCTATTAAACGACGTAATTATTTTAATTGATTTATCATTTTTTATGTAAAGTGTGGTTGAGTTGAAAAATTTGTCATAAGTTTAATGGATAGGTATTCTACATTCTATTTCTCCATTTGTATATCATTTTCCCAATAATTCATTGAAGGCAGTTATTTGGTGAAAAAAAACATTGCAACAAATCATTGTTGAAATTTTTTTTTAAATGTATAGTCAGTTGTCTGAAATATGGTTAACTTCATACATTTTCACTAATAATAAAATTTGAAATTAAATTAGTATTTTGTATGGAGTCCTTTGTCTTATGTTATAGCCTTAAGCCTTCGAGGCTTTGAGGAAACAAATTTTAACAGTCCCAGATGTTGTTTACCTTTACAATTTTTAGCCTATTTTTTGATATTTTGCATTTTCTGATTGCTGACTCCAAAGGTTCTCTAGGTTCTTCAAGGGTTGACATCTGGTGACTGGGGAGGAGTTTTGAGTTGTTGAGCAACCACTCTTCAGTTTTTCTAGCTCTATGTTTAGTGTCATTATCTTGCTGACATAAAAATACCCTCTCTAATCCTAGTTCACACCATATTTTCCTTAAATTTTCATGTAGCACATTGATGTGTACATCAGCAGTCATAATACTCTCAATAGACGTAAGTTACCCATGCCATTTGCTGCTATGGATCCCACCACCATACTGGCAGCGAGTGTTTGGGTCCCCTCTTCTGATTTTTGGAGGAAACACAATTTTTTACTGTATCTATTACTTTGTAGATATCTCGTCTTTTGTTTCTTTGTATGCATTGAGACTGAATGTATTTATTAGCATGAATATGATGTTTTAGAGGGCTGATGGTGGAATGAATACCTCATCAATCCTCAATTAGATTTGTTATATGAGTGGAGGTTGAAGTAGGAATATCAGGTATAGTCCTTGAGTCAATGGGTTTGAATTTAAGTACAGATTGCATTGGGGGCTGAAATGACCTAGCTGTTGATACTCCTTGGAGTCCAACCTCAGACAGATAAGACCGAGGTCTGACCCCAAACTGCCAACACCCGGGGTGGATGATTCTCGAGGCCTGCTGGTGATTTAGTGTAAATTACAAAACTTGGACTTGCTGATAAGACTATGAGAAGTGATAGGCTCAACTCTTCACATGTATGTCCGTATGCATATGCAGATTTGAGCTTATATAAATCAGTAATCAGTAATGTCAAGTCTGGCCCATTGATAAATAGTTATATTCTGACCTTTTTTATAATGCATCATTTTAGATTTGGCTCTTTGTCTATGCATTAAGAGGCATGATGGAGCTATCAGACAATCCTGCATTTGTAACCTTATTGAATTTCATTGGGGGGGGTCCGCATTCCTTTTTATATATTATAATTTTTTTTTTTTTTAATTGGGTTTCAGTGTATCAAGATGAACACAGGCTGTACTTTAGGAGGCTTTCTCAGACAACACAGACTGATGTGCTACTTGGCAACTTAGATCTTTCAGGATCGGGGAAAGTAATATTGCGACCAATGACTGTGCAGGATAGAATACGAGAGCTTAATTTACAAGCTCGAATGTTTACCGATACAGTTTTAGCGATACAAAGCACAACAAACAATTCGCCTAGGCATTTTTCTGGTCATAGGAGTTTACAGGTATTTTTTTATTTTGAAATAGTTTTAAATTTTGTGTAGATATTGAATTGAATGTTTATGAAATTTAATTAATAAATTCCAGTGTTCTCCATGGAGTTCACCTAGAATTTTGTCTCCTGTAGACATGCGCCATATATTAACGAGTCGCTCCACCGAAAATTTGTCAAACCTAACTGTTGGAAGGACGGGAGAATTGACGCTAATGTCTCCGGTGAGGAAAAGATGTACACGTCGTTCAATGAGAAGGCGAGCTCAGTCTAGAAGTCCTGATACTCATTGCGAACCTGGTCATCGAGATGAGAAGGTTATGAATGAAAAAGAGCAGCAGCTGAAACTTCATCTTGATAATATTTCACATGGGCAAAGGCAATTACAATAATAAATAAATAAAAAAAACACCATTGATATCGTTAACCATATTTATATATATATATTTTCTTATTTAATTGTATAGAGAAATACCAAGGCATGATGCTAAAAGTCTAGTAATTCTACTGCAGAGTAATGACAGTGCTCTTCTGGAGAGAACTCTTACTACTATTAGCAATGGTGCCACTATAGCAGCTAATCATGTTTGTGTTAATTAAAATTATTGATGTTTTATTGGTTGTTTAACAATAAATGTTTAATTTCCAGGTTACATTAAGGGAGGTGGGATGCTTGATTAGAGTCCAACGGCTGCTCACTCATCATAAACCATCTGTTCAACTTGCAGCAATTACTGCTCTGGGAAATCTGGCCTTGAACAAAGATAATCAAAAGGAGTTGAAAGTATGATTTTATTTCCTCAAGCTTATTTGTTGTGATAAATTTGTAGAGAATACAGTTGTAATAATGTAATAATTCATTATTAATTATGATGTTAATAATGTCAGCAAAAATAGAGATGAGAAACTTTTTTATTTAGTATAAATTTGAGACAAAATATCAGTACCACATTATGATAAATTTAAAAAGACACTAGGTAGCCAGAAAAGTTGATGCTGGTTTAAACGGTTTAGTAGTCGCAATTAAAATGAGTTTAGAAATATTTTATTCTGGGAAATAGACTCCATCGCCATTCCCTTCTCCCAATGTGTTACTAGCCCAGTTATTCCCTTCTTATAAAAGTTTGGGTCCTGGGAGTTAAAAAATAAATTCAGCTCGGTTTCCAGCTGTTGGTGATTATTGAATTCCCGATTCGCATATGATTGTTCATTGCTAAGAAAAGGTGAAAAATCAGATGGGGCCAGATCTGGAGGGTATGGTAGAACTTCCCGACTAACCTTCATTGTCACCTCCTTTGTCATTTTGACTGTATGAGGTGTCCTGGTGAAAAATTGCACCTTTTCTGTTCATGAGAGCAGGTTTTTTTCTGGACCAGGGCAAGAATAATCGTTGCAGGCTTGAGTAGATTTCTGCAGTGAGGTCTGGCCATGTGGTAGGAGTTCATAGTGCACAATGCCTGCCATACTTTACGAAACACAAAGCATCACCTTTTGTTGATGAATATTTGGTTTTCATATCAATGAGGCAGGGCCATTTAGTGATAGTCAATGGTACAATCAGTGTTACTTTACAAGATCCCATTGTTCATCTGTTGTGACTATCTGGTCAAAAAAATTCTCTATTGTGTGCCGTGAAAGCAATGCAGAAGCTTGTTAATGTAGGTCAATTTATGAGCATCCCATTTGCTCAGCATTCCATATTAATGTAAGCTAGAACAAATGGGTTCACCATTTAAATAAAAAAAAGTTAAAGTTAAATACTCTGACAAACTCGTGACATGTTTGTCTCAAATAAAATTCGATATCTTTTCTCAATCATCATTTAAGACAGGTCAACCAGACCGTGGTTTATCTTCAATCCCCTCATTCCTAGAAGCAAACTTTTTGAACCAGTTTTGGGCAGTGTGTTCACTTATTGATTCATCACCGAACTCAGTGCAAATTCTACGAGCTGTGTCTGCTTCCCTAGTACCGAGCTTCAATTTATACAATAAGCACAAATTACGGGCTTTGAAGCCATTAGAAAGAAAATGTTCTCTAAGTTACACAGAACTGTTGAAGGCACTTTTTTTATGAATTATCTGCATAACTGATGCAGAAACATCTAATCCTCCAATATAATTAGAAATGTTAATGGTATTGAAACAATAATAAAAGAAAGACCGCAAAAACTTTTCTTGTTATCTGGTAATTAACATTATTACATGCAAATTAAACATTATTCTTATTTTAGGAAGCTATTCCAATCCTTTCGGCTATTTTATTGAATCAGCCACAAGAAAAAATCCAATTACAGACATTAATAACTTTAACCAATATCACCGTACTTGAGGATTGGCATGAGGAATGTTGTCCGATTTTGCATCATCTATATAACTTAGTTGATAACGGTGCATTTCTAATAAAGTTACAGGCGCTTAAAGTGTTAGTAAATTTGACTTGTAACAGTGAGATGATACCCAGTTTATTGGCAGCACATGTAAGTCTAATCTTTTTATATGTAAGCTAAATATACACCAGTTTGTACTTAATACTGGTTCTTGATCTAGTAATATTACAATCGGGAATAAGTGGAACATGGTAATTTTTTGTTTTAGGCTCCTCGTAAATTGTTGCATTTACTTGACATATCAACTAATGAAGAATTGTTACTAAGAGTAGTAACGCTTCTTGCAAATTTAGCAAATGGTGTTGTTCAACTTCACATTGATCCAATATATGATTTACCTTTAGAAGACAAGGCCCCATCACCAGATACAATGTAAGTGAACCTTTACTTTTATGTTTTATGTTAGTGGTAGGTTTGATCCATCACGAATCCAAACCGTCAGCATACTGGCAGGCGCAGATGTTTCCCAACATTTTTGCTCTTGTCAAATCGCAAAGTTACTCAACTAGGGACCGGAATTATGTGTGAAATAACATACAAATATGTGCATATACATGTTTTTAATTTTTAAACAAATATCCAAGTAAAAAAATAAATAAATAAAAATTAGTTATGCATTTTTTAAAGAATTTATTTACTGATTTTAATTGAAAAATAGGTAAAAAGAAGATATAACAAGTTCATAAAATAGAAAATAAACCTTTTATTTGAAATAACGTACATTTTTAAATTTTTGTAAATAGAATGTATCTTTTGAGTGCTAAAAAAATTATAAAATGAAAAGTCATTAAAAAAATATTAAAGAATTTTACAAGTGAAGTTGTTTAACAAATCATAAATGATGAGAAAAAAAAATCAGTTGAGGGAATCTATTGGCCATGTATATTATTCCATAAACAGTAATATTTTCTCCATATTTAGTTGAATGAAATTCAATTTAAAAAAGTTAGATGTGGTGAATGTATAATATAGAGAGCAAAAAATTGATAAATACTACAAGAGAGGAACAGTTGATATCTTTTTTAATAATTCTGAAGAAACTAACTCATGGTGAACCTTCATATTATCGGCCTGAAATGTGTTAGGGCTACAGACAATGTTTAAAATGTGCCAATTTTGTGTTCACAATTAAATATACCTAGGTAGGCCAGCAGAACCCAGATTATCATCGCTGATCGCCCCAGGAAGGGACTGCGAGAAGTGATAGGTTGAATTCTTGTACATGCGTGTGCAGATTTGAGCTTTGCTTTCTCCTCTAACATTATAATTAAATGAATAATCTGAGTCTTGATGAAAAAATGGCTTCGTAAGTCATAGCAATGTTGGGACTTGGTCAGTCTTCAAAACAATTTGAAAACCATTTATTAAATTTATTAAAAATTAATTATGTAAATTTGTAGACTTATTTAAGATTGTTTTGCCTTAGATTCAGATTATTCATGTGTAAAAAAAATGGACGATACATCTAACACTTTAAACATTATAACTTCAGTTGAATTAATTGCTGGAACAAAAAAATTCTACAAATCTCAGAATATAATTGTCGGAAAGAAGTTTTTTCACTAAAACAATAAAAATAATGATAAATATTAACAATAAGAAATAAACAATGAATTAATTTTACAAAATTTCCCCCCCTTACTCTTCAAATGTTCTCGCATATAAATTATAAAAGATCTATCTTTGTAGCAATGGTTTTTCTAGATATATTGTTCCAACATGAAGATATACAAGTAAGAATATCAAGGCATACCATTGTAAATTTGAAAAGACTAATTCACAATCTAATTTTATTTGTTTTCAATTACTTATTTATGTGTGGTGTTTAGTGACCTTAATGATTATTAGAGATCGTGAGATTCGGTTTGGTGTGATGTAGGTTTAGAAAAACATTTTCTTTATCATGCCAACGTTTCGATATTTATTGAGATCATCTTTAGGGCCTGAGACGTTGGCACCATAAATAAAATGATTTTCTACACCTACATCACACCAAACCGCATCTCACGATCTCTAAACAATAACTTATTTATTTTATTTTGCAGGTATGCAGCTATATACGGGATTAACGTACAAGACAAGATATGTAACAAGGCATTTACCATAATGAACAACCACCCTAACGAAGATATAAGGATAAAGGCGAGAAAACTTGTTGATGCGTTGAAGCCATGAAATGTTACATTGATTTACAAGAAATTCAATAGAACTTTAACAACAAATCGATTAACAATTTATTATTTGTGTACCAAAGATTTTTTGTGATAGTAACTATCTTATTAGTTATAGGTAGAGTGTTTATATGAATTTATTATTTTATGGATATTATTTTCAGTTAAATATTTATTATTTGTTTGGTCAATTAGGTACCAAATTACACTTCAGGATGTAAACTTAAATTTCAACTTGAAAAACTTTATTATTGTATATATGTATTTAGTAATCATAATTGACTACATTAATTATTTAAATTAATTATACTTTTTACCTAAGGTCTTGGTTGAGATGAAAAAGTAGTGTCATAAGTTTTTCATCTCAACCAAGACCTTAGATAAAAGGTATTATTAATTTAAATTTATTCTTGCAATTTATTGTTCTTTAAGTATTTAATATAAATACATTTTGTTACCTTTGTTAGCATGTTTCATAACTCAAGTGTAAAAAAAAAACAATTGATTGATATCCTTGATTAATTTTTAAGGCCAATAGTACTCAATCTATGTTTACATCTTGAACAGCTAATTAATATGCTCATATCGCGATAAGCCATATGTACATTGTTTATTTTATTAAATTTTTATGTGCGTACTTGATACTTTATAAAGTTCTTGTGACTAGATTATATTATCTAATCTAGATTTTATCTGACTAGATATTAATACGCTCAAAAAAGTGGCACACTTTGAAAATTTGATATTTTAGGTACTTGCCTTTTCAGCAATATTAACACCTACATTTTTTTATAATTCAGGTATTTATTAAAAGATTTGATTAGTGTGAAAATAAAAATCTTTTGAAAAAAAAATTTTATTGGGTTTTTTTATTACACACTCTAATCTTCTGGGCATGTTCACTATTAAGCCTTTAACCTTGAGGAATTTCATCTCAAATCTCAACTAATGTAACTTTCAGCTCATCTAAAGTTGAAGGAGTGTTATTTCTTTGTTTTATCCGATGTCTGAGCTCATCCCAAAAGTGTTCAATGGGGTTAAAATCAGGGCTGTGAGCTGGCCATCTTAGAGTGCGAATCACATTATTGCATAACAATCATGGCAATGTGGTCTTGCATAAACAAGAATTGCTTACCAATACCAGGAGCAAATGGCAGTCGAGAGAAAACTGAAACTGAAAACCTAACTTTCATCCATTATGTCCCATGTCGGTGTCCCTTGCAAATTCTAAGCGGCCTTGAAGATGGTCTCTAGTAAGCACTGGACCCGATGCTAGCCTTCTAAGATGTAGACTCATTTCTGCAGTCTCCTTCTTACTGTTTCAGTGCTAATGGACACATCCCACAGCAGCAATGGAAAAGTAATTTCTCAGAGTGAAATTTGATAAATTGGTCATTGGCTGGTCCCGATCTTGTCTCCTAGTACAACTTACATTCTCCCAGTACCACTTAATACTGGCCGTTGTTTGAGGCAAACCAAAAGCTCGCATCACAGAACGTTGATTTCTGCTATCCTCAATGAGTACAATGGCACAGGCTACTTGCTTGCTGATTATGGGCATTTTCATAGCAGTTTTGTTTCATGCCTCCAACACGAAAGTGAATAAAGGTATATTTTTTTAGGGTATTCACCTATGAAGTAATCTTTGAATCCTCGGGATGCCAATACAAAAAGCCCAGTTTTCAGTAAATGTCCTGCATTCGAACCCGGGAAGTTAGTGATGAACACTCTCAATGTCTAACCATTCAGCCACCGATGCCCCTTTTTTTAATGATTATAACCTAGTTGATAGTTCACATTCTGGAGATTTTAAATCAAATTAGGAACTAAGCAGTTTTGCCTAACAATTGGCAACAAAAACAAACACTTACCATTTAATTATAATTATTAAATCATTTTTAAAGTAATAAAACAAAAAAGATGGCCAAAACATTGTCTAATTAAAAAGAAAATTTTCAGAGTGTGCCGTCTTTTTATTTTATTTTCATTTATTTTATTGTTATTATTATTATAATAATTTTTTTCTGGAGCAGTGTGTTTATATGTAAAGTTGCAGTTTAGTAATTGTAATTCTAGATTTTTAGTTCAAGTTGGTATATAAATAAAATATAATTTATTATAACTGGCTTAGATGATAATATTTACATATTATTCTTTTTCAAACAAAAAGCTAAAAATTAATGTAAATTGTAGTGGAAATTTTAATAATAGTATGCATATTATTTATATGCATATAAATTATATATTATTGCATATATATGCATACCTATTCCCCCCCTCTGAGTGTCACCATTGTATTTAAACATGTTAAATGTTCAATCGTCTGTTGGGTAGTGTTTATGAATTATACATTTATGTGCCGCTTATATTTTACTATAAAATAGGTAGATTTCTAGTCAAATAGAAGAATTTAGGTAGCTTATATTTATAAATGAACTGAATTAAAGCATTTCTCTATCTCTCTCTTTGTCGATCATTATATATATTTAAAAAAAAATATATGTTTAATAGAGAACAAAATATTATTTTACAAAAACAACTTTTAGTATATTTTTATTGCAAAAACTTTGTTAAATTTTAAATATTTTTGCTAAAATAAATTTTTTGGATCACATCTTAGTGTATCTAGTATTTTTTGATTGCATGGAAAATATATTTTTGGAGAATTTTCTTTCAGTCTCAGCAGCATTTCTCGATTATTCAAGTAACAATTGAGATATTTGAAGTGTTTTTTTTTTTTTTTTAACTTGTATGTAAAACAGTAAATAGGCTATCCTATAGTGAACAATTGTCAGAATTTTAATTCAAACTTAGTACCGCTTATATTACCCTCTTAAATATTGAAACAAGGAAAAAATTAGGCCGGTTATCAAAAATAATGTATAAACCAGATTGTTTTAATTCAAATGTTAAATTTCTGTCAGTACTAATTACACTGAATTTTTGTTTTATTGTAAAAACCCGGGCCTCTTGTTTGAACTGTAACTAAATACTCAGACTTTAATGGAATATTATTTTGTATTTTATTGCACTAATATTTTTACTTTTATTCAGCTCTGCCCTGGTAAAAAGAATGCCATATTTTCGAATTTTCCAACTTAATTTTTTTTCTGTTGAATTCGTTTCCTATTGAAAATTTCAGATTAAAATATTGAAATTTTATTAACAGGTTAAAACACTTTGGAGAAAATACTAGTTTAAAAAAAATGAAATTTTATCATACCTTAATAAAAAGTGCTTGTATTACTAGATAAAATTAATGTTATTTTCCACTTGTTATACACCATAAAAACTCATTTCCTATCAATTAGTGGGGAGATTCATTGTATCAAACAAAGGAAATTGAAATTAAGGGGTATTAATTTAAATATGTGATTCATTATATATTAATTTACTATTGCATTGTATAATTTAAAAAAAATACGCTTATAAAAACACTTTATTTTCAGATACGTTCTTTTTGGTTAGTAATTATCACTAATCTTTACTAGTCAAATTTAACGTAACATCTTTTTTTTTTTTTTTTTTTTTTTTTTTTAAATAGGAGTGAATCGATAAACAAGTTATAAATTACAATAAAAAAGCTTTCAGGAGTATAAAAAGTAAAGGTAAAGTCCTAGGCCAAAAATACCAAAACAGTAGATACGGGGCATATGGCATTTCAAATACAGGACAGAGTTTTGTTAACAATAAGTACTTTAATAACACTATAAATTCTACATTATTTGTTCATTAAAAACATTAATTATTAATATTAGTAAAAGTTGTAATGAAACTTTCATATTTTTTTTGATTCTTCGTTTTGTTATTAAAACCTGATAAATTTTCTATATCCCTACAATTCAGTTGGTATGTTGTACTGAATAAATTTGAATTAATTATAATAAATTTATCATAAAATAAGGATAATACAGCATATAGAAAAACCTAATTTTTGAAAAATAAGCCTTAAATAATACAAATTATAAAAATAAGATATATGAAAAACTGTCCCATTGTTATTCTTGTTATTTATTAGTGTTTATTGATACCACTGATTTTGAAATCTATTGACCAATTAAAAATATATTTTTATTAACATTTGATCATACATAATAGATAATTTAATGAGATTATCTGTTCAAAAGTATTGAACTCGCTTACTATTTTTATGATGTTCCCTGGATGTGCATCAAAAATTAAGTATACTTTTAAATTGTATTTGTCAACTACAAGATATAGTAAACAGCCGTAGAAGACATACCATTCAAATTTATAAAATGCTTCAGTGTCTACTAGCCCACATGTTTTCTATTTGTCCTATTTTTTTAAGTTTTAATTTAATAAAATGGATGAAATATTTATGTAAAAAGGTTTAATCGGAATGAGGAAAGTGATAATATTGTATGCACTAGGCATTTTCTGTTTGTAAGTACTGTTTGCCAACAATTTATTTAAAAAATTATCTCTTATAAATTAACCAAAAGTATTGTGCAATTTTCATTGTTTTTTCTAATAATTTAAGCATTGATTTCAGGGCCATCCTGGTTTTTGTGATAATTGTGTTCTGTGGAAATATCATACACACAGTGTGTTGAGTGTGTTTGTTTTACTATTTTTCAATTTGCTAATTCCTTGCAAGGTGTAATAAAAAAAAAAAATGTGTATATTTTGTAGATCTAAGTGGTAGAAAAACTCGCGCAAAAGAGAAAAAAATGCTGGAAAGTTTGATTTTCTGCCTGTCGAGGCTTATGAAAGTTCATATATCTAAAAATATATTTGTCAGAATGAAACTGAGAAATGTTGAGGATTAAAATTGTTGAATGTGAAATGAGAATCGAGTTAAATAAAATGTTATGCCTAAGTGTATGCCTAACTGTTATTGCTACTTTGTTAAATAAATGAAAACATTTATCTTTACATTTAGTAGTTGTCAATTATATTTGCTTGCTTGCAAATTAATACCCAGTAGTTGTAGGATTATATATATTCATATTCCACAAGTAAGAAGTTTCTTCTATATATAAACTATGTGTAATTATGTATATGTAGTAAGTTGTTTATAAGCTATAAGTATAACAAATGTGCGTAAGTATAAAAAAAATTATCTGTGATAACTCACTTAGCGCCATCCATGGATATGCTCTCCATAGATCCACTAATCCAAGAAATTCATGAAAAAATAAATAAATAAAAGAACTAGGTTGTAGAAAAATTTAATGTCAACGGATTCAGGAATAATTTGCAAAATAATAGAAAAAGGTTCTGGCACGCCATTGGAGTCATGGAAAGATACGATATAAAGATACACAAAAGAAAATAAAGATCCTCCTAAACTCATCATTGGGCATCAGTTAAAACAGATACTTTCGAGCCAAAGTAAATGCGGGTGCAGATTTGAACTTATAAATCAATCCATTAAATTTCGTGGTCTGATTGACCAATTAACTTCTTTCAATTAATTAATCTTTATGTAAGGTATGGGTTGAGATAAAAAGTCAGTGTCACGAGCGGGATTCGAACCCACGACCTTCGGNGCGGTCTGGTGACCAAAGGTGACCATATGGTCACCAGACCGCATCTCACGATTTCTGAATAATTATCGATTAACGGTCACTAATCACCACACATAAATCAGTAACTTTTGCATTCAACATTTCATATACTAGAAATTTAGTTAATAGGTATACAATTAACATTGTATTGCCCTGGTAAAGTCCAATAATTTAGAAAGTATGAGAAATTATTGACCCAATTACCTAGGCATAAATTACCCAAATTCCATGTGGTTTTGGTAATATTGGTAAACTTTTCCAATTTTAACATATTGTAACATTTGTAATGTCATTGAAACCACATTTGTATCTTGTTTTTCTCCCCGACTGACCCACAGAAACATTATATTGGAGGAAATTAATAGAGAAAGGTCGTTCAGTGTATCACACTTGGTCGAGGAGTGCCAGACCTTGGATGCTTATAGGGAGCATATAGGCATGACAATATAAAGACAGTCCAGCACGAGATGCACATGTGCAGATTTGAGCTCATATAAATCAGTAACTTTCGCATTCAACGTTTCATATACTAGAAATTTAGTTAATAGGTATACAATTAATATTTTATTACCCTCGTAAAGTCCGATGAATTAGAAAGTGTAAGAAATTATTGACTCAAATTATCTACACATAAATTACCTAAATTCCACGTGGTTTTGGTAATATTGTTAAGCTTTTCCAATTTTAACATATTTTTGTAACATTTATAATGTCATTCGAACCACGTTTGCATGTCTGATTTGTTTTTTTTTTTTTTTTAAATTGAGATAAGGTAAAATTGACCCAAATTATAATTATGGGCGCGTGTATACCCACGTCGGCATCAAATGCAGTTTCAATATATCATTTATTATTATCTTGACGTTGATAAAACAGGATTTATAAAAGGATTAAAATTTTCGCAGTTCGGCTTATTTATTTATTATTTTTTTATCTATTTGCTTATTTATTTATTAGATAATTGAAAATGGAGCGCATGCGCGAAGATCAACGACCTGTTACTCGACTTTGCTCCCTGCTCTACGTCTAGGCAAAACAGGCAGAAATCTATCCTAGGACCTTTCTAATCCCTTCTCTTTTGAGTTTTTTTGTTGCCTTCTTCACCATTTTCATTACCTACACCTCTAAAGACCGTCCCAGACGCAGGTTCTCCCTAGGGGCTTTTTTGGTCCAATATTTTCTTGAAAGTCTAGGATTTCGTTTTGATTAAAAACGATGTCGTTTTTGTCCTGTTTAATGAGAAGTTTGCCGACGAAATTGTTGAATAATTCTCCAGCATCGTCGACAACCCAGGTATTTTAGCCACATTCCTATTTTAATTTTACTTATTAAACTGTATTTGCTTTCAATTTAATCTACTTTCTATTTATAAATTGCGTTTTTTTTTAAATTTTGATTGTCATTAGTGATATTGCCGAGTCATAATCGTTCTGGGTTTGCCCACACGCTGATGGCCGACGAATCCACTTGTTGATTTTAACAATCTGTTTAACCGACCCGTAATTTTTAGTTATTTATTTTTCTCCGTCTCAGGAGAGTTTTAAAAGAATTACGTTCACTCCGAGGCAAAAACAAGAAAAGAACGGTAATACTTGCTGTTCTCATTTGCCATTGAATCCCTCCAAACACATCCCAGCCAGCCAGTTTGCCAATTTCCTCGCGAAAAATTTGAATTTTGCGCGCTAAACCCCTCGACCTTGGTGGAACGCAATAAAAAATTGCAATTAAAAATAACATTTGACATTTGAATTATTGTTTTCCGCCATTATTGTCTTATGCCACGTTTTTTCACCTGTTTTTAATTAGCATTATTTTTTCATAATAATTTTTTTTTTATAAAAAAAGCTATAGATACATATAACAAAAAAATTACTCTCGGGTGATTATTATATTAATTACAAGTTTAATCCTAGAATAGCTCAAAAATTGACAAATGTATACTGAGATTATTTTTCATTATAAACCTTTTTTTTTCATACAAAGCAGTTCATACATATTAGGAAAAAACTGACTTTCGGATATTTGCAATAGTTTAAAAATAAATTTGATGTTGGTTCAATTAGTTCTGGTTAAGCAATCATTAAGCCAAAGAAAGATAAATATATTTCAAGAAAACCCTATAGGTGTTCATTTCCAGATCAAGATGAGATAGATTCACAGATTTCAAAATTGTTGGACGATGATCATCAATCAATCTCACCTTTTGCCACTCCAGTATCATTAGCGTTCAAGAAAGAATATGGAAAAAGAACGTGATGATGTGTGGATTTCAGATAATTAAATAGAATAGTGGTACTTGAACCACAACCATTTCCCAGGATAGAAGATCTAGTTGTAAATGTTGGTAGTTGTAGTTGGTCTACAGCATTAATTCAACTTTTTGATCCAATCCAATTAGAATCAAAGTCTGTAAGAAAACTGCATTTGTAACACAACACAAGGACACTGGCAATGGAAAGTACTTCCATTTGGTTTTAAAAATTCACCAGCTATATTTTCAAGAATGTTAGCAAATATAATTAAAAAATAAATTAGATAAATTTTGAGTCAATTATATAGATATATTGATCTCTTCAATATCATTTAATGAACTGATTAGATTATTTTTCGAAACAGTTAAAGTTCAGATTTAAATTGAAATTAACAAAATGTTTTGTTATGCATTCTGTAAAATATTTATGACATGTGATAGAAAATGGTAAAGTTTATCCCATCAAAGATAATCTTAGTGCAATCCTAAAATTCAAAAGTCCAACAACAAGAAAGATGGTTCACCAACTGTTGGCGAAGATTTATTTTTACCACAAATTGACGACTGCACACAAAAGCATAGTTAGCACTATTATACACTTTATTACAGAAAAATTTAAAGTCCAAATTGTGAGAAGAATGTGAAAAATGCTTTGAAGAAATTAAACATTACCTATTCTCACCCCTCATTTGGGCTATTTATGACAAAAACAAGGATACAGTACACAAGGAAGTAGGCGCAAATCATTTAGGCTTAGGTGCAGTACTTACACAGACTCAGGGAGATGGAATTTTACACCCTGTAGGATATTTTTCAAAGAAATTAACTTCAGGTCAAATAAAAAAAAAATGTTTTTAGAATGTTTTGCAATAAAAGAGACAAATTGGTAACATTATTTGATAGGTATAGGGTTTGTAGTAATATCAGATCACAAACCACTTATAAACATAAAATCTAAATCAGAAACTGATGAGGCATTAGGTGATTTGATATTATATTTGTCTCAATATAATTTTAAATTTATATTTATTTATATTGATTTATAAAAAGGTAAAGATAATATAGAAGCTGATGCTTTATCTAGAAATCCACTGTTAGAAAGTTGTGAGATTAATGATGATTGTTTAAATATAGTGAATGTGATTGACTTAAAAGAAATAATGGAGGATCAAAATTCTAATAAAAATTAAATTGAAAACTAAACGACATTTAAAGGATGGTGGTATAATTTTAAAAATAATAAATAACTGAAAAAGAATTTGTTTCTAAAGTTTGGATTATACTTGATAAAACACACCCATTTTTTGGGCGTATTGGTTGTAGTCATATAGCTGAGAAAATATCGTTTTACTATATCAGGAATATGGATAAACTATATAATCAATTCTGCAAAACCTGCAAAAATTTATAAAAAATAAATCTAGATCAAGCTGAGAAATTGGTTTACTGTCAAAATTGGGTCCTGCAAAATATCCGTTTGACACTGTCCATTACAGACTTTGGTGGCAACCGTTCAGTAAAGAAATATATGCATTTAGTAGTTGATCATTTTAGTCATTGAGGACACAAGTTACAAATTATTTTATCAAATTAATCGATCCTATCGCAAGGGAGCAGGAAATAAAAATATTGTTAGCAGATCAATAGTGCATTAAAAAATATAGAAAATTTAAACAATATTTAAAGAAATGAAAATCCAGTTGGGTTTTACATCAGTAAACAACCCTCAACCAAATGGCTTGAATGAACAATTAAATCAAACTTTGTTGAATAGAATTCGTTGTAAAATAAAAACTAACCAAAATGATAATTATATTCCATGGATGAGAATAGCCTATTTATGTTCCAAACTTCAATTCATTAATTTAGGAGACCATGTGAGCCTTACAAATTACATATTATTTTATGCTAACAAAATATACTAAACTATAATAAAAAACTAAACCACAATCATGACTGCTGATTGTGATAAGATATGTAATTGGGCGAAAGTAAAAAAATCCAAATTAAGTGTGTTTGAGATTATGTATGTTGTGTAGATGCAATACTAACAACAAACTTAAGCTTGAAATAGCCCCAGAAACAAAAAAATCTACACTGAGATTATTTTTCATTATAAACTTTTTTTTAATACAAAGCAGTACATACATAATAGGAAAAAAGTGACATTCGAGTTATTGCATTATGCAATAGTTCAATTAAAACTGAAGACTCAAATACTTTACTCTGACAAATCGCCAAAGTATATATTTTATGTGAAAAAATATAACAAACAGTATCAAAAAACACAGTTTTAAAAAACTCATGTACTACAAATCTGTACATGTATGTGGATGGTTTTTTCAGTTAAGTTGTGAACAAACAACTTATATATAATAACATAATATCTATAATGTCTAAAACATTAGAAACAATATTCCAAACTGTTTAAAACACAGTTTAAAAATATGTTCACCGATTTAGGTCATTTCATTCAAATCTTACTGTCTTGGATATTCACTATAAACTGATTTGATTATTTTGCACTAATATTTCAGCAACTATTGAAATTTCGAAGTTTTGCAAGTCGTGTTTCAAGCATGGAGAAGGAATCACTCGACACAGAATCAGATTCGGACAACGAATGGAATCCAAGGGAGCTAAAAGTAAGCCAGTAATGAAAAAAAAGGTTTTAAATTTATATTTATTATTTTTATATTTAGGGTCTGTTTTTGTATTACTTGTACAGGGAAAATCTGAATTTTGGAGGCGAAAAATGCGTACATTTCATAGCATTCTTGATATAAATAAGGATGGAGTGATTTCATTTGATGACTTTAGAATACTAGTCGACAGGTTTGTATATTTAGGTCATTTAAATCCTCTTCACCAGAAAGAATTCAACGAAGTTGTTCAGGTATTTTGTCAAATTCATCAATTTTTCATTATCAGCAGTGAAAATATCTTTTATTTTCAGTCAATGTGGGAAGAACGTTGGGGAACAATTAGTCCTTACAATTTAGTTACAACAGAGCAATATTTAGAAGATATGTATCACATTGTTAATGACAAACAGCTAAGGAAAAAAGTTCACAATTTTCTTCCATACTTATTCAAGGTAAAAATCACTTTTATTTTTAAAATCACATGTTTTGATTTATTTCATGTTAGTCTTTAATAAGATTTTTTAAGTAATAAATTATTAAGGTAAATAATCTAATAATTAGTTATTGTATATTTACATTAGACATTACATGTATTATTATACATATATATTATTATACATTTCTTTTTATAGGCAGTTGATAAGGATAAAAGTGGGTACATAACTGCCGAAGAATTCAAATTGTTTTTTAACTGTCTCGGACTTCCTCGTGATGTAAGATTACAAAAAATATTTCATTAGAATTTATTTACACAAAACAAAATAATATATGTTTTTCAGGTGGCTATAGTATCGTTCACAGCAGTAGATCAAAATCTGGATGGACGTGTCTCATTGAAAGAGTTCGTTAAAACTGGGCGTGATTTCTTTTTAACAGAGGATCAAAGAAGCCCAAGTAAGTTATTCTGGGGACCTCTTGTTAAATAATATGACTATTTTTTAAATATAATAAATAATACAATTATGTATAATTTCAGTTTATTTTAATATGTTAGTTTTTGACCAATTTACAAACAGTAAATTTTCCATTAATAATTTATTTACATTATTCCTATGGTTGTTTCTAATAGAATGGTGTTATGATATTGATGTTTTACTTTATTATAGTGTATTGATATTATTTAAAAAAATGGAAACAACTAGCTGTCTATATTTTTTTATTTTATGATATATTAAAATTGTTGGTTTACAAAGGGCACAAAGTTTATACTTGAATTCCACTGAAATAAATTTGGTTTTGGCATTTTGTAGTAGAATGTATTATTTTAAAAAAATCCTTCTCCATCTGTAAAATCTGTGTAAATACATTTATTGCTAAGGCATTATAAATATGGCCGTTTTGGTCATTAAATTAATAAATTAGAATTCATTCATTCTACAACATTTACGCTGTCATTTCTGCCAACTTGTACTGCAATCTTGGATTTATGAAATTTTAATGTTATTCCTCTCTTGAATAACTTATTCATTTATTTTTAAAAAGTAAAATTTTTAAAAAATATCTTCTTATTTTCATATTATCTGTACTTCTTCCTTTTACAGTTGTGTTTGTAAAATGTGACTTCAAACTTATAGTTTCATCCATTGATCGACATCTTACAACAATACACTTTAATCACACATGTCATTGCATAGTAGTTCAATCAAGAAAAAAAGCCACACGAAGAACTTCGGGCATGTTGTGTTTGAAACAATACATGCTCCCATTTATGTTAAGTTTCAATTTGTCCTTAACATAAATCATACAGTACTTGATGTTTAATCATTAACTGTGGTTTGCAAGGTTCAATAACATTATTAGATGATTTTATTTCATGTAATGGTATGCTTACATTTGTGATTTGCCAATTGCATAATCGCAAATTTCATTTGACTTAACCAATATTATAGCTGATCCATAGTTTTACTATATATCATATAGTACCTAATTTACATAACTATTCACTGTTTTTATTTATCTTTTTTCCAAAGGATTTTTTTTTTAAGTTGAATAGTTATGGGTTTGTGTCTATGTAAATATTTATTAAATTCACTAGTTTTAGTGGTCCGCTTTGAAAAATGGCAAAAAGTTGGGAAAATCAAAAGGTGGGGTTGAGATGGAAGTTAGTGTCCGAGTGGATCGAAGTCACGATAGCTCATCAAGTGGTAGAGCAGCGGCGTATCTAGCCGAAGGTGGTGAGTTCGAATCCCGCTCGTGACACTGACTTTTTTATCTAAACTAAAAACCTTAATTAATTGAAGTAAATATTTAGTTTTAACAACCATGAGCCATGGAGAATATGGACGAAAAGAAAGGTTAGTGACGACTTGATGATACCAAAGTAGCGTGTGGGCATTTCCTAATTAACAAAGGCTACGGAGATGCCCTTATGCAGTGCCGAAATAACTGCAAAACACTTATTTGTAGAGTGTGAACATTTGGCAATGCACAGGTTTTGCTTGTACGTGAATCTCAGGCACACAGCAGTGATGGCAGCGAAAACTTGTTTGGGTACCTGAAGAGGGTAAATGCATATGGTACGCATTTAATTGCTTTCCACATGTGGTTTTGCCCGTTTAGAATGAATGCATTTATTAGCGTGTTTTTGAGAGAATGAGTGTTGTTTGTGATGGAATAATAGAGTACTCACATACCCACCAAACTAGGTTAGTTATTTTATCTTTCTATTAATGTATTTATTAGCATGTTTGGATAGATGTGGGTTTGTGGCAGAATATCGTATCACACAGCCCCACCAATAAGACTAGTGACTCCCCCCCATTTTTATCTGAACATATGGTTTGAATGTATTTATTAGCATGAGTGTTTGAGTGAATGGATGGCTTTGTTGCAGATTATAGAGTAAGCCATGGGCCCATCATACTAAGTTATTTTGTCGTACTGAACGAATGTATTTATTAGCGTGATTGGTTGAATGAGTGAATGTGTGGGTAGGTTTGTGCCGGAATGTAGAGTACCCCACAGACCCACCAAATTAGGCTAGTAATATCATACTGAAAGAAACGAATTTATCAACATGAAAAATTGAGTAAGTGATAGTGTGAAACCCTTGTGCTTTCAAAATTATTAAATGTAAATGTAGAATAAAAGCTTCTAGCTAGTTTGAACTTATGTATTTATTTGCATGAATGATGGTGGTCCTCAGTTGAATATCCTGTAAGTATTGATACCCACTAAATTTAGGTTATACCGCAATATATGTATAAACAAAAGTTATACAGCTTTATCGTGTGAAAGGGCCAATTAAAATTGATGGTAGAGTTCTATTAGTTCCATTAAAAAAGAAAGATCACCAGGCCCTCATACTAAAGAGTATGAAATTTTGTCAATAAAAAACAAGCTGTTTCATTTTTTTTTTTTTTTAATCCTCTAATAATTAGTGTTTACGCCATTTCTTAAAATTTACCGTTCAATCGCCCTTCATACATTACCTTTTGTCAGACACCTTTAAACTTCTTGTTTTAAATTTCATTAATACTTTTTGTTTCCTTCCATATTCAATCCCAGTCTAGAGTCAACCGCCAGATGATCCGTTTCCCTGCATCCTAACCTTAAATAAAAGGGTAGTCTGGAACAAGTCTGTGCTTGTCACCCTGCATACAGGTAAATTCTAATTTAATTTTAATTTCCTTTTATTATTTTTACTTATTCTTTTTTTTCATCCGCCATTTTCTTGCTAGCGGCCAACCAGTGGCCCTAAGAACTAGTTAAAAAGTAAAAACAATCAAAGAATTTTTAAACTGATTTTTCCTTAACAGAATTAGTAGTCAATGCGTTAGTAGTTAAAAAAAGGATAACAATAAACAATATTTTCAGAAACAGAAAACAAAAAGAATAAGAAATTATAATTTGTAATCTTGTATTCAAATCTAAAGAATGATACAAGTAACAAGTTGATTTGGTAACATCCAGATTTTGTAAATGTACATACAAAATAATATTAAAATAACTGTAATAATGATGTAAGTTTGATTGAAGATGTTATAATAGAGAAAAAATAATATAATCAACAGCGATCTCTTGATTTATAAAGAAAAATCAAATTAACAATTGAAATTCCATGAAAAAGATATACAATCTTGAATAATTTGTGAGTTTTATTTTGTTTCTTTCATACTTTTGGTGTTTATATTTATTTTAATATACAAACAATATCACATTAAATAATATAATTCCTATACTCTACTTCTATTCATTATGTATTCAAATTTACAATTCACTTAAGCATGTTAAGCCCAGAAAACTAATGGATCTACTGAAATATCGTCCAATTAATTTTTAAATCACAGAAAATGTTTTTTTAAAAAATTACAGTTGTCTCATTTTGATTTTGTAAAACAGTGATGATCGATTTTTTTCTCAGTAAGTTTACTTTAAAAATAGCCACTTGATACAGAATGTTGAGAATTTTTGGAATATTGGGCCTCTTAAATGAATTTTTTATTTACCATTTATCAATGTAATTTAGTAATATAGAATAGTGGTGAAATATTTAGTAAATAAATTTGCCCTTCAATTTCAGAATTTTTAATTTATTGTTGAACATATCTCATTATTTGGTAACTCATGATATCCATTAACAATAATTGTGATAATTGCATTCTGTATCATACAAAAAAAAAAATTGTAACTGTCAATCAGATTTTAAAAGCCAATAAAATAACAATATATTTGGTATTTTTAATAAATTATAAATAGGACCAAACTGGTACTGGCACCTCCAAGAAATATATATGTATATATATAATTAATATAAAAATTTATTTTTATAATTAAAATACAAATTACTATTTAAAAGGTACTTATAATAATCAGTATCTTGTACAATAAACTAATTTAAAACTTGTAATAGTAATCTTTCAGAAGGAAATACTTTTCTTTTTATTCTATTACTTCGTTATTTGATATAATTCTTTTTTCAATTGATATCGTGGTATAATAAATTCATCAGACGAATGGAACTCCCTTATGTACAAAATATAAGAATACTGAGGTCAACTGCCATTTGTTTGGAAATGATTTGGCGCACCACCAAATGTACACTTCAATTTGTAAGCTTCGGCAACAAGAACATTAATATCACTATCATTCCAATTTTGCGTTGGCAGATTCTGAAGCATCAACATTAAACCCTGAAAATAATCCACACACCCATTTAGAAAATTATGGTAAATATACAGATTTCGCGTGAATTTAGTAATAAGTTAATATGTGTGCTGCTTGACTGTTTAATGTTTCAGCACCACAGGGCTATAAGTTTTTAAATGTGTACAGTATAAATACATCTACATCTTCTATCATTAACGTATCCAAGTCAGTGCTTTTAAAAAAATCTAAAATTGAGTCTGGCGTTGTGTTACATGAATGTGATTTATTAATGTGAATGAGGGGATCATCCTCCACCTCTAAGGATATCAAATACTCAGGGGTGAGAAGAGTTGTGTTGCCTGGAGAGTGAAGTAATTTATTAACATGAATGGGGGGTTTAAACCAGCCCCGAGGAATATCAAGTACTCTGGATTATATATAGTTATATATTTTTACTATGTTTTATAATTAATATTAAGGCCATTTATGAAAAGGAAAAAAAAAATTGCCGCCTCAGAGAGTTGACGGTGTATCAGGCTTCCGCATCCAACGTGTTAATGTAGTAATTATGTTCAATTATGAAAAAACTATTGTAGAACAAACATTTGACTTTTTGTCTACGATAAAATGATTTTCAAACTGAAAACAAATGCCAACTTAAGTATTACCTGAAAATCTTTTTTTTGTAACAGATCTTGAGTCCAATGGAGTAAAAATGCTGCGCAGACAAATAATTGAAATGAAGCAAAAGTGTCTAATTCTGCAAGATAAGTATCCCATAGGCGAATTAAACATCGTAGAGGTAGCTCTCTAGTGAGTAAATTGTTCATCCAACGGAATGAAAACTGGATATACTCTACTCCGTTATCTTGCAAATGCCTATGCAGCGTCCCTAGAAATTACAACTTAATACTTTAGTATTAATGGATAAGAAAATATTTTATTTTTAAATGACATTAATAAAAGGAAAAAGTTTATGCAGGAGTAACTTTTTGCTAATGGTTTATAAAAAATTTCACACAGTAGGTATTATTAAAATATTCTCTTACCATCAATTCTATTTATTAATTCCTTTAGGCGGCTTATTTTCTCTTGTATTCCCAATTGGGGGAAAATATAATTGTCTTTTATACCAACCAAAAATTTACTGAAACACCAATAAGAATCTGCTTCTACTAAGTCTCGTTTCATTTGGTCTATATCTTCTATCATTAATGTATCCAAGTCAGTGCCTTTAAAACAATTTAAAATTGAGTCTGGGGTTGACAATTTTTAATTATATTAATTACAATACCGGGATCAACCACTTGGTGTAAAAATACAATAAAAAATGGTGTCACAAGATCATTGATTCCTTGAACATAACCAGATTCTGGATGTCTCACAGCCCAAATGAATAATATTCTCTCAAACATATTTTGAACAGCTTTTTGCCTAAATAATGGAATAGTGGGACTCATTCTAGGGATATCGATATGTATCTGAAATTTTTTTTTTAAATTATAAACAAAGAAAGAAACCTCAATATTGAGGTGTAGAACTGATATATTTCACCTGTCGATATGTTCCCTGGTGTAAATTATCTCTAGTATCTGACTCATAATACTCTTTAACATAATACCAATATTCCAGACGTAATTTGTTTAAAGTTTCTTGTCGAATATCAGAACAAGTAGGGGCATACTTCTGTAAAAATAAAATTAGGTCATTTGGCAAACACTTTTAAGTTAAAAATTGGTTTTGACCGTATAAATGCATTTACCGATAAAATTCTCCAAGTATCTGCCTTAACAGAAAACGGAATACCAGGCCAACTGAGATTTTGCAATTCGCTTAAATCTAATGCAGGGGATTCAAGAAGAATCTTAAATTTTTTAATTTTGTTTTTAACTGCAGCTGATTCTACAAAGAAAACAGTTATAAGTGCAATGTTCTGGCAAATTTTATCCTTTAATTGCATTACCTGTTGAATGGCTTTCAGCTGATTCAATTCCACAAATAACGGACTGTTTTTTAATTTTGGCTAAAATTAAGATATTTTTAAAAACTGACAAAATTAAAATTATTTGTAATTAACATACATAAGTTGTTTGTTGGTCCTTTGTGGGCATTGCTCTGTGTCACTCGTAAGTTTTCTTGAGCACTTTGCTTATGTATATTAATTACACCATCTCCAGTTAGGACATTTTTCTTCATTGGTTTTACAGCTGCAACATTAGGTTTTCATTGAAAAACACACAATGTGCCAATATAACTGTTAGTTCTTTTTGGTTTACCGCCGTACATTTAATCTGGATTAAATATAAAACCATGCGACACATGCAAAATATTTAAATTGTCTCCCACAGAACTCACTTGATATATGGCAAAACTCATCATCTCCCATGTCCCAAACATCTTTTATACTCTGTTGAAATTCTTGGAAGGATGTTGATGATGATGTTGATGGATTATTTGTTGAGACTTTAGCAGCTTCTTTTCTAGGACTTGGCCTAAAAGTACATTATACCAAATATAATTTTTTTTTTTTTTTTACTTTAAATTTGTTCAATACTAATAAATAAAATAACAATGGCCTACATTTTATAGTTTATTGCATTTTCTTCGTATGACCTAAACATAAAACAAATAGTCAAATGCCAGATTTGTTAGATAAATTATACAGGTGAAAAAATTCTTATATTTATTCAGAAAAGTATTTGATCTTTTTTTCACTTTCTCTCGGAATGCACCCAACTGTTTGCACTGAAATTCAATGAATTTTCATCCCGTATACAACCCTAAATGTTAAATTATGACCTTTACATTGTGTTCGTGGTAAAGTGGTTAGGAAATCCTAACATGCAGTATATCCCATTCTTACTTCATAAATAATTTGTCTCATAGATTGAACATCAAGAGTTATTTAATTGCACCAGATTGTTTTAAGTTTATTATCCTCCCTTACTGAGAAATAATTCCCATTATCTAGGGCTCTATTATCAAGGAAGCCAATTATCCATTTTTAATTTATAGTTTAATAGTAACTTATCACCTTGGTCTACTTATATCTTGCTGATTTTATCTGTGTGACAACCTGGCATGGCTAAGATTGCCAGTGCAAATAAAATTCTATTCTGGATGCAAGGCATCAGGTTGTGCATCATATGGAAAAAATCCGAGCTTGCTAGGATCGAGTCGCAGGTCTGAACTGACTAAATGAACTTATCTAACTAAATGACTGAAATTATCTATTATGAACAATTTTAAATCTACAATGTTTTAATAAGCCTTTTAACTTATTTATTCAAACATGGCTGAAGACAAAAGGTCAATGCCAAAAAAAACAAAAAACTTATTTATACATGAATTTCATGTTAAGGTGGAAGGAATAATTAGTCAACCACAAATTATCAAACAAAATGGCTACTTTTTCTCACTTTTTGGTCTTTGGAAAGTTAGAGTCAACGAAAAATCAAGATTTAGCCCATTAATATCTAGGTTTTTGCTGGACAAAAGCCTCTTTTCCTAACAATTATGACCTTTGCAATAAAAAAAAAGAAGAAAAAAATGCCATTTTAACCCAATGTATCAGGACAAAATGCTAACCAAGATGATAGGTAAATATGAAACTATATCCTACAGACCATAGGAGGTGATCTCACATTTTATTATTATTTTATGTATATTAATTTAAAATTGTTTGATCGGTGATAAGAGTTATTATAAAAACTGTAACATTAACCACACAAATCCTAGCCAAATTTAACCTGGGGTTTGTATAAGACCATTTTTTGCTAAAGTTAATCATTTCTGAATCAAATGGGTGAACTATAGAAATTGATCCACCCTGTATATGACTATGAGTATTTTTTGGGGAGGTGGAAGTGGTGTATAAAAAATGACAAGAGGCGACAGTGGGAATCGAACCCACGACCATGGGGGTCTATGAGCCAAGAGTCTGTCACCCTAACCACTCAGCTAACACAGTCCCCCTGGCTATTATTTAATGTATAATACATTAGTTAATTTTGTTATGATGGGAAAATGTTCAGTTATTCACTTATACCATTTCTTTTTAATTATTTGTAGTTATAATTAATGTTATATTTCAAATGTAAATGTTCATTTACCTTCCTGGAATTGGTTTGGAGTTCTTTTTCCAAAATGATCCCCTACCATCTTCTAAGTTTTCATCTCCTCCGTCCATTACTCCTGAAGGAGTAAGGTAGTTTTGTGGAATTAGCAACACTCAACGTTTGACAAAAATTTCCTGGAAAAATTCCTTATCTTTAGTAAGTTCATGAAATGAAATTCATTCCAGATAGTAAGAACAACCTATACGCCTATTCTCAAACCAATAGTTGACTATGAGTATTTTTTGGGGAGGGGGAAGTGGTGTATAAAACTTTATAAAGTATAGTCTATATTTAAACGCATGTCAAGGTACTTTAATTTTCAAGGCCTCCTCCTCAGTATATGAGGTTAAAGAGGCTTGACAGTATACTAGAGATGTTCAAATTTTACTTTTAAAATGCATCCCCTTCAATCTAAATAAAAAAGTTTATATTTGGAAAAGCTGAAATAATCACCAAAACCAAATGTTTAAAACAAAAGTAACCAATGTAAAACGGTTAAGCCAATCCAACCAGAAAGATGCAATTATTCTGTATTGAACTAGTACTCACCACTTTGAACTCCATACAGCCAGTGCATCCTTGCTCATAAAATTACATTGGGATTCCGAGTCTACAGTCATAACACAAATATCTGAAATCAACAAGAGAATACTTAATTCCTTAAATTCACTAATTTCGTGGTCCGCTTGACCAATTAATATATTACAATTAATTAAAGTTTTTAGTTGAGATAAAAAAGTCAATGGCACAAGCGGGATTCGAACCCACGACCTTCGGCTAGATACGCCGATGCTCTATCACTTGAGCTATCGTGACCTCGATCCACTCGGACACTAACTTCCATCTCAACCCCACCTTTTGAATTTTCTCTCCTTTTTGCCATTTTTCCAATGTCGTGTATATTAATTGGTCAAGCGGACCACGAAATTAGTGAATTTAATGATTTAAAATGAAGTACACTTCACTAAAGCTCTCCGTGGTCATTTCATTTGTCACCGAGAATCCAATCTGATTACACAACATTTGAAAAATGGCAAAAAGGAGGGAAAATTCAAAAGGTGGGGTTGAGATGGGAAGTTAGTGTCTGATTGGATCGAGGTCACGATAGCTCAAGTGGTAGAGCAGCGGCGTATCTAGCCGAAGATCGTGGGTTCGAATCCCGCTCATGCCATTGACTTTTTTACCTTAACTAAAAACCTTAATTAATTGTAAAGAATACTTAATTTTTTGTTTAACATGAATATGTTTTATATTCTTCCATGTACCTATTTGGCTGGATAAACATTTTTTTGTGTATATGGGATGAATTAAATTAGGTTAGGCCTATCCATAACACAATGTTTTTCCATCAAGCAAAGATCATGAGAATGCACAGTTTACGTTAATAGTCATATTGCTTTATTCTTTTCAGGTTTTATACATTTTTGCAGGTCAAAACAGTTTCTTGTTTTTTTGGTTTGGACTCAAAATCACAAAAACAAACTTTAACATAATAAATTAAATTATAGTTTTGAATAATTCTACTCTCAGTCTCACCTAAAACCAAACCTGACCATGTTTCAAATCATGTGGTTTGAAAACAGTTAAATATTTATCCCTACTTTGTCAACTTTTAATCTTCAATGACGTGTCTGACCATTTTCAAATGATGTTAAAATGAAACCATTAACTCCAAAAAATGTACAGAAAAATACACCTGATCTTCCTTCTAACCATTATATGCTAGTCAGAAGTGTTTTGGTATTCAGTTTCTTCAGTGTTCTGTACATTTTGCAAGTTATGAACATAATATGAAGATAGTAAAATGCTGTAGTGCTTCTGATTGAGAAATACAGTGAAATAGGGGGATCAGGATGACCCAGTGATACGACGAATGTTTTCAAATATTTAAATGAAAGCCATTTTAAAAAAATCACACTTCTTGATTTTCCTATAATCATTGAAAGTCAAATCAATTTGCCGTTTCATCTTATCCAGTCAAAAGACTATATTAACCCTACAAAACTTGTTTAAACTTTGATTATTTCCTCATTTCAATTATTGTTCATTTATGTTTAATGACATCTCTGACAAAGTTTCAGATAAGTTCCAACGTTCATTATTGTTTCCCTTTCACGTTTCAACTGGCATGAGTTTTTTTTTAAACTTTCTGCAATTCAGGGATGAAAACTATATAAATCAACAATTTATTAACAAAAATTTCGTACAACTAAGCTAGGTGGTAAAGATGACAATGGTCACACTTAGACTCTGAGATGGTCCTTTGATGAACTTTTTAGCTTCTTTCCTGAGCTACATTTTAATACACATTTTAGGCAGTTTGGTATACCGTAAAAGGTATTGGAATCCTTTTCCTCATTGAACTTTCCTTGGTCAATTTACCGTCTTCTTTGCTGCCCTTCTGCCCAGAGTGCCAAGGGTATTTTTGTGAGATTTCCTGTGGCCTGCTGGGTGATAAACCTATAGTTTGATAGTTCTATCATCTTGGTCTGCCTACCCCCAGACTAATTTTATCAATCAGCTGTCTCAGCATTTTTTTATTTCCCCCATTGACTGATAGGGGATGCAATCCCAAATGAATCTGTACTTTACCATTGATGCGGTAATTACCCTCAGTGCCGCCTGGCTGTACGAGTAGATGGCTATTCGTCAGTTAACGATACCTAGCCTTTTAATCTTCTTGGGACTGTGTCTATATCATAGTCTCCCCTTGAAAGACTGGTGGCGTCTTGCCCAAGCCCAAAGCTTGTATGAATTCTAGTCCTTGATTTATTTCCATAAAAAGCACCTTTTGACCCATGTTCAGTTTTGCAGCCATTTGTATACTAGAAATAGTCGGTATGAACTAGCATCCAAATGATATTGTGGCATCATCATTTGATGTTGTCGATTCATGATCAGGTGATATCTTGGAATAGTTTTCAGTCTGGTCCTTGCAGAACGGATCGTTTTCTTGGTTTAGGAAATGTAGTTATACTTAAATTGAGGAGAAATGGGGAGTGATCAGAGGACAGGTCATATAGACACTGGATGGAAAAAAAGAGACAGCTTCTTTATGACTTCGTACCGCGACCAATACTAGTCTCCACTGATGTCTATAGCTCTTTTTTAACAGATCCCAAAGTTTTTTCAAGGATTTCCATGTTTATCCTTCAGGCCCAGGCTTTTCCTCTTCCTAGAGTCTTAGCTATCTTAGCTTACATAAACCATCACACCAATAGGATACGTTCTGCTGTCCCTTCTTGCTGGCAACATCTGAACAGGCTTGTTTTTGCCACTCCAATTTTATACATATGCCTATAGAGTCTGCAGTGTCCAGTTAGCAGTTGAACTATTATTCTAGTGCCAACACATCCTAGATTTAGTAGTTATGATGTTAGTTTCAGCAGTGGTCCTCTGCCCTAGGCTACATCCAATTGTTTATTTTTAATTCATTATCCAATGGATCCAAGTTTTTGGCAGTTCGGTATGCCAAAGAATTCAGGCCAATAGGTGTTCTCATCAAACTTTCCTTGTCCTCTTTGTTCTCTGCTCTGTGAGCCCTGGTTTGTACCCAATCTTGTGTTTTTTTCCCAATGCCTGAAAGGGCCCTAGTGCAATCCAAAACAACTGTACTTGACCACCGATGCCTTGCCCTCATCTGGCTTTCTTAGTAGGTGACTATTCTGTTAACGATAACTAGTTTTTTAATCTCCTTGGCACAATGTTCAATAAGCACAGTCTTCTCTAGAAAGTCAGTGGCATATTGCCCAAGGCATCTATGAATTCTATTCCTTGGAAATGTGTAAATTAGAGCGTAATGGACTCTTGAAAAATGGTATTTAAAATGTAAAAACTTTCAAAAACCAGAGTTGAAAAATGAGCAGCACATATAAATTCCTGTTGTCTTATTATTATTGCTACACATGAATTGTTATTTTGGTTAGTTATACCAATTGATATTGGTCAGAGTGTGTTTTTCGAATAATCTGTTGATGTGAAAAGAGAGGAGTGAATGACCAATGGCTCTAAGGATCAGATTTCAGAAGAATAGAGCCACTTTTGTTGGCAACATTCACACTCGACACTCGAGCTGAAAAATGCTCATATTAACACTGACAGCACCCCCAAGGATACGTTATGTTGAAAATATTTGAAAATTGGAGCAGTGTTTTAGTAAAAATAAAAATTTAAAAAAAGGAAAAATTGCGATAAAAGTTGACTCACCTCGTCCTGGAGTACGGGAGAAACCATCATAATAAATCTCGGCTCATCACGTTCCTCAAAGCGTTCAAATATGCATACGTAGATCATATAAAAAGTTATAGGTCTCTTCACGGATATCACAACTGATTCGCCGTAAACGAAATACTATCAAAGAGTTTTCTATCAAGGCCGGCTTACCGAATGTTTTTTAACGGCAAATTCCAATTATTTATATTTAAAAAAAAGAGAACTTTTATACAAAATACTTTCGACGAGTATTTTACGAGGTGAGAAACTGTCAACTATGTCGAGACTAGAGATGGGTTTACAAGTGTGGGCAGTGTTTACGGGCAAAAACCGAAAACGTACCGTCAAATTTCCCTTTTTCGACGCGTTGGTATAAACAAAATTCTTTTTATAAATCCTAAAAATCTATCCGGCCTGGTTTTCCATTTTTTCCTTTTCACATAGATATTTAATTCAAGTAAAAAAAAAACCGAACACTACACAAATTGTCAAGTTGACAGAATTAACAAAACACAAAATTCACTACAATTACAAAATTAAACATGAACGGTTTGAAGAGTCACACATAATTTACAAACAATAAAAACTAATTATTATTCTGGTCAGTATTGTTCCTTAGTGAGGCAAAATTTCTTTATCTTCCGATAGCCAAATGGGGACGATAAACCAAAAACGAAGTTAAATTATTCTAACAGTACTGTGCGATTTATATAAATGAATATTTATTGTCAAAACTTTTCTACTTTGAAGTATTTTTTCCTGTCTTCATTATTCTACAATTAGGCCCCCTATCGTTCAAGGAGTGTAGAGATAAAGAGAGGTGGATAAAATAAAGTGTAGGATAAAAGAGGTGGCCATAAGGACTTCTGCACCACGACCTGAGAAGATTGTGCTCCTATAAATGTTATAACTTACTGGCCACCTTCAGGTCAATCAACTTCCATAGTCTTGCCATTGGCTCCTTACTGTAGGAACGTGCGGCTTTTCCTCCCCTAGTTGTAAGAATCTATTCCTACATAGACCCTCACAGAACATAAAACTTGTTCTGCGGTCTCCTCTTCTTCCAGGCAATATTTGAAGTGTTAATTTTGTCTGTACTTATATCCGGTACACGTGCCCTCCTAGGCGGCAGTACTCTATCCTGGTTCTGTTCGGTTACCCTCCAATAATTCCTTTGTGAGTCTTGCGGATGGCCCTTCTCAGAATCTCTTCCTGTGCCTGATGCTTTTTTTTTTTTTTGTGGCAAGATGCTAGGCCACAGTAGGCATAGAGAATTCCTATTGGGTCCTTTTTTGGACAACATGACCATTTTCTCATTGCCTTTATGTCCCGAAAGACCAGAGACCCATGTCAGTGTCAGGTTATTGGTGTCACTTACCTCTGCCAGGGATTCCATACGCTTTTTGCCTAGTTCCTCCCATGAGGCTTAGGCCTTATGTGCCTATTGACTGACGAAAAATGTCTGTCTTCATGGAAAGTGTTCGTAGCAGTTTTATTTCTCTTGTGCAATGCCCAATTTCAGACTGGAAAACTGGAACGTACCTACTTTAGTTTAAGTTCAGTTCGTTCTGCGGATTCATATCGAAGGCTCTAGCTCCCGTGCCTTTGTCCGTTTTTGAGCCTTCAGAGGTATTCATTCCAATCTTCTTCCCTTTCCGGTTTGTGTACCTTGTACTTGTTGGTGAAGTTATATTTTGGAGTAGTGGCATCGATTGGCGTGCCTAGTATGGCATCTGCCTATCTCTTCCCCCAGTTTCTATTGTTCATGGACATGGCCTATCTTTGCAGCAGTTGTCCATTTATGAGCCTGTAACCCGCTGCATTGGCAGTTTCTTTTGTCTCCTGCCGTTCAAAGAGTGGAATGGTATTTTATTTCGAGCTTGTACTATTCGCCCCACTGCTGTTCATTTCTAGCTTTCGCAATTCGGTCATTTATATATNATGTACACATAAAAATAATTCATAAACACTCTCAGGGCCAACAAACAAATTACCATGTCAAAGGAAAAGAAAGCTTAACAACTTGATTGCAATTTGTAAGGCATTTGATAACATTCAGCAAGACTTTCGATAACAGTTTATTTACCGTGTTAATTTAAGCTTTTAATATTCTTATTCATGTTATTATTCAAACCGATAAGATTAGCGGGAAAATTTTACATAATCCAAAGATTATTTTTTTAAGTTACACAATCCATTACTGCGGCGATTTGTATAAAATCTTGAAATTTGTTAGTATATATTTCAATTGTGTTGCTTATTGTTATGTCAAGTTAAGCTTTTGATTTGCTTTTAGCCTCTATTAGCAGTGTTTTTCTTCTTTTTTACGGGGGTTCGCAACATTAGAGGGCATAATGTCTTTTTATGAAATTTCCTCCTGTGAGGTTAATAAACCTATAATGTGATAGTTATATCATCTTGGACTGCATTTTGTCCTGATATTTTGGGTTAAAACGGCCTATTTTTCGTTGTTGTTAGATTGCAATTGTTGTAATTGTTAGTAAAAAGCCTTTTTATGTTTGAGCATGGCATTTGGGTTCCTTGTTCCGACTCTTAAAGCAAATAGCTAGTTAAGCAAGTAGTTCATAGCATGTGTTGAGAGTGAATGTGTAGTGAGAGGACCAATTGCGGAATATTAAATTCCCAATCGACCCTCAGTTAGATTAGTTATATAAACCAAGAAGGATCTGGCTTATAGAAGAAGGGTCATATTCGCCGAATTAAGGAGAGGCCCTGAGAGACTGACACACGGACATTTAATTTTGGACGAAAGCCCACGTATGTGTCCCGCATGTAGAGAAAGGTTGCTCAATATGTCCCGCGCAATTGAAGGGTGACTAGGCTACATATAGAGATTGTGTATGAATGCCAACCTATCAGTTAAGTTAGTTGTATGTACAATAGGTATAAAGAGTGATGGAGGAATATTAAATACTAAGTATTAAATACCAGTAAATGGTATATAAATAAGAAAAAGTGTATTTATGAGTGAGTGGCTTTAAATCTAAACACTAATTGCGCGGAGGCTGAAATTACCTATATGTAGAAATTATGAAGGTGGGAAATTATGTACATTATGAGTATGTAGATTGATTTTTTGTAAATGATGGTTCTACTCGCAGATTTACTCTTGCTGTCTACACAAATCTCTGAGTAGAACCATCATTTACAAAATGTTAGCTACCTGTTGAAAGACCTTGGAAACCAACCTCTTTGGTACGGTGGATAAGACCAAGTCTGACCCCCGACTGCCAAAACCCGAGATGAATGATTCTCCAGGGCTGCCGGTAATTTGTTGTAAACTACACAAAAACTGGAATTGCCGGCGGACTACAAGAAGCTAGGCTAATATCTGTAGTGCAGATTTGAGCTTATAATTTCAATGCCAGCCCTCAAAACAAACCTGTTATAAAAAATCCATTGTATTATTTAGCATCTAAGCTCTTGCGTGTAAAGAGAACGAGTGAACGATGGCTCCCAAGAGTCTAAAAACGAAAAAAATCGTGCTCACCAGTTTAAGGATAGGCCAAATCCGATTGACGCATGGACACCATCGGGGCAAACCCCGCGCAGGTTCCTGTAAAAAAAGGTCGTTCGTTGTGTAACAGTTGGTCGAGTGCCAGGCCTTGCCCCCTTATAGGGAACGAGTAGGCATGGCGATATGGCATACAGATAGTTAGGTCCCCTGTTTCGATTTTAGGGTTTAAGGTGTGAAATTCTAGTAGGAATCTTCATCCAATTCTTGTCAAACTAGACATATAAGAAGGCAAATATAAAAAGCTTTAATCTTGCTTCCAAGACTAGGTGTTTTCAAATTTATTCTTGCCAAGAAGGAAAATGTCCAATTTAGAAAGTCTAAAATTTAAAAATGAAGTGTCCTCTGGCCATCATAGATAAAATGCACCAAGGCAAACAAAAAAAAAAAGTAAAATACTGAAATGTATTTTTTTATTTTACTTTTCTATTTTGACATGCATATGTATTTGATATAAATTATGTATAATTATTATAATATATATAACTTGAATTTGTCAACAGGTTTCCTATATTGATTTTATTTTCACGGGGGTTTTGCGCAAGTACAACCTTCTCACTGTGTTTACATTTAACAATGTTAAGGCGTCATAATGTTTTTCTCAGGTTGTTTATTTATTTTATATGTTGAGTTATTTTCCGGTGAGTAAACTATTCCCTTCGTAAGAGAATACTCCTTTCATTTCCGCCATTCCTGTCTTCACAAGAGGACGTCGCCATTTCCACGCTTTGAACCAGAACCGATTCTTTTTACATCTTTCCAAATATTTAATTTACAAAGAATTGGTTGGTTTTAATAGAAAAATTAATCAAAGAATTTAATTCAAAGCGTTTCTTTTTGGACGAGGAGAAATTACAATTAACTATTGCTAAAATTCACTTAAATGTTTCTTTGTAGGATTTTTTTAATATATTTTTTTTACAGTTGTATTTAATATGTATTTCGTTACAAAAACCACGTGCAATATAGCTAACTCGATTAATGTGTAAATGTAAACTTTCATGCCTTTGTTTATGCTACTTTTCATTTTTATTTTTTATATTATTATATATGTTAACCGTTTGACGTGGGTTTCTTTTGATTATTTTACAAAGAAATTTATTTAGAAATCGTGAGATGCGGTCTGGTGTGATGTAGGTTTCAGAAAAAACATTTTCTTTATGGTGCCACGTTTCGATCTTTATTGAGATCATCTTCAGAGCTCAAAGTGTTTGTCTTCTGTGTAATTGTGCCATTGTTGCGTGTCGTGTCGAGAGATGACACGCAAGAATGGCACAATTACACAGAAGACAAACACTGAGCCCTGAAGATGATCTCAATAAAGATCGAAACGTTGGCACCATAAAGAAAATGTTTTTTCTGAAACCTACATCACACCAGACCGCATCTCACGATTTCTAAATAAATATCGATTAACGGTCACTAATCACCACACATTTTTACAAAGAAATCTTGTGCAATTGTCGACAAAAGGACAAAAACCCGGACACTTGCATTTATTTGTTTATTTTACATAATAACTAGGTAGAAAGATTAATATTTGTCTTAAAACGTGAACGCAGCATTAATAACTTGTTGTTTACCTTTATAGAATGTTAGTAATCCTTTTACACTCTTTAGATTTAAAAAAAGTTCAATTTCATTTCCAGAGTCAACTTGTCAAATGAGTTAATTGGTTTTCTTTGATGAAACAATAAAAAAATCTTAAAAACATGGTTTTAAGTTGAGAAGAACTTGCCCAGGCAGTTGCTTTGGCCAATGATGAATGTTACGTCTGTTAGCCCAAGTCCTGGGTGTGCCACACTACCGTCCACATTGGCCTACAGTGTTTTAGGGCCACTGGAAGTCTCGATTGAGGAGAAGGTAGTGGTCGACTGTGATGTACGATGGCTAGAGGCACTACAGAACCTTCATTTAATAGCTTTCTTGATAGGTAGCCGACGTAACGGTGAGCTTTAAAACATCATCAGTGAAAATAGTCTCTAGACATCCCACGTCAGGCTCCCTACTACTGGAGAGGTATGAAGTAGAAAGGCGACTATTCGCAAATCAACATTTCACTTGAACAATGGGGGGGGGGCTATTATTTTCACAGATGCCGGTTGATTTATGGAAATTGGATGACTGGGACCGTGTGTAGTGAAGACAGAATGCTTTGCTCATGTGCCATGTGTGAGTCAAAGACAGTTATGGTATGGGGTGAATTCAACGTCCATGCTCGTACAAACTGATTATCATACAGAATGGATCTTGGACTGCAAAGGTTCATTGAGGAAGTTCTGGAAGCTGTGATCCCATTCACTCTATTTATTAGGGACAGCTTCATGTTAATGCATCATAATGCTCAACCGTACCTAGCTTGAGTTGTCATTACTTGGAGGGTGTAGAGATTACCGCAATGAATTGGCCAGTATGTTCTCCTAACATAAATCCCTAGAACACTTATGGGACAAGATATAGAGACGGGTTAAATCGTTCAGTGTTGAACAGCTTCAAACCACTCTTGTCAAACAATGGGATTCTGTTAAATAGACGAAATCCGGTCACTTATTTGCTCTATGCCTAGGAGACATAGGCCCTCAGTGAGGCTAGAGGAGGGAATACGAGAAAAACCAGGTAGAAAATTGTTAGTTAAATTTTAATCTATCACTAAATGATTTTCCGGTGTTTTCGTGAATTTTCTTTCAAACCATCATAATTAAATAATTTTTCTTAAAACTCATGAATTTCTGATCTCGTTTAATTTGGTTTACATTAAAATAGGTATGTTATAATTGATATAACAATAAAAATACATATAGGTTGAAATAATGAATAAAATACGAGTGTCCGGTTTTTGCCTTTGTGTGTCGTAAAGCATTGCATGAAAATTTAGTATGAGTGTCCCATAGATTGCATTTAGTTCTGATGAGTATATTGTTGACAGTCTCATAATGCTCTAAAATAGGAGATTGCATTCCATGTTGCGTTCAGGAACAAGATTTTGTGAATTGTACACCTAGGTAATTAAATGTATTCATCATTCTGATTTCATTTCCGCTGTAGAAAAACTTTTTTTCGGATCCATCTTGTACCTTATAAAATTTTATCAAGATGATTTTTGATATATTCTCTGTGAGACAACTACTCTCACAATACTCTTCCAGAATTAAGTTTCTGAATCATACCCATGTAGGAATCTGACAGGAGGGTTAAACAGCTGTAACACTTAAATAACAGATTTTTGACTATATTTAAATAAGATTTTTATTTATTTAATTAGTGTACATTTACCAATTTTGATACTTATAATTTTGTTTTATATCATTATTCTTTTATTGCTGTCCTACTTGATGGTTTATTTATTTCCTTAGTAATTATACTCTTTATTTACTATTGATTAATATAATTGGTGGTAGTCTGGGTACCAAGACAGATATGGCTGAAGGGTAACGAAAAGGCAGATAAAGCTGGGATGTTCCAACCACTGGAATTAACCACCACGATCCAGCCCTCTGACAATAAAAACGGATTCAAAAACATGATTAAAAGAAAGAGGCAGCAAGGGCAGGCTGGATCGGCAATGAAGCTCTTGCGTATCAGGAGCACAGTTGACAGTTGGCCCTCGGAGGACCAGACTCGTGGAATAGAGTTCATTCTCACCCGATTAGGAATAGACCATGCAATTGACACTAGGCAAAAGTCCGCGTAAGTATGTGGCATGTAAAAAAAGGTTGCCAGATGTAGGACACTATTTGAAGGGTTTAATTGCTTAGCTCCAAATAGAGAGCGCATAGGAAGGTCACCCGATATTAGAATCATGTTTGAGCATGGCAGTGGGTATCTGGGTCCTCTCTAACGATCTTTGCAGGGTTGTTTTACTATAGGTTTATAAATATCTCATCTTTGTGTATGTTGAATGTACTTATAGCGTGAATGCGTGGGGTGAGAGAGCCAATATTGAGAACTCCATCGACGCTTAGTTAGGTTAGTTAAGTGATAAGTGTGAAGGGTGATGGAGGAATATTAAGTACTTTACAATCCTGTGTGAATGGTGTAGTATAAGACAGAATGTATTTAAGTGTGTGGTAATTAGTGGCTGTTAATCTATGATTATTTGGAAATCGTGAGATGCGATCTGGTGTGGCGTAGGTTCAGAAAAACATTTTCTTTATTGTACCAACATTTTGATCTTTATTGAGATCATCTTCAGGGCCTGGGATTTACAAATATTGTTTACATTTAACTAATACATGTAGGATGTGGAAAAAATTGAATTTATACAATGCAAAAAATATTTTTTATATTCACTCAAAGCAGAACTAGAAATACTTTGATTGAATATAAATTTTTTTTTTTGCATTGTATAAATTCACTTTTTTCCACATCCTACATGTATTTGTTAAATGTAAACAATGTTTGTAAATCCCAGGCCCTGAAGATGATCTCAATAAAGATCGAAACGTTGGTACGATAAAGAACATGTTTTTCTGAAGCCTACGTCACACCAGACCTCATCTCACGATTTCCAAATAATCATAGACTAACAGCCACTAATCCCCACACAAATGTATTTAAGAGTGAGCGAGTGTGTGAATGGTTTGGATTTAGGAACTGATTACATTGAGGGCTGAAATTCATTAGATTTTGATAGCCCCTGGAGCCAACTTCAGTCTTGGGCTGCCAACACCAGGGGTGGATGATTCATGAGGCCTACTGGTAATTACAAAACTGGAATTGCCAGTAGGCTGCAAGAAGTGATAGGCTCAACTCTGCACATGTGTGTGCAGATTTGAGCTTATATAAATCAGTAATAATATAATTGAAAAACCAACATTCGCCTATTAATTAATGGTTAATTGATGAAACCTTGTTGCAGATTATGCCGAAACTGACAGAAATGTGGGCCTTAACAATCACACACATAATTTAACTAATATAAACTATGACTCAATACAATTGAAACATCTGTAATGGGTAGTCTCCCTAATTTACGAGAACTCGAGAGGGAATCTGAAACTTTTCGGCATGTGACGAGAAATTTTGCAAGACAGCAAGCCCACTGTATCCTCCGCCATCATGACATACATCACTCTTCAGGCCATAAATTTATTAGACACACAAGAAGTATGGGGCATTATACGGGTATGGCCTTAAACACAAACAATGATCTGCTAAATCACTTTTTCACAACAGAGGTCAGTTAACATTTTTTTTCTTGTTATGAAATATATATGTGTGAATAACCTATTGAGCTATTAAATTGTAGTTTAAGTTCATAAAAAAGTTAAATTATTTAAAAGTAATGAACACCATTGAACACCATTAGCTATAACATTTAGCCTTCCTAAAATATTACAAATTAACTAAAAATTGCACAAAATAATTTTTTTGTTTTCCATGCACAGTCCTGTAGAAAGAAAAAATATATTTTGAAAACTTCTAATAGTTATATTTATTTAAGTCAATGCTTAGATTTAAATTGATAACAAATAGTTGTAATTTTTTAAGGATATGTATGGCTACTCTCCTGTTTCATCAAGATCTACACGATCCAGCTGCACACTTCATCATCATATTAACAACAACTTATTAGTTCGTCGAAGTTCAAAACACAGAGATTCGATGTCAAGTTCTGGCGGCGCTTCTTCTGTCAGGCGGCTTATAGCTGTAGTAAGATCAACATCATCTAAAACTGGGCCGATATATTCAAGAAGGCTACTTTTTAGAAATTTTGCAGCCCTTTGTCTTGGACACGCTATGATAACTGCTGCTTTTGTACCATTGTACACAATGCAAGGATCCATCTCTGTCTGGTGGTGGCAACCAAATCATTCAATCATAACAAAATACTTCCATCCAAACTATGATGTTGGATCTTTGCTGCTTGCGACATTTTTTTCTATTGGCTCAATATCAACACTTGGCACGATATTTTTTATAAATAAATTGGGTACAAATTGGACGCTGATACTCAGCTATGGAGGTACATGTATTTTTTTTGGATTCCATTTGTACCCCAATATTTTTACTCTAGTACCTGCTTATATGTTCATGGGTCTATGGTTAGGGCCGTTAGTCGGTGGTAGGATCACATGTCTTATGACACTTGCAACAAAACTGAGTTATGTTATGACAGAAGAGGAAGAAGGAGAAATAGAATGTTCTCAAGGTTTGAGGCGGACTGAGTTAGTTGTGCACAAATTATCGCGTGGTCTACAAATTGCACAGGACTTTGGGTTAATAATAGGAAATTTAGCCGCTTCATCGCTTATTTGGTACACAAAGAACAGTTCAAATGTGTCTAGCGATCATGATGCAATGTTAGACGCAATGTTTCCAATGGAAAATACTGGAGAACGTATTTGCGGCAGTACAGTTTGCCCTTTGTCTGTTAACTATGACTCGCAGTTAGTAGATTTTAAATATTCTGATTTAAACAATACATCAAATTTCTACGCATCAATGAACATTAATTGCAAAACGAGTAAAATGCTTATTAGTGTATTCCTTGGTTTTTGCGTCATGGGTGTTGCTGTCACAGCTGCTTTCATGGATCACATACGGGTCTCGGTGTCTAAAGAAACATCATTTCGAAATGCTTGCAGTACATCCTATCGGCTAATGCAAGGCGCTTTTAAAGACCCAAGATTACAGTTAGCAGCCCCACTTTCAATATTCATTGGATTGGAACAAGGATTTATGTATGCAGATTTTACCAAGGTATTTATTTCTTTGGGTTTATCAAAATTTATATATTAAAGTTATATATTGTTTCAGTCTTATGTCGCCTGTTCACTCGGTGTAAGTAATATTTCTCTGGTTTTCTTGAGCTTAGGGGTATTACAGTCTGTCGCTGCCTTTACTCTCAGCCTACTTTTACAACATGTTCGACGCCATGTTATTATTGGTAAGCAATAAAATTATTTTTAAAAAAATCTAAAAAAATAATTATTTAACATTTTGCCCATTAGGTGTTGGTTTCATTTTCCAGTCATGCTTATTGCTTGTTCTTTTCATTTGGAAACCTACAAAAGATGATCCAGCTTTGTTCTATGTCGTTCCTGCTGCCTGGGGCGTATGTAATGCAATATGGGACACATTAAGCTTTTGTAAGTAATTCTATTTAATTTTGTATGATTTTTGTAGAATATACATTGCATTCTGATTAATTAGAATTGAGAATGAAGCCAATCTTCTTGAAGGCGATGTGACATTAAAGAATGTTGAATCAAAACCTTAAAAAAGTGAGGCCTGCAAGAATAACAAATCTCACTTCAAAAATTTAGGAATAAAAGATTAAGCAAATTTCTTCTTTTTCAAATTTATAAATAAATTATATTAAGCATCATAAATATTTAAGGCATCATCGATAAGGAGCAAAGAATAACTTTGTCAATGCATGTCATTTCTTCAATTTTCTTGAATCCTTATGAATTTTATAATCGTTGTTTTATAATTTGTTTTGGCGTGATTTTCTATGCTCACCCTGATGTCTATTCTGATTGGTTTTGTCTGTCTGTGATATTTTGGTATTTTATCATCTTCAGTAGTTGGTCTAGGTTCTGTTCTGCAAAATGCAGAAATCTGACAGATAAAACCAGTAAGGAAAGGCAGACCAGACCGGGTGACCATGAACTGCAGGTCGAACACCTCGCAGACATCATGTTTTAAAATTTATGTTTTAGCTTTTCTTGTCTCAGTCTACCCCGATACTTGGCAAGCTCCATTTGCCCACTGCTACTTCTTTCGTTACATGGGCCTAGCCCTCGCTTTTGGTATTCACGGTTCTTTGTGCAATTTGGTTAAACTCTACGGCTTAGTAGCCGCGATGATCTTGGCAGTTGTACCATATACTTGGCTTGAATTGAAACACGAAGCACGAAGAAAACTTAAAGCACAGCTTGCAACTTTATAACAATTCCGACTTACTCTTAATAAATTGGAGACTGTTTTCTAGTTTATTAGGAGGATTTTGTCTAATTCTAGTCCCTCCTTGTTGATTATTTTTGTACCTAGAGTACCAAATTAAATGTCTTTGCACAAATAAACCCTATTTTATCATATCAATGCATTTCTTGATATATTATTACAATCATTACCACATGTTTATACAAATAATTTTTTAATTGAGAAAATGCATTTTATTGATATAATCAACATAAAAATCACCTTTCCTAATCATGAACTTCTATCTAATCAAACACATATCTCTACTTCAACTACTTTAAAAGATAGTTCTTAATTACAGTTTGTTGTTTTCAACAATCCGAATTTCAAGCATTAAACATTCATTATCAGGTTGAAAGAGTTACAAACACATCTCTCGACGTGAATTGTAAGAGTAGAGACATAGTTGTAACTAATTCAAACTGATGATGAGCGTTTAATGCTTGTAATCTGATTCGTGAAAACAACAAACTGTGAGTAAAAACTATCTTTTAAAGTAGTGGAACAACATACAAACCCCAAATTTATCATTCCTTGTCTTACTTGTACTTAGAGATTAAGCAATTAGACAATTAGCAACATCTTAAAAATTAAAGTTGCTTGAAATTATCATTCCTATTTCTACTCCTGTAAATATTTGAATTGTTTAAAAAAAAATGTATAGTGGCTGAAAATATCTCACCCACTTAAAAAAATTAAATTAAATAAAAAAATATAAAAAACCAATCCCAATGTTTTTGTGCTGGCATGAACCTTATTACTTAGCAGTTTTGCAAATTTTAGGTTATTTTTTTTATTTTATTTTAAAAAGAAATGCCCTAACTTCATTATAGATTTTAAAACTTGATTTTACGTTAAATAATAAGGTTCAAGTAAGCCAATAAACAATAACAGGGTCGCTGCAACGGTTCAGGCGATCAGGTAATCACTGTAAAGTAAAGATCCTGGGTTCGAATCCAGTGGCCCTGCAATCGAACCCAACATACTTGTGGGCTTTTTTTTTTTTTTTTTTTTTTTTCAAAAACATCAGCACCCTGTTATGTGACTTCTGCTATTGCGAACCCTCGTTAAAAAAATAATAAAAAAATTGGATGCATTTTTTTCAAGTACATTGGTTTTTGAGAAAAGTTGGTGGGACATTTCAGCCATTCACCCTGTATATATTTGGACTGTATATACAAAATATAGCTGGTTGGTGTTATGCAACATATCTATGAATTTTATTGATTTATTAACCGAGAAAAAAAATAGATCAGAATGGCTTTTTATTATTAAAAAATGATTAAAAATGTATTGTTCCATTATTTGTTTGGTCAAATTGTATTGATTGTACCATTACAATTGTATGTAAATTTTAATTTAAATAACCTCAATCGTATTCACTTTTCCATTTTGTACTTTTACTTTAGCATTGCAATAAAGTAAAAGTAGCTTTATGATAGATAAACATCATTGTTTTATTTTATAAAGAAATTATTTTGTATACTTAAATGTTTCAGAGTTGAGCTGAGTGTAAATTACACAAACATTTATAGTATCTTGCAAACTTTTTTTTATAAGGTTATTTCAACTGTGAGGTTACATGAACCCTCGGAGTGCTGGTTTTTTTTTTTTTTTTAAAAAGCCCATTTGTAAGTATGTCGGGTTCGAGTAAAGAGATGCTGGATTCGAACCCAGTACCTTTAGCTTACATGATGAGCGCCGTGTCAACGCTTAAACTGTTGCGGCCAATGACACCCCATATTGTAAACTTTAACTCAATGTTTACACTTGCGTTTATTCATCATTTTACTGAAATATTTTTTTTAAACATAAAATAACCTTTTCTAATACTTGAATTTGTGAACCACAAGGTTCGTGAAAAATATGTGATGTTCTACATTTAGTCGCTGTACTTTCTTACCAGTTTGAAGTGTGCAGATGTTTTGACTGTGGTATGTGACTTGTAAAGCAAATATTTATCGTACCGATTCAAAAATAAATTCAAAAGTATAGATAAACATACTACTAGTACTAATCTAAAAAAAAAGTTGTCAAAGAGCGTAAAATCATACCTTAAACCTGCTGCCCTACAATATGCTGTCAGTAGGACATAAAGTTAAATTTAAACATATTTTAAACATTGATATAACATAACATTGGTCAATATTTGCTTTTATGTTATTTTTTTATAATTGAAAAATTATTGTATATTTTTATCATTGTTATATTTTATAAAGAAATTATTTTGTATACTTAAATGTTATAGAGTTGAGCTGAGTGTAAATTACACAAACATTTATAATATTTATTCATATTATAATCTAGAATTGTAATAATGATTAAAAAAAACCAATCAATAATAACATAATAATTTTGCTAACATTATAAACACCCTGTAAGATATTTTAATTATATTCGACATGTTTAAGGATAGCAAAAAGCAAACAAATCTTTTAAAAAATGAAAAATTAAATTCTTTATTCTGTCTGGTATTGTGCTACTCAAAAATTTGAGTCAATTTTAGGGCCAGTCAAGTGTCAAACTGATTGTACAATGCAAGATGTCATGAAGAACTTTTAAAGTTGGCTGAAATCTCTCAGTTTTGTAGATTAGACAAAAAAGCTGATATTTTTATTATGATGGGATATGTGGGCAATTAATTCACACGGTCTTCCATCAGGTGATGAACCAAGTGCCAGGGTTGAATAAACATTTGTTAGAAAAAATAGGATTCTTATGATAATCATGCCTCATCCTATGATTGTATGCCCTGCATACAGCTCTTTCAGACACATCCTGAATACACACGAATTTCTATGATATAGCATATGATATGAGGAAACACAACCAACTCTTCTTTTTTACTATCAAGCTTGAGCTTTGATTTTTGTTGAGTTTATTAACTAATTTAATATTTCTAAGATGTGAGGCCAATTTGAACAAGCCGTGGTGCTAAACTGAGATCATTATAGTGATATAAAAACAGAAATCAACTTAATGTTTACTTCGGCTGGCATCTAGGTTTTCCACTGCCAACAAATAAAAAAACCTGTTTGGACATACACAATTATCTGTGCTCTAATAAAAATACACATTATGTATTATAATTGCTCACATCACAAGTCTGAATATAATTATTATGGTACGTAAATTCAATACGTAGAACATATTCATGTGAAAAGCTTCTTTCTACGCAATTTTACCCTTCAATTGTGTACAAAGACTATAAATAAGTGACAAATTTAGCTTTAAAGTTTTCATAATAACTGTAATCCCTGTGCCCTTAATACTAATAAGTAATTATAAGGAATGTTGACATATTAAATAAAATAAATATATTTATTTATTAAACTAATGTTAAAAATATTGTAATGTGATCTTTTTCTCATAAAAGTTGAAGTGATCTCAGTTAAAATTTCATAGAATAATGTACTGTTATTGAAAAGTAAAATACTGGAAAAAATCCAACCAGTAATGTTACATTAAAGTCGCATAATATTTTTCAATTTTTAAGAATGCTAACATTTATGTAATCAAATTACATAACATTTATGTAAACAGGAAAAAGAGTGAAAAAAGCTCACAAACGTACAATTGACTAAAAAAAAACTATATTATCACAAAAAATATAGAGCTAATCCAAACTCGCATTCCCTGTTACTTGATTTTCTCTAGGACCCAGAGACAGAAGGAAGCAGACTCTAAAAGTCAGTGGAATGACAAAACATGTCTCACAAAAAAAAATAACAAACAGGCGGACAAGGATGATGACATACATATAAAACTGTAGGCAATGTTCATTATCTTTCCAATGAACAAGACTTCTCAAAAAAACCAATCAAAATAAATTATGTTAAAAATTCAATGTATAATGCAGTATCAATTTTTAAAAATTTCAAATTTCTTAACCATGTACATATAATTGTTTAAATGTTTAAATGAATGTATTAAAGTTATAAATGTTGGCTATTGCATAAATGTAATAATGTCTATATTTTATGTTAGATACAGTTTAGAAATCAACTTTAAAACATAACATCTACAAACACGAAAAAAGTCCTTTATTAAGAAATTAATTGAGTTTATGAGAAAAAAAGAGAATTTATTATTAAAAAATTTTCAGTATTCAGCAATATGCAAAATTATGGCACAATTAAAAGAATATATATAAAGTTAAATAAATTGATGATTGATTTATAATTTTTCTATAAATATGTATAAAATTTAAATCTCCATTTTTTTTTTTTTCAAATAAAGTTAGGAAATTTCAAAATATATATGCAGTTTTTTCGTAGGCTCAACAATGAAATACATCACTTATGAAAACTTTATCAAAACAAATTGCAATTTGGATACCTTAAGTTAAGATAAAAATTGTTGAAAATTTAAACATTTTTCATATCAAAAGATTTTTTACATTTAAATTTAAAAAGTACAAAATAGGGCTTGGACTTAAATCACTTGATAAAGTATTTGTTATTTATTAAGGATATGAATCAGTATGTACTATGTACAAATAATGTTATGAAATAATAAATTATTGTATGAATGTTCTATAGTAACTGTTTACTAATTTAATAATTGTTTATTATTCTCAATTTAATAGATGAAGAAATCATTGTTGATAGAATCGTTTGAAATTTCTAGAATTTTTTGTAGTGAGTAATGCTCATTTTTAATTCTTTAAATAATTTTATTAATTTGTATTCCCAATTTCAGTAACATTGTATTCATCTAAGAAATAAATGTGATGTAAAACTAGGAATTAATGGTGTTAGATATACATAAAAATGTTATTTTGTCAAGACTTAATCAGTCAAGTTTGTTCATACTTTTAAGGAGAATTGATTTTTATTGCTCAAAAATTATTTATATTTGCAAAAATTAAAAGGTTGATATTTTTAAGGTTTAAATTTTACCACTTGTATCTTTTTATATTGAAATTATTTTAATTATTGTTAAAAGTAATTTTGCAAACAAAAAATAATATTCATACTATTCTTGATTTATATATTTAAACATGTATAAATAAAAATAAACATGAACAAAAATTTTTGGAAATTTAATGAAGCGAACAAATCACCAATTATATTTTTATAGACTTGGGAAAGAGCTGTCATGTTGTGCTTTAATGAAATAACTGTAATTTTATTAAATAAAAGAAAAAGATACACAAAGATTTATTTGTACCCCTAAAAAATACATTTATTTTATTAGTAGATTATTTTATTTTATTACTTATTGCTCAAACATATATAGGCAACCAGGCCAGAGCAGTCAAAAACATAAATTATAGATAAATATAAAAAATAAATACAAAGGAAAAAATTAAAATAAGCTATAGATCTAGGAGTAAGACACCAATTTGCATTTCCTGAAGAATGATCTGAGGCCATCAGGGAATGTCAGTCAAGTCAATTGTCAAATCCATAGGAAGTTCGGTGAAAATCTATATAGAAAAGTGGGCCATTCCTTAGGGTGTACTGAGGGTTCTTTAATCAGAATGTGGAGAGGAAATCCTCCGTACTCCTGGAGGGAATAAATTTACGAGATCGATTCTGAATCTTTTCTAGATATTGTTGTTGACTTTGTTAGAGGGCACCCATACAACACCTGCATATTCCAAATGCAATCGACATAAGGATTGAAATAAGATCTTTAAATTGAACGGATTCACACTAATAAATTACATTCATTCCAATAAATTAGCAGAACAATAACACCAACACTACAAGCATTTAAAAAATCCTATAGCCCAAAGGTACTGGAACAGCTATCGGTGCCCACCGCCATGCTCCTAGACTGCACAGGTCAATGATATGCAAAAATATTGTTTATAAATTTCAAGCCTTCTACTTTTGAAAACGGTGCACGACCAATATTTTATTCTTGCATTAAGGGCACCTACACAGTGACTATATGGCACGGTGAATATATGACCAAATTATACTTGTGATAATCCTTTTTATTTATAAACCATACTAGTTATTATCAGACATCGACATTATTTTAAGTTCAAAATATTGAAACGAAGACAAAATTATCTCAAATTTCAAAAGTACAATAAAATTATAAAACAGTACATAACTAAACATTTAATTTCTTTTTATTTAACATAAAAGTAATGAAGGGTACATATTTACAGTATGATGGTAGGAAAAATTATGCAAAAAAACAAGTACGATGCACACCATAATGAACATTTTATTATCATTTAATTCTCCATGATTTAACAACACACTTACAAAAAAAATATGAAAATAGATTTGCTTATAAATTATACTTTTTTTTTTCAAAAACAACAATTTATAATATTATACACATGGTGGAAAATAAAAATAATAAAGAAATACACAAAGTACTTAGAAAACATTTTGATTACAACATTTATTTTGAAGAAATCAAATTTCATACCCAGCTTTTTAGTGAATTCCGAATTATTAAAATACATCTTCGAAGTATGAAATTTTCTTATACAATGGTAAAACTGAAATGGAATGATGGCCCATTAATGATTAAGCTAACAAAAAATAATAAATAAATAAATAAAATAAAAATAAATAATAAGCAAATGAGTCTTATGGAATGTTGTTACATTTTTGGAATTCATAATTTGTACAATAACCTTTAAATAAATTTACACGTATGAAAACAATATATATATATTTTATTTATATTATATAAGTATCAAAATAAATACAAATATACAAACATCATTTAATAGCAGTGAATAATAAAATTCAAAATATGCAACAAATTTATTATTTTTCATAATAATTACTGACTGATCTTAAATAATTTGGTTAACTTATTCCATTTAACAAATAAATAAATACATCTTTAAATATAATCATTTTTTAAAATACACTGCTGCTGACATCACAAAATTATGTTTAACAATTATTACACAGTCCGGTTAAAATCAAGTTTATGTACATAAAAAAAATCTTATCTACAAATTACAAAGCTGTGATGGCTGTAAAATTATGACCAAAAAGCTTAAATAATAGATATTTGACCTGATTTGGAGTAGTGGTAGGTCTGAAGCTTATGAAGTTCATCATCAGCTACATTAAATATGTTAATGTAATTAAAATGTGGAATTAAATATTAATATCACACTACCATTAAAACAACAGTTTATTTAACATAACAAATAACATAATCAATTTATTATGGTATGTACTTGAATACATAACATAATAAATGTTATCTTAGTTAAATTGAAATGAAGCCTAAATTGTCAACTAATTTATATTCAGTCTGTTTATATTTTAATAGACAAAAAACATGGTAGCCATCGATATTTTTTACTTAACAAGGTAGTCAGTCCATAGTCAGAAAATTGTCAAATTAATCAGGAAATGGTTACAATTGTGTTAAGATACTTTGAGCAGTGTAATTCAATTTTTTTTAAAAGTTTTTGTCAACAGGTACAACAAAATTACGCATGAAAATAAAAAATTTTCAAGATTAAAAAAATATACAATGTGGCACAATTTGAGCAAAATAAGGCTAAATAAAGTTTAACAGCTTTATAAACACGCAATAGGCTATTACAAAATGACTATCCTCATGATTAACAAATAGATAAGTTTTATTTTTTTTAAATAAATATAGCTGATTGGGTCTGAATTTTGCACAGTAAATTATGATTTGTAAGATGTTATTAAAAAAAAAAATAAAATAAAATAAAATAAAATACTGGACATAATAATAGTTTATGGACGGACACCGGACCCACTAACTAAGCCAGGATACTAATTTTTAAAACAAACTTTTATGTTTAATGTAAAACAATCATTAAATTAAATAAACAAAATAGTCGAGGTTTTTATGATCAATCTTTATTTAATTTTCTGTACAATAATAATGTTAGCAACCCCAAGAAAAATTAAATGCACAGTTTCTCACCATGAAGTATGGCACAAAGTTCTTTACTTTATTATCTTGGTGGTAGACTTTAATTTTTAAAATGAAATTTCCCTATGACTAGAGCTGAAACACAACATAAATAAACCAAAAATAAAAGTAGTGTATTAAAAGCTATCTATTTTAACATTTATTGTATAAAACCTATAAACAATTTGACACTAAAAGTTTACAAACAAATATGGGATGAACAACATGAATCTTTAATAAAATACACAAACATACCAACACACCAGAAGTCACAAAATTATTTCCTTAAATTGTAAATTATGCTCTTTTTTTTTATCTTGATAGACTTTTTTTCAAGCCATAAGAAATTATTAAATTGAAAAAAGCAGTCACAAGGGGTCAAAAAAAAAAATCTCGCATAATTGTTAACAGTGTGTTAACTTTAGTTTACATTAATAAAAAATAATAATAAAAACATTTTAAAAAATTGGGGCGGTTAATAATTCATAACTCATGCTGAATTGCGAAAAAGGCAAAACGCTGAAATACGTCTGTCTGACAAAAATGAGTGAGGATAGGCGGGCAAGATCGGTAACTATCCATGCACAGGTTTATCACCCTCCAGCCCATAGGAAGAAATTTCACAATTTAATACAATTAATCATCATTTAAAAATTGGCAAATTTATTTCTTGCAGATTGTCCTCCCATAATTACTCTTTGGGAACTGGCTGAAATTTCTTGTAAAAGTTATTCAAATCAAAACTGCTCATGTGTCATTAACCTTAATTGTTATTGCTCAAGTTTAATGAAGTAACATAGTAATTTATTGTAAAATTGCTGAATTTGTAGTATTCTGTTTTTACAAAACATTCAAAATTTACCAGAAGACTCCAGGCCAACACCATCACCAATACTGGGACACTTATTAGGACTGTTTTGCTTGCAAGTTTGTTGAACTACTCAAACACATTTTGCCACGAGTCTTCAATGAAGAATTGAAACAGAAGGAGAGTTCCTGATTGATGATGGCGCCAAACGTGTTTGAATAGTTCCACAAACCCGCAAATGACTTGCACACCCAACATAACTTCATAAGAACTAAAACAATTATAACGATCTGATTTGTGCATAATTTACTTTGTGTGACTTAGCTCTACCTCTGGGGTGCTGACATATCAAACAGGTGATTTGAAAATACATCCACTGCAAAAGCTGACATTTAATGCAACAATTTAGTTAGTTTATATTATATTTTTTTGTTTTTAGAAAAACAACCTGGTAATGTAAACAAGAGTATTCGAGAATATGAATTAAAATGTTGAGACCACTCATTGGTTATTATTTTATCTAACTTTTAAGAGCACGATACCAAACCATATCTACCTGATTAGTTTCTTTTTAAAATTGTTAGTATTATTTTAGTAATCTGTAGTGTGAATTGCCATATATTTTAACTATTAAAATAGAAAGGAAATGATGTGTCACTTGTTAAATGATTATATTCACAAACATCCAGCATTTTTTTTTTTTTCATTTTTACAAGTAAACATATAAAATAATTTAATTTTAACATTGAGATTATATTATTGAATTACAAGTAATTTCATCTAAGCTTGTATATGAACCTAGCATATTTGTAGCATTACTAAGAACATGTCTTGGCGGATGATCGGGTGGGGCTGGTTCGGGTGGTGTTGCCGGTGGAGGGTAAACATGAAACCCTTACAAATAAAATTCGCATTAATTAAACAACAAAAAATAAAAGAAAGGGATAAATTTATTTGTTACCACATTTAATAAAATGCCATACATGTGTATATATATATTACCTTGCAGTAGCTTATGAGGGGAAACAGAATTGCCTTTGTGTGGATTTCCTAGAGGTGAGTATGTATCAGATTCTTCACTTGCACTTCCAAGTGTCATCTGTTCATGTGAAAACGTGGGTGAAAAAGAACCATCCTCAGTTTCTTGCTTGTCGTAAATGTCAGAATTTAACCTGAAAAATAAATTCAATGGTTCGGCTCATATGTTTCTTCAAATGTTAAAGGATTGGCATTTTAAGAAAAATTTTTACTAATCACTAATGGCGTTTTTTTTTACTGATTACTTTTAAGGATTTTTTGGGGGGTTCGAAACCTAAATAGTGCAAGTGTTTACTTATTTACTAACAGGATTTCAACTTTGACTATAGGATTATTGTATTACTATTCCCTGGAATAAAAAAGTTTTAAGATTCAAAGCGTTTTTAGTTCATTCATTCAAAATTTCCATCAACACGGTTTTTCCTTTCCTTCATAAATTTCTTCACCTTTGAAAAAGTAATTAAAAAATAAATTACATCACTAAAAAACGGATATTAAATGGAGTACGTTTTCTGAAATTTGTTTGTCTCTAGGTTCGGAAATGGTAGTTTAGAATCACCATAGTAAGTTTTTAAACTTGAAAAAAAAAATCTTTAAAGTTCTGGCCACTAAAACTCTTATTTCACCAACTTTGTGTACTAAACGTACAAGTTTAGTATTGATCACGTGTTATTGGAAATTAAACGTAGTTTTCAATGGTATCAACAGATTTGTTCAAAACCTTTAAGTTTTGTAGTTATTTGAAGCAAGGTCATGAAATCTTAAAAAATCAGAAAAAGGGGATTAACTCTAAAACTGTTGAGATTTGGACCATAGTTAATTAGGACTTTTTGGTTCCATTTTGAATGTAGAATCAACTGGCAAAGTTTGTACCACGAGTAGCCAAACACCCTGTATAGAAAGTGCCTAGGAATGCCAACCGATATGAGAATTGTGCTTGAACACAATATTGAGTAATTGTATATCCGATTCCTGGAGGGAACAGGGTTTGTTTTATTGTATATAGTACTTATATTTTTGTGCCCCCTCATGTGCTGGGAATGAATTTATTAGTGTGAATGTGTAGTGTGAGAGGGACAATGGTGGAACATTGAGTACCCGGTGTAGATATGTGTGGTGATTAACGACTGTTAGTCCATAATTATTCAGAAATCGTGAGATGCGGTCTGGTGTGTTGTAGGTTTCAGAAAAACACTTTATTTATCATGCCAACGTTTCGATCTTTATTTAGATCATTTAGTTTGTATTATACAGTTTCAGTTCATAATGTTGATGTTTAAATCAATGTTTACAAAAAGGTCTTTCTATACAGACTTCCTTCCCCACCTCTTCAAAATCCAGCATATAAAAACATAAAACAGCAATATTTCACTGGCACTCTCAACACGACACGCAAGGATGGCACAATTACACAGAAGACAAACACTTTGAGTGAGTAGAAATACTTTGATTGAATATAAAAAATATATTTTCCATTGTATAAATTCACTTTTCCACATGCTAAATGTATTTGTTAAATGTAAACATTGTTTGTAAATCCCAGGCCCTGAAGATGATCTCAATAAAAGATCGAAACGTTGGCACGATAAAGAAAATGTTTTTCTGAAACCTACATCACACCAGACCGCATCTCACGATTTCTGAAAAATTGAGTACCCCATTGAACCTTAATTAGGTTAATTATACATTATGTGTAGAGGATGATGGAGTTATATCATGTAGTTCACCACCCTGAGTGAATGGTATGTCAATATGAAAGAATGTATTTATGAGTGAGTGAGAGGGTGAATGGTTTTGGATTTTAGGAACTGACTGTGTTGGGAACTAGTGATGATTTGAGTTTGGTGGAAAACTTTTTGTACAACTTTATGAACCAATTTTGGGCAGTGTGCGCATTTATTGTTTCATCACTGGACGCAGTGCAAATTTTAAAAGCTGCCTCAGCTGTCCTAGTACCGAGCTTATATTTTTCCAAAAAGCACATAAGAATTATGGGTTTTGAAGCCATAAGAAAGAAACGTTTTATAATTTACAGTGAAGTGTTCAAAACAGTTTTTATTTATTTACTGGTGCATTATGCTCTTGATATTACATGACGTAAACACAATACTCCTAAGTAAATAAAAATTCTGATTAACATAAAACAATAACAATGAAAAAAACGCACAAACTTTTCTGGTCAACTGGTAATTTGTACATGAAATTGACTTACATGTCATTTGCAGAGGCAGCTAGTTTCAAATGATATGTATTATTTCCCATTGATGGAAGTATCTGGTCATCTTCTAAGCCCATGTTATTATCAACTGCTGGTTCTTCTAAATGAAATGCTTGTTCAATTTCTGGCTTCTTATCCCAAACCTCTTTGAAGAAAGGAGTGTAGAAAGCGGCTAAAATAAAAAATTATCATTTTCAATGGTAAATAAGTTACAATTTTTAATTGGCATTCTTTTTCAATTTTATTACAGATTTTAAGCTAAATGTAATAATTATGGCCATGGTTTGGTCAAATTGAGTCCAAATTATCACTTCCATGGAATCATTGGGCACTTAGGTATCTAAATGACTATCAATAATCAAAATTAATTATGTACATTACAGAGTTTAATTATTATATATAAAGTTATTTAAAAAACTCACTTTTATGTTGAAATGAAGAGTTTGATGTTGTAAAATGTGCCTGCAGCCGATCGGCTGTAGCATTTCCCTCGGTAATTAAAAGATGACATAAATCATTTGTAAAAAATGCATTTGCTCCTCCAATATCAGTGACAGCCATTATCTGGATGGGTAAATTTGGTATGTTCATTGAAAATGCACTGAAATACAAATAAAATTCAATTCTTAACATTGTATTATTATTATTAAAATTGTCATAACAAAAAAAATTACTTCAAGGTGGCCAATGAGGCTTTTCTTTTGGTCGAGTAAACCAATATAAAACCATGAACCAACTCTTCCCTGAATGCATTAGCTCCATGAAACGATGAAATTATTACTTCCACTTTCCTCTTGGATGATCCGAGAAACGTCTCTAGCATAATACTCCTTTCACCGCTCATAAAACAGCAATGGTGCCCCAACAAAGGAGCAAGAACATTTTCGACAGAATATGGATCACCGCAGAATAAACACATGATGACTCTAAAAGAAATTGAAGAAATGAGTAAACTGATTAATTAATTAATTATAGGTAATTCAAGGTAATTCACCTTATATCTGGTTCCATACCGTCCATATTTGCCTGATATATATTTGGCACGCCTGATCTTTCTTGTATACTCTGAAGCAGAAGGCTAAGAGCTTTGTTGACTAATTGAGTGCTAAACCTTTCCCTGTTATAATAATCGTCTTCAAGAGAAATATCAATGTATGCACATTGTAGGCTGCAATTAATTGTAATTACAAAAATTATGTAATACATTAAAAAGTTTGTATGATTCAGTATTAGAAGTAGTATTAAATATATATTAATTTTGAATAAAATTATTGCTCACCTATCTGATAAATTTTGTCCTTCTTCGTGTAGTTTTAGCAACTCTTGCTCTTCTAAATGAGGTTCAGGCAAGAAGAGAGTTACTAAAGGGAGGCCCTGGAATGGTAATCGGTCCTCTTGCTCAAGATTAGACAATAATGTCTTCTCTAGGCTGTCTCTGACATATTCAAAACTTTCAGAATCCGAATAAAGGCAAATGCAACCTATTACAAGATTTTTATTAGCGTATTTGTTTTAATAGACGGAAAATTATGACCCCACCGTTTGGTTGAAATTCAGACGATTTAAACGAATTTTGTGGTAAATTTACATCCCCTTCAATAACCCTCAGTTCAATGCTGTACAGGCAGTAATCTATTTCAATGTCATCGTCTTCACACAAAACCTTAATTTAAAAAGAAAAAAAAAAAAACAGCATACGTGTAAAAGGTGAAAATAAAAAAATTATACTTTATTAAAAATATTTACTCTAATTTCAGATGCAAATTCATGAGCCAATCCTTTAATACCTAGTATAACAAGATTTAACTGATTTCCACTAATCCCCCATCCTGTTTGATTCCAAGAGGGTCTGTAATAAATTTTATACATAAAACAATACATTTCTAAATTAGTAATAACCATTAACTCCTGATGTGAGTCTTGGAGACCACAGCAGATTTTTTTTTTTAAATAGCCCCTTAATACTTTGATATGAAATAAATGTCATATCAGGAGTTAAAGTGAGTTAAGCATTTTACAATGAAAACAAAAGTAATGCTGCATTTCACCGTAATTTAAATATTTTCAATCACCCAGATTAACATTTATTTGGCGACATGAGAAAAAACAGATACAACCAAAATCCAGTTACCTGTGAACTTTATTTGATAAGATACGTTCAATTAATGCATCCATGCAGTTAGGGAACGCTGGGCAATGTTCTCGAATCGGACAGTGAACAAATCCAAGGTGTTGAAACAACATTAATTTTCTATCCTGGTCCAATCTATCAAGAGCTTTATACCTACAATATTACCACCAAGTGTCATTAACATAATTATTCTTTCTTATTTCAATAAAAATTACCTTGAATCATCCTTGAGTGCATCAGTGATTTCTTTAATATCATCTTGTGTAATTGTACCAGTTGGTGCAATACTTTTAAAATGGTAAAACAAATCTGCATTCTCTAACAGCAGCTCCTATTAATTGATAAAACTGTTAATTAGAAATTTTCCATCTGGATATTTTACAGCATTACATCAAGATACACTTATATCGAGTATCTTGTCAATATATATTTTTATTTATTTATTTAAGCATACAAAAGGGAATGTGCCCCAGAGTAAACAAAAAAAAGTTGAAAATATTACAATTCACATAAAAAGCAAACTGTACCGTATAAAATATCATTATTTAAAGATCGTGAGATGCTGTGTGGTGTGATGTAGGTTAGAAAAACATTTTATTTTTCATTTTCTAAACCGCATCCTACGATCTTTAAATAATCAGGAATTAACGATCATTAAACAGTACAAATAACATAATGTAAAACAAAAAAAATATATTAGCAGTAAAGTAATAAAATGTATAGTTGTATAAATAAGTAAAATTAAAAGAGAGAGGGGAGGAGGGAGGGAGGGAGGGATGAGAGATAGAGAGAGAGAGTGAGAGGGAGGGAGGAAGAGAGAGAGAGTGAGGAAGAGAGTGGGAGAGAGGGAGAGGCAGGGAGGGAGGGAGAGAGAGTGAGTGAGTGAGTGAGTAACTGAATGAGAGAGAGAAACTAAGTAAGTGAATGACAGATAGAATGCGTGAATGAGTAAGAGAAAGAAAGAGAGAATGAGTGCGNAGAGATGAGAAACGAGAGAGAGAAGGAAAAATAGAAGAAAAGAAATAAAAACATGACTATGTATTGAGGTTGAGTGCAAAGTGATTGTAAAGAAACACTCATGATCCTGAGTAGACCATTTTCTCATGTCTGCTGGAGGAAAATTGTAGACTCTCACCTGAGCCACTTGAAAGGAAAGATTAAATATGTCGCAATCGATAAGAAATGAGACTCAATTTACAAAGTCTTTTTGAGTTGCTTCGTGAGAGTAACGATGAAGAATCAGTGAAAATTTTGAAAAAAGCAAAACAATGCTAAATTTATGATTTTTCAGAGGAATTTCAGTTAAAAAATTCTCAAAACGTCATATATGATCAAAGTATGTAATCCACAAAATGAACAACCGTGTTAAAAGCAACATTAAGCCACATTGCTTCTGCATCAAATGACTAAAAAGGGAGTCACAATAGAGGAAATGTGGAAAAACGAGAGAAAGTGCTACCCTATTTTATGTCACTGAAAAGTAAAATAAAACTGTGTACAACTAGTTTTCTTACTTGAAAATTGTGTTTAGCTTTATCCACAATATCTTTTTGATGTCTGTCATATATCATCTGACAATCCTGCTCTGACAATGCTTCAAAACATTCTCGACCCATAAAAAGTACTCTTATTTCAGAGAGTGATTTTCCGGGAGTAACATACCCGGTATCTTCAAGTAATTGCTTGAATTGTTTCTTCCATCTACAGTAAAAATGAATTGAAAATTAATTACACATCTAAAACACTGTTGGCATCACATGAATTTGATACTTACTCCATTTTCTTTTGTTCTTGTTGCAATGCACTCGCATGGCTTTTAAATACATTTTCAGCTTCTCCTGTTTCCAGAATATCACAAGGAATCCTTCTTTCTTTAGTACAAGTACCTTCCCAATCACCTTCAGACCACGTCACATCTTTTTCACAATTATAGAAATAATTATTAAAGTCCGGATGATCTTTGATATGTTTCTGCACAGTAGACCAGTCACTGAACATTAAATTCATGTTAAGAGGACACAATCAAATTTGGAAAATTATTTACAACCCTAATAAATTATCATTACCATTCATGAAACATAGACATATCAGGAACCATTTCTTGTAAAATATCCGGCAGTAAATCCATGTAACTCTGAACTTTCTTTGCAAAATGTTCGTCTTTTAATTTTTTGACATGCCTCCTAAAAATCCGCTGAGTGTTGGCACTGCCAAATTCCTGCGTGAATTTAAGTAATTCGTCGTGTTTTGCAAATTTCTTGTAAGTCTGACTCCACAGAGATTGGTGATCGGTAATCTATAAAAATAGATTCAAATCGATTTAGAAAACTGAACAAACTTGAGATTCAACACTTCGAAGAAAAAAATCATAATAACTGATCCTGTCAATTTAAGCCTTATAAAAATGTTCGCAACTGGATTTAGTGAAATCCCCATGTCCGAGACAGTTGATTTTTCTATTACAAAACTTGTAACAAAAAATAAAATTTCTAATTTTCAAGTAATTTACAACAAAAACCGAAACTTAGGAGGAAGCCTGTTAAATTTTTGTGTTATTTGTAAAAACTGTTTTGTTTTTTAAAATCAGGATTAATTAAATATTAATAACATTGAAATAAATATAGTAGTACTTATATTTGTTATTAACTAGACACCATTTTTCATTATGGGAAAATATGTAAACAAATCCTTTTTTGATAATACCCTATTTTAAAAAGTGAATGTCAACAAATTAAGTTAACAACATATGTAAAAAAAATGAAAAAAATAGTTCAACAAATTTAAACAGAGAAAAAAATCTCCCAGGAAAAGAATATTGCTCAATTTATATAAATGAATATATCATCCACTGCTACATTTGTGTGTGTGTGCAAAATATCAGCTTAACTATGGCAATTATTTAAAATTCGCTGCTTGTTTTTTTTTAAATTATAAGCAGAACGATGCTAATAATCAGGACACGACTTAGTGATTATCTCTCCCTCATACCTTACTAAAGAAATTACCACTGGCCTATTGAAATGTATCATACAACAATAGAATTGTATCAAAATGGCAAAACAAACATGTTGATCAACATTAATAACCCAAAGCGTGTCAATCCACAAGTTATTAGAAATACATAATGAAATATTATAATAATGTAAAAAATATAGCATTGATTTACAAATATGGTTTAGTAATCAAATCAAATAGCGTTTATGCTATGTTGTCATATCATGTCAAATTCAAAAGATAATATTACATGATAAATAGCATAATTTCATTTGATTCTGAACTGATATAAACTTATTTTTTATGAAAATTAGAAACACCAATTTTTCTTAAGTTATACTGTTGATTTGAATGTCAATTTATTTGTTTAAAACTTTACCAAGTTCCTACTGTGTGCTCATTAATTAAAAAACGAGTACTAGTAGGATTTGTAAAAATGAATCAAAGAATAAATCCAATTAACTAATTGTTTTCTTCAAAAATACTGACATAGTACTTCTCATGTTTATAAATTTAAATAATGCTGACTAATTTCAAATATATTAATCAAGGCTTAATATACAATAGGATTAATCCATATTTGCTTAGTGGTCATAATTGACCATACTATTTCAATTAATTATTCTTTTTATCTCAACCAAAGACCTCAGATAAAAAGAATAATTATTTGATACAATAGGATATCTTTTTACACTCAAAGACAAAAAAAAAAAATCTGACACTCGTATTTTGTTGTTTTCAAGCTATATGCATTTTTATTGTTGTACTAATTACAACAAACTTATTTTAATGAAAAGAAAATGAAAATGAAATCAGAAATTTATGAGTTTTAATACAAATTATTTAATTGTGATGGTTTGAAAGAAAAAACACTGAAACATCATTTAGTGATTACAATTTAACACAATTTTGCTCTTAATAACACATATTACCTCCTCTGGCATTGCAGAGGGCCTAAGTCTCCTAGACATCGAGTAAATAAATGACCGACAGAATCCCAATATCCAACAAGAATGGTTTGAAGCTGTTCAATGCTTGTTGGATGTGGCGAATGATGTCTAAACCATTTTTTTTATAGAAGACATATAAGTGTTCTATGCGATTCATGTCAGGAGAACGTGCTGACCAATTCATTTGGTAATTCCCACATCCTCCAATGGGTGACAACTAGAGCTGTGTGCGGTTCAGCATTATCACTTAATTGTCCCCAGTAAATGGAGCAAATGGGACAACAGTTTATGGCTCTGGATAGGATGAAATTGAACTTCTTGAATCTAAGAGTAACACTATACAGATAACAAGTTATTAATGTTGTGTTTTAAGTCAACTATTAATCTGTTAATGCCTAGTTATTATGGAAAATAAATAAATACAAGTGTTCTTTTTTTATTTATTTATTTATTTTTTTTTTTTTGGTCTTTGAGCATAATAATAATAATAATAAAGGTTAAATCATACATCAAAATAAAACAAAAATTAACAGTTTATTTTTACTATTTTTTATTTTGGTCAAGAATAACAATTACATGCAGTGAAAAGTACATACATTGTAAAAAAAAATCTTTTCTTACTCACAGTTTGTTGTTTCAATGATCAGGATTTCAAGCATTAAACACTCATTATCAGGTTAAAGAAGTTACAACTCATGTTGAGAAACATGTTTGTAACTCTTTAAAACTGATGGTGAGCATTTAATGCTTGAAATCCGAATCGTTGAAAACAACAAACTGTAAGTAAGAACTATTTTTTAAAGTAGTTGAACATATTCACCCCACCTTTTTCATTTCTAGTCTTACTCATAATTAGAGATTAAGCAATTACACAAATAGCAACATCTCACAAATTAAAATTGCTTGAAATTATCTATAATATAAAAAATAAACAAAATGCATTCAGAGTTAGGAAATCATGCTAGTATCTACTATACTGCAAAATGTAAATAGAATTTCTTTTTAACACTTGCACTGCTGTCGAGGGTCTTTCAGGACCTAGAGAATGGTTTTTATTGCTATTGTTGTCTATTTGTATTCATTCATTTAGTTTGGTTGACTGTCTTTCCAGAATGTAGAATAATTTTTTTGAACAAAAATATAAATAGTATTGCTCATTTTATAGATAAAAATAGGTCTGGGTTTATTTAGATCATGGCTCATGTTATAATTTTTGTCCAGATTTTTTTTTTTTTTTTTTTTTTAAGAATAATTGTTAATAAGTCACTTTACTCTCTCAGGTAGGAGAAATGATTAACCCTACCACTTTTACCCTAATGACCTTTGCCTATTGTCCTTGTTTTTTTCATTTACTCCAAAGCTCTCACTTTTCTGTCTGTACTCAGTTTCTGTGTGAAAGTGAGCAAAATGGATGCTAACTCTGTTTTTACTTGCACAGACAATATTCTGAAAGAGTTTCAAAGGCAGGAAGAAGAACAAAACTTTTGTTTGGTTGATCAATGACAACATTTTACCAAATGATAAATGCAAACAATTCATATGCGGTAAATTCAGTGGTGACCAAAACACAGGAATGTATGAGGTGGGCCCTAGATGATCAATTATATTGCACAATATTACAAATTGCATAATATTGTTGAATGTTTAGGGTTATTATTGAATTTGCTCACTGATTGAACAAAAGTTTGAGAAAGTAATTTTTATTGCACAATATATTTTTTTTATTTCACCCCGTAGGATTAATATTACAAAGTATTTTTTAATCTGGGTCTAGCACTTGAAGGATGAATACTTATCGCACATTTGCATGAACAAAATGGCGATGTTCATACAGCTATACAGAGAATTGCCACCTCTGTACAATGTCAAGAGCAAGGATTATCATGATCATGATAAAAAAAATATTATATTAAAAAAAAGTTTATGAAAAATTGTTCCTACATGCAAAGAGATGGTGTGAAAAATAAATTTAATTAAATTTTTTTTTACTGCAAGGAGCTCAAGTAATCAACAGTGAAAAATATTATGCAATTTATAATATTGTGCAATATAATTGATCATCTAGTGCCTGCCTAGTTATTCAATAGTATGCACAATAAAAGTATTGTGCAATTTTATTGTAGGTCTAGGATCCGTCTGTTGTGTAGGATATCCACACTGTAATAGTTAATAATGAAAAACAAAATAATGTTAATAAAAATTTGTCATACCTACATATAAATTTTTTATTTATAAGTCATCTATGTACATACTAAATAAATAATTATTATCAAACAAACAACCTTATTGTAATTTTCAGAAAAAAAAATATTGGGCCTCCATGGCACGTTCTTTTTTTTACCGACGGCAGTGCAAGTGTTAACAAGTTCCAATCAATGTAAGAAATTATGCAAGTTTCAATTTCAACAGCAGGTTATTTAAATAATTAAGATGCATTGCAGCAATAAAGTGGACAATTTAATTTCTAAAATAAACATATTACTTATTATTCTTTTTTCAATTGTATATTTGAAATTTAATCACTTCATTTAAACTTTTATAATACAGTTGTTTTTTTTTTCATAAATAACAAAACCTATTAACTATCAACAAAATTAAAAATAAAACTGAGTAACAAAAAAATATGTATACAATTTCAGATGCAGTACAACTAGTAATAAAGACTAGCAATTAATAGCACTTAGTAAATATTACATTAATCTAAGTGGTATTATCCTGAATATTATTTTTTTATTATTTGACTGTCAATAAGCAAAAAAAGCTAACCACAAGTGAAAGGTCATGCATAAGCTGCAAGTGCAATTTACTTTATTACATACTTGAATAACTTAACCCTTTCAAGACCATATTCCTGTTCTTGCTTCTCCCAATGAGGTACCAAGAACCAACATGTTCATCCCTACTAATTCAGGTACTGTGCTATATCGTTCTAGTCTCTTCACTTTTGGGCTGATGTTCAAAGAAGCAGTGTGTTGCTTAAAACAGTATGACTTCTAAAACGGAAGAGAGTAGAGTGATATTACGCTTTAACCTCACTTAGGGAAGAGCGCTGACCGTCCTGAATGGGTTAAGTACATCCAGTTACAAATTATATTAATTCAAGGCAATTTTACTATTCAAATGATACAATGAGCATACAAAATTAAGTTTTATCTTCTCAATTTTTTTAAGATGGATTTTCTTAAAATATGATTTTATAATATATGTAATGTTTAGAATTATCTGTTCCTGTTCAGTTTTAGATCTAACGCTGCACAATTTCGTACAATAGTCCATTATTAGTTTTAGTTTTAAATAATCTTTGATCACCAGAAGATAATTTTTTAATGGACAGACTATGGCAGCAATGGCTTACATTGGCGGTATCTTAATGAAAAAAAAATAAAATAATAATAAATAAATAAAAATATGGCAACCATGTCTATAAAAAAATTTAAATGATATAATATATAATTAAATTTAAAAGTTAAGGGATTTACGAGAAAAAATGTAGCCCATGTAAAAACCTTACAAAAGAAATCAAATTTTCAAAGCTGAATTCACTCTTCTAAACATTTAATTTTTTAGTACATTTTTAACACTACCCCCAAAATTATTATAAAAATATAAAAATAATTATTATAAAAAAATAAATATTCATTTGATGAAAAAATAATTTATGTTACTGTGTAGTGAATCAAATACTTTAAAGTTTAACAGAAATATAGCAATTTTTTAAAAAAGATTTTAACATTAAATGCAAATTAATAATGACTCTACAACTAGCTTAATCACAGTAAAAGAATTGTAAAGTGTAAAAATTGGATATGCAAGGGATTAAAGTATTAAAATATAATTGACTGTACATTAACACATTGACTGCATAAGACGTATGTGTCATGCTAACTGTCCTTGGGTGCAGTGGATGGTCTACGTCGTCCCATTGAATATTTTTCTACTTTCCACTTCAACCTCTATGCAATTCTGTTCGAAATTCCTAGGGCTGGCTCAGAAAGAGCAAAAGTGTTACTGGCTACTATCAGTACACATTTTTTTAACTGGAATTTTTTTATTCTGTGAAAACCATGTACAGTAAAACTTCGTTATAACGATTTTCCAGTTATAATGCTCTTTTCCATCGGTCCCGGTCCTAAAACTATTTTTCAACAACTATTTTATTAGTTTTAATGCTCTGATTTATCCTTTATAATGCCCCAATTTGATATTTTAAAAAAAATTAAGTACATACACACAAAATAGGCCGTAAAAAAGGAAAATAAATTCTCTTTTAAAATCTATTGTGTGGAGGACAGGAGATCGCTTTTAACATTGGCTACACAAGTGGGGTGCTAAATTAAAAGATCACAACATTCTTTTGCTTGTAGACAACTGTGCTGTACATCCAACAAATGTTGATATTAGACCATCAAACCAGTTTTATTACCGCCAAACACACCAGTGAGATACAACCTCTTGGTCAAGGAATATTAAAAGTCCTGAAGCAATGCTACAGAAGAAGGATGGTACAAAAAGACCAATAATGGATGACTCATCTACAATAACTTCCCAAAAAAATTTCTAATTTTAGACGCTATCCACTTTTTGCATGCTCGGTGGTTGGGCATTAAGAAAGAAACAGTTCTGAATTGTTTCAAGAAAGCAGGAGTTGGGAATTCAGAATGCCAAGATACCGAAGAATTGATTGTTTCTTATTTATAATTTTAACTTTTTTGACGATAATCTTGTGGCCAGCGAAACTTCAAGTCAGGAGACTGAAGATCATCTCAGGCATTGAAAGATGATGAAGAAGAGGATGATGATACACCTGTAACAATCGCGCCGAAAACAACCGATGTTTTGGATGCAACTAAAACGCTTCGCACATTTTTTCATATAACACTGGCATAAATTACGAAATCTTCAACAAAATAAACGGATTGTAAAATTGTGTGTTCAAAAATTTTTTTAAAAATTGTTTAAAAATAAAATATGATTACATATTTTAGTCCAGGCACGTCTAATATGTATTGTAATTGAATAAGTACATTTTGTTTTATTTTATGTATACGTACATATCCACATACCCAGTTTTATACATTCTATATTTTAAATAAATTTTATTGTATTGCTATATTTTTTTAAAATATAATTTCCCGGTTATAGAGCTGTTTGTTTTCCTTGGACCTCAGAAGAGCCTTATAACGAAGTTTTACTGTAATTTGCTTTTCTATTGTGTATTATCTGATTATTTTAATATTAATTATTAAGTACCCATTTTGTATTATTATGTAAAAATAAAGGTAAATTATTGTAGAAAGAAGAAACAATTTTTATTCAACTACACACCCAATTTAACAAACATTCTAAATTTTTTAAATATATTTTGTTTTATTGATTATGGATATCAAGAACTGGAGGAGTCCCCCCCCCCGAACAGCTTTATGGCTGCAGTTCCTAGTTCCATTTTGGGAGCTCGCAACAACACGTGTATAAAACCCCCAATGTTCTTCCATTGTAGAACGAAGAGGGTCGGGACCGAATTCAGATTCTCAAAGACTTGGATCTTGCCAGACCTTCCATCAATGAGAGCCTCGTCAATTTTCATTGGCCACTGCACTCCTTATGCATCAGAAAAATCCAGAGGTGACGGTGGGAATCAACCCACAACCGCGGCATATACTAGCCTAGTCTAACGTCTTAACCACTTGGCTACTGCAGTCGCATTCTATAGGGTGCCTTTTTTCTGCTGGGGATGCAACTCTTGCATCGTATAATCTTTATCACTTTAGTAAACGTAATGTATATATAATTATTTGTAAGTACCAGAGAGCTATTTTACATGATAGATTGGGTTCCACCATGGACGACCAAAATGGTCAAGCATAGTTCGCAGCCAATGTGTTAAGTTTTAATATTTTTTGTTATAATCCTTATCGGTTCTGGGTCTCCTTTCTTCAAAAACGTATCAAAAGAATTGGTTCAATGAAAAAACATATTTCAAAATTATCAATTGTACATAATTTGCTATCTTGTTCACGTACCAAATTGTACATTATTGATTGTATTTACATACCACTGAAAAACAGCAGCATAAAAACAACAGCAGAGTGTTTTATTAGTATTAAGTTTGAGGATAAAACAATGCGCGAGTTGGAGATTTTCTAAGAAGAAAAGTGCAAAATTCAAACAAGTAGTCCACAGCCAAATCAAAAAGTAACTAAACTAAAACTTAACTACGACAACTAAAGCTATATTTACAGAAAAAAATCGACAAATAAACATGCAGGTTCAGTCTATCAAAGTTGAGCAACAATTGATGAATTTTGCAAATGATGTTACAACATGGGTGCAAAATTTAATAATTCACCTGAGAACGTATAAGAGATTGGAAAGCTTCGGTTGTTATGTCAAGGTGCTCTTTGCGTAATCGAGCTGCTTCTGCATAAGGTACAATTTTTATACGACTTCTATTTCTATCAATGAGTAATGCTAAGGTAAAGAATGCCAAGTCTACATTGATGTTCTCATGAGCTGAAGTTTCCACAATCGGTATGAGCCCCTTGTATTCTTTTCTTGCAACAAGCTTTTCAACCTCTCTCGCGTACACTTCACTTCCATCATCATTTTTTGTTGTTACCTAAAACATCATTACAATTTGTGCAAAATTTGTATTTGCAGCTTTATATTTCAAAAATTATTTAAATATCTTACCACAACTACAGGTTTCTTTGTTTTTATTAAATTGTTTAAAATAGCACCAACAGTTTCAATTTGCTTTTCTAGCGTTCGGTTAGGAATAACACTGACATCAAATACACATAAAAAGCCATCAATGTTGACCTTCCCATCAGGCAAAACTTTCTGCTCATACTCTTTTTCAATTCCTGAAAAATCATTTTTATTTAATAATTTAATAGAAAATACAACAGAAAATCATGCGTTTTTGACATTCCAATTTATGACAACCGAAAAATCAGGAAAATGATAGCAAAGACTCCTAATGAAATATTTGATAAATGTAAGATGCATGGCTCTAAACCTTAAAAAAAAGTTAATTTGCTCTAAAAATATTATAACAGCTGAATGTCAAAGATCTCCTGACTAATAAGGAAATAGAACAGAAAAATTTCAGTCACACAAAAATCATATCATTGAAAAGAGGAAATAATGTATGTATGAACAATCATCTAAAAATTGTGCTTTAACGTACCTAACTGATTTTTACATATGTACATTAGTTTTTCCGCAGATGTTAGCTTTGTAGCAGCACATCTTTTCACATAAGGTTCCATTTTCCCCCCTATAAGCAAATGAGATTGTTAAAAACAAAGTTAATGTATGTAATTTTATTTTGTGAATATCTTTTAATATGAAAATACCTTTAAAGGCCTGAAATGAAGAATCGTCAATGAATTCAGTTTGTTCTACAACCTGAAATTGATATTCGGTTCCTTCATCTGATGTTTTTGTTACTTCACCCCAATAAAGGAAGTGATCATTGTTAACCACACGCCCACTGAAATCACTCTGGAAATAATATTAAAGAATTAAACATAAAGAGAATAAAGTAAATTAAAAATAAAACGTTAACCTGCTCACCTGGCTCAACACTGAAATGTGATCTGCACTGTAGTCATCAGCATTTGTTCTTAAGAACCTGTTACAGAGGCAGGATTTCCCTACTCCAACTGCTCCTTTTTCTTTTTCAGTCCCTGACAGGCCAACAACCGAGACATGAAACCACTTGCCGGAGTCTCCTCTCCGGCTCATCATAGTCATCATCTTGACTGAGTTTATATATTACAGTCTACAGGCATAACTTCATGTACCTGCAGTAAAAAATACTCTACGTTATGGAAAAGTTGTATTTCCTTCACTGAATACAGTTTTTCTTACCCTATTTGTTACTTCCTTCCAGTTCTTAATAATTCAGTCTAAATTATCAGTCAATAACAATCCATGGTGTAGCAGTCCTTTTTGGTATGGTCTAAAAATAGATATTTATATTAAAATATTGTTTTCTTTGTCAAGTGCTTACACAAATGTTGTATCAAATAGTACTAGATTCTTAGATATTGAATATATTTAAAAAATTTGCATCAATGAAAATTAAAACATTGCTCTAGGTAATTACACTTGTTGTCCAAGTGAAATCACACGCCAGAAATTCTTGTGTGCTAGAAAATCTCAGCAGACGATACACTATCAATAATATAATTGTCAAATCAGTCAGGGAGTGCACAAAACTTTGAATTGTAAACAAATTAATAGTAGAACTAACAGTTTGCAATCCTGGGCCACGAGCAACCTAGTTGTCTGACTTGGGTGCTAAGGCGAATGAGAATTGATAGAAATGAAAAATACCTGGAGCCTTTAACAAGCATCAACGACACAATAACTGATTCTACCAAACTGGGTTCAAAAACAACAAAGACAGATGGACCCATTTAGCAGGAGCCAGACATTTTAAGCAAATGATGAAAGGTCTTTCACTAACTCACTACTACTCATAGTAAAATTGATGTTAGAATATTGACCGGCCAAATAACAGAACAACAAATTTACATATTAAAAACTAAAGGAACGAGTATTATAAAGAAGTTCTTGCTGAATTCCCACAACAACCACCATTAAATGAAAATCGTTTACATTAAAGAAGAAAAGAGAAAATATAGACTGTCCTATTTTTTTTTAAAGTTAATTATTTTCTTTTAATATTATAGTCCTGATGAAGGCATTAAATAGGCCGAAAGCTTGACAATAGCGTGAATTTTTTCTTCGTTGGCCTCCTCCCTGATACTCCTACAACATAGGCATCAAAAAGACATCAAAGGAACTTCATTTTTCATAAGAACAAAAGAGGGTTCTTTTTGGCTATTCATTTATTCCCACTCGACCTCATTCAACATCCAGCATACTTTTTACTTGCTGGATTTGCTGAGACACAAAATGAGCCAACAGTGATTTCTCGAACTCCCATCGAGACAACGATGAGATTTTGAAGGCCCAACCTGGCCTCCTATCATCACTCTTGAAATAGATACACACTGTACTTAAAATCCAGAAATCCGACGTTATTTCATGACTTTGTTTTTGTTCTTAACTCTTATCACATGACACTGAACCGACATTGTTCTTGTCTTGTTCCACCAAATAGTACAGTGGCTTAAAAAAGCGAATGGAATTTTGCTTTTTTAATTATCCACAACATAGAGCTTGGTTATTAAATTACCAATTAAATTAATAAATAAGTAAATAAATTTAATTTAATATCAAATAACTAAAAATGAGAGTTTCAAAACTGAAGGTCAAACAAGTATAAGCAATTTAGATGATTATTATTTGTAAACAATATAAGTTAATACTAACAAACAATGGGATTTTTATTTAACTGGTTCACATCTCCTGCCTTGTGAATACCTAAATTTTACATTGCAATCTAAAAAATTCTCGAAAACAATTGTCATTATTTACTAAAAAACTCGTTACTTTACAGAATGAAGGTCTAACTTATCGAGTGATTGGTGATATGTTAAAATTGAGTTTATTTACCTTGAGAACAATCATAAAATGTTTTTAATGAAAAATATTTTTATGGAAGAGAGAAGAAAATGTTTGAATTTTGCCAAAAAGTACATAAACCAGTCTGAACTATTTTGAATTGAATTAATTTTTATGTATGTCTACCAATCAGATCAATGAATCAGGAATCAAAATTCAATATTTTTGGATTTGACGGACATTGAATTTTCGATTTGTTTGAAGAAAAGCCAATACCGAATCCCAAATAAAAACATTTAAGGCCAACACTGAAATACGACGGTGGGAATGTGAGGATTAAGGCTCACGGAGGGCCTTAAGTCTCCTAGGCATCAAGTAAATAAGCAATTGAGTTTCATCCATTCTTCAACAAGAGCATATTGAAGCTATTCAACACTTGCTGAAGGAGGCAAATGATGTCAAACCTGTCTCTTTATCATTTCCCATAAGTGTTCTATGGGTTTATGTCAAGAGAACAGCTAATTCATTGTGGTAATCCCTACATCCTCTAAGTAATGGATGACAACTTGAGCTACATGCAGTCGAAGTTGTCCCCAATAAATGGGATCACAGCTTCCAAATTTTACAGGGTACACGATGGATGCAAAAAGAAGTTTTGAAAAGAAAAATCAGAATGACAAATACATTTTATTACCCATGTGTTCAACTCACAAAGTCTTGTTTCCGGATGCAATCTTCCGTTTTAGAGTATTATCAGACTGTCAACAATGTACTCATTAGAACTAAATGCAATCTATGGGAAACACACACTAAATTTTTCATGCAATTGCTTGCTCCCCTTTACGACACTCAAAGGCTAAAACTGGACACTCGTATTTTATTCATTATTTCAGCCTACATGTATTTTTATTGTTATATTAATCATAACATACCTAGTTTAATGTAAACAAAATTAAACGAGATCAGAAATTCATGAGTTTCAAGATAAATTATTTAATTATGATGGTTTGAAATAAAATGCACCAAAACACTGGAAAATCATTTAGTGATATTTAACTAACTATTTTTTACCTGGATTAACACTAAATAACGCGTATTACCTCCTCTCACCTCACTGAGGGCCTATGTCTCTTAGCATAAGTAACCGGATTTCGTCTATTTAACAGATCCCATTGTTTGACAAGAGCGGTCTAAAGCTGTTCAACACTTGTTTGAGGTGATGAACGATGTTTAACCAGTCTCTATAGCTTGTCCCATAAGTGTTCTATGAGATTCTGGTCAGGAGAACATACTGGCCAATTAATTGCGGTAATCCCTATATCCTCCAAGTAATGACAACGCAAGCTAGGTATAGTCAAGCATTATGATGTATTGACACAAAGTTGTCCCCAATAAATGGAGCAAATGGGATCACAGATTCGAGAAGAACTACCTCAATACATCTTAGTGCAGTCCAAGATCCATCCTGTATTATAACCCATGATTCCACCGCATACCATAACTGTCTCTGACTCACACATGAAGCAAAGCTCCATACACCTGGTCATCTGATTACCAGAAACCAAACCAGCACTCCTCTGTGAAGAGAACCCCCCCCCCCCATTATCAAAGTTGCTGATTTGTGAATAGTCGCTTTTCTACTTGATGCCTCTCCAGTAGTAGAGAACCTTATCTAGGTCATCTTGAGACCAGGCTAATCTCATAAAACCTTCTGATGTGGTTTTAGAGCTCATCCTTACATTATGGACTGTTTGGAATTGATTATCAAGGAGGCCATAAAATGACAGTTCCGTAGTGTGGTAAGAGCAATGAAACGATCATCCCTAGCCGTCGTACATAGTTGGCAACCACTACCTTCCCCTTGTTTGAGACTTCCAGTGGGCCTAAACCTCTGTAGAAGTAGTGTATGGTAGAGCGTGGCACACCCATGACGGGCTACATGCATCGTCAGCCAAAGAATTTGCCCAAGCGAGATTTCGACTTAAAATCATGCTTTTGTGTCCAAACTCAATACAAATTTATTGTTTAATATTATATACAAATTATTTTCCCGACTATTTTTTAACCATTGATTTAAACATCAACATTATGAACTGAAACTGTATAATACAAACAATGTTTGTACATCCCAGGCACTGAAGATGATCTAAATAAAGATCGAAACGTTGGCACGACAAAGAAAATGTTTTTCTAAACCTACATCATAAAAGACCGCATCTCACGATCTCAAATAATCATTAATTAACGGTCACTAAATACTACACGTGCAGATTTTTTTAAAAATTAACTATAGGAAGTTCGAAACCGCTTAAGCTAATATAGAGCAAATAAATAATCAATGCAGTTAGTCTTTAACATAAATGTCGAGCGCAAAAAAAACAATTTGTTAACAAAAATCCAATCGTATATGAAAGTCCTTGTTAAATCATTTAACTGGACGAATTCATGAGAAATTTGTTAACATTTTCCCATTTCAAGATGGTTAATTGACCCACCTTCCTTATCAAATCCAACTGTTTTGTTTACCACCGAAGAAAAAACGGGTCGAAGTTTTATAGATGTGAGTTTTAGAGTTGGGTACCACTACTCAGGGACGGCCGCCTTCCTGTGGAGGAGGCCTCTGGATCAGTGTGAAAGATCGCAACCGTCTTGAATCCCGGGTGAAAATCTTCCGCCGGTGCGTAGGAGTGAAATTAATCTGCGGCCGTCAAATCCCCGCCTCGGCATTGATAACCACTCGATCTAACCTTAAACGGATTGAAAAAGATGGAAAGAGAAGTCTGACCTCGTCCTGAAGTTGAGTCGTGTCCATTGTCGCAGCGAGGCCCCTTCACAGAGATTTCGCCCGAATCAGAGACGGCGCCGAGGAGATTCGTGGATGATGTGACGACCTCCTGCCTATAAACAATTACTGTCGGACGAGATCCAGCCCTCCAGCGCCACCCAAGGACCAACAGTGTTGTCCAAAACTGAAACCGGAACCGTGGGGGGGCGCTGTTGGGTTGTGTGGGTCGAAGGGCGGCGCGTGGGAAAGGGACGGGGAAACGGCCCACTGCCCATGAACCAGCGCGCCCCACCATCAACCCAATCCAAATTCACAATTTAATAATAATAATAAAATCTTTATTTATTACATGGAGAAAAATCCAATATACAAAAAATATCGCATATAATATATAAAATTAAACTAAGAAAAATAAAATTATATGTAAACAAAAACAAATTTATATAAAATGCAAGAAAAGTTGTCGCAAGTCCTCAATTTTCTCCTGTCTTTATTGTGTTTTAATCCTTCTAACTTATTTTTAATATTTCTCCGTCAATATATAATGTTATATGATATATGTAACTGTAACAGACTCTATATTTTCTTTGGCCTATTGCCAGGCTTTCTGTACCTCAGGGACTTGTCCGAGTGTGGATACAATTACACAAATAACAAACACATACACAAAACATAATACTTTTTAAAAAGATAGTTCCTACTCACAGTAAGTTGTTTTGCAACGGTCAGGATTTCGAGCTTTTAGCTCATCATCAGATTGAAGGAATTTACGACCTGTCTCCCGACATGAATTGCAAAAGTGAACCCGCCGACACCCCCGCCAACGCGACGTTCCAATGAGAAGCCGGTTTTACTGCCGCTCAATTTTGAACGTGCGAAAAGCTGGAATTATAACACAAGTAGATATTATATTAGTAAATACTGTAAGAAATTAATTATAAATTAGTGATTAAAGATAAAAGGTAAAATTAGAATAATAACTAAATAATAGATTATTAAAATATGATAAACATAATAACAATTAAAATAATTAATTTAATTATTTTGACGTTTAATATTATTTATGTACATATTTAAAATGGGAGGTAGATCAAAATCTATTATATTATTAATGCATTTATTTCCACGTTCAATTTTACATTTTTTAATTTCAAATTTCTCAAACCAATCTAGTTCTCTCCCTTTGTTGAAACTATGTAACACTGTTGTATTTAAATTTGAATTGAAATTATGTTTTGCTTCTTTTAGATGGTCCTTAAATTCCGAAAATTTATTTGATTTCAATTCGATTCCGATTAAAACTTACTGTGAGCAGGAACTATCTTTTTAAAAAGGATTGAACACCACACTCACTCCATCATTCATTATTTCTACCAAAACGTAGTAGTCTAGTTAGCATTCAAGTTTCACATTACCCTTACATTACATTATTACATTTATTAGCGTGAAAAGAAGGGCTTATACCCACTTACCCAGAGAAATAGGACATCAAATCAAATAACTATTTCCATTGATCGCCATAGAACTATTTATGCCATATTCAGTTTTATACCAAGAATGTAAGAACAACAAGTGTGTTAAATTCGTTTGAAAATATATATATATTGAAATAAAATAAATTTAAGGGAATTTTATCATTATAAAAATTAACCATTGTATTACTAATGTTAGTTAGATAGTTTTCATACAGATTCCGAATGTTTCATTTCAATTTTTTTATTATAAATGTTTGTAAATGTATGTATAGTTATAACCTTTTTACTTTTGTATACATTTGTAAGTGAGAAACTGTAAAATAAATAAGGCTTAAATTCAACAACGGCTGTGACATTGAGAAGGCTTGTGCCCTCCCCTGAATTTCATCTGAAATTTTCTTTCCCTCCCCAGACAATTATTGGATATAGTGGTGGATTTTCTCCTGTTCGAATCGCATCTCAGGGCTAAAAGAGGGCAAGGAATCGTTGGATCCGCACATTTGATGGACTGTGGAATATGCATGTATTTCAAGTGGCAGGACTGATGCCGGAGGACATGACCTAAAGCCGACCCGACATTAATACGTGTTATTATTCAGTGCGTAACCTCCTTGTCGAGTTTCGTCTCGTCCGAGTACTCTGCACGATCACCCGACTCGAGACGGTTAGGCCTAACTCGGCTGAAAATCGTCTTTTCGTTCGCCGTTTCACTCCTAAAGATTTCCCTTTGAGCCGAGACGATTAATCGGCCGGTCAATTTGAAAGACACGATTTTCATGTTATCCGCATCCAGCTGATAATAATTCGGTATTTTGTACCTTTATAGAAATGGGCCTGACGATATCCAGCGTTTTGACTCGCCTGTTTGGAAAGAAACAGATGAGGATTCTCATGGGTAAGGTACAGCCGTCGTTATCGCTATTCGGCACTTTTTTTCCTATTCTTGTCTTTTTTAAACTTGTTGCCTGTCTTTTGTCCCAGTCTCTTATTGTTAGAGAGGAGTGAGTGAGTGATTGAGAGAGATAGAGAGGATGAGAGAGTGAGTAACTAGAAGAGAGTGAGAGGGAGTCAGTAAGAGGGAGAGAGAGTGAGTGAGATAGTAAGCGATAGTGAGAGAGAGTCAGTGAGAAAATGTGTAAATGAGTGAGAGTGAGTGAGTGAATGTATCATTCATTAATGAATGATCTATTTATTGATCACGCAAGATTTGGTTTCAAAGACCAAAAAAGTGAGAGAGTAAGGTATAGCCATCGTGATTGTTGTTCGGCACTTTTTTCCTCCTATTATTGTCTTATTTAAACTTCTTATCCGCCTTTTGTTCCAGTTGGTTTGGATGCTGCTGGAAAAACTACCATCCTGTACAAGTTGAAGTTGGGAGAAATTATAACAACTATACCCACGATCGGTAAGTCGACATCAACGAATTCTTCATTCTTTTATTTATTGCAGTATCATGTCTTTAGGGCTTTGTTCTTCGACGTTCTATTATTTGACACGTTTGATTATGTTATTTGATGCGTTACTTTGGTACTCCAAACGCTCCAGTAATCTGATTGGGGAAAAAATGCATGAAATCAGAATTTTAAAGGAGTGGGTAATAAGATAAAAAATAAACTTCTGTTTGGGATAACTTTTTTAATTGTGGTTTCACACATTTTTTAAGTAAATAAAACAACCTCTAAAAAATGGTAGTAAATGTGGTTAATCAAATATAAAATTTTGATTGGTATATGCTCCTTAACCGTATTCTATTATATTCAAATAATTTCATTCTTCCTTATCTCTTGCATCAGTTTTTATTTTAATATTATTATTATTTATTTATTTATTTTTGCTCGGAATCATTTCTATTTTTTATCCTGTATTTTATCCTATCTGTTTGTAACACTTTTCCCTGTAAACAGGTTAGTCAGTCAGTGGAATGAATCAAATAAGATGACGAAGATCAGTTAGTCAATGAATTATTCATGTTAATCATTCACTAAGATTTCCATCATTTTATTCAATACTAAATATTTTTTACTCAGAAAGCATTTTACATTAAAGATAAGACTTTTTTTTTCCAAGATCTACAATTTTCCCAGTACTCAGTTTGACAAGATATCACTTACACAAACCTGAGATATCGATCAGTGAATCAAACGATAAACTGATTCTCTGAATTCGCCATTTGCTGGTTTACTACTAAATCTTTATTCTAGCCTACATAGATGAAATTATTCTGATAAAACTCCAGTTTAAACAAAACTTATTTTGTAAAAATTCACCTCTTGAAAGAGAATTCACAAGGACTTATGAAAAATCTTAGCATAGGTGAAATAAAAGTCTTACAGTAACAAAATGTAAAAATGTATGATTCTTCCAACACCTGTTGTGACAAAAACTCCTTGCATACTTAACATTTTTTTGATTTATTATTGAAATGGTAGTGTTAAATACTCAATAATTACAGATGGACTTTTTAAGTTTTAACCTCATATAAATAGAGTTGGTTTTATTTGGACAAAACATTTGTTACTATGAATTGTCAGGTTAGGTGCTTCTGCAGTCTAAATTAATGAGCTTCCAACAGCTTTTAACAAAATATCATACAGTCATAATTAAAATATGACAATACAACAAACTAACACTTTACAATTACGGTATAGTTCAAATATCAAATTTTTATGACCGGAACTCGTAATCACTGAAAATGTATTATATCACAGACCAGAAAACTCATGCTTTTCATACTCAGAAATTGTGTTTAGAGGATTGTTAACTAAGGTGTCCTACAATTTGTATGACCTTTTTCTTTGGCATTAACCACTTTGTCAAGTTAGTAAGAACTGTTTGATACCTTGGTTATTGCATAATGGCACTAGAAGGGCATTATGCTTCCTTGCTTGTGACCTCTGTAACCTATATATACCATCTTTTAATGTATAATATACATAACTGGGTGAGTCATTATACCCTGTTTCTTAAACAAAGGTTTTCAGTGATCGGTTTTTGCTTGTGAAAAATGCCTCATCTTTAAAATCACTTTTTCAGCATACAATCCATTTGCCCATACCGATACACCATACGTATTTGTATTGGAACTGTGCTGACCCTAGACCTCAGGGGAGTTCACCGCTAGGCCTGTTATACAGCTGGTCGCTAGTATGCTTAAGCCAGATGTTTGGAGATCGTCACTTCCCAGCTAATGGGGTTAGGCTTCAACGGGGGCTTGTAACAGCTAGGTCATTTCAGCTCCCAATGCGTACAAAATATATGCTAGCCAAACGTAACTAACAACAATAATACATTCATACAAAGAAATATGTTCACACCTGTGTACATTGTACTTATTCTGATTAGTCGGTGGAGTGCTCGATATTCTTCCATCAATCTACCTATTCACAAAGTAATGCTAATTTAATTAGGGTCAATGGAGTGCTTTCATAATTTCACCATAGTATAGTAATGCTATATTTCACCATGAGCTCCTCACCACTTACACTAATAAATACATACAAACAAAACACATAAAACGTGTGTGTGTGTGTGTGTGTGTGTGTGTGCATATATAATTAAAAAAATCCACACCCTCTAAAAAGTTGAATAGGGGACCCTGAAACTTGCTACTGTGCCTGAGAACCATTCTTAAAATTGGCGGCATGCCTAAATGCTCTCTGTAAGTAGGCAAGGCATGACAAACTTCTATTATGTGAGACATATCAAGCAACCTTTATCTGTATAAGGGGCACACCTGCATAGGCTTTGGCCCAGGAGCAGGTGCCCGTGTATGACCAATTCTTAGTCAAGTAAGGATTATTTCTTGTTTCTGGCTCAGGTTCTCTGGGGGGGGGGGAGCTATCTAAAGGTTGGGCTGTCAACATGCAAGAGCCTCTAGGTCAACCTGGCCCGCTGATGTTGCCATCTTTCTATTATCATGTTCATTTCCACTCGCTTAGCGTCAGAGGGCCAGATCATGATTGTCCGGTCGGGAGGGTGGTGCTTTTGCTGCACATATATTTATATTCTTAATGTCTTATTGCTTACATTTAGTTCATATAGATTAACAGCTCAAAATTCTGTTTTAATGTTTAATAATAATATATTTGTATAGTTTTAAGTAATAACTTGGTTTTGATCTTTGTACAGGATTCAATGTAGAGACTGTGGAGTATAAAAATATATGTTTCACTGTTTGGGATGTTGGTGGTCAAGATAAGATCAGGCCTCTGTGGCGACACTACTTTCAAAACACACAAGGGTTGATATTCGTAGTGGATTCAAATGATCGTGACAGACTTTCTGAAGCAGAAAAAGAGCTTCAGAATATGGTAGTTAAATTATTGACTGGCTTTTTTTTAAATGTTAAATATTTGATTTGTTATAATTAATTGTTGTATTTAGTTGAGGGAAGACGAGTTACGTGATGCTGTGCTGCTTGTTTTTGCCAATAAACAAGATCTTCCAAATGCAATGAATCCTTCAGACTTGACTGACAAGTTAGGCCTCAACCATTTGAGGAATCGTCAAGTTAGTAGACTGAAAAACACTTTATTAGCAAGTCGTCATAATTCAAATATATATATATAATTTTTTTTGTTTTTGTTTTAGTGGTACATCCAATCGACTTGCGCAACTCAAGGACATGGGCTATGTGAGGGTTTAGATTGGCTTTCAAACGAATTGGCTAAAAAGTGATTTGGTGATCATTAACAAAAATATTAATGTGCTACCTAAAACTGTGTGAATTCCGATTTGTAAATCTTTATAAGAACAAGCAACATTCCCGAATACCATCTTTTCTATTCAAATGTGAAATAAAGGCCATTCTTTTGTACAATAATTGTGAATCCATTGTACATACAGTCATTACGATTATGTATTTCTTTGAAAGTTAATAAATGAAAAATTGTCATAAGTTTTAATCCAATTAAGTTTAATCAGTTCCTTGGTTTAAGATAACATAGGAAGGCAGGCATTCTACTAATTAGTTATTTTTTAAATATCTAATTAATCTTATTCAGTCTTCAGGAAGGGCTACATGTTTATATTAATTGTTATTTTATTTTTTAAATTAAGGAGCATCAGATTTTCTTGTCCTGTTGCAAATATTTATGTATTATTGAATATGAGGTCTTAATATGTTGATATTTAGTATCGTATTTTTATTTTATGTATGAAAATGAATGCTTTTATTGTTTCGTATTCTCACTTTTTGAAAGAATTTTTCATACAATATACATATTAACAAATTTTAGATTATATATATTATTACAATGTTATAAAAAAATCAAATTAAAAAAATTATTATTCAAAAAAATTATTGAATAATAATTGGAAGTTTTGTTTGGATAATAAATTATTTTTTTTGGTAAAATTTCAACTTTTAAATTTTTGTTCCCCTTGTTACTACATTTAGGGATAAAATTTATCAAGTGTGTTGATCAGGTTAAGACCTAAGGGGAAACGGTGGGGAAAAAATTAATAAACATTTTAAATAATTATTAACTTTTTTACTGCAAATGAGAAGTAAGTAGGCTTTTAAAACTGGCTAAGGAAGAGAATAATGAGGGAACAGATTCTCAGTGAATCCTTTTGTGCTCAAAAGATATGTTGAGTGTTAGTACGTAGTTGTCTTGGTACCTATAAGGCGACGATGCGGCAAAAGCAAGGACAGCTCACACTCCAGATCTACCTGTGATTCAACCCACTGATCCTAAACAAGCATTAAAGAATTCTGAGAAGCTTTTGCGCATCAAGAGTCTGATTGGTAGGTGGCCCCTGGAGAATCTAACCCAAGAAGGATCATCCTAACTTGACTCAAAATTTACTTTTGAGCCAAAGACCAGAATACAGAAAAACATTGATCAATGTGAGCTTGATTGAAGGTTGCCATTCCTTGGCTCCGTATAACTATGCTCAAGTACGGCAAGTTTTGGTTTCCCTATTCCAATTTCTGGAGTAAGCTTGAGCAGTTCTGTATATCCTATTATTTTATATGTATATATTGGTATGGTATGGTAGAAAATGATACTAGGAAGCGGGGTTTGTACTCCCCAGACTGCAGCCTTCTGGCTTATTGTACCTTTCTAGTTGCTTATTTCAGTCAATAGACTAAATCCTTCTTCTTAGAAGTATCAGATCATTGACTGTTGCTACTGCAATTTGATTCCCTAAGTTTTTCCGTATGTTAGGTTAAACCTCCATTGAGCTGTTGCTTTGCATTCGAAGATGATATGAGTGGCTGTTTCCTCCTCATTACATAATCTGCAAATGGGATCATCGCGTATATACCCATGTTGTGTAGATGTTTTCTCAGATGCCACTGACCGGTTAGTAGTCCTACCACTCCTCTGAGTTTGGCCCTTTTCAATTGCAGCAGTGTTTTTGCCAGCCTCGGTGAGAGTTGTTTCATCATAAGTTTACTATATCTAGCACCGCTAGAGTTTATCCACTCCTTTTGTTTTGCTTGGATCCATTCTGTGTTGGAGGATTCTATATTTGTTTTTGTTATCCCAAGAATAGGTTTGGGGCCTATGTATGGTCTTGCAGATCCTCCTCTGGCCAGTCTGTCTGGTTTCTCGTTACCCAAAATTCCCCTGTGCCCTGGCACCCAAGATATATCAGGTTGTTGTGTTTCCCCAGGTTTTGGAGATTTTGGATGCATTCACTGACTAATTTTGATGTGATTCTTTTACATGCTAATGCTTTAATGGCTGCTTGGCTATCTGATCTTATGAGGATTTTTTTTGTCAGTGTAACCTCTTTTAAGATTTTCCAGGGCACAAGCATTGATGGCATGTATTTCCGCTATATGTATATATTAAATTTGGTGATAAATGTCTTAACTGATTTGTGATAATATGTGTCTCACTAGGTATTGTATGTATATTTTTTATATGCATGATGAAGGGTGATAGAGGAATATCTAGTACGACTTCACGCTACTTGAGTGAAAGGTATGTAAATAAGAGGGAACATATTTAAGAATGGGTGAGAGTGAGCATGTTTAAGTTAAAATGTTATCTATTGGGGCTGAAATAACCTTGTTAGTCTATAGATTGAGCAAGTTCCCAAAGGTTGTGACCATCTTTTGACTGCCATCTGGTACCATTGCAAAGACTGGACTGGGTGGGTTAATGTTTCTAAGAAGAATGATAGGGACACCAACCTTCAAATTAATGATGTGTGGTGGCATCCAATGTTTCCAATGATTTTTTATGCCCATTGTGCATTCATACCAAATATTGCATTGCTGAAGTATTTTACTCATTGCTGATGCTTTTGAAATGTTGCAAGCTGGGGTTTCACTGTTTTGTATATTCATTGGCAATTTAAGTGCTGAATGTGCTGACAACCATACAAAAAGAGTTGACACAATTCCAGATGATGTGATTGCCAATGCAATATTTGTGCATTGGTTGCCAGTATAATTGGAATAAGAAATGTTTTTCCTTTGCCACCCAGCACATGCAAGAATTCCACCAGTCATCATTTTTTATAGGCATTATCGCATCATAAAACATGTTTTTGGTCTTGAAGCAACTTTTGAAATTTGAATGGTAAAAATATATTTAATTCATTGATCATTTTCACATTGTAATTCAGTATCAAATATGTTATTGTTGATTGGGTGATGTATTCCCAGTTGTGAAAATGCATTATTAAATCAAAATTAATGCTTCATTATACATTTCTGGTGTGAATTGCATGTCATGATTTTAATATTTTATGGTCAATGTTGAATGCCTTTAGTCATAAAGTCTGTATATTTTCCCTTAATTCAATTGGATTTGATGGTTAACGTGTTGATTTATTAATTATGTCTGCAAATAAAGCGCGTGTTTGTTTTGGATGAGCAGAAATTGTCAAATCAGCTAATGAACCATTGTGCATCGTTTTCGAGTAAATTCAATTTTTGACAGGCTTAACTGTACGTTGCTTACAGACAACCATAAACGTTTCTTAAATTTTGAAATGTTGATGGTCCTCAAACGTTTACCAATAATAAACACAAATAATAACATTCTGGAGGGGCGTCAATGGCCGCAACGGTTTGTAGATGTAATTTCAGTGTATAGTATACTGCATCCTTTAAGAGCTATTGTATCCCCCGTGCTCTGCCTAAAGCACATCGGTGAGTCCTATTTCATCAAGAAACTTGATTAATAGGCCTGGTTTCAGTGGTTGAAGCTCTTTTATGGTCACATTATACATCCCAAAACATTTCCTCCTGCGGGCTAGTGTAGCTCCGCAGTTTGTTAGTAAATGTGTTGGTGTCTCTTCTGCCTCCTTGCAGAATCTGCATGTGCCATCTTGGATTATTCTGATTTTCTTTAAGTGTTATTTAATCTGCAGAGTCCTGTTAGGAATCCTATTAGGATTCACAGTCTGTTCCTGCTTCCCTTGACACATTCTGTAATTTCTTTCCTACCAAAATTGGTTAGAAGATTCTTGGATTGTCTACGTCCAATGAGTGAATTCCAAAGTTCCCTCATTTTCTTTTTGTCCTTCTGTCTGAGATATTCGTTAATAGTGTGGATTCCTATGCCACAGAAGGGTAAGGCCGCAATGGTTTAGGAGTTGACATTGGGCTCATCACTGTAAGGTAAAGGTCCAGGGTTCAAATCCAGTGGCCATGCATTCGAACCCCACATACTTACAAATGGGCTTAAACCCTGCAGGTTTGTATGACCTCTGCTGTTGTGAACGCTCGTTAAAAAAAAAAATACTGATTTGGATGAACGGTATGTAATTTTTAAGGATGTAATGATCAACAAACAGTTGTTAATTGTTAGTTATTCAGATATCGTGAGATGCGGTCGGGTCTCACGATATCTGAATAACTATCGATTAACGGTCACTAACCTCTACACGTTGTTAATTGTATAAGTGGATCATGGGTGTGGTCCAATGAATCAAACTTTTATAAGTTCGCCAATCTTTCGGCATATATATTTCGCCTTCCTCAGGATAAATTTATGAAGAAAAAAAATGAGTGATCTGGTATTCACATGTCTACATGAAAGTCCTTAGTTATGAAACTATAATATAACAATTATTTACAAAATTTAAAAAAAAAACTCTCTTTATCAATTGAAAACAATAGTGTGTTATATGGAGTGGAACTTGGTATTTTAGGCGATAAAGTAATAAAGGACAGTCGATTCTATTATTTACACAAAATCCAAATAAATCAGAAGATAAGTGAGCAGAAGATTGGAGATAAGGAATATTACGTGAACTATAAGGAATATTTAATTTGTAGGAGATGAATTGAAGGAATTTATTTTGAACTTGTTCTATACAATATTTCTGACAGAGAAGACAAGGCAACAAGACAGAAGAAGAGAATTCAAGATTAGAACGAACAAGGGAGCAATATAGTTGTTTAAAGTCTCTAATATTATTGAAATAATGAGTATTGTGAGATATGAATCCTAGTAACTTAAAATATTTTTTTATAGTCAATACTATAGAATTGTACGGAATTCTTGGCAGAAGACAGTGACACCAATGACATGACACTGGCATGGGTCCCTGGGCATTTGGAATATAGAGGCAATCTGGGCGGAATGTTGGCTAAAAAGGAGGCAGTATGAATTCCTGCCCCAAACCCTATTGCACCCTAGCATCTTCCCGCAAAACAGAGCACATTAAAAAAGGGTTCCTTAATGAGTCTAAAACCTGGTGGAACATACCCCAGGCATGAGGCACGAGAAGAGATTCATAGAAGGGCCATCCACAATACTTACCGCAACAGAACCAGGATTGTGGTTGGGTTGCTGACAGGGCACTGCTGCCCTCAGATGATCTTAGGTGGTCTTAACGACACAAACTGGAGAGAAGAAACCCTGTGCAGATACTGTCAAGAAGAGGAGCCTGCAGAACACATTTTATGTTTCTGTGAGGGTCTATGTAAGTGTAGATTCTTGTGCCACTGGCAAGGCTATGGAGGTTGATTAACAACCTGAAGCTAGCCAGTGATTTATAAAATTAGAGAAACACCTATAATAGATAATAATATAACTATAATAATAGATCTATTCAGGTCGAGGTGCAGAATCTCTATCCCTGTTATTGATGAAACATGTGAAAAGGACATATTGGCCTGAAAGTCTTTAATATAAATGACATTTAAAACAATATTATTATCGATATTATAAAAGAGTAGAATTTTTTAGAACTTTGGTAGAATGTCATTATATAGGTTGAAGCATTTATAGTCAAAACATTTTTATGAAACGAACGATCATCTTTTAAAGACACGAATTGACATAATCACCCCACCTTTATGATCTTTTTAAAAAGATTGTTCCTACTCACAGTAAGTTGTTTTCAACAATCCAGATTTCGAGCCTACAGCTCATCATCAGGTTGAAGGAGTTCTACAACCTGATGATGAACTGTAGGCTCGAAATCCGGATCTTTGGAAACAACTTACTGTGAGTAAGAACTATCTTTTTATAAAAAGATTGAACAACACACTCACTCCACCATTTATCTTTTCCACCTTTATGATTTCTACCAATTACCATTTCTGTTTGACATTTATATTGTTTATTTTATTATCATTGTATTATTTAGTTATCATTCAATAAATTATGTATTTCATTAAATGTACTACAAATTTGCATAACTTTTTATTGTATTATTGTTTTAAAAAACATTTTCTTTTGTGTTTTAACACAAATATATGGAATATTATTATTTAAAAGAGCTTAGTTCAACGAGTTATGAGCTTTTGAACTTGGTGGGAATTGTCAGAATCCCTGAAGTCAGAAGGTTTCACTTTAACCCGCCTTCTTGAGTTGTTTACATTGACTGATTGAACTGAAGATCCAAAAAACAACACCATGTTAACGTGAAACTTCATTATTAAATCTTCACGCTTAGGTCGACATTATTGTTGGACCCTACTTTGTGTTGTCGAGATATCCAACAACAACAACAACAAGAAAGTAACGTGCAACTTTTAGGTAGTAACAAGAAAATGTATATGATTGTAATCCTTAACTTCAAACTTCTTGCCCCAATGATTGATGACTTGTTCTTTTTTAAATAAAACCCGTCATGAAATATGTAAATGCTTACATGTACATTAGAAATTTTACTGTTTTGCTGGCTAAGTATCAATCTTTCTAATAGCAAAGTTCATTTATACAAACAAATATAACAATGACTGTTTAAATATCAAAGAAAAAGTTAGATACTCGACCTGGACAAACCCCCAGGGCCCTTCTGGCTATAGTCGTCTGTGTTACCCACGTCGTCTACTCTGCCATACCTTTACTAAGTTCTTGGAACTTAATTAGATGGAGGCAGCAGGTTTTCACAGATGGATCTAAAACCGGTGCAGGTGTGTCCATTTCATGGTCACTCTCACTGCACTGTAGTTTACACAGTGACACTATGCGATTTGGCAATCACTTGATGCGATTCGAGACGATGGGGGCTCTGGTTGCCAGGTCTGCACCGGCTCCCTGAGCACGGCTACTGTTGTCCATGACAAGTCCTCTGCTGTCCCTCTCATAGTGATTTTGTTGTACAGATACCACAAGCTGAAGTGTCTCGGTAAAAACGTGGATGTTGTCTGGATACCCAGATACATAGGTCGGAGGGTAACAAAAAAAAAAAAAAACCACAAACCATGACATTAAAAATGCAAAAAAAAGTTATTAAAAGAAAGTGACACTGTCGGTGGGCTGGATTGGCAGAAAAGCTCTCATGTATCAAGAGTACTGTCTTTATTAAACTTTGTTATCATTGTATTGCTACTGGACTGTTTATTTATTTACTTAGTAATTATACTCTTTATTTAACATTGATTAGTGTAATTGGTGGTTGTCTGGGTACCCGGACACATAGGTCTGGAGGGTAACGAAAAGGCGGACGAGACAGATAAAGCTGGAACATCCCAACGTCTGGACTTAACCACCACGATCCGGCTCTCTGACACTAAAAAAACATTAAAAAACATGATTAAAAGAAAGTGGCAGCGTCAGTGGGTTGGATTGGCATAGACAGGTGTGAGCACTGTAGATAGGTGGCCCTCGGAGGACCTGACTCGTAGAAGAAGGGTTATCCTCACTGAATTAAGGATAGGACATGCAAGGTTCCCTAGGTGATGTGTCCCACTTAATTGAAGGGTGTCATTCCTTGGCCACATATAGAGAGCGCGTAGGAATACCACCCGATATGTGATTTGTGCTTGAACATGGTAGTGAGTATTTGGGTCCCTGTTCCGATTCTTAGAGGAAACATGGTTGTTTTATTGCATAATCTGTTAGTTTTGTATCCCTAGCATGTGTTGGGAGTGAATGTATTTATTAGCGTGAATGTGTAGCGTCACAGAGCTGATAGTAGAATATTGAATATCCCATCAACCTTCAATTAGGTTAATTATATAATAGATATAAAGGGTGAAGTACTAATATCAAGTACTCTACCACCCTGAATGAATGGCATGTAAATACGAAAGAATGCATTTAGGAGTGAGTGGGTCAGGATTTAGGTGTTGGGGGCTGAAATGGCTTAGCTGTTGATACCCCATGAGGCCCAACCTCAGATATATATGAGTCCAAGGTCTAACCCCGGAGTGCCAACACCCAACGTGGGTGATGCTCAAGGCCTGCTGGTAATTTATTTTAAATTAAACAAAAGCAGGAATTGCTGGCAGGCTGCAAGAAGTGGTTGGTTCAACTTTGCACATGTGTGCACATGCATGTTCAGATTTGTGGTTATATAAATCAGTAAATTGAATTTTGTTATGTAAAATAAGAGTACATTTAAAATATTAGTAGAATAATTGAATAATAACACTAAAAATTATATGCAGTGTAATTTTTGTTGCTACTAGAAAAAAGATGGTTGGCCGGAGGAAGAGAAAATCTGACACTACCGAACCAGGAAAAACTTGGCCTTGCTCAACTACTGAAAAAAGGCGGTTGCGGCAACGTAAATTGAATGTGCCTCTAGATACTGATAGTGAATCTGATAATGGTGTGTTTTTGTGAAGTTTGTCATATTTTTTTAAATTTACAGCATTGAAAACCAACTAATAAAGACAAGTTAATTATGGTTTTATTATTTTTTTAAATGATTTTTTAATTGTTTTTTAATTTTATTATTTTTTATAGTAATTTTAATTTTTTCAGCATTTTCCCATCTTCATTGTTGAGTCTATCAGAATCTCACAATTTCAATGCTTTCTAATGTAAAAAATTATATTCATTTTATATTCACTAATTTCGTGGTCCGCTTGACCAATTAAACATTACAATTCATTTTTTTCTTCTCAACTAAAAACCTTAATTAATTGTAATTAATTTTATAGTTTAATATCAACTTTGATCTATCACAGTTCAATATAATAAATAATTTTAATTGTTTATGTACCTAATTATTTTTATAGGTGTGTGAAATATTAGTTTTTGTTTTAGATGTTTTTAAAGTGAAAAAAACAAGATTCAAACATAAAGAAGCAACTAATGCTGAAGAACTTTCTTGTAAGTATTTATTAATTTTTTAAAGCTAAGGCAAGATTAGATTAAAGCTGTTAGCCTCTTTACAACCTGCACACCATCACCAGTATTGTCCTATTCTTTAGTTCATCTTCATTCTTGTCTAGAGCTCCTCGTTAAGTTTAAGCTTTTTTATCAGGCCCCAAAGCATTTTCAAGGACTCCTGTATATACCTTTAATCCAGGATTTTCTTTTACCAGGAGTAGGAATCTCAGCCATCAACAGAGGTCATGTTTCGCTGTCGCTTCTTCTTCATGGAAATATTTGCACAAGCTTGTTTCTGCCACTCCGTGTCTATACATACCTCCGGGGTCTGCAATGTCCAGTTTGCAGTCCAATTATTATTCTAGTCCTAACACATCCTAGATTTAGTAGTTTTGATCTCCTTTGATGAACTTTTTAGCCTTTGTCCTCAGCTACATTCCCATTGAAAGGAGAACTTATTTTTAATCCATTGGATCCACATTTTTATATGGTATACTATAAAAACTTTCCAGTGGTGTCCTCATCAAAAATTTCCTTGACCAATTTATCGGTCTCTTGGTTGCCTCTCTGCCCTGGTACCCAGACAAGGGTAATTTTATTGTTTTCCCAAATATTTGATAGTGTCCTAATGCAATCCCAAATGACGGAGGATTTTACTACCAATGTGGTAATTGCCCGAGTAGATGGCTACTTTCTGTTAGTGATACCCTTTTAACCCATTCAATGCGGGACTGAAATTCAAGACCATCTCCCAAGTACAGAAATTTTTGTTGTTGTGAAACTTGATAGGTTGATTGCATTTAGGTTTTAATTAATAGCAAATAATGTTTTATGACTCAAAAGTACATTTTTGTAGGGTTTTAGACCATGACTCCACAGTGGAATCAACCGTATGCGGCAAAAATCTGAATATGCAAACCCGCAACTCAATGCACTTGTCTATTTTCCTTGGCATGGTTGAGTTACGAATCATTTAGAATTTTCATATTCTAAACCATTTCAAAAACCTATTTTGATGATTTTTTCTTTACGATTGTGTGAATGAGGAAAATATTTCTATGCTGAACAAAAAAGAAGAAAAAAAGACTTTTTAGATAAGAACAATTTATTTTCTCTCTAATATGTACAGTTGTTATTATCCAAGTTTTTAATTTTTACAAAATGAATTAAAAAAGAAATAAAAAATTATTTATAGATCAGTGTATTTGCAACAATAAAATTATATATTTACAATTTTGTTCTCATTGAATTGTTTAAAATTAAAAAATAAAGTTAAAAAAGAATATAAATAAAATATAAAAATATTAAAAAAAAGAAACTATTTACAATAAAAAAAATAGTTAGCCATTTATTCCAACAGTCAGGTGGCACTTAAGGCCTTAGCCTCGTGGGAGATATGTCGCCTATCAGTTGCTCCGATGCAGTTGTAAAATTGCCATTTCATTTCAAAATCTAGGGATACATGTTCCCACATTACTTTGGATGGTGTAGGCATATAGATAGGCTGCAGACGAAGCCACAGTGCGTTCTCAGACACTAAAATCTCTCCATGAATACTTTGCACACCTAAATAGGCATTTCTTTTATTTTTTCTTATTTTTTTTTCTGGATAACGAATACAATAAAACAAGGACCTCAGTTTCAGACTCAGATTCTAAATCTAGGAGAATTTGATGAAAAGAAACCATAGTTGCTGGCGTGGGTCAGTACTGGTTTCAGTATGCGGTACCTCGACAAAATGTGAATGTGTAGTTGGATGTGTTGGGCATTGGGTGAGGCGTGTGCTGTTCATGGGCTGTGCTCAATTTGCAGTGGGCTTAAGGATCAGCTGGCAAGGCTATGGAGCCCGAAGCTAGCTAGTGATTTATAAAATTAGAGGAGCACAATAGATCTGCTCAGGTCGAGGTGCAGAATGCTGTATGGCCAACTCTTTTATCCTTATCCCTATCATTCTATTTAATATTATATTCTTGCTTACTACCTAGGGCCTATAAAATATTTTAATTAATCTACCTTTCTGTATTTTTCAGCTGCTGGATGCAAAATGTGCATGCTCTCTGAAGATGATTCGAGCAGTTCTTCTGACGACACAAAACAAACCAATTTAAATTCCAAATCATCAAAAAGTTTGGAAACTCAGTCTGCTCTAAATTCATTAGATACTGAAGTTAAAACAGATAATACAATTGTAGAGCCGTCAGAATATTATGATTTTTCATCTATAATTAAATCTCAACAAGAACTAAAGAAAATCGAACAAAAGTTAAAAAATACAGATGACAATAATGAAAACAAAAAAACCTTTTTAAACGATGATGAATGTTCAGATTCTGAAAATATTTCTGAAATTTTAAAATTATGTGAAAAAAACACGAATACTTCTCAAAGTGATTGTTTTACTAGGAACGAAAATAAGGAAAGTGAAGTATCTTCCGAACTCCCTTCACAAGTTGAAATTATAATTAAACAATCCGATCAACCAACTAAAAATTGCAGAAGGCAACAACAGCTTGAGGCGTATGTTAAAAAGGCATTCAATAATGAAAGAAGATCTTTACAGGTTGTAATACACAAAGTTAATCTTTTATGCCTTCTTGCAAATGGGTTTTATTGTAACAGTGTAGCAAACAGTGAAGAAATTTTAGCTTTAAATTTGTCCATACTGCCTTCTGACAAATTTTATCCTCCGGAAGTTGTAACCAGTTCTTATGTACTGCAATTATTAAATTGGTTTCATAAAAACATGCAGGTAAATGTAGACAAACTGATTGAAAAAAAATTTTCTCTAAAAGAAATTATAATAAAACTCTTCCCATCAAAAGAAACCAATAGTAACAAGAACTTGGTAATTATATTTGTTTCACTTACTAGAGTTTTGGGTATGAAGAGTAGAGTACTGTTCTCTTTGCAACCTGTTCCTTTACGGCCTCCTACTGTACAATTAATGAAAACTAATTCTAAAAATAATGAAAATGCTTGTAGTACTGAAGAAAGTAGTGGAGATAGTGATTTTGTAGAAGTTTCAGAGAGTTCTTCAGCCAAATCAATATCTGAAAATTCTCTAGGTTCAACAAGTCAAAAACAAAACAGCAAACAAACAAATAAAAAAAAATGTGTCGTTGAAAACGGTAAAAAAACCCAAACTAAATCAAAAGGAAAGAATGTAAAAACAGCAAAAGATAGTAAAAATACGAGTAAATCGTCAAAGAAAAGTAAAATTGATCGTAGGGTGCTATCCTCTGATGAAGAAAGTTCATCGCATTCATCTAATAAAAAACAAGTCAATGGCGTGGATGTATGGGCTGAAGTTTACGTCGAAGCTGAAAATAAATGGATCAGTGTTGATGTTGTGCGTAATGATATAGACTGTGTTACTAAAATATCTGTAAGTATTCATTTTTTCTTTCTTTTATAATATAAATGTAATTATATTTTAATGTTTACATCAAATTCTATATAAAAAAATCATCCCTCAAGGGTTGAAAGAGGGACATTGGTGGCCGCGACGATTAAGGTGTTGACATGTTGCTGATGACTGTATAGTTTGTCCCGGGTTTGAATCCAGTGGCCCAGTATTCAAACCCGACATACTTACAAATGGACACTGACACCCCAATGGTTTATAAGACTTCTGCTGTTTCAAACCTTTGTAAAAAAAAAGTTGAAACATCTTTGTTTGTTCAGTTGTAAATTCCATTTATATACTGGTTGAGATTTTTTTTCTTTTTTTTTCTGCTAGACCATTTTTGGTTGCCCACTGCGGAACCCAATTTATCACATAAAATAACTGGTAATACTTTAAATTAATGTAATTTTTTTTTAGGTTTACCAAACTGATAAAAATTATGTGATGTGCCCCTGCAGTGCTAGGTAAATGAAGTAAGCAACATAAAGAACTGTCAATTTGGGTGTGTAGTTAAATAGTCGTTTCAACTTTGTACAATAATTTTCCTTTATTTTGTGTAATACAAAATGGGTGTGCAAATAATGACAATACATGCACAGAAAGGCAAATTTTGCGGTTTCACATAATAAATTTAAAAAAATCACTTCCAATTTAAAAAAAATTTAGAACTACTGTAGCCAATGATACTTTTGCCCTTTCTCAGGCGGCCCTAAGAATTTCAATTGGAATTGTGTAATGTGTGTGAGGAGAGTTGAAAATGTACAAATGGGAGGTCACAGACTGTGCGTCACCCAGGACAGTTGACTTGATGAATTTCTTATAGTCAGCATGTTAAATAATAATAATAGTAATCTTTATTCACGGCTTTAGCCATTCTACATCGTATACAAATACATAACATGCAATATATCATTTATGTTTGAGCAACACTCAAAGCAGATGTAATTTTATTTTTAAGTTTTGTAAGCTATTACAGAATAGATAGTATTACAGAAAGGGGTAGAAAATAGATTTTTATGTCTATTTAATTTCAGACAGTTAAATAAACTCGTTGCAGAAGCTCAGGGTTTTCTACAGTAAAATTTAACAATTTATATAAATATATAACATCATAAATATCTCTTCTTATTGTAAGGGGAATAATTTCCATCACAGCTCTAGTTCATCATAATTTATATAGTCTAAGTTTAAGAGTAATTTGTAGGCTAAGAATCTTAAAAACCTATTTTGAACTTTTTCAAGTTTATTGATGTATTTGAGATAACTTTGAGTCCAAACTGAGAGTTGAACTCGAGAATAGAGCCAAAAATTGAAAACTATAGAGTTTTTATACAATTTATATTGTTGAAATCCTTGGAGTTTCGTTTTAAGAATCCTAGCAGTTTTACGGCTTTATTTACAATTGCATCTATATGATCAATAAAAAATAGAGTCGTGTGATGACTCCTAAATCTTTTATTGATTTTTGCTTATTTAAATTTATATCACAAATATTATAACTAAATATAATTGGATTAGGATAAAAGCATTTAATTTGGCATTTGTTAATGTTCAGGTACAAGTTATTTTTATCACACCAATTAATTAGGTTGTTCGGTTCAAATTGAACACTATCACAGTCTTCTAATGACTTAATTACTCTATAGTTCTTGAAATCATCTGCAAATAGCTTAAATTTACACACTGAAAAACACTTGACAATGTCGTTGATGAATATGTTGAAGAGAAGAGGTGAAAGATGGCCACCCTGAGATACCCCAGAGGTTTCACTAATGGCCCCTTACTGAATACCATTCAAAGGTACCACTGGTATTCTGCCAGATAAATAGTCGATGTTCCTCATCAATAATATCTTTAATGGATTTATTTTTGTATAAATTAGTTTATCTAACATAACATTGATAATTTGTTTATAGGTCTATAATTAATTATGTAATTCCTATTGCAATTTTTAAATAATGGCACAATAAAATTGGTTTTCCAATGATTAGGAAAGAGTCCTGTATTCAAGGAAGCATTGAACAAATAATGAATCAGGTTTACTAGGACAAATCTGTATTCTTTGAGTATTATAGATTAAATTATAAATAAAACAGAGATAATTGGCAGATCTGGTTGATTGAAATTGATCAAGTCACAAATTCATTACCTCACTTAAAAAAACTTCATTTAGGAAAATAAGTTATTTGTGTTCTTACAAAGTATCATTAATAAATTCAGTTTTTATTATATAGCTACTTAAATAGTTGTTTACTAAATTTAATATTTATTGTATTGATTTGAATGTGAGTGTGTAGAGGGTTCAGCAACAACAGACCCAAAATGATTATGAGTGCTTGAAACTCGGCGGCGAAGTTGTTCTAGATTTGATAAAACAAAAACAACCAAAAATTATTCAGTTACCGCACTATTTTCAATATTGAATCTTTCAAAACATACTTTTCGCTCACAATGAGGTAAATGATAAGACTTTAATATAAATAAGAAAATAGTTTTTTTTTTAAACGAGGGTTTGCAAACAGGGTGGTCATATCAACCATGGGGTGTTGATGTTTTTGTAAAAAAAAAGTTCACTTGTGAGTATGTTGGGTTTGAACCTGGGCTCTTTACCTTAGAGTGATGAGCGCCCTGTCAATGCCTATTGTGTCCACTGACACCCCTTGAAGTCAGTTTAAATCATCCTTACCAGTACCTTTTCTTACAGTTTGCTAATCGCTACGATTTTCATTATTTTACAATTAAATGCTCACTAACTTATTAATTTTCAGTCAGGATGTACAAAACCAATCACATATGTAATCTCATGGGATAACAATGATTGTATTAAAGACTTAACAAGAAGATATGCTCCTCAATGGTTAACCAGCACTCAGAAGCTTAGAGTCGATCCCCAGTGGTGGCAAAAATCAATTGAACCTTGGGCTCCAAGAAATACGAAACATGAGAGAGCTGAAAACAAAGAACTCGATCGCTTGGTTGAGGAATGTCCTTTACCAACTTCTATATCTGAGTAAGCTTTTATTTATTACAAGGCTTAAAGTAAAAGTTTAAAAATGTCTAATATAATCTAGATATATGGTATTGTTTCTCTGTATTTCAGTGACAATTCATCTATGGATTTTATTTTCCCCAGTTGCAAAGGTTCTATTTTCTCAGAGTTCCTTCCTTCTACCTCATGTGCATTCTAATATTCCTTTCTTTCCAAATTCTTCCAGGAGACTGTTCCACTGCTTAATGTTTTTCATAACATAAAAAATTATAGGTTCATCAAATTGAATGGAAAAAAATTGTAATGCAAAAAACTTTATTATAAATAATTCTCATAATATTTCTCATATATTTTAGGTATAGGGGGCATCCTTATTTTGTATTATTAAGGCATTTAAAAAAATTTGAAGCTATCTACCCACCAGATGCCAAACCATTAGGCTACTGCAAAAAAGAAGCTGTTTACTCGAGACTTTGTGTGAGTGAGTTGCATGCAAGAGAAACTTGGATGCGACAAGGTAAAGTAGTACGCCTTAAAGAAGAACCGTATAAAATTGTCAAAGCAAGGCCTAAGTATGATAAGGTAATACCTTCACATCAGTTATGTATGATAAATATGAGAAAAATCAGTTTGACTACAGATCTGGCAACACATTTTCGCACCGGGCCCGATTAGAGGGCTGAGCAAGTTCCACTTTGCTCCCAGTGAGGTCACACTTGTTTGTACCTTGACCATGTTTTGACTACAGGTACGCCTCCCACCCCACCTGGTTAGCACATTATTCTACCTTATTGACACAGGCAGTTAAAGGGAATTAATAAATAATAACCATTTATTAATTGATGGCTCAGGTGGTTAGAGCATTGGGGTACAGTTCTGAAAACCTGGGTTCAAATCCCATCCTTGACATTAACTTTTTTATCACCAATGTTCATGTCTTTATTTTATTGATTTACGACTTTGCAGTTGCTGTAATTTAATGTGTTGTTTGCAGAAATAGTCAATTATGGTAATGTCATTATAGAGAAAATCATATGCCATGGGAATGGCATGTTATTTATAATTGTCTAAATTATGGTTTTAATAGTAGTAGCCAACTCGTCTTCTCCGCCATACCTTTGCTGAGCTGAATTCTTCAAAGACATGCAGAGTTTACATTGCAGAATTTTATGTGATTTAGCACAGACTTAAGGTGATTCAAAAGGTGGCTAAGCCCAGGACGTCTCAACCCCTGGACCTGACCACTGCGATCTGGCCCTCTGATGCTAAACATGCTTTAAAAACCATGATTGAAAAAAAGTGTCAGTGGGTCGGATTGAGATTCTCCCATATAAAGAGTACTTTCATTAGGTGGACTCCAGAGGTCTTGACTCGTAGAAGATGAGTCATCCCACCCGATTAGGATAGGCCACGGACACTTACTTTTAGGCAAAAGCCCATCTGTGCGTGTGTGTGTGTGTGTGTGTGTGTGTGTGTGTGTGTGCCTGCGTGCGTGCGTGTGTGTGTGTGTGTGTGTAAACCAATTTATTTGTATTAGGTTTCGTGGTCCACTTTTTCAAATAAATTCTTTTCAATTAATTAATCTTTAATTAAGATTTTGGTTGAGATAAAAAAGTCAGTGTCACAAGTGGGATTCGAACCCACGACCTTTGGCTAAATACACCGCTGCTCTACCACTTGATTTATCGTAACTTTGATCCGCTCGAACACTAACTTCCCATCTCAACCCCACCTTTTGAATTTTCCCTCCTTTTTGCCATTTTTCAAATGTCATGTAATCTATTTGATTCTCGGCGACAAATGAAATGGCCATGGAGAGCTTTAGAGAAGTATACTTCATTTTGCTTATTACATTTATTAGGTTTCGTGGTCTGCTTGACCAAATAAATTCTTTTCAATTAATTAATCGTTAATTAAGATTTTGGTTGAGATAAAAAAGTCAGTGTCACAAGCGGGATTCGAACCGACGACCTTCGCCTAAATACACTGCTGCTCTACCACTTCATAATAAATCATCAATCAACTATTATTGTAGTAATAGTCATTAGACAAATTGAAAATGTTAACAACAGTCTATGGACAATTATTTATTACAACAGTCTTGCATCTTAATGTTAATGTTTGGTTATGTCCATGTTTATTTAGTAATAGCAAATATACTTATGTTTTAATAATAGGTAATATTAATGTTTCCTTGTAAATAGTAATAATGAATGGTAGCAGTTCCTTTGAATCAATAATCCACTCTTTGAAGTAGTAATCAGTGAAGACTTTGTTAGAAATGATAAAGGTGGGTTGAGTAGGTAGATTCACTTTTTGTAAAAGATGGTTCTAGTCACAAATGTTTTGTTTTTTAACACAACACACAATTTAATTTGTGAGTGGAACTATCTTTTATAAAAAAATAAAGACTTTGGTTGCAAATATTTCTACAAGGTAGTATGACATGTATGGTAGTATTATGCCACTGCACTGCATTCTACAAAAAAAATTTAAAAAATCAGGCACAGTTCGGAAATGTGTGGCCCGACCTTACTCTAGAATTTACAATAAAAATCTTTATCAACCCAACATTTGAAATGTACAAAACAAATGTTACAAATTTGTGAGAAATGTTAACTTTATTGTTGTACAACAAAGTACAAATTATTATTTATAAATATTACAGATGTCTGGTAATGTAGTGCGTGATCTTCCACTGAACCTGTATGGTTATTGGCAAGTAGAAGACTATATACCTCCAGTTGCCGTTGATGGTCAGGTTCCTCGAAATGAGTATGGAAACGTTGAATTATATAAACCATCAATGTTGCCAGGTGGTACTGTTCATTTACAAAGTAAATATTTCAGTGAATGAAGTGATAAAGACAATTTTTTCCTCGTAATAATTAACAATCGTATTTTCTCTTTAGTCCCAGGTGTAATGAAGATTGCAAAACGTTTGAATGTTGATTGCGCACCAGCAGTTGTAGGATGGGATTTTCATTCTGGTGGAAGCCATCCTGTGTTTGACGGTGTTGTAGTTTGTCAGGAATTTCAAGATAGCATACTGGATGCTTGGAACAAGGTACATTTTTATCTAAAACGTTATTTAATTTTTCATTAAATTGCCATAATTTTGCAGGAAATTGATGAATCTAGTAAACGTTCAAAGGAAAAAATTAGTAAAAGAGCCAAAGCAAACTGGAAAAAATTAATTCGCCTTATTATAGTGAAAAAACGCCTTGATAAAAAATATAATTTTTCAAAGAAAATTTAAATTTTTTAATGCAAGTGTTAATAATGGTTCGTTCTTATCATTATAATTAATTAAAATATATGTATATATGTAATATACAACATTACTTTGAAATGAAACTTTTCTTATAATAGGTTTTAAGTAAATTTTAGAACTAATTGTAGGGTGATTAATATCGTTTATATAGTATATTTATGAATTTGTTATTGTAATAAAACTTTTTTACATGTAAAAACAAAAACTTTTCAGCAAACAACCTATTACAACTGTACAGCCATTGATTAGTTAAGTGACATCAACTTAATATTTAAGTATCTTGTTAAATATAATATAGATATATTTAAATAGTTCCTTCTAATTAATTATTTTATTTCTTTAATAACATGTATGTAATGTTTTAAATATGGAAGAAAAAAACCTATTTTATAAGTTTCTTTGAAAGTTGGAAGCTAGTGGGTCTAGGTTAGATGAAATTGTTCACTTTATAAGCCTGATCTTAGCGTGAATGGCTGGGTTTATCACCAATTACCCTGAATATTGAGTACTCTGGGGTTGTGTAAATGAATGTATGAATATAGTTTATTACCATGAATAGAGGGGCTTTACCCCGAGGAATATCGAATAGTGTGGGGTAGACTGGACCATGGAAAATAAATGGTCATCGCTAAAAAAAAATTATACTAAGGGAGCAATATATTTTTTTTTTTTTTATAGGCGAAAAACATCAAAGGTTATCATCACCTTTGTACTACCAGTGGTTTATTGGAAATATGTAAATATATGTAAGGTTATAGAGATTTCTCATTTTTAGACTTTTGAAAACCTGATCAATTTTTTTTTCTGTTCATTAACGAACATTTCCTTTATAGTCCAGGGTATTTTGGGGTAATGAGCCCACCTCAGACAAAAGGGAGGAGGCGCAATTATGTAATACATTTATCACCACAAAGTCATGTTGGTGGTATAGATTTTTCCATGAGGTGCCTGTGCTCCATATTTGTGTACCCTATACATAATTGACATAGGACGACCTCATCACGCCTGGTAGTTTGGAAGGATGTTTCCCAAGGTTTAACAGCCTCTTTTATGTTTCTTAATTTTTTGGAAATGGTTTGTTTCCACTGATTTTCAATTAATTTAAGTTTGAAAGCAGACTTTATATCTTCAGGATTCATTAAAACTGAGATGATGGGATTGTTCTTTGCAGCTTTTGCTGCATTGTCAGCAAGCTCATTTCCCTTAATCCCGACATAGAATCCAAATGAAGGAAACAGAAGCCGTTCAGTTTTTTTTTATTATGAACTAATGGATTTTTTGAGTACGGGTTCTGAATTGCATGAAATCAGAGAATATAATTATTTTATGTTGACTGATAGAGGGATCATCTAAAGCATTTAAAATGCAATAATGGTAATCTATAATCTTTAAATTGATTGACTCAATGACATTTTCCTCGATGTGCAATCGTAATATTTCAACTACATGTCTGGAAAAATCGTACGTAATTTTTTTTTTTTTTTGATTAGCAATATAATTACAATTTTTGTCATTGAAATATCTATGTAAATTTCATATGCGCATACATATTCATGAAAGATATGAAAAGACAGTTTTTCAAGTTTAAACTTTATTTTATTCACATTTCGTAGTGATTTGTTTTATATCATTTTAGTAAAAACAAAAACTAAACGATTAAGTTTGTGCGTTGTTTATTAGAGTCGAAATTGTTTGAAAAACAGCTGGTTTTTTTTGTCCAAAATAAGCCAGGAAACTTGCGGCGAGTGGACAAACGCTTCTCGTCTTTGCGTAAATAATACCATCGTAAGTATTACTATCACTAAACTCGAGAAAAAAAAAGTAAAAAACAAGTCTTTTTCTAAACGTAAATCGACAAATTTCAATAAAATTGTCATTTATTAAGAAATCATAAGTCGGCGTTTTGTCCAAAGACGAAAAATCGATTTTGCGATCGTGGAGGGAAAAGTTCCCAGGTTATCACTGTTATCGATGTATAACCGATTTCGGCTTTTTTTTACACACTTACAGTACAACGGGTCCCTACATGTTTTAATACTGGAAATTGTTTTGTTATTTAATTCTTTTTTGTTTCGGTTTGCGTCAAATAATAGACTTTTTTCGAAATTTTTATCACGTCTCTTCTATATTTAACGATTCGGGATAAGAGGTCCAAAATCCAGAATTCTTTGTGTCATGGTTCGTTTTTTTCCATTTTTATACATTTATGTTTAATACATCTTCAAACCCGTTACATTTTAAAAGTGATCTCTTGTGACTAGTCTTCCGGTGTACAATAGGGTAAAAGTATTTTCCTATATCATGTTTTATTATTTGATTTTTCATGTTTTTTTTGTTTTTGTTTTTTTAACTGATTGTCTTAGGTTTTAACAAGAAAAGAAGAAACGTAATCAATTTAAATTTATCGAAATGTTTGGTGAAATGAGATGACATAATTGAACAAGGAAAGAATAAACAAATTGACTCTTCCCACCCATAACCTCAATTTTTTTTGAAAAATAAATAAATAAGACAACCTATCAATTCTCGCAGTCTTCCGGCGATTCTAGTTTTTGTAATTTATAATAACTGATAGACTTTGAGAACCGCCTCGTGTGTTAGCAGTCCAGGTTCAGATGTCGGACTTACCTGTTTGGCCGATGTTGGGTTCCAGGGCCTGTCAACAGCTAGGTCATTTTCAGCCCCCAATACAATCAGTCCCAATACAAACCCTCTCACTCAAATACATTCTTTTACGAATACCATTCACTCAGGGTGGATCGTTTATTTATTCACTTATTTTATACTCGTTAATTTTATAACTAATCTAATCGATGGTCAGTAAGGTACTCAGTATTCTACCCATTACACTTTCATTTCAGTAAATGCGTTCACTCTCAATACACATTGAGGGACACAAAACTATCAGTTCTATATACAATAAAAGAACCTTGTTTCTTCCAAGAATTGGAACAGGGGACCCATATACTCGCTGCTGTGTTCAAGCAGAATTCTCATATCAGGTGGGATTCATACACCCTCTCTACACGCACCTTTCAATTAGGTGGAACACTTCAACCAGCATTTCTCAACATGCTGGACATATGGTCTGGATATATTGGCTCAAAAGTAAATGTCCATGTGTCAACCTTACATGGCCTATTCTTAATCAGATGAGGATGACTGTGCTATGATTCAGGTACTCTGAGGGCCACTTATCAACAATTTTCTTGATACACGAGAGCTTTTCTGCTGATCCAACTCACTGAGACTAACACTTTTTTCAATCATGTTTTTTAATGCATTTTTAGCGAAAGAAGGGGGGGTGGTTGTTAGGTTCAGAAGTTGTCCTGGCCTTAGCCACCTTGTTTGTCTTTTTCATTGTGTTTCATACCTATGTGTCTGGGTAGCTAGTCAACAATTACTGTTTTTGCCAAGGTGCTCCAGTTAATGGTATCTCTCTATCAAGAGTACCATGAGAGGATCGATGGACAACCTGTTGTGGAGAGCAGTTACCACTCTGAGGGATTCAGTCAGACTAGGTAGTTCCACCATTGTTTCGAATCACTGCAAACTTGTGCCAAATCACAAGTTCCACAGTGCAAATGCTACATGCAGCAGGAGTGACCAAGAAATGAATGCACTGTAGCAATGTACAGTGCACACCACACTCTAGCTGGTATTAGACCCGTCTGTGAAGAACTCGATAAAGGCATGGTAGAGTAGACAAATTGGCGACAACATGGCGAGATAGTCTTAGACGAGAACCGAGGGTGGAGTTGGCCGGTTGACACACAGTAATAGTCTTAGACGAGAACCGAGGGTGGAGTTGGCCGGTTGACACACAGTACATAGTGTCATTCCTGCCCTCCTTAAGGCTTGCTGAAGCAAATTCCCAGGAGTCTTCAAAGTTGAGCATTATAAGCAATTCCACCTTTTGTAATTTACAATAAATTACCATCAGGCTTTGAGAATCACCTCGGGTGTTGCAGTGCGAGGTCAGAACTCAGTCTTATCCATCCCTTGTTGAAGTTAGGGAGGATCCTCCAAGGGCTGTCAGTAACTATGTCAATACAACTCTCAACGCATGCAGGTTTTGAAGAGGCACACTCTCATTTTTAAATTCATTCTTTCCTATTTTTTCCACTCAATAAATTATGAACTAGGTTATGAAAAAAAATGAAAAACAACTTACTAGCTTTAAGTTATTTTCACATATTCATTAAATAATGCTAACATTTTAAGGTGCTTAAGTACCAAATTAAGAATGATTTGGTAAATATAAATGATGAATAATCTATCCATATGCATATATTATATAATACAACATATTGACACTTGAAAATCAACCAAAAGGTTTATCTTATTGATAACTAATTCTGAAATTAATTTTCAGTTTTCAATACAAACTTGGTAGAATGTTAAATGAAAGCTCTGAGGAAAATATTCCTACAATTCCTGGAAATACTACCTACTATGGAATATTTATTCAGGCTGAAAATGGAAACGTTACCCATAATGCATCTCGTAAGATATTGGAGACAGTCAATAGATAAGATAAAAATTGTCATTTCTGTATTAATATATATATTTATTTTTCAGAGAAGCAAGTGTATAAAGACAAAAATGAGGTAATGCGTATTCTTAAGAGCAACAAAAAAGCTAGGTTTAAAGCTTTTCAAACTGAGGATGAAGCAGCTCGCTTCTCTTTGTATGGTTGCGAGTTGGATGCAGACGTTAGTAAAATAAATTCATCCACATTATTGAACTTGCCTCTCAGCGAAAAATGTGCTTTAAAAGCACCAAAATCTCAAGATCTAGTTAAGTTCCGTATGGCCATTGAACGTCATGACTTTCCCTATGTCGTTCAGTGTATTACCGATAATCCGCGATATTTAATCAGTAGTGGGGACACGCCTTCGATCCTTCAGGAAGGCACAAGATACAATGCATTACATGTATGTGCACGTTCAAACAATGCAGAAGTGTGTAAATATATTTTAAAAACTCTTGGTGATGTTAATTTTATCGAAAGAATGTACGCAACAAAAACTGGATCTAGTGAACGATGCAAAATATTGTTGGACTTGTATTTGAACACACCAGATAAAGCTTTAAATGAAACACCTTTACATTTTGCATCAAAGCTAGGTGCTCTTGAAGTTGTGAAAGCATTAGTGCTCCATGAACAGTGCGACAGACATCGCTTTAATAAATATCATGAGACTCCAATGGATGTAAGTATGTTAATATATTTCTTACTGTCAAAGTACTTAATTTTCTTTATCTATAGCCATCTGTGATATGTCTTAAGTTGCTCTTTTCACTTTCTCTTTGTTTGTTCTATTCTTAAAATTGCTTATTTTTTATTAGACAAAATGTTGAATTTTTCTTTTTACAAAATTTAGTTAGTAAAAGTTGTTACATTCGTACATATTGTACACAATACAACAGCATAGTTGAAAACCATCTGTCGAAGAACACTGTTAGAAGATTTTCTAGACAAGTTATAAACTATATTAAAGAAATATTAAAATAAATAATAAATTTGGAGGAAAAGAAATATTGGGTTGTCCGGAAAATAATGCAGGTTTATAGTTATAAAATACAAACAATTAAATAAATGATATTTAAACCTTTTTTATTAATTAAAATACCCTCCATCACTCTCAAAACACTTCCCCTAACGAGATGGCAACTTATCTATACCCTCTGAATAGAGTTTTGAATCTTTGTTATTAACAAATTCTTTAAACACATTTTTTAATGACTTAGAATAAATAAATAAATGTTTTATGTCGTAAAATGTCCAGGTTCTAAAAAAGTGGCACTCAATAGGCGAGAGGTCTAGAGAATGTATAGGGTAAGGCAGAACCTCATAACCAAGATGCAACAGTTTTCGTCTTGTCACATGTGAGACATGGGGCCGAGCATTGTTGTGCCATAGAATCGGCCTTTTCCGATTGGCTAAAGTTGGCTTCAATAATGCCAATTCTGGTGCACTGCTTCAGTTTGAGAGAAATACATTTAGGCATTTGATTGTATCTCCAGGAGTCAAGTAGCTGTAATAAATCAGTCTGAATGAAGCCCTCCAGTTAACATCACCTTTTTGATGAGTTGGGGGCTTTGGAAAATGTGGTGCTGCTTCTTCTTTGTCGAGCCACTATCCAGAACATCAGCTGTTCTCGTAGAAAATCCACTTTTTATCACAATGAACAATTCTTTCCAGAAAAGGATCATTTCTGTTTTGGCAAGGAAGTGTAGTGCAAATAAATAGCAATGATTTTTTGTGGGTTGTTTAATGCATAAGGAACCCAACTTTTGAGCTTTTTCACCTTTCTAATTGCTTTAAGGTGGTCAGCGACTGTCGATTTGCCAATTGAAAGATTCTCTGCGAGTTCTCAGTTGTTCTGGGATTTTCTTCGACCAAAGCTTGCAGAATGTCTTCATCTAGGGAAGAAATCCTTCCACAACTTTCTTTGTCCTCAAGGCTAAAGTCCCCCTCTTGAAATTTTTTAAACCACTCTAGACGGTGCTCTCACTCACACTGCCATCGCCCCTCACTTCATTAATGTTTCTGACTGTTTGGGCTCCGTTCTGACCAAGTGTAAACTTGTAAAACGAAATTATGTGAAAACTATGCATTGACATCTTAGTCCTTACTAAGATGTAAATGCATGATTATCGCGTAATTTTGTTTTATGAGTTTACACATTTTGTTCACACTCACTTGCCGTTAGTAAAAAAAGAATGGACCACTTTGTTTATAGACTAATTTTTTTAAACTGAAAAACTAAAATAATGTTTTTTGTTTTATAATGTTTATTTATTTAGTTCGTACATAGGTAAATGATTTATAAATACAAATTTTCATGTGTAGGTATGATAAAATTTTATTAACATTATTTTATTTTACATTATAACCTAACTGTAATGTTATGAATCTCCTACACAACTGATATATTCCCAGTTTTTTGTTGCCCCTGAATTTTTGCAACATACAAATTTCTTGCATTTATCACATCTGGTGAAACATCGTCATTACCTGAGCAAAGACTGTCAAGAAAAACTTTTTGTTCTTCCTGCCTTTGAAACTCTTTCAAAACATCAGTGCAAGTAAAAACAGTTAACATCCACTTTGCTCTGTTTCACACAATTGAATACAATCTGAAAAATGAGAGCTTTGGGGTAAATGGAAATACGAGGAAAATAGATTAAGGTTAAGAGATTAGGGTGGACTAAGCATTTTCCATACCTGAGTGAATAAAGTGACTTATATTAACAATTGTACTTGAAAAAAATGTACTGAAAAAAATTATGATAAGAAACGGATTGGCTAAATTATAATAGACCCAGGAATCTTTTTATCTACAAAATAAGCAATAACAATTTCATTTTTCTTAAAATTTTCAAAGAAAATTATGTTCAAGCAAGACATATTAAAGAAAATAAAAAATAACCCAAATGAAAAAGAAGTGCTTTGCAAATTTGTTATCAGACCACAAAATTCTTTTGGAATTTTGATTTCATACGGTCAATAACTGCTTAGAATCACAAAAACCTTAAGTACTCGCAGAAATCAAAGTAGTAATTAAAACGTCACATCAGAAGAAAGAAGAGTTCATACATTTCAAACTTTAAGGCTTGATTTATTGAGTGAGTTTACTAGCTACTAGGAAGCGAGTTTAGAAATGGGCGATTCAGCTAGTGCGATGGTGTTGATGACAAAACTTTCCACACGATTAGTAGCGAATATAAGAATACGTTGTTGTTTTTCTTTTATATACTGATTTTTTCTGGGTATTTTTAGCGTTAAAAAAATGAAGGAGAACTACCATGGAATTTCTTAACGTCTACTAGCAATATTGTGTTGAAGTGCTTGATGTACCATATTTTTCACATCTTTCCTTCCATGGTTTTACTTACACTTTTCCATGCCTCAATTTCTGCTTTTCTTTTCTTTTTAACTACTTTTTGCTAGCATGAGCTAAAATAATGACTTCCGTATGAACTAGTTCTATCGACATTTTGTAGTCACTGAAACCAGACCACTGGGATACTTGCAGCTAGTTCACTGACAACTATAATAATGCATGGCTAGTTTGCAAATTAACAAGCCCACATGCCATCAAACAGCGAGTAAAGTAGTGTGGCTTTCAACATTCTCGCAGATTGTTTTACTATCTGCTCGTTAGCTAGAGAGAACATGTAATTACACTGGGCGAGTTTACTAGCAGCTAGTGTATTTGCTCGATTGTAGCTACTAAGCTTGCTCAATGCAATCTAGTGTTTAGAGAAATTACTCAACACTTTATCATTATTTAACATTCTCAATCTATGTGAATATATATATTTATATGTATATATTATTTTATTTTTCAGATCATTTGTACTAGAGCTTCCGGTGATGCCTTAAAAAATGAAGCAGCTATTAAAATAGCACTGGAAGCTACATACTTTGTACCTGTTCTTAGAAGTCTTGATGGTACTGTACAGCCTGTTGTAGGAGAACCATTCACTCCTTCATCACCACCAACTGTAGTAAGTAAAACATGTAAATTGTTGAATGGTTGAAAAGACATGCTTTCATACAAATCGATTTGATTAACATATTATAATGAATGTCTGAATGTCAACAAGAGAATTAGAGGAAGTCATCAGCCACATCCTATGCTGCCACTTTCTCAGATATGTTAATTTAAATGCATAAATCATAGAAAACATAAAGAAATAAAAACTTCCACATGAATCTGGTGCAAACGTTTTGATGAAAAAATAAAAGATGTACCTTCTATATTAGCTTAATTAAAAAGCAAAACCCTACACCATAATGGTAAAGAAATAAGCTAAACAAATTTTGTGAGAATTTCAACCCCTTTTTTTTAATTATTAAAAAGATAGAACCACAGTATAAAATGGTTTTCGGTGTCGATGGCTGCAATGGTTGCACCATTGACACGGCAACTCATTACTGTAAGAGCTTACTCACACGGGGATAAGCAGATCCAGTCATCAACTGACAACCACGAGAGTGGTGACTGGACAACTTGAGTAGCTCGTATTGTCAAATTGCTTGTGGTTTGAATAGAATATTAATTGGTTTTATATCGGCTGCTTGCAAAGTATGTATGTGGTGAGTGTCATTGTGTATTCAATCCCTATGCAGTGTCTAGTGATTCTAGTAGTATTGATGATAATCCATTATTATTACCGGTACAGGACGACTGTCACATACTTTGAATATCCTTTCAACTTGTAATGGTTTTAACACAAATTTTAAATTTAATACTTTTTCATTCATTGAGCACAATGGTAGATGCAACTGAGAGACTGGACTTAGAGACCAACATGTCGGCTCTCCTTTTATCAAGTGACTACTGAAGTAACCCCGTCTGACTGACACGACCTAATTACGCATGACAGGTCTTGTCATTGATGAGTATCTCACTCACTCAGAGACTTGAGTATGCCCATGTGGCTACGGCTTAAAGGGAAGGTCTCTGGTTTCAATCTCAGCAGCCCTGAATTAATACTTTTTTTTCACAAAAAACACTTGCACCCTGGGAGGTGATATGACTTCTGCTGTTGTGAACCCTAATTTTAAAAAAAATGATATTGATTTGTAGAAACTATTACAGAAGACACATTCGTCCAAATTTTTATTTTAACCTACTAAATTGAGATTTACATGTTGTAGACCATACTAATTATACACATTATAATTAACCGAAACTAAACTATACTGTATGCTTAATGTAATTTAGTTGAAAATTAACACTTTGTTCAATTTACACTGTAGACACTTACGAAAAGTGATCAGGATTGCATTAAAACACCTCCCATGCAGATTAGAGCACTTGCAGGACCTATGAGTGAAGCGGAAGCTAGTTGTTTTAGAAAAAAATTTAAAACACCCCCACGTGACAAAGCAACCTACCTCTTATCACCATCTCGTACTGATCCGGAAAAAGGGCTGGAAAGAGTCGGCAGGTAAGCCTTTCTTCTCATTCACATAAAAACAAATAATTTTTTAAAAGTTTCAGTTGTACACAATTGTACCCCTTTAAATTGTAAGCAAGTTTGTCAATAAAAAGCAGAAAAACATTGAATTATTACATCTTTAAAAGTTAAAAAATATTTTAATCTTTAATTTTTTTCCAATTATTTTAATAATTTCAGAGATTTGGCTTCAAAACTAAAAATTCCATGGACAGAATATTGGGAGTTTTTGGATGCATTTGTAGATCTGACTTCTCCTGAAGGGCTATCATTACTTGAAAATTATTTACAAAAAAAAGTCCAGTATAAACAAGTATGCAGGTTTATTTATTCATAGTATGGCATTAATGTATTCAATGCGGAAAGATAATGCATATTCAATGTATTTTGAAATAGACTGAATCCTCTTCCCCCGAAGTTCCTTCAAATGGTCAGATGAAATCACTTCTAGATATTTTAAATGATGATTCTTGTAAAATTTCACCATTGATGCAGAAAAACTCTTTGAGCCCTGTGTCACAGTTGTGTGCAGATATGGAAAATTTACATTTAGTAGATTTTTCACCAGTAGACGACACCGGGGATACTGGTTTTGACTGTAATGTTTGCATTATTAACTCTTATCAGGTAAAAATAACAAATTTCAATATTAGTCATTGTATCATTTTTTTTTTTTTATAACTTGCTTGACATTTTAGGTGTATGCTAGACATATCGCTTCTGCAGTCAAAAAACAGACTCAAATGAATTTCGTTCAAGCAGTTTACCAGTTGCAGTCGTTTATAGCTAGTTGCAGTTGTGATGTTCGGTTTAACAAAGTGAATTTTGCTCAAAGTCATTATGTAATTGCAGATATCGTAAATCGAATAATTGGTGTTAATTCACATCAAGAATTGATTTTTCTTAAACAAATCTCTCGGTAAGAATTAATCACCAGTTAAGACAAGTATTACTGAATTCATTTTTATATTTATTCTGCCCAAAAGCAGATTTAGGTAAAGTCAAATGAAATTGTGTAAAAATAGTTTTGTTTTGGTTCCATTTATCATTCAAAAGTTCAACAAAGAGGATACAACAGCTTTTAACACATTGACTGTGGAAGAGGCAATGCCAAAGGTCCTGGATGTGGTGAAAGTACATCTGCATCCTCCCATTTATACTTTTTAAACTTTACCTCCACTTCACCTGCTACAAAATTCCGTTTGAAATTCCTAGGGCTATCTCAGAAAGGGGAAAAGCATCACTGGCTATAGTCGTTTCAATTTTTTTCTACTAAGAGTGAATGAGAAATTATTGTAGAAAGTAGAAATGACTTTTGTTTAACTACACACCCAAGTTGAAGAAACGTTCTATGGGTTGTCTACTTCATTTACTCGGCGTTGCGGGGGTAAATACACTAAAGTTTTCCAGTCTGAAATCATAGAAATTGAACACTGTGCCAGAGAAATAAAAAGGCTAGAAGCACATTCCAGGAGGTAGTCATTATTCCGACAGTCATACAACACTTGCACAAGGCTGGCTAAATATGTATGAAATCCCTGGGCATTCGGCACATAGTGGGAGTGAGAGAGTGGATATATTGGCCAATATAAACTCTCTAAGTCCCAAACCCTATTGTGGCCTAGCATCTTTCCACAAAAATGGACAAATCCAAAAATGGATTCTTAATAAGTCCAAAACCTGGTGGAACAATACCCAGGCATGAGGCATGCAAAGAGATTCATAGAAGGGCCATCTGCAAGACTCACAAAGGGATTACTGGGGAGTAACTACAACAGAACCAGGAAGAACCACTACAACCAACATTGACATGAAAGAAGACACATAGACCAAACGGGAGCACAGGCAGAAGAAATCTTGTGCAGATGCTGTCAGGAAGCAGAGGGGACCGTAGAACAGGTTTTATGTTTTGTAAGGGTCCATTTAGGTGTAGATTCTTGTAACTAGGAGAGGAAAAGCTGCAAGTGAGATCCTACACTAAGGAGCTGTTGGCAAGAGGCTATGGAGGCTGATTAACAACATGAAGCTAGCCAGTGATTAGAGGACCAATAATAGAACTACTTAGGTCAAGAAGCAGAAGGCCTTGTGGCCACCTTTTTTAACCCAATCCCTAGTGATGCAAGGGACGCAACTGTTGCATCATATAACATAGCACTTAGATAGACATTTAAAAAAATTATTTTAAAGTACTAGAGAGACATTTTATGCGATAAAATGGGTTCTGCTGTGGACAACCAAAATGGCCAAGTATAGTTCACAGTCAATGTGTTAATGGGCGCATTATCGTACATACATCTACCACATCCATCATAAAAAAACCTTTACATTAGCCAGAAAATGTTTAAAAATTTTAGTCTGTAAATGGTACATATGTTGATCGTAAAAACAGTTTAATGAGTTTTTTTTTTGTTGCTAAATTTAAATATTTTCTCTTCTTTCTAGTGATAAACCGCCAATTCAAAATTCTAACACACCTTCCGTTGATTGCAAAGGGTTATATGAAGCCTATATGTGCATTGTCCTATTTTTGATTGATGCCTTAGAAGGGACGAATGAAAAGGAGGGACAAAGCTCACAAAAACAAACAACCTGCAAATGTAAAATTGCTAGAATTTCCCGTTCTAAGAAAAACAAGAAGAATTGGTCACGTAAATTAGAGTACAGCACATGTAAGTAATTCTTATCATTTTACAAGTTAGTTCCAAAAATAAAAAATATTTTATTGAAAAAATAACTTTATTGACAAAAAGAAAACACATTTTTAAAGTAGTATAACACAATTAAAAAAAAAAGTTCTTATACGGATTACTAAACCATCTATTGTAGGTGGTGGCTGGTTGAGATTAATTCAAATAAAAGATATGTACCTACAAAGATAATAAAAATTAGATAAGTTAAAGTAAATTAAAAATTTATAGCGCTTCTCATTATAAAATTAAGAATTTAACTGTTCCACGAGCTCTCAGCAGTACTCCAGTGCACTCTTTGCAAGATGATCAAACACAGTTACAAAACTATTAGTACTTTTTATTATAATTCGTTGATTTGTTTCAATTGTGTTTATGAACTTAATACAATCCAAGAGGATGGGGTGTCAGTGGCCGCAATGGTTAAGGGGTTGACATGGCACTCGACACTGTAAGGTAAAGGACTGGAGTTCAAATGCAGAGCCACCAGATTTGAACCCAACATACTTATAAATGGGCTTTTTTCCTTTTCAAAAAACAATAACACCCTATTGATTGATATGACCTCGCTGCTGTGGGTTATGCATCTTCCATCGTGCATAACTCAGAAATGGTTTATCAAAATTTTCCTTTCAGTGTGGTGACATAAAATAAGCTCTAGAATTGAATTGCACAATAAAAATATGGGAGTCTCATTTAAAATAACAAAGTTAGTGTTTTCATTTAAATGCTAGATGAGAAAGTTATGCTAAATATACCATGTACCACCATGCAATTCCTAGCCAAAATTAACTTGTGGTTTGTATAAGACCATTTTTTGCTAAATTTAATCGTTTCCGAATTAAATGGGTGGACTATAGAAGTTGACTGTGTTTATGCATTGTATGTTTTATCTCTATTCTGTAGTTGACAACCTGACATACAAATGAGAGGCTAACATGTAAGGGTATTGATTTAGTTTTCATATAAAAGCAGAGAATCAATAGTAGGTCAAGATGTTCAAATGACTGCAGGTTGAAAAATATGCATGAAAGACCAGAAAAAGGAGTAAAAACACTCAGAGGGCCGACGATTTACCTTCTCATTGGCCCCTAAACTTCCCATATCATATTATTTTTCCATTATTGATTTCAGGGGCTTCCATCTTTCCTCTTCAGTATTATTATCTTTATTTTGATTTACCAAGATAAAACAAAGAAAGACTGAAAAGCTGAGGCAGAAGCCTGCGAAATGAATGTCGGAAATATAGAAATAAATATTTTAAGAAAAGACGGGTCTAAATTTCTTAGAATTTTTCCCCCTTTGAATGTCTTGTAAAATCATCAAAATTTCACTAAATCAGGCACAGATAAATAAAATGTATAACTATAAAATGCCTCACATTATTTGAGAAGGTTGTATGTTATATAACTTGTGCATCTTATTGCTATGCTTTAGTTACTAGTGCAGCATTTTACTCTTTGCCCTTATTTACCATTTTAGGAATCATGATGAGAAATCTACATCTCATTGTGATGCCATCCTATTTTTGTTTATATCTCACCCTTGCTCTGCTCAACGTTCTCCTTATTTCATTATTAGTTTTAAAATAATGACTACTTTTTGGGTATAATACATTTTCAATTCAATACAGTTTTGTTTTGTTTTTCTCCTTATATTTACTTACTGTCATTGCAAAAAATAATATCCAAGAAATGTACCTTCAAATTTTGAACTGAATTGGTGTAATATAAAAGGAGCAAAAGTGATTCAATGTGAACACATTCAAATTTGATATACATATAATAAAAAAAATAAATCAAGCACGGGGTCACACTTTAGACACGTGGGTGTGTTCAGCATCTAAAAATCATTCCCAAAAAGTTTAAAGGTGGAATAGAGTAGTATTTAGATAATTATTATGCAAATAAATACAAATTATATCCCCATATTCTTTTAATATATTTTTTATTTTATTTTTATATTGATTTTTTTTGTAGTTCCTATTAAACAAGTCAGGAAGAATAGCCCACAAGAGAGGAACAGTATATTTCGCTATGACAATGATGATGCAGAATATTTTTCAGGTATTGTGCCTGACTTTAATATGTATTCACTTATTTAATGTTAATTAAATTGTTATTTACATTAACATGTAGATTTTGATTTTAATTTTTCATGGAATTTATGTATTTAATTTTTTGTATTTAAGATTCAAGTTATTCAACACCAGAATCTTCAGAAGAAGATGGACACAGCGATGATGAGCAGTTTTATGAAGCTGATGATGGTCAAAAGGGATATTTTTTAACTGGGTAATAGCCATTTTATTTAACAGCCATAAATAACTGAAAAGAAAAAGGGATTTATTGGAAGTAAACTTTTATAATAGTGACAAAAGCAATAAATAATCAGTCTATTCAGTTAAACCTATTCAAATTTGTAGCTTGATCATCTCTGACCAACCTTTCATATATTCCTACTGACTTTTTCCCTGTGAGATGGCATATCAGCAGTGTATGTTCTTAAAAAGCTAGACAAACCCAGCAAGAATAAGGTGACATTGATGATCAGAGATGATCAATCTAGAAGTTCATGATGACAAAATTCATAACTCCTAGAAAAAACTTTTTTTATGCATAAATTTAAAAAAAAGTTATTTTACAATTGTTTTGTTTCCTTTTATTCATAGCCAATACTTTATAATTTTTGGAAAAGATAATTTTACTTATTGTAGTAGATCTATATTTTCCAAAAAGTAAATTGCCATACTTACTCCACATCAAACCATTTCTAATATGTTATAATGTTCTTATTTCATTTTATTTATTTATTTTTTATTTTTCAGCTCAGAACCAATCAAACTAGACTTAATGGTATTAGATACAATTAAGGATGTTAACATTTCACAACTGGAATTTCCTTTTATTTATTTTTGGAAGGCTTCTTGCTCGAAGTATTCAGTGCAGCACCCGCAAACACAGTAATACAATAAATTATTATGATCATGCATGCTTATGAATTTAATAACATGTTGTTTGGAATAATGCTTTAATCATTAACGAATTATAAACTGATAAAAGTTATCAGTAAAGATATAGGTTAAAATTTTGCATATGTGTGGTGTTCCTGATGAAAGTGCACCCCAACACTAGAATGTTTATTTATTTACATGATCCATGTAATTCAATTATTTAAATGATCCATGTAATTCAATTAATTACATGTGTATTTGAGCCAATTAATAGTCTAGCCACGCTAGCGGTCCTTACAATCCTGAAACAGCCCATGGATTATAGTGTGAAAAATGTATTGTAAAGTTGTTTGCCTCTTAGCTCACAACACCCCACAGGTAGTTGGACGTTAAGCTGGCAGGAATTACTTTAGTAATCTATTTAAAATTTTCCTAATTTATTTACATGAGCAATAATAATGAGAAAATGAATAACAATAGGTTATGGCCGCCAAGGTTGGTGGCCGCAACGGTGGCCGACATACTTGCAAATGGGATTTTTTTTTTCCAAAAACACCAGCACCCTGAGGATTTATATGACCTCTGCTGTTGCGAACCCTCGTTTAAAAAATAAATAAATAAAAAAGTCTGAATTTGGTTACAAAAACAAAACATAATTTTTAAGACCTAAAACAGTAATTCTCAACCTTTTTTTTGTCGTGGCACACTTTTAACGATTTCAAAATTTGGCGGCACACAAAAAAAAAGATAAGTTTAAAAATTGTTTATTTACCTTTAATACTCTGTGTAAAATAGTTTATGATAATAATTTTGAATGTAAAATAAAATAATATGTACTACAAAAACAACAGTACGTTTATTAAGGGGTTAATTACAAGTTAATAATTAAAATACTTTTAATGAGAAATTTGAGCTTGATATTTTTTGATAATTTCATTTATATTTGGTCGTAAAAATGACAATGACTCTCATATCATCTTCTACATTTAAGTCTAATCTTTTTTTCGTTTTTATGTTGGTTAATACTGAAAATCCGAATTCACACAAATAAGATGTAGAAAATTGTAATTATATATTTTAAAGCTTTTTTGGCAGTCATTATTATTTAATAATTTCACCATATTCATATATATAAGTACTTTTCTTTAATTCAAACTTTACTCGTAATTTTAAAAAAAACATAATTTTTACTATGTACATTTCTAAAATTTGGCTGTGCACTTTAAGAATTTCACGGCACAGTAGTTGAGAATCACTGACCTAAAAGATAAAATATTTAAAATACTGAAACTTCAAACTATTAAGGATATAAATAAAACATACGCTCATCAGAGCTGCAACTTGGATTGACCCTAAACCCAAAATGGTACGTCCACCGAGGGCTTGGGTTTTATACAAATTGAGCCTAGTTAGAGGGGTTGGTGATAGCTGAGAAACTTTTTCATATAATATCCTTTTTCAGTACAGCCCAGATGGCGTCTTATATTTGCTCACTCTCTTCCAATTGTTTGTGTCGAATGTAAGCGTATACCTAAATGTATGTCTCCTCTAGAATGAGGTCATGTATTGTTTATTTAGTGGTGAGTCAGCGTCCTCATTCCCCTACATGTGCCCCAGCTAAAGACTATGCTTTATTTTTAAATAAGTAAAGACCTAACCATTCCACATTTTCTCTGCTATTGAAATAACTTAACAGACTTGGTCTACCAACTTTCTAACAGCAGCCTTTGTGGTTAAATACTGATTTCCCCATTGTACATTATGAATGCACAAATAACTGAACCACTGATCTTATTATTATAAATAAATAAAATGATACGTGTAATGCTTGGCAAACTTCTTTTTTTAATGATAGTCTGAAGTGCGGGTTGATATAGTGAGGAGTCAATGATCATTGTTCAAAAATTGCCAACAAAATATGCCCATCACTCAGTGGAGATGAGAGTGGGAAAAACAATAATTAAAAATAAAAATAAAAATAAATAAATACCTGTTGAATATAAATGAAAGATATTCAGATATCGTGAGATGCGGTCCTGACCGCATCTCACGATATCTGAATAACTATCGATTAACGGTCACTAATCTCTACACATAAATGAAAGAATAAATAAATAAAAATTTAGTGTGCCATTCGTTTTGTTTGTTAAAAATAAAGAGGAAGGAACAAAACATATTTAATAATAATAATAGTAATAGATAATTAATATGTAAACAATTAATTTGTTAGGCTCGTAAGGAGCGGAATGAGGTAGTTTAGAAAAACACCTTTTCCCTTTTTTGCCAACATTTCGACCTTTATTCCAGTCATCTTCAGGGCATAAAGTGAGGTGCTATTCTTATGGTGTCATATTGGTGTTGTATGAAATTGTCGTGGGGGCAATTGACAAACAGTTGATAACTTCCCTCCAAGGAATAGGATGAGTGGTGGCCGACTCATAATTGCAACACTAGCGTTTCTGGGCTTAAATCCTGTTTTGCAAAAATTTGGACCTTAGAATTCCTATGAACCTGTGGGCAAAGTGCAGATGTATACGTGCACGAGTAACGAGCTCATACACGGTACAGTAAACTTGGAGGTAAAGCGGAAGTTTTAGCTTCATTGGTCATGAGATAACGACGCATTGGTCAGTTTATTCTTTGCTATTAATTAAAAAAAAAAATAAATAAATAAAGGAAACTTCGTAAAACATGATGTAAATATTGGTTGTTGAAAAGAAGTCAGTACAATCACAACAACTTATAACAATTGAGAGTGTGGAACATGGTTCTGGATTAAACAACTCAATAAACTATTTGATAACTTGTTTGCACTTTCAGTGTGACAAGGTGAACAAAAATGAAAAATCACAAACAGCACAAACAAAAATGTAAAAATGCTAGAGTGTTCCCTTTCAACCAAACTGAATACCGAAACACGTGCATGCGACCAATGAGTCCCATACACAAACACACTCGGTGTAGACAACTGTGCAGGTAGAAAGAATCGAATTTCGATATGTTCTGGGTTACTTGAACAAGTCGCGATACCTGAGCAATTTCACCAAAAGTAGTTGGTACTTGCATTTCAGTTTATCGGTAAACCTGTCTAGTAGGCCTAACCTAAAACAAATTGTATTGATACCTTTATCCTTTTCCAATTCTGTTATTCTTTTTGCTACTCAAGATACTAAATAATTTCTGCCAGACTACAAATTGAAGTTTTTTAGGCTTTCAAAAGAATCTTTTTGAATCCGACATCTGTTTTAAGTGTTCAATAAAAATTAAGAATAGCAGTTTGTTTATTTAAAATTATTGGATCTATTGTTTAATTTGCCCAGTCAATTGTTAAGCTTTTGTTATAGGAATTTCATTATTAAATTATTAATTTACTAATTTCATTTACAGATGGACAACTCCGAAAAAATCCCATCTACTGAAATTCGAGCCTAGAAGTTGTTTAAACTTGTCTTGTAATGAAAGTTAATATACTGTTTGTTGTAATTGTTTATGTGTGATTTTTATTTTTATTTTTAAACATTAAACTAAAAATTTGCTATTTAGTGTTTATCTTTACCAATTAAAAAAAAAAAAAAAAAAAAAAATACTACAATGGGAGAGATGTCTGTATCACAATATTAGGTGCAACACCATGGAAATGTGTGTATACAATTTTTTTTAAGCACATAACATCGTAAAACAGACTGATAAAACTCTAACCAACCATTAATGTGTTCCTTTTTGTAATTTTATACAACATATAATTCACTTGATATTTGTATAAAGTATATGTGTATGTTGTTAACACAGAATAACAGTCTCTAACACTTATAAACATATTTTTTCTTATCAAAAATTGTTTTGTAAATACTCTTTGTTTTAAATATAATTTATTTGTTAACCGTTCATTTTAACTTTGATTCTTAGTAAAAATATATATTTTTTAATATAATATGTACAGTTATTTTACAAAAATCTGTTATTTTTCTGCTATTATTCTGTTTTTTATATACAGATGTGTTTAATACTTAAAAGCCTATATAACTGTACTGTACTGAGTACCATATATTTTTCTACATCAACATTTATTCAGATGGTATTTTATAATTAAAATTAGTAGTGGTTATTTTTATGACATATGAAGCCAAAAAAAAGAAGTTAATTCCTTAACAGTCTGCAACGCCAATTAAACACACGATTGTATTTATTAAAAAATTTATGAAAAAAACTTTTGCACAAAAATTTTTATACCGTTTTCTTATCTTGTTTAGTTAGCCTATTTAAATTGAATTTTATGATTCGTATTAGTGCCTTATTGTCTTCCAAATACTATATTTTAAAGTAGAAATGAAAACATGTGATAATTTTTATATATATACTATGTACAGTATGACTATGTTTTGATTCTATTCTTAAAAATAGGCAACTTCTTTTTTTTTCTTTTTTTTAATAGAGTTGTCTAAAATATAAACTTTATCATGTGAAAAAACATGTTGAAAAATTTGGCTGTATTAATAAACTTGTAGATCTCTAAAAGATTGTTGAAATAAAAAATTTTAATGGCAGAGACATTTTATTAGCATCATTACTGGTGTTCTTATTCCAGATGATTAAAGATGGAGACTGCTTACCTTGTCTGCACCGACTCGGCACGTCCATGACAGGTCCTCTGTTGACCCTCTTGTTGTGTTCTTGTTAGAGAGATACTATTAACTAGAGGATTATAAAATGCCGGATGAAGCTAAGGCCCGGGACATCCAAACATCCGTTCTTAAACCACTGGATCAAGCCCTCTGTCGCTAAAAATGCAATTTTTGACATTTTATGGAAACGACCCTGCGGAGTCTATTGGCACAATAATAAGCTCGTAAACCTCAAAGTTTTCGAGATAATTGCAAAACAAAACAGAATTTTTTCAATGTATTTGCACTTGTTTTCAATTGAAAGATACTGCTGAGTCGATTAACGCAAGTATTAAGCTTGTAAACCATATAGTTTTTGAAAGAAATTTAAAAAAATGAGAAAACTTCCCTCACTCGCTCTTTCTCTTTTTCTCTATGTCACACTCATTCACTCTCATTTTCTCTCTCTGATCACAGTTGAATTATTGAGGTGCGATCACAGTTGAACGTATTATATATATGCAAAATTTATATTTACAATAAAGTTGCTTGTACCACTTAATAAATAAATTAATAAATAAAACATAATAATAAATTTAAAAAAGTATCGCTAAACATTAAAATACGTCATTTCCTTGGAACATCACGATTAACTGTCTACATTAGTAAACAGGGATTTCTTTTGCATTTATTTATTTTTGTGAATAATTTTCTTTGATGGTTTGGGCTAAAACATTGGTATTATAGAAAATCATCGATACCCATCCCTGGTGTTACCGGCATTTATGCCATTTATTTGTTACAATAAAAGGAAAAGAATAGATCATGTGCATATACTCGTTAGCAATTAAATATTAGTGTCTCCAATACGAGAGACGTAAATATACGTCTGCTATGTGGAGTAGCAAGTATTCGATAGTTTATTAAATAAAATGAAAAACAATTTGAAAATTCTATATTTTTGATGGAATCTGTTTGTCACTGGAATGTGTGTACACACAACACAGACGAACATGACTTTCGTGACGTCATTGACAATGCCAGGAGAGGAAAATTGTCTTTTATCGGCCGACGCTATGATAACCGTCGTTAAGAAGGTAACGCCGCCATTTAATTACCGACTCAAGATTATATCTCTTGTCTCCGAATCGGGACCTTTTGCTATGTATTTGTTTAGTTTTAATCAAAAATAAAAAGGGAAGAGTACAAGTGTGAGCAATCCCTCGGCCCAGTCTGGCTTTTTAACTCATCGGAAGTTAACCGGGGATATACAAGGAAGGTACTTCCGAAGAGCGCCTCCTGTTTAAATAAGACCGTTTTTCCTCTGTTTTTTGTTTTTGTTTTGTTTTTGTTTTTTTTAATCTCCTCGGCTGTGTTGTTATCACGCAATTTTCATTTTGCTGTAACCAACGACTGTCAAGCATGACGGAGGTGAAAGACGCGGAGCAAACCAAGTTTCAGATGTCTGAGGGCGACTGGATTTGCACCGATCCTCAGTAAGAACAATTTATTTTATTTATCTGTAAGATTTAAAAATTTTCTTTGTGTAGGAACGTGACTTATGAATATAGACTTATGGCTTATGATTTTTTCACCTTTGTTTTTTTTCCCTTTTTAACAGAAAGAAGGGCTTATCGATTTGTTTATGCTGATCGTCCAGACCCCGGCTTGTATAGACCAATTTTCAAGTTCCATTGTGGGACTTTTCAAACATTTTCATCCAAATAAAGCCTCTTAAAGATTTATTTAAATTACAAAAATATTTTCATTCATTATTTATTTGATATTTCTTTTTTTTTTTTAAATAAAAACCTCATCTTTGATTACGAAAAAAGTAAATATTTGATGTTCTTTATTGGCGAATCTAAAAAATGTAAGCTTAAATTTTGCCATGAAAATCAGCTGATTTGCCTACATAGTCTGTTTTCTACCTTTTAATATAAATGAAATGTGAAATAATTTTCTCAAGAAATCTAATAACAACTTAAAAATAAAATAGAAATGTAATAAAAATACTTTTAATTGATTTTTTATTTTTTATGCAAAGTATGGTTTAGTTGAAAAATTATTGTCCCGAGCAGGACTCGATTCCAGATCTAGACCAGCACCCGTGCTCTCTACAGCTTGAGCTATCCTGACTTATGACAATAGCTCCGTTGCATAGAGCATTGGGGTGTTGATTTGGATATGGGTTCGAGTCCTACTTGTGACACTAATTTTTCAACTCAACTGCACTGCATAAAAAATAATAAATCAATTAAAATAAACACTTTGGTTAATAGGACCAACTAAAACATAGATAGCAATAAAATATATATAACATTATCCATTGGCATATTCAGTTTGGATCGAGTATTATTAAAAAGAAAAGCAATTTTTCATTAATTTTACCAGATAACTTGGCCCAGTTGCATTGTAGAAAAAAAATATTACTGTATGCAACAAACTTTTAAAGGAAGGACCCAGGGTAGTGTCGGCTTGTTTCCTAGCAATACTCATGCTTTCCTAATGCCATTCCAGCATCCCCTTCCCAAGAGGGCAGAGACAGTCATAGAAAGCCACATGTGCTGTGTTCTGCCATCCACGACAGGCTAGCAGTTTAGAGTCGCTAGAAGTCTCGACGAAGAGAAGGTAGTGGTTGACCGCGATGACGGCTAGAGACAATTGTTTTATTGCTTCTACTGTACTAAGAAACCATTATTTAATGGCTTCCTTGATAGGTAATCAACTCCAAACGGTCTGTAATGTAAGAGTGAGCTCTGAAACAATCGCCACAAGGCTTCATGAGAATGTCTCTAGATGTCCTACATCAGGTCCTCTATTACTGGAGAGGTATCGAGTAGAAAGGAGACTATTCACAAATCTCTTGGACACACAATGGGGGCTGTTCTTTTCAGAGATGAGTTTTGGTTTCGTTTATGGCAATCAGATGATTGGATGGAGTGTGAAGAAGATGATGTAAGTCACAGCATTTTCAGAGGTAGTCAGTTATAGTATGGGGTGGAATTGTTGTCCATGCCCTTACCAACTGATTATCATGCTGAAAGGATATTGAGTGCACGAAGGTCCACTGAAGAAGTCCTGGAAGCGGTAGTCTCATTTGCTCCATTTATTGGGGACAACTTCGTGTTAATGCATCATAATGTTCGACCATATGTAGCTCGAGTTGTCACCCATAGAGGATGTAGGGATTATCACAATGAATTGGCGAGCAAGTTCTCTTGACACGATTCTTATAGATTCTTCTTATATGGGACATGTTAGATGTCGTTTGCTGCTTCAACAAGTGTTGAAAAACTTCAAACCGCTTTTGTTGAAGAATGGGGTTCTGTCAGTCTCTTATTAACTTGATGCCTAGGAGACTTAAGACCTCCATACGGCCGGAGGAGGTAATACAAGTTATTAAGAGCAAATCTAGGTAATAAATCATTAATCTATCACTAAATGATTTTGCAACGTTTTGGTAAATTTCCAATCTCATTTAATTTGGTTTACATTGAAATAAGTATGCTGTAATTAATATAACAATAAAATTACATATAGTTTGAAATAAACAACAAATACGAGTGTCTGGTTTGGTCTGGAGTATATATTCCCAAAATTAACTATTTAGTAATAGAATAGATCTATAAGCTTCGGTGCTTCAGCACTCTGGGAAGGAAAGCCTTGAGCTGGGCAACCACCTGACTCAGCCCTGGGTTTGTTCAGGATGATCTTGCTGTGCTAGCCAAGTCATTTTCCCCTCCATACCTTTACAGAGCTAAGGTCTTGGAACTTAGATCGAGATACGAGATTTTCGTCTTGTCATCATAGACAGGCCTAAGACTGACGAGAATGAGTTCACTTGGTCACTCCCACCGCACTGCAGTGTTAATGGCAGATTTGGCACACGCTTGAGACGATGGCTTTGCTTACCTTGTCTGTGCTGACTCCTTCAACACTGTTCAACCTCTATCAACCTTCTCATTGTGCTTTTGTTGGAGATATACCATGAACTCTGGAGTGTCTCGGCTAAGGCTGGGTGTCCAACCAAAGAAATTAGCAGTGTTAATAGGATTGCTAGCCGATACAATAATTGTGCTTGAGCCGGTAGCGAGTACACAATTCTCATATCTAGTAACATTCCTATGCGCTCTCTATATGGAGGGAAGAAATGGCACCTTTCATTTAAGTGGGACAAATCGAGCAACCTTTCTCTACACGCCGGAATGCTTTGGTCCAAAAGTAAGCTACCTTTGTCAACCTTGCATAGCCTATCCTTAATTCAGTGAGGAAAAGCCTTCTACAAGGCAGATCCTATGAAGGCCACCTATCGACAGTGCTCATGATACGAGAGAGCTCTGCCGATCTGACCCACCGGCGCTGCCACTTTCTTTTAAACATGATGTGATATATGAAGTTGTTTAGTGATAAATATAAACCATAAAGTTAAGAAATTATTATTAAACTAATACAAGTTACAATCTATACATTTTAAAATGCTTGAACTTTATTACCACGGATAAAAATTAAGTAGCTTTAAAAATTCTTGAATGTTTATTCGGAAATAGGGAGATGTGGTCTGGTGTGACGTAGGTTTCCGAAAAACATTTTCTTATCGTGCCAACGTTTCGATCTTTATTGAGATCATCTTCAGGGCCTGGGATTTACAAACATTGTTTAAATGTAACAAATGTAGAATGTGGATAAATATTGATTGGACAAATACATATATTTGTTAAATTTAAACAATGTTTATAAATCCCAGGCCCTGAAGATGATCTCAATAAAGATTGAAACGTTGGCACGATAAAGAAAATGTTTTTCGGAAACCTACATCACACCAGACCGCATCTCATGATTTCCTAATAATCAGAGACTAACGGTCACTAATCACCACACATTCTTGAATGTATATAAGTTTATTTCTATTTTATACAAATGTCAGTCTTCATCTGATAATTTACATCTACACTGCAAATAATATTTTATTGATTTGTTTCAGCTGTGGTAATATCAACTTTGCCTGGAGAAATAAATGCAATCGTTGTAACAAAGGTAACATTTATGCATTTTTAGGAATGTTGCTTTTTGGGGATTAAAGACTTCAAAAAAGCAATTAATCTTTTAAATCTAACAAGAAAATTTTTAGTTAAATTGTAAACTTTTCTAGAGATTCACTGTAAAAACAATCATTTGCAAATTGAACTATATTATTCAAGTATGTTTTGTTTTAATTATCCAATTGTGTGAAGAATCTAGCATTTGTCCTTGTGCAAAAGTTAGTAGTAATGTTGCTTTTTAGAAAGCGATGACTGCAAATTGCAGCTAGTCTTTTAATCTAATTTTTAAAAAATCTACTTAATGTAATATGGCATTTATAGTTTCAGCATAAGCTATTTATTTATAAGTTGAATAAATTCATCCATTATACAAAACCATTTAGTTTTAATTACCCAATGTCAATCAGCCAATTCAATTATTTATATTATCCATACAATTTTTTTTTCATTACTTTTAATAATATTTAATCTTAAGTAAAAATGAAACACAAATTATTTTTTTACTTTGGTTAGATATGAATTTTATTTATATGTATTATTAGTTAAGGCAGTTGATAGAACGTTGAATACTCCCCATGCAAACTTTCAGAGTTTATTGTTTTTTGTTGTTTTATAAATCGAAAATAAGGAGATACCGATTATTTTTCTATAGAAATAGCTTGATTACCCCCTAAAAATCCTAGTCTAACTATCTATTTTTTGCTTGTTTTTCTGTCACACTGGCCATGCATATTTAAAAAAAACTGTTATAATTATTATGCAAAGTATGGTTGAAAAATTAGTGGGACCTGAACCCTTGACATCCAGATCAGACCACTATGCTTCTACCACCTGAGCTGTCATGATTTTTGTCCTCAAGACACCAACTAATCTCTCAATCTACAACCTTTTTGCCAATATTCAATATTTATTTTTCAGCTCAACCATACTTTGAAATATAATTTATCTAATTACTTCGGTTAATTAAAAAACACATAAATAGATTAATTTACTTATAATTGTGAAATGGCATCTGACAGACACAACCAGTGAGAATCGGCATACCAGGATGATTAAAGAAGCTCGAGCTACTGGCTCACCATCTTGCAGACTTCAACACAATCTCAAAAAATATCTTTTTTACTGTGTTATTTTAAAAAGATTATCCAAATGTCAAAGATTTGCACTACTTGAAGGGTTAGTTAATTACTTTTTAATGTATAGTAAAATGATTTACATGCTTTTCAGTAGTAGTGTAAATTGAACTTTTATTTCTAATGACATATTGACAGAAATTTATTTTATTTAATTAACCTAATGTACTCATTTGGTTTAATTTTATTCCATACTTAATTATATTGAAATTATATATGGGTCGTGGAGGCTCCTTTATAGAAAATTGAACTGAGCTTTTCATATACTTTGTCTCTCGGTCAAAAAACATACATAATGTTCGGGGTGTGTAATATAATGCGCCTTTTAAGAGCTATTCTATCATCTGTTCCATACTTATAGCACACCGGTAAGTCCTAGTTAATCAAGGAACTTGATTAGTAGGACCGGTTTCAGTGGTTGAAATTCTTCTACAGTTGTACATCCCAAAACATTTCCTCCTGTGGGCAAATGTGGCGCCACAGTTTGTTAGTAGGTGTGTTTGGGTCTCTCCTTCTTTACAGAATCTGCACCTTGTTGGGTTATATCAATCTTCTTCAGATGCCCATTCAGTCTGCAGTGTCCTGTTAAGATCTGGTTAGTATTCAAAGTTTTTCCTGTTCCCTTTTATGCATTCTGTTTCTTTCCTTCCAAAATTTGCTAGATGCTTCTTGGATTATGTCTAATGAGCGAATTCCACTGTTTTCTCATTTTCATTTTGTCCTTTTGTCTGAGGTACTCATTGATAATGAGAAAGCCACAGAAAGGCTCAGCGGTATAGGCAGCTCTACTCTCACATGACCTGGTACCCCCTTAGTGCTTTGTTGGTAGCTTGGATATCTGACATGATAGTTCTATTCTTTTTATTGTCCCCTTGTTCAGATTGAACTGGGTATATCTCTCAGTTGCATGGACTTCAGCCTGGAAGATACTGTATTTTCCTATGGGCTGTGAGTATTTGGTTCCAGGGCATTCAAGGAGGAAATTGTGTTGTGTCTGTGATTAAACGTTACATCTTCCACACAAAATTGTGTTTAATAATATTAAATACACAAATGATTTTTAGTTGCAAAGAAACATACGTTATGCTGATTAATGATTTATGGTTTAAAGATTAAGATTTAACTATTTCTTTAATATAAAATATTTTATTCATGAACAACATGATTTCTTCTTGAATAGTCACAAGGCTTCCAGAGATATTTATACAAATTTTAATGAATTAAAAAAGGGAATTTTTATTTTATTAAAACGTAAGACATTGTTCTATTATCTAATCAAATTTGTAAATTGTATTAATTGCCGTGTAATAGATATTTATTAAGATAAACAAGTTACAATGTAATTTTTCACCTCATTGTTTAGATAAGGCTTAGATAAGATAAAATTTTCACTTTATAAGCACAAATTAAATTGAAATTAATTTTACACTTTTTATACCCTACATAAAAAAGTTAAAATTAACTATTTATAAAATATTTAGTTTATTTTTCTGTTTTCAGATCGTATAGAAGGGCCTGTGAAAAAGAAACTCGGCCAAGAAATAGGCAAAGCTTTGGCTGAAAAAAGCCGAGGATTATTTAGTGCTGATGATTGGCAGTGTAATAAGTAAGGCTTGTTTTATTACCTAATTGCAATTAAAATGTATTTATTTTTTAGCAATTGCACTTTCTTGTGAAGACTTTTCATCATTTTATAAAACTACATCAAGATACAGATTCCATTACCATTTCTTTCTTGATAGATTTTATTTCACTTAATTTAAATTTAGTTTAATGTCCTTGTATAAAAGTTTTAGTTTAGAGTTTGTCATATGTCAGCAATATTATTTTCCACACAGGTTAAAGACTTGATAAAGTAAAAGTCCCGGTCGAATCCAGCATTCAAACCTGACATACTTACCACAGGTTTAAAAAAATTAATTAATTTAAAAAACCGACACCCGGAGGGTTGATATAACCTCTGCTGATTGTGAACCCCCTTATCTTTAGAAAGAAAAAAAATAAATATTAATTTTAACTAAAAGTGTTGATGGATGGGAAAATACTTCTTTTCAGTGAATTATTATTATTATAGTTGATTAAAAACCTTAACTTAATTAAAGACAATTTTTTTAAAGGTGGGATTAAATTATTACTTTTTTTAAATATTTTGAATGTAATTTAATTTCTTTTTCTCTCTTAAAAAATGTTTTATGAGTTAATAATATCATATAGGTGGAAATAAGGTTGGAACTCTAAGTTTGAATAATTTTATATAGATGCGGTAATGTAAATTGGGCCAGACGTCAACAATGCAATATGTGTAATGCTCCTAAATTTGGAGAGATAGAAGAAAGAACTGGATACGGAGGTGGTTACAATGATAGAGGTGTAGTTGAATATGTGAAGAGAGATGACTCAGACAATGAGTACGATGAGGTAAATCCTATTAAACGGCTTCATATTTTCTTTCAATTAATAGTCCGCAGCATGAGTTTTTCTCTCTCACTCACTTTCTCTCTCTTCTCTTTTTCACTGTCTCTTTTTTCTTCTTGTGTAAATGTTTATCATAAGAAGAATAGATGTGTATAATTTGAATTAATTTTTATATAATAGGGCTAATATTTTATTTTGCAACATCTAGTTCGGAAGAAGAAAGAAAAATAAGACTTCAATAACTGAAGAAGAACACCGCCGTAGTGAAGAGGAGGAAGAAGAAGAAGAGGATGATGATGATGATGTATGTTTGTTTTTTATAATGAAAAATATTTCAAACAAATTTTAATTGTAGATATGATTCGATCAGTAGCCACTAATTAAATTTTGGTGAAAATGTAAAAAAACTGTTTACCGAGCGGGAAATTCTTTTTCATTTCCATTTTTATTATGATGTTCCAGGAAGGTGATAATAATGACTTATCTAAATATGACCTTAGCAGTTGGGGTGATGAGAATGAAGAACAAAAAACTAAAGACTTAACAGAACGTTCAAATGAGACTCGTAAAAATGATCAGCGATCAAGATCACGTTCAAGGTTAGAATTTTCAAAAATAAATATTGTTATGATGAACTATGCACTACTCATGAAATATTATTTCAAATTAATTATTCTTTTTATGTAAGGTCTTGGTTGAGATGACAAAGTTTGTGTCACGAGCGGGATATGAACCCACGACATTTGGCTCAATACGCTGCTGCTTTCATCTCAACCAAGACCTTAAATAAAAAGAATAATTAATTTAAATAAATAATTTGGTCAATTAGACCACTAAATTAATATTTAATAAGTAAAGAAGTATCACTTCACTAACAGCTACCCGTAGCCACTTCATAAGTCGCTCAGAATCGAATCCTGATTATACGACATTTGAAAAATGGCAAAAAGAGGAAAATTCAAAAGGTTGTAGATTAAGACGGGGAGTTAGTATCGGAGTGGATCAAAGTAGCTCACGCTAGCTCAAATGGTTAGAGCAGCGTTGTATTGTACCGAAGGTCGTGGGTTCAAATACTGCTCGTGACACTAATTTTTTCATCTCAACCAAGACCTTGCATAAAAAGAATAATTAATTGAAATAAATAATTTGGTCAATTAGACCACTAAACATAAATGGATTAATATTATTTCATTTTTTTTAATGGTGTAATTTTGGTTTGTAGTTTAGCCCATTTTATTGTTACTTTTTAAAACAATCTATTTGAAATGAGATTGGTATATTTGATTTATATAGGTTTGATTCTGCTCATATGTGTACATATATATGCAGAGCCGAGCCTATAACTTATTGTGGCAAGCCACAAGATTTACCCACTTTTGTGTTTGGTTGTCTAGGATCTGACACCAAAGTTAGGCTCAAGGTGTTATCAACAAGGTCATTCCAGCCCACAACACATGCATTTTTAGTGTAAACACACTCACTTTCTTGCACATTCTTGAAAACTTGAAAACACATGGAGTACTTTTTTCCTCCATCACCCTTTACACAGTCTAATTAAGGGTTAAAGGGTACTTGATATGCTCCCATTGGCGCTCTTATACACACATGTTCATTTATATAAATACATTCTAACACAACAATTAAAACAACTATCACAAAACTTAATATTTATACAATAACCAGCGCATTATTTGCACGTATGTTGCTTTCCAGCCTGACATGGCAGGTATGAGACGACTACCTTTTTTTGAGATGCTCTAACTCAGCATATCTTGTGAACAAAAGCACAACAAGTTACACGGAGAATCTGTCTCTTAAGGCATTCAGGAAGTCATTGTACATGAGGCAGGATGAACGATGAATCGTCTGTGGGTCGCATAAGTCCAAGGGCGTGCCAGAGCACTGCAACTCATGTGGAAAATACTCGGCTGTATACGACACAAGCCACACCATCTCCAGTCATAAACCTGACCGAGAAGACGAGGCACTTGACCTTTACCTTGACTTAAGTTCGAGGAACATGGTGTATATAGATATGGTGGTGTAGTAAATTGGGCCAGGGTCACTTGGATAAGGCTGCAAAAATCTAGTACATAGGGTATTAGTTTTTAAACCAGCACTTCAAATACTTTTAGTGGGGTCTCCCTGTCCAGTCCTCACCCGGTGACCAATGCAGGCCAAGGGTTCCTGCAACAGACCTTGATGTGACTTCCATCTAACTTTTCATTGAGTATCAAGCTGAGGAACCACACCCCTGCAGTGCGCCACTGAACCCTGTTAGAGGTGTTTGAGTTGTGATGTTCCATATCTTTCTTAGATAATGAATAATCTAATCATTTTAAAAAGAAATAGAAAAAAAAAATTCACATTAATACTTTCTATAATAACTATGTATAACGATTTATAATTGATTTAAAATGTAAACACAACATTAATAAGTTGTTGTTTATCTTTATAGAGTGTTAATAATCCTTTTACACTAATTAGATTAAAATTAAGAAAATCTGTTCAATTTCATCCTTTCGAGAACAACTTATGAATGAGTTGGTATTTTAAATTGTTTTCTTTGATGAAAAACAAATGAAAAATTATTATTATCATTTTTGAAAAGTATGGTTTTAAGTCGAGAAGATCTCACCCGGGCAAACGGTAGATGTAGCTCAGGTCCCTGGGTGTGTCGCGCTCTACCATCCTTAACGGTCTACAGTGGTTTAAGGCTACCAGAAATCTCAATCATAGAGAAGATAGTGGTCGACCTCGTACGTCATCAAGAAACGATTGTTTTATTGCACTTACCACACTACGGAACCGTCATTTAAAGGCTTCCTTGATAAGTAGTCAACTTTAAACGGTCCGTCTAATGGTGAGCTCGCAAAGCATCTTTATAAGTTTTTGTGATTCACAAGTTTCTAGATGTCCCAAATCAGATCCTCTACTACTCAAGAGTATAAACACAACTATTCACAAATCAGCATCTTGCGTAGATTGTACAATGGGGGCAGTTTTCTTCACAGATGAGTGCCGGTTTGGTTTGTGACAGATGACTAGGACCATCTGTGGAGAACACTTTGCTTCATGTACCACGCGAATGTCACAGTCTTTCAAAGACAGCCAGTTCTGTTATGGGGTGGAATCACTTTCCAAACTGATTATCATACAGAATGGATCTTTGACTGCACTAAGTTCCATCGGGGAAATTCTTCTTGGAGCAATGGTCCCATTTGCTCCTTATATTGTTGACAATTTTGTCTCAATGCATGATAATGCCCCCGACCACATGTAGCTCGAGTTGTCACCCATAGTTAGATATAGGGATGATTATCACAATTGGCAGGCACATTCAATTGTGGTAATTCAATACATTCCCATAGAACACTTACAAGATAAGTTGGGTCGCCACCTCCAACTAGTGATGAACTGCTCTTGTTGAAGATTGCGATTCTGTTTCACAAGACAAAAACTGATAGCTTATTTGCTCGATGCCTAGGAGACTTAAGGACCTCTTCAATGCTTGAGAAGGTAATATGTGTTAGTAAGAGCAAAACCGTTCATTAAAGTTAATATATCAATAAATGATTTTCCAATGTTTTGGTGATTTAAAAAAAAAAACAATCATAATAAATAACTTTGATTAGAACTCATGAATTTCTGATCTCGCTTAATTTGGTTTACAGTACAATAAATAAATATATAATTAATGTAATGATACGAATTCATATAGTTCAAAATAAATAATAAATGTGTAGAGATTAGTGACCGTTAATCGATATCTGAATAACTATAAATAATAATATATGAGTGTCCGGTTGCTTTTGTCTATGAGCGTATGTATTCAGTTTCAATACATAAACTAATTCCTTGTGTGATATATCTTTATTTTTTCCAAATATATTGTCAATCTGTTTTGTTTCAGGTCTCCTTCAAAATACAAATAAATTCACAATCACCTTCCTGTGCAAAGTAAAATTATTATCTTCTATTTGTGAGTGTTGAATGCATAGGTTAAAACCCCGTTTCCTTATTTAACCTGTTATTGAAGATAAAGGTATCCTAAAAAATAGGCTTGTATTTTATCTCAGACTTGATTATCACTTTTGCAACACTCCTACTAAATATAACTTTGTATTTTACAAATTGTGTTTCAAAATATATGTAATTTCTACCATTATTCTATTTCTTGGCAACTTGCTGTGAGGGAGAAAAAAAAAAGCAAGGAAAATATGTGTTTTTTAAGACATTCTTTTCTTGTACCTCTTTATTTATTTTTCGTGTATTTACTAGGATTTTATTAATCAATTGTGTATTTATTAAACCTTTAGCGTTTGAATAGTAGTTTGACAAATTAAAAAATAAAAGTGTCTTAAAAATGCATGTTTTTCTTACTTTTTTACTAGATGAATTCATATATGTATAAGTAATTTGTAAAAGAATATTTTTACTTAAATCTGGTTATTACGAATGAGATTATGAAATTGTTTGTTTTTAATATTTTAACAAGCAATATAGGGATAATGTTGACCATTCCTACCAATCGACAACTCTTAACAATGCTGTTGTATTGTTTTTCTACATTAGTCTTGACAGGTAATTTCTCTTTATTTACTATTTTTTCAATAGTGAATGAGAAATCACAATAATTAATTTGTTTATTAAATTATTGAATTTTTAATGTTGTTTTATTTCAGAAGTAATTTTCTGGCTACTATTATTTTTTATAATAAAAACCTTTTCAATTAATGTTTTTTTTTTTCATAACATGTATGCAATAACATCTCAAGCACCTTGCAATTAAATCCTTCTAAATACATAATACATAATTCTATACAAATTCTGAATAACTTTGAATGTTCATTTATTTCAAGAAACAACTATGGCAATGATCTGACTTTTCTACATGTATGTTATTTCAGATAGAATCTTTTCAAAATTACTAATGTGTGGATTTTTCTATTGCCTTCAAATCACAAAAAAATATTTATTTGGGATTGTGGATTTCTTACACCATTGGTACAGTATTGAAAATGGCGTGGTGACTGCAACGGTTAAGGTGTTAACACAGCCACTCGTTACTATAAGGTAAAGGTCTGGGGTTGGAATCCAGTTGCCAACATAATTTAATTTTAATTATTAATTTTTTTTCAAAAACACCATCATCCGAAGGGTTGATGGTTGATATGACCTCTGCTGTTACAAACCCCATAAAAAAAAATCATAATTATAGTATTATGATGGTTTTGGAAGTTTCACAATAGTCAAAAGTAATTGAGTTTTACCTTTTTCTAAGTGGATCAGACCTTTTAACACTTTTAAGATTTGCAAATTCACTGTTTTGCCTCCCCAACACTTCCATCAAAATACTAAAAAGTGGCTCAATATTGCAGGAAATAGATTCAGAGGACCTTTTTAATCTCCAAAATATGAAAATGTCCTTGTCATTTAAACCCCTAGGTCAAACGTCACTGTTTCCTTAGCAGAATGTAAACGCATAATTTTTGCACCTGTACTAAAAAATTGCTCCTAAGAAAAATTAGTAACCAAAATTCTTCCGCATGTGGTTTTTAAGGTAAAAAGAAAGAGGAAAGGAAACAATCTACCTACTGTGTTGCTTCTATTTACTTATAAAAAAACAGCACTCCTCAAAAAGATAGAACTTGATTTTCTTAAAGTGGAAGTCAGACGTTTCGTTCCAAATCCAACCAATGCTTCACGTGTTATCGCTTTTGTCATACCAGCAAATTCTGCCAGTTAGGTTTGCAAATTTGTATGAGGTGCGGTGAATGTGATTATACAGTTAATCTGTGTCCAAATTCTCCGAAACGCGTTAACTGTGCTGACTCCCGCCCGTCATACGATCATAATAACTGCCCTACATTTTTATGTGAAAAAGAAATTGAATGCATATGTACAAAAAAAAGTGTCTTTCAGGGAAGCAGACGTAGCCCGAAAGCAAAATGCACCTTATCAACTTCAGAATAAAGTTACATACCCCCAAGCCTCAAGCCAAAAACACATCCACCAATAATCAACACGGTTCTTAAAATTCTTAGCTTCTTGATAAACTTTGAACAAAATTAATCATCTGGTAGAAGTTGTTCAAATTTTAGTGACAAAATTTGATTAAAAAATTGTTGCTGACCTGGAAGCACCCATCTCACGATCCAAAAGTTTGCTAATAACCGTTCCCAATTCATGTACATAATAAATCATAATAAATCTCCATAACAAAAGTAATATCAAATGAATAAAATAATAATAACAAAACACTACATTGGTCATTGCCAGCCCTTAATTTTTTTCTTGACTTTTTGTGTTTTAATCCTCATTATCCGCACTTTCACTCTTCTATAGTTTTTTTAATCTTAAATTTAATTCATCTTATCTATAAATTTTATATTTTTTAGGCCTTAATAATTTTTTCTCATTGGTTTCAATGTCGTGTGTTTGTACATACCTGTGATGTTATGACGTGAACCAGATAAGAAATAAATTTAAAAAGTAAAACTAAATCAATTGTACCAAACATGGCCACCAGGTATAAAGCCAAAGATAAAGATAAATCAGAAAATATAAGAAAAAACACCCTAGGATTTGTCATAAAAGATAAAAAATTAAAGCACACAAAGTCAGAGTAGGTGAGGGTAAGGTACGCGAACCTAGATAGAAAAATAGAAAATAATGTAGAACAAGATATGGCAGAATTAACAAATTAGTATAAGTTTTGTGATAATTGGTAATGGAGTGGACTATCCAGTCTCCAGGTGGGGTCAGCTAAGCCTCGCTGGGCCCTCTGCCTGGTCAGGTGGAGAGCCATGCCCCACAAGAATACAAGCCACTTGGTTCAATGTTCGATTGTACTTATTATTTTCCAGTGTGGAATAAACTTTAAAACTCGCTCTTGAACTATTCATTTTTGGGGAAATCCAAAAAGCGTTGAAAAGGCAATGAAGGCATCCTTCTAGAATTTTGTAATTTATTTTTTGGTTAAAAAACCTCTAAATCTTTCAAAAACTGCTAAATTGAAAATTTGTCTATCATTCATCAATAAGAACACCAATGGGGGCGTCGGTGGCTGCAACAGTTTAAGCATTGACGCTGAAGTCATCACTATAAGGTAAAGGTCCCGGTTCAAATGCAGGGCCACTGTTTTTGAACCTGACATGCTTACAATTTATTTTTTTTTTAACACCGACACCCCGAGGGGTTTTTTGATAAGACCTGTGCTATTGCGAACCTGTCAATGGCCCAAATGTCAAATATACCATCCGTAACAGCTGTGGATCCAACTGTCTTTAGTTCGCAACTGCGTTATTTTAACTTGTTCATAGAGGATGATGCAACACACATTGAGTTGTTTCACGGCGCAGATGACCTCTCAAATCTCTCACAAGTCAAACAAAACAGGCCCCATGCTAATGATGACAAAATGATCATTACAAGCCAAGGTAAAGGTGCCAGTCCATTTCTGTGTCAGAGTGAATCGCGTGAGAACTTTCGATAGCAACTCTCAGATGTTTGTCTATTTGATAGCCGAATTTTGCCGCCTTTACTCTCGAGTTTCTCACGAGCTACTCTTCAAATTTATCATGAATCGCAAGGTTCAAGACTGTGTCCACCGTCAATTCAGTCAATTATCAAGAGTGGTTAGAATGTCATTACAGAAAACCATAGCTGCATTAATTATTCTAGACATTTTACCAAAAGGAAGAAAATAATTTTCTTCTGAGTTTTTGTGTTCTCCTTTTCCACTATTTAACCTATCAAACTAATAAGGATATTAAAATACAAAATAATATGCAATACAAATACATTGTAATACAATTATGTTTGATTATTTACCTGGTTTCTCAGGTTAACTATTTTCCATTGCATCTCCTCACTCGAACATCCCAAATGGCCACCAATTTCTTTGCACTTTACTTTTTATATGGCTGTGTTTTATAGAACTGATGTTACATCCCATAAAGGTATATTCATTTCATGTAACTCAATTAGTTTTTCTATTTTGATTTTCTCCTAATTTCACAGACATGCTTGAAGATAATTTTCTGCAAGTATTCTCAAAAATACGACGGCCGCCATTTTTCTGTGACTCCAGAGTAAAATACTCTTAAGTGGACAGGCACTTTAACGTTTTAATTTCAAATCTTTGGATAGAGTACAAATTGTTCGTACGCTAACTACCGATGAAAACAAGGAATAAATAAATTGTGTAATCTTCTTACAGCCTTGTGAAAAATATTTTGTATGCAAAATTTCCAAAAGCAACAATTCAGAACAATTAACGCTTGTTTTACAAATGTATTTATTAAAACAATTGAAATAATAATAACATCACAAAAAAGGAATACTCTACTCCTTTAATGATAGATGATTAAGTTATTTGTGGTAACTTTTAAGTCTTTTATTTATGTTGAAAATTATCAATTCCATTATAACAGTTTTATATTGGACAAATTTCTTATAAATTGAAAACAACAAAGATAAACAAAATAATTCAACACAAACATCAGTTTGTTTTCAACATTTTTTTTCTACGAAAAATTTGTCTGTTGTAGTTTAAAGTAAAATATATTTTAATGCTGAATTATATAAAAGATTAAAGATTTCTTTGTCAAAAAACAATGAATTATAAATTTAATACCTATCCTTTTGTTATAGAAATATACTAAAAGGTGTTTTTTCTTTTTCAGATCATGAATTGTATTAGTTTTTTGTTTTTTTTAGTTTTTTTTATATATCAGAAACAATTCATTTAATTTTCTTTTAAAGAAACGTTGATGATGCAAAGGTAGTGATGTTTATTTTTTATCACCAGGGCCGCCTTTTTTGTTATCGGGTTGTCCTGGAGGTGTCGGAGTGGGGTTTCCATCATCGTTTATTTGAGTTTCAAATGCTTGACGAATTTCTTCTATTACAGAAGGGTGTTCGGACTGCATGTGCTGAGCTAGCTGTTGACCTCTGAAAAACAAAACAAAAAAACAATTAATTTAACTATTATCAAATTAAAATGAAACAATTACCAGATAACAAGAAACGTTTGTACATTTTTTCTTTTGTTATTGTTTTAATATGTTAATCAATATATTTATATTAACAAAGGATTTTTTATGGCCTTATGAAATGCATATTAGCCAAGGAACGTTTATGGTTGGGAAACGAACCTGGTCTGCGAGCCAAGAGTCTATCACTTGGCTACTGTGGTCGATAATTAGGAGGATTAGATATTTACATCACATAAGTTCTAAAACAGCGTCTGTGAGAAAAAGTGTCTTTGCGAAAAGGGCCTTGAACAGTTCACTGTAAATTAGAAAGTATTTCTTTTTTCATGGCTTCAAAACCCATGATTTGCATTTATTATATGATTTTTAGCTTGGTACTAGGGCCAAATTTGATTAGCTTTATTTGATGCAAAAATAAGTGAGAGCACACTGTCCAAAAGTGGTTCGAAAAGTTTTAAGAAGTACAATGCATCACTTTTTGATAAGTGAATATTTTGTATTCATAACGAGACAGGTTCAGGCAATGGTACAACCTCCTGGTGTTACTATACTTGATCCGTTTTTCATCGCATGTGACAATCCGGTTAACAAAGTCTATTTTGTGCTATGAAAGCAATGAAAAGCATTGGGCGCTAAACTTTTTATAAAATCGGTCAATTTATGGGAACCCCATTTGCTCATCTTCAACATCTTCCCAAGTCAATATAAGCTAGAACGAATGATTTCATCACTTTATGTTGTACACTCTGGCAAGCTCCTGACATGTTGGACTCAAATCAAGCTCTATAGGTTCCGCATTAATTAAAGACTACCAGAGTGTGGTTCATCTTCAATCCTCTCATTCCCACAAGCAACTTTATGAACCACTTTGCGATGGAAACTAGGATGCTCAGGAGTGTCCCCTGGCCAGTTGGCACTATTTCCTTGTTCGGAAACCTTATCTGGTTACATTTTCCACCACTTTTTAATAAACAATAATAATAAAATATTATAAATAATAGAAAATATGAATATCTAATATAAAAATACTATTCTCTACAGTATTTCTATAAGTAAAAACATTCGGTAGTAGGAACAAGTTGGGCGAAACGCATTATAGGAAAGCTTGGGTCAAACTGAGGCCAGGTAGAGCAAGTTAGAACATTTCCTCCCAAAGCCAACCCCCACGAATCATCAAAGAAAATAAAGGGGGTAGGATGCACGTAAGGGTCGCATCAGCCCATTAGATTTTAACATAGGACACTCCTGAGCGTCCTCTGTATTGAACGTGTTAATGGTATTAAAACAATAACAAAAAAAGTAATTAATTAAAAAAATTCATATTGTACACATATAACAAATTAAGAGTTTAAAAAAATGTATCTAACAGTTATATGAGCTTACACTTGCAAAATATCATCAACTCCAATCCTGCTTCTCCCTCCTTCAGAATTCAATGTCCCATTCATAATTGCACTCATCCTGAAACAAGTAACTATTTAATATAATGTGTATACATACACACACACACGCGCGCGCACACACACACACACATTATATACATATATTTAATTATTATGTTATATTATGTGTGTGTATACATACATACATACATATANAACACCTTCTCTTTTGTAAATCCTTTCAAACTTACTTCTACACTCAATATTACAAAATTTACCATTATTTTATTTTATATATTTAAACTCATTATATGAAAGATTTATATTAAAAAATTTACTTACATGTTTTGCATATTTGGATCAGCAAGCATTTGATTGGCAAATCTCATCAATTGTGGATTCCCGAACAATGATGAGAGGTCAACCTGACCTGGGCCCAAGTTATTCATTCCGGGTTGCTCGCTTGGAGGATTTCCTGAATTTGGCGGAGGTCTAGAATTTCCTTCTGGCGTGACGTTAGAACGGCCATTGTCTTGATTATTTTGATTACCGACTATATCATTGGGTGATGTTCTGCCGTAACGGAATTCATTTACCTTCATCAATGCGAGCTCGTAATTTTTACGATAACTATCGTTCGAAGGCTCTAATTGCAAAGCTTTTTTATAATTGTCTAGGGCATTAAGATAATCTTCCAAACCACAATATGCCAATCTACCAAAAATATTAATAATTAATTATGGCATGTTTGTAGAAAAAAAAAGAAAAAATATATAAACATACCCAAGCCTTCCGTACGCTTTACTATAGCTAGGATCAATTTCAATTGCTATTTTGCAATCGACAATTGCCTGAGTGTAGTTGTGCAGCTTACTATGTGCAGCAGCTCTGTTACAATAGTACACTGCATTTTTTGGATCATGACTTATAGCCCTAGAAGAAAAAGTCACAAATACTTCTGGAAGATACAGAGTGGCAAATAATGTAAAATATTAATGTAATATTTATTTGCTTTTTGCGTCGTCTGTTGAGTTATAACAAATGTAGGTTTGAAACAACACGTAAAATTAAAATTAAATATAGTAATACATTTTTTAAAAACTGATAACTCATAAGCTGTCGTACTTTTTCTCATCATGAAAAAGTGTTCGAATTTGTGTAAAAAAATTCCAAAAGTAAAAAATTTCTTGCAGAGAAAACACTTGTCCTTTGTGATTTATTAACCTTCGTTGTTTTCATGGGATAACATGATAGTTGCACAGCATCACATTTCTTTTGATGCAGATTTCGCTATAGTACAGGCGGTCAAGCTTTCAACTTTATTTGAAGTCATCCTCAGGGCTCTTCTGTGTGATTAATCAATCCTTTTACTACTCATAAAAATATTAGCTGTATGGTATAACATAAAAGCCAATAAAACAACAACAATTTTCTTCCTTTAAAAGAAACAATCAAGAACAAGCCTAAAATTATTTTTTTATTACACTTAGAAGCTGTACATCATTACGTTTATACATTTCTAAATTTTTGAATAACAGAACATACTTGTGTACACTGTATGAACTTATGGAATCTGCAGAATTGCAACCACTAAACGTAAGACAAAATAATGACCTGATATTTTCATACAAACTCTTAAATAATATGATCGACTGTCCACAATTAATCAATTTGTTAAATTTTCATGTTCCACAGTATAATACTAAAAAAATATTGTTTCCAAAATCTAATTATAATACTAATTATTTAAAATGTAGACCGATTTATCAACTAATGGACTTCCTTTACATTGTGACACTCTTTACCTTTCCTTACGTCAATTTAAGCATTTTTCAAATGATTATTTGGAGATCGTGAGACGCAGTCTGGTATGACGTAGGTTATTTTCTTTATCGTGCCAACGTTTCGATCTTTATTGAGATCATCTTCAGGGCCTGGGATTCATAAACATTGTTTAAGTAGGATGTGAAAAAAGTGAATTTATACAATGCTAGAAATTTTAGACTCAATCAAAGTATTTGTACTCACTCAAAGTGTTAGTATCTGTGTCATTATTGGGAGTTGTGGAGAGCGCGAAGTGAGATATCGATGTTTTACGTTTTTATATACGTTGGATTTTGAAGGGGCGGGGAAGGAAGTTGGGGCAGAAAACATTTTTATATGAGGAGTCGACTTCTTTGAGGTTAAAGAAGAATCAATAAAGATCGAAACGTTGGCACGATAAAGAAAATGTTTTTCTAAAATCTACGTCACACCAGACCGCATCTCACAATCTCCAAATAATCATTAACTGACTGTCACTAAACACCACTTTTTTTAATTTTAATATTGATCATGGCAATTGCTTTGATTTGTTTACATTTTTCTATTGTTTTCATTACATTTTTATCATTCCTTCTCATTTCTTTTATATTTGTTTATATATTTCTGTTGTTTAATTCAATTTTTACCATTCCTTCTCATTTCTTTTATATTTTTATACACATGTGTATTACGACACATTACTTTCAATATTATATCTTTGTTATGTTCAATATGTCCATTTGTTTAAATTATTGTTAAAAGTATTATTATTTGTTTCAATTATTCATTATTACTTATGTATAGTTTAAACTCTTATAGAACTTGTAACTGGGTATATTTACCCGTATAAATAAATAAAAATCTGCAGACTCAGTGCAGAGTTGAGCCTACCACTTCTCGCAACCCACTGGTAATTCCAGCTTTTGTTATTTACAGTAAATAGCCAGCCAGCAGACTTGATAATCACCCACCCTGGGTGTTGGCAATCGGGGGTCAGGCTTCGGTCTTATCCGTCCAGCCACCGAGGTTAGGATCCTGGGGCTAACAACAATTCAGCACTCAACACAATCGGTTCCTAAATCCAAACTCATTCACACTCTCAATCACTTTTAACTACATCTTTTCTTATTTTCTTACCATTTACTCAGGGTAATACTTCAAATTCCTCAATCACCCTCTACACGTATAATATAATTAACCTAATTGAGGGTAAATGGGGTACTCCATATTCTTCCGTCATCTACCCTCCTCTCACACTACACATTCAGACCAATAATAAATACTTCACTCAACACATTTAAGGGACACAAAACTATTATTACTATATATAATTAAAAAAACCAGTTACCTCCAAAAATCAGAAGAAGGAACCTACAACTTAATTATATTGTTGTAGTAATTGTATTATTATCACGTGTTATGCCTATGCACTCAATACATTGAGCCGAGGAATTGCACCCATCGATTAAGCGGAACACAATATGACCTTATCACTGGAGGAAAAAAAAGCGGAAGGGAGAGGGAGAGGGAGAGAGAGAGTGAGAGGGGAGGGGGAGGGAGAGGGAGAGAGAGAGAGAGAGAGAGAGAGAGAGAGAGAGAGAGAGAAGAGAGAGGAGAGGATAGAGAGGAGAAAGAGAGAGAGAGAGAGAAAGAGAAAAGAGGTGGTAGTTAAACTAAAACACCTGTTTAATGCTGCAATCAGACTAATTATGTTCCCAGCATCTGGAAATTTGCAGAAGTCATTATGATTTAAAAAAAAAAAGCTTTTCGAAAAGTAATTACTGAAAAGAATAAAACCCATTGTAGAAAAAAAGAAAATTTTCCTGACCACCAATTTGGATTTCGAACAAGATATTCAACAATAGACCAAATTCACCGAGTAACGTACATAATAGAAAAATCTCTTGAAAAAAAAAAAATTTTGGTCTGCTATCTTCCTTAATGTCTCACAACCTTTTGACAAGGTCCGGCTTGAAGAATTCATCAATAAACTAAAAGCGATGCTACCAAAGCAGTATGTAGAATTAATTATCAGTTCACACCTAACTTTAGATAAATATTCAGAATTAAATCGGGTGGGGATTAGTTTCTTGTATAAATCAGATCCTCTGAGGGCCACCTATCGGACAGTGCTCTGATATGTAAGAGCTTCTTTGCCGATCCAGCCCACCGACGGGGCCACATTCTTTTAATCATGTTTTTTTCTTGTTATTGCAATTTTAGCGGCAGAGGGCCAGCACATGGTGGTTAAGTTTTTGAATAAATGATTTAGGCTCCAACTTACTATTTGCATTATTAGGATTTGATAATATTCACCATCTTGAATATCATTTCTCACCCTCTTCCCAAATTTTACTTATTTTCCACATATTAAAAGACAATGAATTTAATTTATGTACTTATTATTCTTGAAGAACAAAACCATCAATCAACAAACTGGCATTGTAGTGTACAAAACTGAAAATCATTATGACAAAATTAAAGTGAACGTACCATGTAAATAATTGTGTAAAAAAATGGCAACATAGAAAAGCTTTCTGGTCGTAATTTCATAGTTAACAGTTAATATTTAGTTTTTAGATCAGTGTACATTTAAAAATCAAGTACCTATACTGTGCTTGACTTTCTGCAATGCACAATAAAAAAAAACAATACACCAATTGTGACAAAAAATATACATACTTTGTATATAGTGCAATCGCCTCAGAAAACAAATTGGAATTCATTGCACTATTTCCTTCTGTTTTGAGTTTTTCAGCCTCCTTTTTATCTTGTTCTGAAGATTCAGGTTTGTTTAGAATCTAAAAATTCAAATTAAGTTGAAATGAAATTGTAAATTGTTTAACCATGAAACAAGTATTCTTAACGAAACTAGAATTATAATATTAATTTAAAAAGTCTGTATTTCCATTTAAACTATTTCAAACCAATAAAATGTGTATTTGTATTACGTCGTACATTTAGAACCTTACAAAACTGCAGTACAATATTACAAGGCTATATAATTTAATTGCATTAAACTATTCTTGAAAAAAACTTAAAGTTTGTTATTATCAAATTGGGAAAGTTATGTGAAGATGAGACACATTTTTAAATAACTTTCATCAATCAGCTCTATGTACATTCATGTAGTACATTTATGAGTGGATTATCATAATTTAATAAGCATGTCATGTATCTTTAATAAATCCTGATCTGTCTATCTTATATTTTAACGTTCACATAGTAGTTCCTAATGGTACACTGACAGCTCAAAACCAGATAGTGGCAGAGGAGCTGGAGTCCTCGGGATGGAAATGAAGGCCGAACTGACTTTAAACTTGGGTAAATACGCTACAGTTTTCCTGAAATCATAGCAATTGAACAGTGCGTTAGGTAAATAAAAAGGCTAAGAACACATTCCCCAGGAAGATAACCATTTTTTCTGAGTCAGGCGGCACTTGAAGCCTAAACTAGCAACTAGCCAGTGATTTACAAAATTATATGAACACAATAGATCTACTCAGGTCAAAGTGCTGAAGGCCTTTTCACCACCTCTTTTAACCTAACCCTATCCCTAACAGTTCCTATAATAGTTTAATTTGTTGTTTTCACTAGAACCTACAATAGGGAGATTATGGTCTGATGAGAAAATGCATGATAATCCAACTGTAACAATCTGCAATCGACTGGGTTCATAGTATAAAAAATGTTAAATTGTGTGATTTCCTCATGTGATTGCATCCATCATGACATTTGCGGACTGATAGACCTTAGCTTGGTCGAAATGTGTATAACAGATCTAAACTGTGAAAATAGAAAGACCAAAATGATAGGAAATGACCAAGCTACAGTTTAACTAGTCTGTGAGGGGTTAGAGTTCGGATAGGATCAGGTTCTTGGATGGGTTAGGTTCGGTGTTCTGGTTTGGGTGTGGGGTTAGGGTTAGAGTGCAGGTTGGGGTTAGGATTTGAGGAGTAAGGGATTCAAACTCAGGACCTTTACCTTGCAGTGACCTCAAGTCCTACCACCACATCCATGAAGGCCTCAGCCATGTACAGCCCAGGCAATGTCTTTCTGATGGCTAACAATGGGAGGGGCGAATGCGACTCCCGGTGCACTAACCGGGAAACTCTGGGTTAAGGGAGAAAGCCCCCAACAGAAAAACACCTCCTAGCTAATGTGTAAGGCAATGTGGTAACAGCTGAATGGAAGCAGGGGACAAATTGCAGTCTTTAACATTCCCCTGGAGGCAACAGGTGCCACCTCCTTGTATATTAGTCACCCTATCCATACATGTGGGGTCATGTGCAGGCAGACTTTTAGGTCCCTAGCTTCTTGTGGGAACCAAATGTGCACCAACAGAAAAAATAGAAGCACAACGAACTTCTAGTACGACTAGTAGTGCCCCCTGTCAAAGCACAAATACCCTAGGTGACAGCAGGAGTGCCCCACTAACCAGATCCACAAAAGCGAGCTAACTCTCTGAAAGAGGTGTACTGAGCAGAAGAGGTGTCTTATGCCCGACTGTTCAGAAATTCAAGGAGAAAGGTCAAGAAAAGCCTTATTCAAAAAATGAGTTAAGTACATTGAGGCCAAATGGTCAGTGATGTGGGAAAACTTCCTTAAGGCAGCTGCTAAACCAACAAATCTACCTACTAAAAGGCCACGATCCGAAGGCAGCACACCTGGAAAGAGAGAACCGAAGAATCCAACATGGAGGGAGCAAACCCCCAACAGGCCCTTCAAAGAGGAAGGAGGCAATTAACAACAAACTAGAGAAAATCAGGAGGGTGGTTAATGGGTTTCTCGCCTTTAAATCCTTGGGTGTGGATAGATATACCCTATTCTACTACAGGTATCTGGTGAGAATCTTTAGGGCTTCTTTAGCCTGGAGATACATACCCACTGCAAGGAGGATGGTGAAGGTGGTCTATTTGCCAAAAGTGGATAGGGCCACAGATCAAACACCTAATTCATACAGACCTATCAGTCACTCATTGTTAATTCAGAAAACACTAGAGAAACTGATGGATAACCATATTAGGGGTTCAGCACTTAAAACTAACCCACTCAGTGCTAGGCAATATGCATATCAGACAGGGAAATTAGCTTATAGCAAATTAACTAGGGGACTAAGCCCTTAAAAGTAGACTTAAACAGGCTACTATCTAATGCATTAAATGACAAGGAAATAGCGTTGGCGTTGTTCATGGATGTGGAAGGGGCATTTAACAATGCCATGGCCAAATCCCTGACCTATGTGCTAAGTAAAAAAAAAGAAATCCATATGACAATGGGTGGAAAAAAGTCTAAGGAAGAGATTATTTTTATCTACGCTGGGTGACATTATAAGGCTATAGACTATAAGACTGTAGGCTCCAATAGCCTACTCACATAACAAGGAATAACTAAACCTTCCAAGGGGAGCGCTTCAGCAAGGTAGAACTTTGGGGGTGCCTACTGATGCCATGACCCCTAAATTCAGTTTTGACAAAAAATTTCTAATCAAAATAGTCTGTAGAGCAGACTGGGAGAAGAGATCCCAGTTAATGCCGACCTTATCTGGTTTACAGATGGCTCCAAAATTGAATATAGGTCAGGAGCCAGCATCTACAACAATATGCCACCGTTTTTCAAGTGGAAACTGTGGCTATTGAACACTGGTGCTAGGGAGATGAAAAGGCTGGGGATTGTCAATAGAAGAATAGCCATCTACTCGGAGGACAGCCAGGTGGCACTGAAGGCAATTGCCACTTTGACAGTAAAGTCCAGCCGTTTGGGACTGCATTAGAGCCCTGTCAGACATTGAGAATAAAAAAAGTATGTAGACTCGCCGTGGCAGAAACAATCATGTGCAGATATTGCCAAGAAGAAGAGGAAACAGCGGAACACGTCCTGGCTGAGATTCCTAATCCTAGGAGAGGAAAGCCAGGGCCTGAAGGATACACACATGCACCCTTGAAAAAGCTTTGTGTAAAGTCTCAAGTTAACAAGGAGCTCTAGGCAAAAAAATACTGGTCACGGTGCACAGGTTGTTATCCTATATAATCTACCTATCAATCTGTCAATGCCTAAACTATTGCAGCTACCTACGCCCTCTATATTTTCTTTTCTTCTAGTTTTTCCTTAACATTCTTGTAGCAGTATGATTGCACAATGCGCTGCCTAAAATCGAAGTACATAAGGGAGTTATTTCTTGTAAATCTTTAATAAAGAAGCTATATTTTATTTATTTTTTTAATGACTATGTTGTAGAAATACTTTTTTTTAATAGTTCAACAGAATTATAAATATTAAACTGTTATGATAATAAATTAAATGTTTAATATTGCATTTTTTGTTCTCGAGTTCCTGCGATGCACAGTGCAACCTGTAGGTGACAAGTCGGCAAGTTTTTTTATACAGTATTGTTGAAAATACTATCCAGTTAATATATTATTAGAGTACCAAAGAAATAGAAAAACTAATAAAACACTATTCTGACTCGAGGCGTTGGAAGGTTAATTGTTAAATTTATTAAAATATCTGTATTATTAAACTTAATTGTTTTAATAATAAACCTTTTAATCTTATTATGGTACATTTTTAGTTTATTAATCAATTATATTAAATGTTAATTATATTACAATATTAATTAATCCTATTAACCAGAGTAATTACACTAATGGACAAATTAACGCACCACTCGATTTATTTAGTTTAAAATTAAATCCATTATCTTTCAACATTAGGTACAGGTAATTAGGAGCTATTGTAGCCAAAATAAACAGTAAATAATGGTTTGTTTATCTGATTTATTTTCTTTTGTACTGATTAATCCCAATTGCACAAAAAGTAGCATTATACCATTCCATCCTGCTATGCCTAATGATATCTTTCAGTTAATCTTTTTCCTTTGTTGATTTCATTTCAAATTATTTTTATTCTTATACCTTTTTCAATGGATCTAGTCAGACATTTGAGACAGTATGAAGTGTCAGGGTCAAAATATTATTAGAGAAAGGATACAACAGTGCGAAAACGCCAGGAGACTGAGTGTATCACTCACAGTAGGAAGGGTTCTTCGGCACTTCTGAGAAACAGGGCTTCAGACTAGATGGCCAGGTCAGGGTTGACCTATGTCTACGGACCAGAGAGACAATAGATTCATCCGTCATCAGCTCTACGAAACCACAGCATTATGGGAAATGAGGTAAGAAATTTCATAAGGAAAGTCCAAAATGTTTCCATTTCCTCCAGGACTGTAAGAAAGCTCAATGAAAATAACCTCAGGGCCTGGCACCTGGCTCGTGGACCTCTTCTTACCACAGCTCAAATGATCAGGCTTCGGTTTGCATGGGTACATTGACATGAATTGGATATTGGAAAAATGGGGACAAGTTCTCTTTACTGATGAGGTGTGCAGGCCTCAAATCTTCAGATGAGTGTAATTTCATATGGAGATGCAAAGGAGAAAGGTACGCCCCTGTATGGTTCCTCAGGTAGCATTCACAGGGGATAATTATGTTCTGAGGTGGCCTTTACTTAGACCAGGGGTCGGCAACCCGTGGCCTGCGGGCCGGATGCGGCCCTTTGCAACTTTTTGTGCAGCCCGCCAAAGCCCAATATAATTTTAGGAAAAATCAACAAACTTAGAGCGTGAGCGTGCCGAAATGTGACCGGTGACAAAAATGCGCGCTAACAGAAGCATAGTGGGAAACCTATTTTACTGTGCAAGTTTAATCCCCACTCCCCATAATAATATTTATACTCGTATATGATATAAAAGCACTATTTAAGTTATATTTGAATGTGCGGCCCACATAAAAAATTTTATTTTGAAAATGGCCCGCCGTCCGAAAAAGGTTGCCGAACTTAGACGACCACACCACATAAGGCGGCCAATCCCAGGTCATAACACCCTAGAAGAGTTGGAAATGGCTGTTCTTGATGAATGGAAAAGAATTCCTCAGGATTATATCAGAGGTCTTTTCCAAGGAATGCAAGGGCGTTTAATGGAGTAATTTGTGCCAGAGGTGGAAATATTCGGTACAAAAGGGAACAAAAAAAAATTTTTTTTTGGTCTTTACTCAATAATTTTTATTTAGAATTAGGTAATAAACACTTTCTTTCTAAATGTCTTAGTTTTACAACCATACCTATTTTTGATAGGCAAAATATGAATAAACCTAAATATATTAAAATTTAAGTGTGGTGCGTTAATTTTGTCCATCAGTGTATTTAATTGATTTATTATTTCCTATGCAAGGTGTAGTTGAGTTGAAAAATTAGTGTCTCGAGTGGGATTCAAACCCACAACTACCGGATCAGTACCCCGATGCTCTATCACTTGAGCTATTATGACTTCTGACAATAGCTCAGGTAAAGAGAGCACAGGTGTACTGATCCGAATGCCGTGCATTTGAGTCCTACTTGTGACACTAATTAATTTTAGTTTATGATTACGATGTATATAAAATGCTCAAAAACAAATAGGGATATTTCCAATTTTGTAGTATTTACTTTCCCTAGCATTTTTATTATAAATTGCACTAAAATTTAATGAAGGGATTTTGAAAAATAAAAGGTTTTAATTCCATAATTTTGTTTATTGGACAGAATAATATTTTTAAACAATTAATACTGTGTATAATGTCCTCTGTTAGCTAAAACCTCTGTGCACCTGCTAGGCATACTATTGATAAGGTTGTCATTAATTTCATAAGGAATTTCAGTCCATAGATGCTGCAACGCTGCACTCAGTTGTTGCAGGTCAACTGGCTGCGGATGGTGATCGAAACCCCTTCTCCACAACGCATCCCACATATGCTCAATGGGATTGAGGTCTGGAGACAATGGGGGAAGGGGCAGATCAGAAATTCCAAGGTTTTCTAAACGTGAGTGAACAACTCTACCTCTACGAGGTCTGGCATTGCCTTCCAGAAATGAAAAATCCTGGACATAACGGACTGTGGTGAGATTACCTTCAATAATACAGAGTCCAGTTTGTCCTCCAATGTAAAGCCCAGACCATCACACAGCCTCTTCCAATCTACAATGAATAGAGCATGAAATGGGTCATTGTACGCATCCCCTTTCCTCGGTAGGCTCTTCGGTGCCTGCTTTGACTAAACAGATAGAAACGCAACTCATCAGTACGCATAGCATTCCTGCTGGTGTTCTCTTCAAGGCGCTCACTGCACCATATTTTCCTATATTGTCTCAAAGGGACATACGATGTGAGGCCAACTTCCCACAATTTTGAATTGTTTGTGTTGATAAAGGTCAAATAATCTTCATAGTTCATTTGGAATCGGGCAGCACTATGGAAAAGGTTCCGTCTTGCAGCAATAACAATACTTCTGTCCTCCCTTAGCGCCGTAATGCACTAAGATCCACTACCAGGCCTCCTAATGGCACTTCCAACCTCTCGGAATCAAGCCAAAGACCATGCTCTGAGAAATGCCAACTGCCTCTGCGATATCCACTTGCTGGTGATCTCGATCACTCATTCTCACAATTGTATTGTGGACTTCTTGTTCAAGATGATGTCTTTTCATGGTTAAAGAGAATACAACTGGATTAAAATGGAGAAAAAACGAGAAAAGTTGTTTGTTTACAAAATATTTACTGTTCTTAAGTAAATCCATTATTAAAAATGAGGATTAACGTTTGTTTGTTTTTGGTTTGTATTTTCTATTTTGGTGTATACAACTAACAATAATATATCAGGTAATTTAATTAAAATTAAGAGAATAAGAATAAATTACAAATAGCCCTATTTATTTTTGAGCAGTTTATTTTGTAACTTTTTAATTGTAATTACTCTTTTTTTATGTGTTGAGCACGAGTCTAGATAAGGCACTAATATGTAGTTTTGTTATTCAAGGGGGCTTTAAGCCCAGAATAAAGTTTATTTTCGTCTTTTGCTTCTAGAACCCATCTAGTAATGATGATAATGGTAATGATTTATCTGAAAGGCCTAACATATTGTGATGTTTTTGAAATTATATTTTTCTTGTCATAGATTAACTCTGTACAACTGAAAAATTGTAGTCAACGTTTTTGAAAATGAACTTTCTCATCAACGGTTTGCCAAGATATACAATGTACAGACATACTTACTGATGTAGACAGATATGCTTTGAATATGTCCAGAAGTGGAGGTTCGGTTTCTGTTGAATTCCCTACTTCGTAGACCGTCTCGATGCACTGTATGGCCACTTCGAGCCCTTCTTTGTTTTCCTCGCTTAAATAGCCAAGTCTGAATTCACGACGAAGGAAGTGGAGAATCGAAGCGACGAGTCTTTTTTTGTCCGGGTCCAAATTCTGCTGTAAGATAATTTTGTTAAGTTTAAATTGTAAAATAAATAATGATGCCGAAAAACCGGCTGGAAAATAAATTAAATGTGTAAACGTTACCGGCATGTTTGTTGGCGAGATGAAAAAAAATATGACAGGGGTCCTGGATCGGGAGCGGATGGACCGTTTTTTTTTTGTATCTCGTATTTTATCTACGGAATCGTCAACAAAGTGTTTTACGAACCGCTGTAAAAGAGCAAATAGCCTAAAAATAAAAGATAGCGGAAAAGTGAGGTCTAGTTGATACCGTCACTCGACTCAATAGTCAGTCACACTTCATGCCAGTGTTGAGTGTATGCACCATTTTCAACGTTCTGCGATTCCGGCCGGTATCGACTTTATAACGGAGAAGTGTAAAAAAAAATCAACAACGACAAAAATAATTTTAAAACGATCATCTTTTACGTGGAATTTTTCTAATTATACTTAATATTATAATATACCAACTGGACTATTTCAATAGTGCCGACAGAATTGAATATTATTTGGGGGGGGCGCCGAAAAAATTATAATCCAAACAATTTACAAATATTATTTTACTTATTTATTTTAGAGGTACAAATATAACTTAAAGCCTCCTTATATGTATAATTATACTTAAATGTATCTGTGCGTGGCCCTTGGAGGATCTGACTGAGAGAAGAAGAGACATCTTCAATTCCTCAACCGATTAAGGATAAGCAAAGGTTGACAGACGAACACTTTTTGGTCAAAGCCATGTGGAGAATAATTGCCCCCAGAATGTAGAAGGTATATAAGTTATATATATTATGTATGGAATAGTGCACCGCCCTTAAATTAGGTTAATTATATATGTGTACAGAGCTTAAACATATCAAGTGAAATAATTGAAGGATGTCATTCCTTGGCTCCATATAGAGAGCAAGATAGAATGCCAACCCATATGTGAATTGTGCTTGAACTCGAGAATGTGTATGTGGGTATGGTGTTCTAATTCTTGAAAGAAACAGGGTTCTTTCATTGTAAATATTATGTGAGATTAAATGTATTTTTTAGCATGAATGTGTAGTGAGAGATGGTTGATAGCACAATACTGCGTACCTCATCAACCCTTATTTAGGTTAATGTAAAAGTCCTGTAAAGTTACGTGTAAAGGGAGATGGAGGAATATCGAATACTTAATTCCTTTGCTTAAACATATCAAGTGCACTGTCGATAGGTAGCCCATGGAGGACCTGGCTAATCGAAAAGGAATCCCCACCTGATTAACGATAGGCTATGTGAAGTTGACACACAGACACTTTAGGTCAAAAGCCCGTGTATGTGTCCAGCATGTAGAGAAAGGTTCAATGTGTCCCGCCTAACGCACTACCTTGGCTCTTTTTTGCTCTTGGATTGTCTCCAATGAGTAAATTCCACTGTTTCCTAATTTTCGTCCTGCCTTCTTTCCTATGATACTCTAAATCTATCTAAATCTAATTTATTTGTTAATAGCATAGTTCTTATCACAGTTTGATTTTTTGTATAATTATTACTAAGATTAGGAACATAGAAAATAGACTTAAATCTAGAATTAAAACTAGGAACTTTAAAATTTACACTAGATAATAAAAAAGGGCAATCTAAACAGTTATTTAACAATTTATACAAAAATAAAAGATCTAACATATTTCACCGTTGTTCTAGTGTCACTAGATTCATATATAACAAAAGATGGTGAATAACAATGAGAATCCCTAGGAATGTGAAATTTAAAGCTAACAAATCTAAATAAGCTATTTTGTACTGGCTCTAATTTTTTGACTTGAGCATATAAAGGAGACACAGAGTGGAACAATATTCTAGAATTGGTCTGACAAATGTACAGTACAGAGTTTTCACAACTGATGAATTATCAAAATCTTTACACAATCTAAGAATGAATCATAACATTTTTAAAGCTTTATTCCTTATAATGTATGGTGAAAAAGGATATTAGGAAGCGAGGTTTGCACTCCCCAGGCACTGCAGCCTTCTGGCTTATTGTACCTTCCTAGTTCCTTAGTTTAGTGCAATAAACGCAATCCTTCTCCTTAGAAGTAACAGGTCATTGACTGTCGCAGCTGCAATGATTCCCTAAGTTTTTTCCGTACACTAGGTTAAATCTCCATTGATGATATGAGTGGCTGTTCCTCCTCCTCATTACATAATCTGCAAATGGGATCATCGATGTATATACTCATGTTGTGTAGATGTTTTCTCAGATACCAGTGACCGGTTAGTAGTCCTACCACTCCTCTGAGTTTGGCCCTCTCCAATTGCAGCAGTGCTTTTGCCAGTCTTGGTGAGGGTTGTTAACCCTTATAATAGTAATAAGTTGATCAAATGTGAATGTAACATTTAAAGCAACACCGTCAACAAGTGAAGGGATGTCTGCTCTCTTGTTTCTATGTACTCCTACATGTCCAAGCAAAGAAAACTTTATTTTGCATGCCTTATTCATTAAATTTAATTTTTGCAATCTTTGAGCTAATGGTGTTTGATTTTATTGTTGGTCTTTATTTTATTTCGTATTAAATATGTCTGCCAATAAATAGTATACAGCAGAATGAACTGGAGCATCTCGACAAAACATTTGTTTTTGTCTGGTACTCAAAAACATAGGTCTGGAGGGTAATGAAAAGGCGGACAAGACGTCCAACCTCTGGACTTAACCACCACAGTCCGGCCCTCTGGTGCTAAAAATGCAATAAAAACATAATTAAAAGACAGTGGGCAGCAGCTGCCTGCTCTCACATATCAAGAGCATTGTCGGTGCTTGGAAGATCTGACTTGTAGATGAAGGGTTTACCTCACCTGATTAAGGATAGGCATGCAAGGTTGACACACAGCTACTTACTTTTGGACATGAGCTCGCATAAATGTCCGGCATGTAGAGAAAGGATGCTCGATGTGTACCACTGACTTAAAGGGTGGCATTTTTTGGCCCTGTATAGAGAGTGTGGAGAAATATCAATACTTATTTGAAGGGTGCAATTCCTTGGCATAAAAACGTATCAAGAGCATTGTCGATATGTGGGCCTGACTTGTAGAAGAGGAATCACCCTCACCTGATTAAGGCCATGAGAGGTTTAGCTCGTTTTAGGTCTAGCATGTGGAGAAAGGTTGCTCGATCAACGCTCAATAAGGTTGGTTATATAATATGTGTAGAGGTTGATGAACATGGAGTGAAATAATCGAAGGGTGCAATTTATTGGCTCCATATAGAGAGCACATAGAAATGTCACCCCAGTTTTGTTGTATTCAGTACAGATATATGTATTCTTTTGAGTCCTACAGTATGTAGAATGTATTTATTAGGGTGAATGTGCAGTGTGATAGAGCTGATGAAGAAATATTGAGAACCCCACTGACCCTCAATTAGATTGAGTGTTAGGGAAAGAAGGTATGTAATGTGTATGAGGTAAGTGAAGGGAAGATTGTGTAAACAGTGCTGGAAAAATATTGAGTGAAATAATTGAAGGGTGTATTCCTTGCCTCCATATAGAGAGTGTGTAGGAATGCCAACCGATATGACAATTCGAGCTTGAGCTTGAACTCGAGAATGAATATTTTGGTCCCCTGTTCCTATTTTTGTAGGTAACATGGATGTTTTGGATGGATCTATTTATTGCGTGAAATTAAATATATTTATTAACTTGAATGTTTAGTGTGAAGGGGTCAATGGCAGAATATTGAGTAACGCACATAAAGTTAAGGAATTTTTGATTGATCTGTCAAGATTCAATTTGAATGACATAAGTGATCTTCGTCGATGACATTTGTAGGTAGATAGATTATTCTAATTTTCTATGACGAGGTATGAGAAGAATTTCAATCCAACTAATTTCTGGGAGCGCTGTTTTCAAGTTTCATGCTATGGCTACAAGTTTTTGAGGTTTATATATATATTACAAGTTTTTCTCTACGAACTACAGAGAAAAGTTGAGGCAAAAGTTCATATTATTAAGCAATGTAATGAAGGTATAAAAAATAAATTAATAAAATAGGTTTAAAACACAATAAAATCTTAAATAAATTTTAATAAACAATATAAAAGTCTGTATTATAAGATCAAAACAGTTTATTTTACAATTACAACTAAATATTTTCATGATAAAATTTATATATTATCATTAATCCACTTCAATTTACCACTGAGCAAGTTCATTTTCCTTTTGCTTATTTTTTGCGATTTCTCCTTTTTATGCATGGCGTTAAACCAAACAGAGTATTCATCTAATTTCATAATATATTTAGCTTTATGTTCGTCAGTTTCTAATTTTGTTTGGAACGTTTTCAATTTTCTCTTTTCAACAAGTTCATGCTGCAGGCCAGCCAAAGGTAAATTCAGTGTTGAGTTCAATACAATTACATTATTCACTTTCATTAATTTCAACATTTTTACAATGTCAGAATTTGAACTGTGATCTGTGTAAAGAAAATGGTGTATTCCAAATTTCTCCAATGTTGAAATGGCTCTATTATGTATAACGTAGTGGGCTGATAAAATGATTGTTATGAAAGGTCCTGAATTATCCCTGGAAAAAAAATTAGTATTCATTAATTGTTGGTTAACGGCAGACAAAATTAAGAATAACAATAAGGTCTCAGATAACTTTCTACAAATATGGTACTCGATTTAATAAAGGTTTATAGTTAACAAATGCAAAATACAAAACATAAAAATGGAAATTATAGTAGCAATAAGACGAATTTAGAGGAAAAATAATAATAAAAGAATTCCCAGTTTTGTATGAACATAATCACAAAATATGAATGTTAAAGTTGAGAAGAAAAAAATGTTCATATGTTGCAAAAGGACCTAATAGTATTGTTGGACTGGTTGGAGGTTGTCTCTGTTTAAAGGGAGATGAGGTCCTGGTACATGAGGGATTTTAAAAGAGGAAGGGAGTCAGCTTTGTGCATTGGCAAAGAAAGAGAATTCCAGAGATTTATGGCTCGAGCTAGAAAGGGCCCCTCAAATGTGAAGGTTTTATGACAAGGGAGAAATAAGACACTGGGAAACAAATGGGTGTTAAGAGAGTGGACAACTGGATTGGATGTAGATGGAAAATATAGTGAGGTCAATGAGAATTTATGGATTGGTAAAGGAAGGAGCATAGGAAATACTTCCTATCGAAGGAAGGATAAAGGATATACTGATGTGAGACTGGACAACGGGGATACTGAAAATGAATCTGACACAATTCATCAAATCTTTACCAATAGCGATTTAAAAAAAAAAAATAAATAAATAAATAAAAATAAAAATACTAATAATGAAAAATACTTAATCAAACATACCGCCAGATAGATTTCTTAATCTGAAAATCCCCAGTAGGAATTGTACGAATATTTGTTGTAGTAATGTCTGTGGTAAAGTACTTCGCTAGGTTGAGCCTACTCAAAATTTCCATCTTCAAGGGACTCACATAAATTTTTTTCTGAAAAAGACACAATTTTACTACAATCTTTATTACCCATTTATTCCTTAATGTCACACACACATTATAATTACAATATTTTACGACTATTCATTTTTTCCTGTTACATTTGTACAAATCAATTGATATCAACAATCGTCATTTAAATTTAAAAATTAAATATTTTCAAAATGGCAAAATAAATAAATTTGTACTGTATGGATGTATTTATGTGTATGAATGTATTTATTTGTATGAATGTAGTGTTTGAAAGGGTAAATAGAATATAGACTTAGTTGGGGGCTGAAATGACCTAGATGTCATAAGCCTCAGTAAAAATAAAAAAATAATAAATAAATAAATAAATAAAATAAAATAAAATAATAATAATAATTTTCAAGGACTCACATTGAGTGCTTTAGCCAGCCTAGATAAAATTTCTTCATATCCTAGAATTGAAGTTGTTATGTTCACAATTTTATCATTATTACTCCTAAAATTTAAAAAAATAAAATAAAATAAAAAATACAAATATTTGTTCAAAAGGATCAGAAGAAGATCAAACTGCCTTGACCTTCCTTCCAATACTCTTAAAATTAATTATTAATTGTAGGTCGATCTAAACATAGTTAAATACAAATATTTAATATTAACAGTGAAGTAACACTCCAAATTTTAATTATAGATAAGGTTTGAAGAGTTCTACCCTGTCTGAATTTATGTATTAGCTTGTATGTAATGATGGGAAGAAGTAGAGATGATGAACAACCAGCTGCCCCCCCCCCACAAACTATAGTTTACATAATGTAACTTTTATATTAGCTTTATGGTTGGGTCCTCAGTGTTATTTCGGGTACTCCAGAGTTCCAAAAAACTAAGATTAGGTTATTGTTTGTACTAGGATGAATGTATTTACCCACTTAACATTGAGTTAGGTTGGGATGTATGAATGGGTTAATATTAGACAGCAAAGAATCCAACATGTCACATCGAGAAGGGATGAATTGTCTAGATGAAAACCACTCAACAGATACATGTAATAAGAAAAAATTGTATTAACAAATGTAAAAGTATAGCTTGAATATCTCAAATCACACAATCTCAATATTCCACTGAGGTCCCACCTTTATTCACGCTAATAAACACATTCAAAACATAACCTCTCAAACAATTGATACAGTTAAAAAAGAATTGGTGAGCCACCTGGATAGCTGATTTCACCCCCTATCACTCTATAAACATGTAATAACTACTTTAGTAGCTCTGGGGTACTCAATTTTCCACTGAAGTACCACAACATTCATGCTAATAAATACAAGTAACTGTACAAGCTAGTACATGTATTTACTTAGTAGTGTTGCACCTATTCTTGCTGATTTTGTTTGTAAGACATGTTCTACCATTTTGCCAACTAGTGATCCACATGAATCTATTGTTGAACCCCTATGATTAAGACCATGGAAGTATGCTTTTTCCTGCAAAACTAAGCACTTTCCTCTTTGCACACTTATCTTGGTGTGAGAATTAACTTAGCAAAAGTGGCTATTCAGTTACATGATAGTGCTGTACAGAAAATTACGGTTTTTATTGGCATGTTTCTGTCTATCTTCTTTAGATGGTAATTCAGAGGTAATGGCTAGTACAGTGGCCTTATAATTTTCCTCAAATCTTTCTTACTGAGAAAGAGAGAAAGGAGTTCCTTCGTCTTCCTTGTTGAGAGATTTATTTATCTCTTAGATTGCCTCATGCTTTTGTTCAGTGGGTTTTTCTTTCTCAGATTTTCCAGCTCCAAGTTTAGCACACTTTCTGGTGCATCTAGTGGTTCTGGTCCTGTATATGTCATTCCCACCACCCAAAAAAGTAAGTGTCCATGTGTCAACCATGTATGACCAATTCTGAGTTGGACCATACATTGAATTTTGCTATTTTTAGGGTGGAATGTATATTTTAGCAGGAGGTATATTCCATTCATGGCAATACTATTTTAAAAAGGTGCTTATAACCTCCACCCAAAAAAAGTACTGATCTGTAGTTTGGCCATTTTCTATCATTTTGGTCTACCTATCCTTGGTTTGGTCAGACGGCAAGAATAAACAGAAATGATTGCAAACAGCCACACAGGCTCATCACCTTACCCATGAGGAAATCTAAAAATAAAAGTAACAGCAAAAACAATTGACAGAACAAATAAAAACCCCTAAACATGCCCATTTTCTAAAAAATAAATTGTGATGTTTTGACAATATTCTTAATATTGATAAATACAAATTAAGAATTTAAAGAGCTTACCAGATCAAATTGATTAATGATTCCAGAATCTCATCCCTTGACGGGATGGTACAAGGACACAAGTAATATGTTCCATCTAAGTATAACTTATCTAGTGTCTGCAAAGAAAATAAATCAAATACTTTTGTGTGTAGTGACTAGTGACCGTTAATCGATAATTATTCAGAAATTGTGAGATGCGGTCTAGTGTAATGTAGGTTTCAGAAAAACATTTTCTTTATCGTGCCAACGTTTCACTCTCAATACGACACGTAAGAATGGCACAATTACACAGAAGACACACACAAACACTTTTAGCCCTGAAGATGATCTCAATAAAGATCGAAACGTTGGCACGATAAAGAAAATGTTTTTCTGAAACCTACATCACACCACACCGCATCTCACGATTTCTGAAAATTATCAAATACTTTTATTTTCAATAGTAAAGTTTTTATTGTAATTGTTAATAATTAATGTGCTATAAGGATGGGAAAAATTAAATTGTACCTTCCCTCCTGATGTGCCTTGTGAAAAGGACAAAAGCGGATTCTGAAGCAACATGAAAGGATTAAATCTGCAATTATTTGCATACAAATAGGTTCCAAATTCACCTGAAAAACAGGTATTAAACATGAGACATTCACATTATATGTTAACATTTCTTAAAATGTTAAAATTACCTTCAAGAAGTACGACTATGGATCCAGGTCGATAATTTGAATTTAAAAATGTAAAACTGAATTTTTTTTTCGTGCTTGTAACCCTGCATTCTTGTCCTTCGTTCGCAGTTATAAATGTTACGTCTTTCATCTAAAATTATACAATCCAATAAAAAATGATTTGCATTTCTGTTGTATAAATTCTTCTTGAGGTGTAAAAAGTTTAGTTCTCAAAAAAATTTCACTTTCTTGGACATTTTCCCAATGGTTTAGTGAACATTTGAAGAAGAAGAAGAAGAAAATAAATTTTATTCTGCGGCTCTGGGCCACTTTGAATAACAAAATTTGGCACAATTTGTGTCAAAATATCAAATCAAAAAATAATTAAATGAAATGTACTAAATTAAATAAAAAGGGAAAAATTAACCGTCCTTAGTGTTAATTAGTGGGGCAGGAGGCAGTCTTAAAGGTGGAAACGGTTGAAGCACAGGGAATGGAGTTCGGTAGGGAATTCCAGTGGTTGTAGGAATGGATAAGGAAAAAGCAACTAAAAGTGGTGGATTTGTGTGAGAGGTGGGTAGAGATCAGAAGGGCGGGAAGAGTGTTGGAGAGTGTGTAGAAGACTTAACTGCTAACATATTATAAATATAGGAAGGGGATTGGTAAGAAATTGATTGATAGAGGAAGGAGCCAAGATCTCTTTGGGGAGCTAAATGTGAACCGAATTTCTTTGTGTTACGAGCTTGCTGGTGAGTCCACCATAGACCAAACAGCCATAATTGAAATGGGGAAGCACAAGGGAGGAGACCAGGAGTTTTTGGGTACTGATTTGGAAGAATTGGCTTGCATGACAGAATTGCCAGAGAGTGGAGATTTGGGAAATGCGCGGTTTCCAGGATAGGGTTTGATCAAGGATGATCCCAAGGTTTTGAATGATAAACAAAGATCGGTGTGTTGTTAATGCAGAGTGGATGAATAGGAAGTAAGGATCGGAGAAGGGGATAGGATCCATACACTATAGCCTGGGACCCCATCCCTAAACTTATTGATATCGAAAGAGTCCATTTCCAGGAGCTGTTGGCTGTTACTTACCCCAAAATGTGTTTTTAGATACCACACATTGAAAGACGTAGTATAAACTTGTTTCACACATTCATGTAATATTTGATTTCTTGTTGTAGCATGTTTATTTATGAAGGTAAGAAAGTGAACATAGTTCTAAAACAAAATCCAAAAATTTGATAAATACTTTATAAACAACATAACATATATAAGATCAAGGTGTTAATATTTAATACTTTATTATACCTGAACGTTTGGAATTTCGGTACGACAATTAAAGGCAATGTAATCAGTGACTAAATGTACTGATTTGTTTCCATCAAATAATTCTATATTTGGTATGATTTTATTCCTTTCTGTTCTACTCCTTGAGGCAGAACCGTTGACTAAATCTAAACTATTATTTGAGCTGGGGATAGTCACTTCTCGTCGTTGCATTTCAAGGATTAAATTTGTCTCATTTTCAGTCGAATCACGAACACAATCAGTTCCAAGATCACACAGATTTGTTGTTACATTTGTAACGCTTTTATCTGAGTTTTCACCACTTAGTTGCAAATGGAAATCTGTGTATGAAAACGAAGAACTTTGTGTCATGTCACTATTTTCAACACAATTTTGTTTAGCACCGGCAATGTTCTCCATTATGCCTGTCGAATTTAATGTCTGGGTTCTAAATAGGTTATAATTAATAGTAGTTAATTCTTCAATGGAGTTAGAAATAATTTCTGAAGATCCGTTATCACTTAGAAGCAAATTTTCCAAATTGGGGCTGCTGTCATTTTCAACAGGCACATCCTTTCTTTCGTGATTTATTACTTGTTCAATCATCTCATCGATGACGTTATTTATTTCAGAACAGGAAGAATCATCAAGGTACTTAGGTACACTTCGAGTACTTTTACTCAGTTCTTCTAGCAGAAAATTTTCAACTGCGTTATTGGATATCTCCCCTGAGTTATGAACTATCTGAAAATACATCGGATTCCCTGAACTTCCAGAAGAGATTTCATTCTTTGATCCAAGACCTGTTTTTATTAAACCGCCTGTTTTACCGTGCAACGATTCTGAACCCTCTGGTAAAGGCATCATGTTCACATTGGTAGAACAATCACCGCCCATGGTAGAATTAAATGTTAGGTGAGTGCGTGCAGTAGAAAATTCAACATCTGCCACGACTTCCTCTAAAGTGTCATGGAAAATATCATCATCAGATAGTGCATCAATGTTACTTTTTGCATCATCAAATTCATCAGAGTCCACATCCATTTTGTGCTTTCACTTCCAACCAAGATTTGAACTACAAAAATACAAAGTTGATATATTATTTAACAATAATATAAAACATTTAGTGATGGTGTTATTAGTTAAAAAATTTATATAGTAACAAGATTCTTTTGAAGTATGAAGCATCAATGAAAAAAATACTCTATGTGATAAAACAGATCAAGATCAGATAATTGTTTTTTATTTATATTATTTTGAGTATAGCCAATGTCATGAAAGTCGTATACCAGGTGATTAAGGTGTAAGACTCATATATGCCATGCTATGCTACAGGAGTTATGGGCTCGTATCCCAGCTCAGCCTTAGGACTTTTATTCGAAAAGAGTTTAAAAAAAAATATTGTGAAATGGTTCTGCGCCTTTTTGGTTGATGTCAATTAATGAAATATTTTTAAAAAACTTAATTTGTAACAATTGACAAGTGAATTCAGCGTACAAACTTACCTTAATTTTAGGTTTAATTAACAGCACCAAACTGCACAACGGAATGGAAAAATAGATTTTTTATTTTATCTTATCAAAATGAGAACAATTATTAGAATTTATAACAATATATAATCAATTAATTGGATAAAACTAAAACCGAGGCCTAAAACCCGTTCGAACTTCCAGGCGCCGGTGAGCGGGTGAGCCAATGGTGGAAGGGATAGCCGACTTTCGAGTTTCGAACTTTCGACCCAGGTTTTTCTAATTGTTATACCCATCAGCTGAATGTTTGTGATATGCGAGGTGGGAAGACAGTAGGTTACGACTTGGCAATAATATTTCTTGTGTTTAGTTTTTGTTTTACAATTTTTTTAAAAGGATTATTTAATCAATTTTATTGTTTTTATAAGTTAAAAAAACTCGTTCACATCCCTAAATTAACGTGGGTTTTTGTTTCACAGTATAAACTATAGATAGACGTGAGTAATTTTGACATTGAATTTTCAATTTTTACTACTACTACTACTACTACTACTACTACTACTACTACTACTACTACTACTACTACTACTACTATTACTACTACTACTACTACTACTACTACTACTACTATTACTACTACTACTACTACTACTACTACTACTACTATTATTACTACTACTACTACTACTACTACTACTACTACTACTACTACTACTACTACTACTACTACTACTACTATATCCTTAATAGCTATTATCATATCTCTTAATTCAGAGTTTACACTGCCAGATATTTCATCGTTGGTCCAGCTAGATTGTTGACATTTTTTGTGGCTCACAATTGGGACAGAAAATAGTTATGTATTGTTTCAAGCTGTATCGGACCAGCCTCTGATGCGAGCTGGGAGTGTTTCAGCCCGAATTCTGGAGATAGTAGCTTACTCTCAACAATGCCGGTTGGCCAAGCCAGCCCCCCTGATGGACACAATTTTTAAGCATAAATATAGCCAGGTATATGGGCGACTTTAGACTCGGATGCAACCCCTAAGCAAAGCCTTTGCGAGGGTAGATTTGACGGGCCGGGAAACAGAATGATATGACCTGGGTCCTTCAGGCCATATTTGTCCACAATGTTGTTGCGGTATTGGCCAGGTTGTTTACACCATCGCACCTTTACTGAGCTGCATTCTTAGAACTTAGAGCAGAATTCCAGTGTTCTTCCGTTTCATGGACACTCCTGAACATGTACTCGAGGCCATTCGAGGCGATGAATGCTCTGCCTCCCCCCCCCTAAATATTCCTCAACAACAATCCTTTCCCTAAAACCAACTGTGTACGCAACCTTGAGTTCTATCTAGACTCACATTTATCCTGGACTGAACACACTCAAATAAAAAGAATGGAATTAAACAGATTTACATACAGACTTACAGACAACTACACCCCCTACCCTCCTTGCATCATTTGCCGATGACATAGCCGTCCTTTCTTCTAATCCCAATCCTTCATGTGCTTTGTAGGAGCTCCAACCCAACGAATAGTGGAATAGAGCAAATTTGGAAGTTAATAATAATAAAAACAATTTAACCTCTGAAGCAAAACCCTTCATGTAATATTCTATCCCTAAAGTTGTAGGGGCTCCTACAATCTTGGATTCTCATTCAGGACTCATTTTTAACCTGAAATTGAGACATCTAAATAAACAGATAAGAACTGAATAGACTACTCTATAAACCACTTGGACGCAAATCTAACAGGTCGACAAAAAATAAAGTGTTACAAAACACTAGTGAAACTGATTTGGCTATATAGACTAGTACTACGGTGCACAGCTAAACCTACCAATATCCAACGAATTCAGTCTTTTTAATCTCAGTCTAACACTCCCTACTGTCTCCAATATCTCCCTCCATGATGATTTCTTTGTAAATAGATTAATTTCCAACAAATTTTCTATGTTCCATGAAAAACTCTCCACTTGCCCAAACCCTTATCCAACATAACCCATCCCTATAGTCCGGTGATATTATTAAAGCGGAGATGGCCCCAGGACTGCCTCGCCATGGACCAGCCATTGTGTAAAGTTGGGAGAACAGCAATGGTTCCTAACTCTACTCAATACACAATGCATTGTAAATATCTCTGATAAAACTATAAAATTACAGAATGTATTATTATAATATACAGATAATAATACATGTTTTATTAAAAAATTCCTATGTCACTGGTGTATGATTTTTGTTTTCAACATTTTATTTTTCTTACTTATTTTAGTTAGTTGATTGTATCCAGTTTTATTTATTATATAAATTTTCATGTTTTATTTTCTTTTAGGGCCAAAATAAGACACCAGCTATGGTTGAATATATGAACTTTTGACTTTTGTATGTGCAGAATGGTGAAAAAAAATCATGTAAGTTGTCAACCATTTTTTTTTAAAAGTAATTTCTAACTTAAAATATGGTTTTCATAAAATATAATTTAAATTTTATAGCATGGATGTTGATAAAAAACTGCCGATGAACTCTGCATGGACTGATGTCGGAGATTTAACGCTTGATTTCGGTCCAGTTGAGACTGTCCATTGCTGGAAGCGAATGCCAGAATGTGACGAATTCGTTGGTGCAAGGTGAGATGATCTTACCTCAGATTTTCCCCTTAATTTACACCCTAGACATGTTATGGAAGATTTGTTGTTATTTTCAAATTAAACTTTTCAAGACATTGTAAATTGTATATTCAATAGAAAAAATAAATAAAATAAATAATGCAGTTTCTTTGCAACCAAAACAAGCCTGGGCACGTATATTGTCAGGAAGAAAAGATACAGTACAAGTCATAGTGCGAGACCTATGCAGGATGAGATTTTCTATTCTAGTGGAAGAGGAAAAGCCAAGGTCAGAAGAATACAGGAGCCTTTAACAAAGCTTTGGGACCGGGTAAAAAGTCTTAGGCTTCACGAAGAGCTAAACACTTTCAATTTGGGACCCTGAAAGGCCGTTAACCCCCTGAGGCAACACATTTTTTTTAAATATTAAATAACCTTAATTTTAATAATAAAACAGTATAAAAAAATTATCTTTTGTCTAAATTATTATTACTGGGTAACCTCATACGAGATCTGCCATCTCAGGATACGACCATATAAAACAACCTACACCTCTAGTTTGCATCTTTTGTAAAGCCATTTTGTTTTAATAGTTACTATTATTTTTTCACTTTTCTAATTTTCTTTTTACTGTACAGCAACTTCGACAATTAATTGTTTTGTCATTATTTAAGGGAGAAAGGTTGAAATTTCATTTAAAAATAAATAAATAAACATATATAATAAATGTATTTGAAATATTTACATTAAAAAATTATTAACTATTTACAAACTAATTAATACAAACTATTTACACAAAAATTATTTTTAACTAAAATTATTTACAAAAAATTAATCCATTTAGAAGTGTTCTTCGAAGCACTTGGGACACAGTCCAAATTTTCTGTCACCAGTGATTCTTACCTTGCCCCTCAGCTCTTTTCTGCAATTTACGTAAAAAATTTGTCCTTTTCGTCTCCCAGACGTCAAAGGTAGGGGAGTAGTAAAATGTCCAATAAGAGGATAAAGACAGGACGGTTAAGATATTCCGTCATATATAAACACCAGAGACTCTATCACTTCCTATCACTCCTCCGTCAATGAATAGCTTCTTAAGAAGTTATTCATGAGTAGCATCTGAATGAGGTGAAAAGCCAACTTTTTGTACCATTTCAGCGACAATATGGTTCAAATAACAATTTTTACCTTTTTCATCATTTATCAGCTTGTCCTAAAAAATAAAAAACCTAATTTTAAAAACTTGCCCTGAAAAATGTAAAAACAATTTTATATTTATCATTATAATGACCTAACCTATTTAAAAAATTAAAATCTTACAAATTAAATTAAGGGAACACCAAATTGTTAAACTTTTGTCGTTTTTTCATTACAAACTCTGAAAATCACAAAACGGTTTAGCATTTAACAGTCTATCCATCAATTCTGTAATTATATTTAATGTAAAAATAATCAAATGTTAATTTTAAAGGAGAGAAAAAAATACAGCCAATTTTATCAGGCATCAATGGTCCGTATTTTGTCAGTGGCTATACCAGAATGGTGTATTACGTTGCCTGGATCTCAAATGAAACCCACCCCTCTGGGGTAATATGGAGACTATAACAAACCGATATAGTCGCGGTGCTTAACATTGTAAAGAAGCCAACACCTTTTCACCTTAACCTTAATCTTAGTAAATATGTCCTGAAAACTTTCTCACATTGTATGAAATGTAATTGTTACTGTATAATATTGAATTACTTTTTATTTTTTCTGGTATTTTTATTTGATTTTTTTTGTTTATTTTTATTTTTTTAAATTAATTATTTGATTTGATTTTTTATAGACGAAGTAAACATACAGTGGTAGCTTATAAAGATGCAATATATGTTTTTGGAGGAGACAATGGGAAAAGTATGCTGAATGATTTATTAAGATTCGATGTTAAAGAAAAATCGTGGGGTAGATCATTTTCTACTGGTGCACCTCCAGCTCCACGATATCACCATTCTGCTGTAGTAAGTATTTTGTTAGAGAGAATTACTTTTGCACTTTTTGATGAATAATAATTTGTTTTACAATTATATTTTTGATTTGCGTTAGATGGATATTTGACAAAAATTAATCTGTTGCATCAGAATTAGATCTTTTTTTAATATGGGGTTTACCTGTATTATATAAATTTTATTATTTAAAAAACCAAAACTGCTAAGTACAAACTTCTGATTTTAACTTTTTTTTTTTAAATAATAAATTACACACGAAAAAATGTTTTGTAGGTTTATAAATCTTCGATGTTTGTGTTTGGAGGATATACTGGCGACATACATTCTAATTCAAATTTAACTAATAAGAATGATCTCTTTGAATATAAATTCCTTTCAGGACAATGGGTAGAATGGAAATTTTTGGGAAAGTATGTCTTCGTAATTATTTTGTTTGTAGGTTATCATTTTATTTATCTGTTTAATCAATATATTATTTTATACAGAATTCCTGTGGCGCGTTCGGCACATGGCGCAGCAGTTTATGATAACAAATTATGGATATTTTCTGGCTATGATGGCAATGCCCGTCTAAATGATATGTGGACAATATCTCTACTTCCGGTAATCAGTTCTTTCAATAATTTTCTAATTTTTGTTTTAACTACTGTTTTATTTTTTTATATTTTTTTATGTCCTTTACTCCAAATTTGATTATTGTTATTATAGTTACTTCTTTTACTAATGAACTACCGAAGGGGTAGCCTTGTATTCATGTGGGAAGTTGAAAAAATTGTTGCCCTATAAAATCAAAATTTCCACACGCATTTTGCGTTTCAAACCTTTCTGAACAAATTTGGTTCAGTGTCTGTCTGTCTGTTTGTGGTCAATTCCTTGCAACCAGCAAAACTCCAAAACCATGACACCAATTTTTATGAAATTTGCAGGGATTGCTTTCTAGATAATATGCATGCGCAAATGTTATGTCTTGTACACTGCTGTATCTCTGAAACCATTTTTTGGATTCTTGTGCAATTTTCATGGATTATGCAAGCGGCTTTCTAAATGATCCTCTATGAATTTTATTCCAAATGGATTAACATATCCTCAAGTGCATGCACAAAACGCGAAGAAGCTATACTGCCCACTCACTTTCCCTCATGTCATTCATGATTTGGTATCCACTTTTTTTTTTTCTCCAAATGGATACCAGGAACTGGAGGAGTTCCCTCCTGAGCACTGCAGCTGTACAGCTTATTGTACTTTATCCCTGGCTCCATTTTTGGGGGCTCGCAACACAAGTGTGAATTTGAGCCTCCGGTGTGCCGGTGTTCTTCCATCGAAGAAACTCATTTTTGAAGGGGTTGGGACCAAATTCAGGGTCGCTAAGATCTGATCCCACTCCTTCCGTTGATGAGTGCCGTGTCAGTTTCTTTCAATTGCGGCCACCGGTCCCCTTAGGCGTCAGAAAAAGTCCAGAGGTGACGGTGGGGATCGAACCCACAACCGCGGGATCTATTAGCCGAGAGTCTGACGCCGTAACCATGGCTACCGCGGCCCCCCGGTATCCACCTTAGTATTAAGCTGTGTATGGATCCCAGTCTTTTTAAAGTGTATTTGGTATAATTTACTGAAGTAATTACTTTAGTTACTGCATATTCAGAGTGGTATACAAGTACAGGCTGGTTTCCCACAAGGGAGCATTTTCAGTCCTACCTGTTATTCCGTTTATTCTGCTTACTATGATACTACTATTACTGCCTTCAATACCATGAAATTTTATCTTCTAACCAGAATCCTATCCAATAAGAATACCTCGAGCTTATCGAAAATGGTGCAAAAAGAGGAGGAGGACAAGCCTGAATGAGGAAAAATGCAAAGAGTGTACATTTATAATGCAAAATACAGATACCTCCACTGTACATCAACAAAGAGCTACCGACTTTCACTCAAATCAGATTCTTTGGACCTAGACCACAGACTGAGGTGGAATTCCTTCAAAGATTTAAGAGACAACAACTTGGACAAGTATGAAGACTTTTAGGACAGAAATCTGTTTTGACCATCAGGGCTCAACTATACAAGATATACTGTAACCACTTTGGACATATGGAGTGGAACTATCGAGTAATACCAAGCCATCTAATATCTAATGCATTCAATCCTCAGACAAATTGTCAAAGCTCCTACGTCACTAACCTCACTATTTACAATACTTCAACATTCCTTTTGACAATGAACTGATACGTCCCGTTTCCAAACGTTCCACAACAAGCTCATGATCCAGCCTACCCCCCCCCTTTTTACAAAGATAGTTCTTACTCACAGTAAGTTGTTTTTCAACGATCCGGATTTCGAGCTTTTGATGAATGAGCATCATCAGGTTGAAGGAGTTCGATAACCACGTCTCTCGACATGAATTGCAAAAGTGAACCCGCCGATACCCCCGCCAATGCGACGCGACGTTCCAATGAGAAGCTGGTTTTTAATGCCGCTCAATTTTGAACATACTATTTTATTCTAATAGAACTGTAATATTATATATTGTAATTTCTCCTCAGTTCTCTATATTTGGCTCTGTTTTGTATTTTTGGCAGGTAAAAATTAACAATAAACTTTTTCAGGGAGATAGCAGAACATGGGAAGAGGTGAAACAAGCTGGAGATTGCCCACCAACTTGTTGTAATTTTCCTGTCGCGGTGGCAAGAGAGTCGATGTTTGTGTTTAGTGGGCAGAGCGGTGCTAAAATAACTAACAGCTTATTTCAGTTTAACTTTGTTAAAAAATGGTAACACATTTTTTCATTCAATTATTTTATACAATAAAACAGTGAAATTTCTTTGTAATAGACACTCTTGGGGAATGAAATCTGCTATACAAAGGTATCTGCTTTTGGGCGAGAAAAAATGTTTAGTAGTACAATATTGGCCACAATGGTGATTACAAAATATCAACACCTTTGAAGCATCAAGGATTTTAGCTTTTTTTATATGATCAGAGGAATCCTTCAAATTCACCGAGCATATTTTTGCATAAGAGTAAAGTTAAACTTTGAAACATTTTCTCTCTGACTACACTCATTTTTTAACTGATAGTTTTATCCAAATTTTCTCTAAAAAATAAGGCCAAGTAAAAATGTTTTTGGGTTCAAGATTGGTGCAATGTTAAATTTTTCCCTCAATTTTTGTACAACCTCTGTCCTTCACTCCACTATCCTTCTTATAAGGAATCTTACGCACTTCTAAATTTGTCGTGCCAACCTGAAGATGCTTTAAATCCATTTGCCCAAGCACTTCTAACACTTTTTCTATGATAAGCGACCAGACAGTAGTATTCTATAAGCCTGAGCACAGCAAACCATTTAAAAACGTTTCTTTAGTTGAACCAGACGTTTTAGGAAAAATTCTGCAGTGTTGGTAATTTCTGTGTTTGTAAAATTTATCTAAAAGTTTCTTTTTATTATTTAGAATTTCACTTGCCTGGGCTTTTCCGATGGAAAATTTCGCAGCCAAGCCTTGCACACTTACTTTTTACTTTCACTCACTTTCATTATATTAATTTCAAACACACTGAAGAAATACTTAAACGAGTTTGCAAAATGGCATAATCAAAATTTAGGAATATGGGGAAAATATTGGAACACATGGAACATATAGAACAAAACACATAGGGGAACTGCATTTCTCAGAAAACATTAATTTTCTAGTCCTCTTTTCGGAGAGTTTTAGAGTCAGAGTATAATGGAAAAAGCTGTCCGATCCATTATTGGGAATGTCCATTTTGTACACAGAAGATTTTAACGTGAGTACACCGAGAAATCAGAATTTGTCTGTTCAAGGGAGGTACAAATGGTACTGTTCATAATTAAAAAATAGGAAACCTATAAAATTATATTTAATTAATAAACAATAATTAATTAATTTAAAAAGACAATGTATTGGATTGAACAACTTTTTTTTACAATAATAAATAGATGTATGGGTTGAATTTAAAATTTCTCTTTATTGAGTGTATGAAGTATTCATTTAGTTGTTTTTTTGTTTTTTTTGCACAGTTGGACAAGAATTTCAACAGAGCATATTCTCAGAGGCGCACCACCTCCACCAACGAGGAGGTACGGCCATACAATGGTTGCCTACGACAGGCATTTATACGTCTTTGGGGGTGCTGCAGATTCAACTTTACCAAATGATCTTCATTGTTATGACCTGGACACGCAGACATGGTCAGTAGTTGTTCTCGCTCAGGACTCAAATGTACCGTGTGGACGGTTGTTCCATGCGGCAGCGGTTGTCGGTGACGCCATGTACATTTTCGGAGGGACTATTGACAATAACGTTCGAAGCGGTGAAATGTATAGATTTCAGGTAAAAATAAAATTTAAAAAAGACACTTTAAAAAACATCGTTGGGCTTTTCCTATATACAGTCATATTTCTGACAGTTTTCAAGTTATCCAAAATGTACTTTGCACAATGATTTTGGAAGATTATTAGAGTCGAAACAGTTTTGTGATATGCAGTTCATTGTGGGTGTTGATGACATCGTCATGCCTGCTCACCTTGCTCTGGTTGCTGCTAGATCACAATATTTAAGGACAAGAATTCAACAGGCCAAAGAATTGAGAGAGAAGGTAAAAGATACAATTTTAAATTCTTCTTCTTTAAATTAATTACATGATGTTGAGTTGGGGGAAAAAATATCACTTATTTATTTATAAGGGATGTTTTATTGTATTTTCTGATATTTATAAATACATTTATTTTTTCTAGTCTTGCGAGAATGAACAAGTGAATGTTAAAGATCTTCCATTGTTGGAAGTAAAATTAAAGGATGCTGTGCCTGAAGCATTTGAAATGGTGTTGAATTATATTTATACTGACTGTATAGATCCAACAAAGAAAGGTTGTTAATAAAAAAACTTTTCGTTTTACAATTGGTGAAATGTATTACTCAAATATTTCATTTTTGTCTGCAGTTGTCGATCCAGTGTGCAATAGGATCGTATTACTTATGATGGATGTTTACAGATTGGCTGTACAGGTATTCAAGTTGTGGGAAGTATAATAATAAATATATAAATATAATTTTTTTCATCATTATTCACAGTTTCATATGAAAAGACTGGAGCAGCTGTGTGTACAATATTTAGAAGCAACTATCAATCACCGTAATGTGTTGGAAGCATTGCACAACGCCAATGTACTGAAATTATATTTCATCAAAGAATTTTGCCTTAAGTTTATAGTGAAAGAAACGAACTATAATGACATTATAATGAGCAAAGAATTTGAAAATTTAGACAGATCTTTAATCGTGGAAGTAATTAGAAGACAGAGAGTGCCTCAGACAAAGTCAATTTTAGAACCAACATTCCAAAGTTCAGGTAAAAAATAAATTAATATTTCTCAATCTTTTTTTTTAAATATTAGATTATAATTTAATATCCAAAGGTGTAATTCTTATGCATAAGTGTGTGTCCATATAGAGAAAACTAGCTTGATATGTCCTACTTGATTAAGGGATAAAGGCTTGGCTCTTTATAGAGACTATGTAGAAATGCCACCCTATATTAGAATTTTGCTCCATTTTGGCAAGTCCTCTGTTCAGATTTGTTAAGGAAACTGGGCTGTTTTATTGTATATAGTACTTCGTAGATGTATACTTTTGTATTTATTGAGAGTGAATGTTTAGTGTGAGAAAGTCGATGGAATATTAAATACCCATCAACCTTTGATTATACTGGTTATATACAATGAAACTTTCCTTAATGGACACCTCCCTTGAACGGACAAATTATGATTCCCCAGTTTCATCACCTTAACATCTTCTATAAAGCAGATACTCCCAATAATGGAGGTGGACATTTTTTCGACTATATTCTTTCTCTAAAACTCCCCCAAAAGTGGATGGCAGCCTTCTGAGAAATGCCATTTCCCCTGTATGTTTTGTTCGCCTTTCGTTATTTTTCCAATATTACTAAATTTTGATTATGCCACTTTGCAAACATGTTTAAGTAGTTCTTCAGTAAGTTTGACACTTAAAGGAAAAATTAATGTAATTAAAGTAAGTGAAAGTGAACAACTAACTGTGCGAGGCTTAGCTGCGAAATATTCCATTGGAAAGACCCAGACAAGTGAAATTCTAAATAATAAAAAATAATTTTTAGATAAATTTTACAGACACGGAAATGACCAATATCGCAGAAGTTTCACTGAAATGCCTTGTTCGGCCATAGAACAGGATTGATTTGAATGGTTTTGCCATGCTCGGTGTTGTAAAATACCACAGGTCTGCTGTCTGAGAAAAATCCTTAGAATTTGCAAAACATTCAGGACAAACGGATTTTAAAGCGTCTTCAGCTTGGCTTGATGAATCTAGAACATGGCATAAGATTTCATTTAGTGGAGCCAAGAACCAAGGTTGTACAAAACTGGTTGGAAAGCTTAATGTTGCTTTTCACTTGATTAAAGGCATTGATTGAGATAAAAAAGTCAGTGCCATGAGCAGGATTCGAACCCACGACCCCGGCTAGATACGCAGCTGCTCTACCACCTGAGCTATCGTGACTTTGATCTACTCGGACATTATCTTCCCATCTCAACCCAACCTTTCGAATTTTTATCTCAACCAATGCCTTATAGAAAGATTAATTAATTGAAAAACACTATTCGGTCAATCGGACCATGAACTCTAATGAACTTAATATTGCACCGATTTTGAACCCTAAACTTTTTAATTGTGATGTGAAGGCCTTATTGTTTAGAGCACTTCGGGATAAAACTTAAGAAAAGTATCAAAGTTTAACTTAGCTTTTTTTGTAAAAGTATGCTCAATGAATTTGATAAACCTCTGGCCATAGAATAGGTTGAAAATCCTAGGTGTTAAAAGGATTCCTTGGTGTTATACATGTAGTGCAGAGTTGATATTATTTAAATCAGTATTCAATAATTTCTGGTTGTTGATTCAGAAATATTCAGTTTCTCAGCAGGTTTGGCTGTCCGTTTCAATTAAATCTTAGTGTTACTGCTTATCAATAATAATGAGCAATGCATCACCGTTAAAAAAAATCCTTTTAGGTCTAATACAAGCTATAAGGTTTGTCTTGTTTTGCTCTTAAACTTTCATCTGTTGTGTCTGAACTCTGCTAATAGTTTTCCTAAAAGATTTTCATTTATATAATAAAGTACAGAATGTTCAGGGGTCTGGAGGTCTTCATTGCTCAAGAAAGGCTTTTCTAGGTGCCATAGCATTTCTTAGCTTTTGCAGAGAATTTGCTCCGATGTCTCCTGCCTGCTCTAGCCACAGTCAATATTGGTCATTTATAGTTTTTTAAGTAGTATTTTACTGGAGCACGTCCTGTAACCTGTTAAGATTTGTAGTTAATTCCTTTCTGTTGAGAAGGAATTCTTGTTTCTCCCATTGGAGGATTTTTTTAGTAGTCTTTTTGCTTGCCTCATGCATGCATACTTTCCCAGTGTTTTTGCGTTCCCTAGTAATCCAAGATTTTAGTTATTTTTTTAATGCGGTTATTCCTAATGCCATATCAAGGATTTGGGCTTGTGCCGAGGCTTCCTTGTTAGCTAGGATAAGTCAGAGAAGACATTTTCAATTGTATACATTTTATTGGTTACATGACATTATGCTGCTTAATGTAAAGATCTTTTTTCAGGATCGACATTGGAACAAGATCTAGAAGTCTTTTTGAAATCGACCGGGAGCGAATTCTGTGACATTATTTTATTGCTGGATGGAAATGAAATTCCCGCTCATAAATCCATCTTGGCTGCACGGTGCAGCTACTTTGAAGCCATGTTCCGTTCTTTTATGCCAGAAGACAACATTGTTCAGGTAATATAAATTTCGTTGAAGTTATAATATAGTTTATTTAGTAGTCCTGACAAACTCAAATATGCCAATGGGGATTTGAGTGCTTTAGACAATAAAAAAGTTTGCATTTAAAATCATTAAAAAGCTCAGCCATCCCAGAAACATCAGTATAGGCTATTAACTAATAAGCTCTAAAATTCTTCTTCAGCTTCCTTACAAGGTTAGTTCTGAGTACTACAGTTTATAACATTGTCCTTTGTACCACCCACTTTCATACTATTGCCAAAATCCCCATTTTCGACCAACTGATCATGTTTTCTTGTACCGTCTTATAGTTTCCTACCTATCCTCGGGAAAGTACTTGAGAAGATATTCCGTTTCTCACCTACAATCCTATCCATAATAATTCCTGACCACTAATATGGCTTTCGTAATTACTACTCCATAGCAATCATAATCCACCAAATTCATCATGTTGTTGATGTCATCACAACATCCATTTGAGTGTAAGCAGTTCTGCTCTGAAGTCTTTGAGTTTTGCTCCCCAAGCCCAGTGACGAGTTATTGATTGTTTCTTCCATGTTGTCTTCTATACCTTAACATCTTTGATCCATTCATATTTTTTGGTGTTGCTCAAGGGAGCGTCCAAGGTCCTTTATTTTTCAGCACATACACAATGGACTTCCCTCACCACTTCTCACTCTACCTTTGTTGACAGTGCAATCCTCTCTACAAACCTCGATCCTATTCCAGCAATTCAATCCCTCCAAGACTGCTTTACCCTCAATAGCAAAATACTCTCTCCTGTTTATCTGAATCAAATTCCACTTCTTGTAGTAGATTGCACCAAATACTTAGGAGTGTACATAGATAAAAGGTTGACATCGAAATATACATAACATAAATGGAAAAATTGAACTCAGGACAACTTAAAAAATTCTGCTAGACATATGTTCAAGACTTCATGGTTAAAACAATTATACCTTCAATAATCTAATCCCTCCAGTTAAAAATCCTCCACACGATCACCGATGCTGGGTGTCTTAAATTTACGTTTAACATGTTACTTATATGGTTTCCTTGTAACCTATTAGTTTACATCATAAATTGATGCAGACATAGATTAATAATTATACTAATATATTTAAAAAAGCTAATATTGGGAATAGATGTTGAGGAAAAAAATATGCATACGCAGTCAAGTTTACATTTTGATTCTGCTGGTTGTTTTTATATGGGGGAAGGGGAGCATGATAGAAAATTCCAGGGGCGATGGTGGGAATTGAACCCATGCGGGGTCTACGAGCTACGAGTCTAATACACCAACCACAAGTTCAATTGTATCAAAAATTAATTGTTCTAATTGAAATTAATAATACAGATTCAAATCGGGGAAATGGTTCCTTCACGACAATCATTTGATTCACTTCTTAGATATATATATTATGCAGATGTTAATATGCCACCAGAAGATTCTCTCTATTTGTTCAGCGCTCCTTATTTTTATGGTTTCACCAATAATAGACTACAGGTAAGGAGTTTTATTAATTTTGTATTCGTATGTATTTTTTAAAGAAAAATTTCTTTCTCAGGCATTTTGTAAGCAGAACCTTGAAATGAATGTTTCATTAGAAAATGTAATTCAGATATTAGAAGCTGCTGACAGAATGCAAGCGGCTGATATGAAAAGATACGCTTTGAGCCTTATCGTACACAATTTTCCCAAAGTAAGTAGACAAACGATTTTTTGAATGTTTATCTATGTTAATTTACATATTTGTTGGCTGGGGCTCTTACAGCCAGGAGAGAGTCACACATGTACAATTGAAAAGTTGTCAAGATTGGAACAGGTGACAAGGGAGATAAGTGGAGGAGGCTGACAATTCCCACCACACTGCCGTTTGACCCAGATCGTCTCACTTGTTTGGCAACTTGGGGGACACTTTTTTGTGAATATTTATAGACATGCTATTGGCAATATGCATGGGAGAAGAAATATTCAATATTGACAGTTTAAAAAAAAATTCTATGACATGCATTATAGTTGACTTTTCTTGATGAAAAACAATTTTGAAATAGAAGAAAATTCCTTTTTGCCACCGTAGAATATTTAAAATGTAATCAAAGTCAAATTTTCTCTTATATATGCCAAATTATCTATTTTGTTATTGATTCTATGGATCACTACTATCATTTTGGGGCACAAATTGTGAAATAGAATATAGAAACTCATAAAATATAGCTGCAAGACTTGAAAGTGAGTAGTATTTTGAAAAAATCTTGTCAGTCTTGCAGACCCTAGGCTTGGAACTAGGTGAACAGTGCAACTAAGTATATAGTTGTTGTAAAAATTTGGATATAAGGGAAAAGTCGGCTATATAAAAATATGTAATTCATAATCAAATTAGTTCTGCACATCGAAATTAGAGAAGAAAAGATTATAACTTGTGGAGGATATTCAGGTTGTTTTAAGATAAAAAAATCTGAGGGTTGTATCGTGAGATTTCCTTCTGTGCCCTGCAGGGTGGCGTACCTGCAATTTGATCATCATTGATCTTCTTGGTCTGCCGTGTTTCAGGATTTATTTCTTCAGTGATGCCCAATAGAGATGCAACACCTACCCAACGTTAGATCAAGACGATTGGTAACAATCAAATTACAACTCTAGGGTTCCCCTGTTGAGTTGAGTTAATTTGAAACCTAAAGAAGCCAGTCACAAAATTATAAAGTTTAAATTTTTTTACCAATGACGGGTATATTAAAAATAGAAATAATTTTACCTATATTAAATTAAGCGACAACATTTGAAAAATATCTCTTAGGGGGGTTGGTAGCCACAAAGGTTTAGGAATTGAAATGGCGCTCATCACTGTAAGGTCCTGAGTTCAAATCCAGTGACCCTCCATTCGAACCTGACATAATTATAGCTGGGCTTTTTTCAAAAACACCGGTTCATTTCAACTATGAGGTTGTCTCATAGTTGAAATCCTCTCTCAAAATTAAAATAAAACTTAAAAGAAACAGTATAACAATTTTTTTTTTTTTTTTTTTTGTTACAGGTTGCTCGACTACCAAAATTAAGGAGTTTAAATCACCATCTGTTGATAGATATTTTAGAAGCCTTGGCAAAAGACATGAATGATGAAAAACAGAGTAGTGAAATGAGCACCCTTCTAGTGCCTGAAACAAGTGGATTTTTTAGGAACTTCTGATTAGATGTGCCAAAACTTCACTGCACCGAATTGCTCAAAAAATTTATATATTGATACCAATGAAGGTTTATTAATAATTATATATATAAAAAGAAAAAGAAAAGAAAATATTTAAAAAAATTGTGTATAGTCATCTCTATAATGCAATATCTGAGTAAAGAGTAAAATTAATTAATAACAAATAAATTATAGTCAAATGTATTAACATTCTAATATACTGAGACAAAAAGTTTTAAAATTAACAATTTTAAAGTGTGAAATTTAGCTTGTAGCCATAGCATGGCCAAAGTATTGGAAATTTGTAGACAAATTTTAGTTTTTGTAGATTTAAAATTTAATTAAAGTGAAACTTCCCTGTAATGGACACTCTTGGAGAATGAAATCTTATCTGCTTTTGGGATAAGAGTGAAAAAATGTTTAGTATTAGCAAGATGGACCACAATGGGGATTACAAAATATCAACACCTTTGAAACATGAGGATTTTTAGCCTTTTCTATGACCAGAAGGTTTTTCAAATTCACTGAACACACTTTTGTATAAGAGCAAAGTTAAACTTTGAAACCTTTCTTCTCTAAAAATGATTGTTTTTAACTGTGCATAGTGTTATAGTTGATATTGGGTGTTGGTCTACGTATCAGTGAACTCATGCTGAATTGGCTTATGAGATCTGTCTTCACTCGTGGGTTTGTTTTGTCAATTCAAACATGTTTCTTCATTGCAAAGTGCTGTAAAAAATAAGGTCATCTCATTGCAATTGAAAATGTATTTGGGCTCAAAATCAGCGCAATATTATGTTTTTCCATCCAGTTTTGTAAACCTCGGTTCTTTACTCCAATAATGGTTTTAAGAGAAAAATTATGCCATGTTTTAAATTCATCAAGCCAACGTGAAGATGTTTTAAATTGCCCTAAATGTTTTGCAATGTCTAAGGCCTTTTCTCGGATAAACAGATCAGTGGTATTTTACAAGTCTAAACATGGCAAAACCAATCAAAATTGTTTCCTTACTTGAGGCAGATGTTTTAAGAAAAATCTGCGGTGTTGTTAATTTCTGTTTGTAAAATTTATCTAAAAGTTTCTTTTTATTCTTTACAATTTCACTTGCTTGGGTCTTTTTGATGGAAAACTTTGCAGCCAAGCCTTGCACAGTTAGTTGTTCACTTTCACTCACTTTAGTTATATTAATTTTTCCTTTAGGGGTCAAACTTACTGACAAAGAACTTAAACATATTTATATATTGGCAAAACCTAAATTTAGGGATATTGGGCAAATATTGGAAGGCGAACGAAGCACATAAGAGGAATGGCATTTCTCAGAAAACATTCATTTTCGAGAGTCTGCCATCCACTTTTGGGAGAGTTTTAGAGTCAGAATATAGTTGAAAAATCTGTCCTCATCCATTATTGGGAGTGTCCGCTTTAGAGAAGATTTTAGTGATGAAACTAATGGGAACACACTGGGGAATCATAATTTGTCCATTCAAGGAATTTCACTGGATTAGGAAAATCTCATTATTTTATTTTGAACACAAACCAAATAAATCAGGAAGAACTTTTAACAACAATCTTTATAAATACAAATAAAGCAATAAATTAACATAAATTATAATTAACTTTTAGACTTCACAGTTTTTATTTGTTTAAACTTTCATTCAAAATTAAATCATTTTCCAATTTACAGCCAGTTCACACTTTAATCAAGTCGCCAGATTCTCATTCATATAAAAATCTCAAAATAAATCAGTCGTGCTAATAGTATAACATTATTACACGTGCTATTAAAAGCATTGTAGCAGTCATTGAGTACCTGTATAGATTACGCTTTCAGAAAAATTGTTATTTACATAATATGAACACCAAAATTATATTTTGTTCAAAATATTCTATTGATGTTGTAACAATTTTTTTTAAATATAATTTTTTGTTGAATGAATGTAAAAGCACTAATACAGCCTTTTAGTTTAAGAGATTTAAGCATTTAATGGCATCGTGTCATTTTAACATTTGTTGAACATGCCTTCAAATCACACTACCTCAGCATGTCGGCCAATGCTTTTTTTAAATGAAGTGTTAATTGTAATTTTTAGTTACCACTATATTCTGCATTATGCTTTTATTAATTGACTACTGTGATAAGCATAAATTCCTTTCTTTTTTGTTACAAGTACAGTGTCGATTATTTTTCTGTTTTAGATTAGCATTTAGCAACTAGTAATTAATATTAAATTATAAACGGAAGTTTAAAAAATAATTTGTAGTTAGTTTCTTATAGTGGAAGTTTTTAACAGGTCTTTAATAATTAATTCTAACAGGTAATTAATAATTAAAACCTGTAATTATTTAAAAAGTTAAAAGAGAAGAAAAGTGTAGATTAAATGTAATTCGTGCATTTTTGACCGTAATTAATAAAATCAGATAAACCAATACCAATACCAGCCTGATGGCCATAAATTAATGAATTTTCTCCGCAGTCATTATTTTAAAATAATGTACCCTTTGACGATAGATTGCTTAATTTCCTTTAGAAAAATACTTGGCAGTTAGAATAATTAAATTGAATCTCTGCGAATGAATGCATGGCCACTGGTTCTTTTATTTATTAAAAAAAAAAGTTGCATATATTTTGTAAAGAAAACCTACTGTAAGAAGTAAATTATAACACAATTAGCAAATAAAATGTGTAATGCACAATAAAAGCAAGAAAAAATTACATTTTTCTTCATTACCAAGCTAAAATTTGACTCTAAACTTTAAAATATTCGATATTAAACAGCCAAAGTGATGTTTTTTAATCAAAATTAAAGTAGTATTAACAATACCAGAAACTATTCTAAATGTTAAACTCTAACGAGTTTGAGCTCATATAATTGAACACCAGATAGAAACTAATAATTGTAATTTTTTCATTTCAAACTTTCAGTGCTAAGAATAGCATAATAATTCATGGTAACTGATATAATTAATACATCATGATTTCAATAAATTGATGATAAACTTAATCGAACTTAATCAAATAATCTGGATGTTGGTGTGGTCTGGATGAAAAAATAAATTCAGTTGTTCTGTGCAAAGTTTTCAACCTATTTAAGATCATCATCAGGGCAAAACAATCTTAAATATGTATACAAATTGACATAATTAAGTTTTTATAAATGGTTTCTTTTTTATTTGTCATAAGTTCACAACCGAGTTTTACAGTTCGTGGCAATGTTGGGACTGAGTCGGTCTTCAAAGAAATTTAAAATCATCTATTAACAACATAATTATGTCAATTTGTAGGCATATTTAAGACTGTCTTACCCTGATGATAACCTCAAAATTGGTCAAAAGCTTGGAAGATAATAATTAAACTTGTACTTTTCATCCAGACCATAAACGAGATCCAGATCCAAATAATAAATTATTTTATATTTTAGTATTATTTGTAATAAGAAGGTTAATGTGTAATTAATAACAAAGTAATTTTGTTGTGTGATTTCTCAAGTGAATAAATATTTATGGTTTTTTGATCATTTTTGGTCTGACAGATCAACAAAGCAAGGTCAAAAAGGATCGATAATTGAATAAATAAGCATTGACAATTTTAATGCTCTCATTAGTCAATGAATCTGTAATTTAAATACGCTTTATACATTTCGTGTTATTAGGTTTTTCTATGCAACTTTAGAAATTGTGTCATTGTAAAAATGAAATTGAGCTGAACTGTTAAAAAGAATATTGCCAGTATATTCTTTGTATGTTAGCAATAAAATATATAGATAATAAAAACATTTAAAAGCATATCCGTAGAAATTCCAATACCTTTTAAATGTAGACCTCTGTCTAAACTAGTTTTAGAAAATTTACCATTGATGAATTACATTTAAAAAGGAATTTATGAATTATTCAATTCAACCTTTCAAATGTTGCTATTTTTAATGAATTTGTTAGGCAAAAACATTCCAACTAGGTGATAGATGTAAGCATGTAACGTTTAAACATTTTTTTCAGTATAAATTTTCAGTGCCTTATGATTATTTATTGGAAATTAAACATTTTCGATTTATTAAATATAAAATAAACCCTACTAATGGATTGATACTATTTAGAATGTATATGCTTAAATATATGTATTTATGAGTCTGGGTAAATAAAACTTTGCTGTGAATTACTCTAAGGACATCTCTTTAAACTAGACCTTTGGATATTCATTTTGGTGCAGAAATGAGATTATTTGGATTTTTTTCTATTTTATTTTTTATTACTCCATATCCAGATTATTAAATATATTCTAAGAATGTTGAATGTACTAACCAAAAATATTTAGTTGTACTGTCGTATAAATGGTTAAATATATAATATAAATATTAATTTAGGAGAAAATAACTAATAATGAAAATTTTCCATTTTTATAATTTTTGTTTTGTAATTTTTAAACACATGAGCAATTGTATTTATTTATTTATTTTTTAATTTTTGTATGGGGGGCGTTAACAGAAATATAATTGATTTTTTAAATTTTGGTTTTTTTCCTGCCTATTTCATCACTGTAATTTCATCTCTGCTACACAGCTATCCAATGAACTTTGAAGTTTAAAAATAACTTTCAATTCACTAATTTCGTGGTCCGCTTGACCAATTAATATATTATAATTAATTAAGGTTGTTAGTTGAGATAAAAAAGTCAATGGCCAAAGTCAATCAAGATCGTGGGTTCGAATCCCGCTCGTGCCATTGACTTTTTTATCTCAACTAAAAATCTTAATTAATTTTAAAAATAACTTTAAAGATTCAATTTTTTTAAATTATTCAACATCATTTTCCTTAGTATTGCAAGCACATTACTGGGCCCTGACAGCCTTAAGAATTCTCCTCCATTGCTCTCTGTCTCCATCAGCCTACCAGTTTCGAATGCCCAGAGTTCTGGCATCGCCTACACAATCCATTCACCTTAGTTTTGGTTTTCCATCTTTCCTCTACGAGAGTTCCATCTATGGCTTTATTAGACCTCAAACAAGCTTTTGATACAGTTTGGCACGAAGGAGTTCTATACTGGCTAATAATATATAATTTTCCTGCTTATCAAATAAAAGTTAATCACTCGCATCTGAAAAACAGAAACTTTGTCTCACAACAATGCTTTCTCTGCCCCTCACAAAATAGGAGGATATATCATTTATATAAAGGGAAAATAATAATGGTTCAATGATTGAACCTTGAGGAACACACTGAGTAAAGGTCTATAAGTCTAGAAGAATGTTTAGTGTTATTAAACCAAAATTAAGTGCTCTTTGATATGGATTAATTATTTTGATTATATATTTAATGTTAATTATATTAAATCGTAATTTTTGATGTTGGTCTACTGTAATACTGAGAAAGAATCGTAAGAGAGATTCCATTCGTTCGTTCTCTCATGCCTCCCCATGAGAGCTGCAGAAGGTATCAAAGGAACAGGTTGTTTTACTACTTGTTTTGATAGCTCTTGTTTTTATGGCCCACTCCGAAAATTACAAAATTGCCCTTAATGACATAAAAAAAGCTTCAGAATTAATATTTGGCTCTTCAAGAAGGGATAAAGAACTGAAAAATATGAAATACACGCATATCGATCCTCAAATACAAATAGGACCTACGTAAGTCTCAGGATTATTTGTACAAATAAATTAAAAATATAATAAAATTGTCAATTTGTATGATTATATTGACACGTGCATATTTGCCTTAATTCAAAGTGTTTTTTTGGATATTTGATGTCCATTGACTAACTTTCTAAGGTCGTCCTACCATCTAGGCCTTCCTTGCAGCCTACTACCTGGTTTACGAGTAAACTTTCTGCTCTGTCCTCTGGCATCCTAACCACGTGGCCAATCAGCCTGAGGCGGCTTATTTTAGCTAAAATATCTGGTTTCTGGTACAAAACATTCAACTCCTTGATAGTACGAATTCGCTGTTGACCATCCATGTAAACTGTGCCAAAGATCTGACCTGAAGAGCTTCCCTAAGGCCAAGTAGCACCTGTTTACTGCAGCAACCGGATTTCTTCTTTCATACCGTAATCCTCGGTAAGCAGGGGTGAGCTTCCAGATATTTAAAGGTCTTACAGTGTTCATAAGTCTCACCATTCATTGCAATGAAAGCAGAATTGACTTGCCCTTGACCTCTTGTGGAATGCATTTAGATCATCTTGGTGCTGTTAACGACCAGACTCAATCTTCCTGTTTTAACCTTGATAAATCTCCTCAAGCTCTCAAATTCCTCGCAACCATGTCAATATCATTTGCATATGCCAGGTTTTGAGTGGTTTGGTTCATCAAAGTCCCTTATGAGTTATTTCGATCCACCTTTCTTACCACTGTCTTGAAAAGCAAATTGAAGAGGGTGGTGGACAATGACTTTGTTTTAGTCCCTGACTTACTTAAAAGTCTTTCAAGAGCCCATTTTCCACCACTGTCAATTGCACTAACCCGGGCCATTTTTCTTGAGATGGCCAGGTTGTATAAACTGATGTTCTCTTAATACAATCATGGGCCTGCCGGAAGTTCACAGAGAGCTTATGTAAATCTATGTTATCTGATCTGTTGATGATTGGTTTGCCCGGAACCCACACTGATAGTCTCCTATTATAGTTTCACAATATTGGGTCAGTCTCACAGTTGTTGTCTTTGCTACTACCTTGCACACTGTGCTTAATAACAAAATCCCTCTATGTTCACACAGTTCTCACAGCAGGACTTATTGTTTTTATAGATTGGGCAAACGATAGCCAATCGTCACCCATACAATAGAGACCAGTTCCCAAATCTTAGACACTCCCCCAAACTTAATCATCTCTACGAGTATTTGTAACAGCAGAGGTGAAATCAACCCTCAGGGTGTCTATGTTTTTGAAAAAAAAGCCCATTTGTAAGTATGGTTCGAATGAAAGGCTGCTGGATTTGAACAAGGGACCTTTACCTTACAGTGAAGGGCATCGTGTCCATGGCCACTGATGACTCCTCCACCGCTGTTATTCTGTCCTTTCCTGGAGCTTTGTTCTTTTTTAGGCAATTCCACTTCGGGGAACCAGTCGCTCACATTTTCTGTCCAGCAGTCAGGAGAACGATAGGGTTAAGCAATATTATGGTGTAATTTGGTCATTACCAATCATTTTAGCCTTAATCATTCTGGCTAAAGTTTTGATCAGTTAAAAATGACATTATTTCTATTTAAAAAAAAAAAAACTTTAAAAATAGGAAAAAAGAAAAAAAAAAGAATGATGATACACAACCAAGCAAGAGCACAAGGTTCACTGGTTCGCTTAAGATAAATGGAAGACTCAGTCTTACTTGATATTTTGATTGGTCCAACTGAAGAAGTATGATTTTCTAAATGCCTTGTATTTTTAAACCAGGTTTTGTATGTTTTATACCCGATTTTGTTACAAATAAGTTTATTCGATTACTCTGCTAAAAAATATTGACATGAAAAATGGAGATGTCTCATACTTGTATTTTGGGTTTCAGCTGTGGCCTGGTTGCTCTTTCGATGATATCTTCATTAACACCCGTGAAAATATCAGCTGACGAATTAATCAAAATCTCCATAAAGGAAGGGTTTACGATAAAAGGCGAAATGTTTAGTGCAGAAAATTTGACCATTCTTACCAAAAAAATACTGGATGATATGTTCATAATCACTCATCATGTTGGAGGTCTTCAGAGGAGAAGGAAAGAAATAGTTAACGATTTGTTAAATGACACGTTACTGCTTGTGCCGTATCCTTTGGAAGAATTAATTTTTAAAGTAGGACTATTTTATAACAGCTTGATTTTTATTCAACAAATTATAGGGTTTTAACCAAGAAAACAAGAATCTGAAACTTATCTGAAAGACCAAAACAGCAAGGATGAGCTGACTGAAGCGATCAGTTATGACCAGACTACAATTTTGGATTAAACCAGACCTGTTTTACTTTTCGCCTTCTGCATTATTGCACTTATTCAACAAATCTGAGTATTTATTGATCCAAACAGGCCTCAGTTCAAATATTTATTTGCATTATTTAATTAACCATTGGCTATAAGGGTGAGTCGCCCTGACAAATTTCACTGAGAATGTGCGACAGGTGCCTAATATGCTTGGAAAACTGGAAGAATGTAACATCACATGATGTACAACTAATAATTAATTTCGTTAATGTAAAATAAAGTTGTGATAGATGTACAACTAATAATTAATTTCCTTAATCTAAAATAAAGTTATGATGCTGCTCAAAACCATCATCCAGGATGTTTCAACGGTCATAAAGCACATTGGGCCATCGTATGTGGTGTCATTGTCGACGGATTTAATCATTATTTAATTGCTCGCCAAGGTAAAAGTAAGCATGTTGGTATTTGGCGTTTTGAAGAATTAGCCGAAAGCAATAATAACCTCAATGTCGTATCACCAAAGAGGAGCAAAGAGGAAGGTGGCTACATATTTCATGACATTAAAAAAACACTTGCTGGCCACTATGTTAGTCTTAAGAGGAAATTTATATGATATCGATGTTATAAAACTATTAATCAGATACATTACTTGTCTGCATCAATGGCTGTTAATTGATTTTGATGAATAGGAGATGATTGTTTCAAATAATTATTGCTTTGTTAGCTCAAAGCTACTGGAATGTTTATGTTTATGTTGAAGTTTGTAAATTAAGCAGTCTGCTTAAAATAAACTATTATAACAAGTTTTATTGGACACATTTATTATAAAAATTGACAATTTAGGTGAAACAACTGCCCGTTCTTCTGATTATTATTATTTTATTTATTTATTTTTTCCGAGGGTAAAGGTCTAAGGCCGGTGGATTCGAATCTGGGACCTTTACCTTACAGTGATAAGCAATGATAATGCCTCTACTGTTGCAGCCACCAACTCTCTTCTGATTATTATATGGTGATTGTAAATGCTTTGAAAATAAGCTCATGGTGACTAATTAATTTGTTTAAACTTTCATATTCCACATCTATTTTTCTATTTATTTCAAATATGTTAGTCATAAATGAACTCTGAAAAATATAAGAAGCAAAATCTATGAGTTTATAAGTCCTCTGGATGACTGACTGAGTCTGTCCAACCTGCTTTTCGACAGTCAACTCTATCAGACTTGTCTCAGCCCTTGACAGTCGATGTGTGCCTTAGCTGGGTGTCGTCACTCCCCCTCATCTGAACTGAACGCCTTTCTCTGCTCGCTCTACGCTCCTTTCAAGGCACTCAACTGTTGACTCAGGCAGCTTTTCAACAGTCCACTCTGAGGGATTCATTGAATGTAGGAAAGGTCAATATGACAAATCTGCAAATATAAGTAAAGGATTACAATTCAATTTTCTCTCTCCCTCTCTCTCTCACACACTCATTCATTCGCTAACTTACTATTTCTCTCACACACTATCTTACTATCTCACTTACTCACTACCCTCTCTCTCCCACCTCTCTCTTAGAATCCCAAAAACTACAGTCAAGTATCTGCGAGTTTACGTGGACCAAAAGCTGACCTGAATGAAGATATGTTCGATTGTGTGTGTTTACACCCTGATCAACCAGAAATCTAAAAAGGCCTGCAGTGACTTTTCTATTTATAAAGCACTTATCAGGCAACTAGTACTCTATGGGTGCCAAGTATGGGGTCTGCATATATCTCCAAAATAAATTGACTCCAGGTACTATAAAATAAGGTGCTGAGAATTGCTGTCAACACTTAGTGGCATGTGCGGAACTCATTAAGAAAAATTAATAATGAAAGATTCATCAAATTTCACTCCAAACTTCCTTAGGTGAAAGGAACATCAATTTTTGTCTGGGCAAAAAACTGCCAACACATCTCAAACTATGAACTATACGGGATAAGCTGGATATTGGTTGGAGGGATCACAATGATAGTGTGAAGATGGCTATGCAGTCTGTGCACTTTCTTCTGTATAGAACCCTTTTGGAGTCAGATATGGAATTCAGTGTTTTTGGCTGCAGTGATTCTGGAATGAATCTTCATCAATTGAGGTGGTTGTTCAAGCTGAGAGAGGAATTACTATTCTGCTAATCCTGCAATTGTTTGAGATTTGACATGCCCTCAGCTCTGAAAACATTTAGTTGCTTTTGCGAAACACACCTGGGAATAGAGGTAAAACTTAATAAGGGAATTTCATTATTAATTTTGATGCTGTTGTTAAATAGTATATTATTTTTTTAAAATAATATTTCCTAGTCTAAGGTTAACTTTGTATTATTGGATGGAAAAAAAAAATTATTATTTTGACATGTATTTTTTGTGATAATTAAAATCATCTTTACTATTACCAATGATTATTTGGAGGTTTTAGAAAAAGATTTTCTTTATCGGGCCAACATTTCGATCTTTATTGAGATCATCTTCAGGGCTCAAAGTGTTTGTTTTCCGTGTAGATGTGTCATTTTTGTCTGTCTTGTTGAGAGTGCCCCACAACACATTTAATATTACCACTGCAAAATAAATTAAATTATGATATAATTAAAAGATTTCCAAACTCTAGCCAACAGCTTTTTGCCATGCTTAAAATTTATTGTAAACTGTTACTTATATTTCATAATAAATTTCTCCTTCTTTGCCTCACCTTTAATATTTCTATGCAAAGTCTGCAGAATGCCTGCCATTGATATAAATTATAACTGTGTGTGCAATTAAGTTGATTAATAGTGTCATCGTGTTCTGTATCTGTTCATACCTACAGAAAATAAGAAATAACCTTCAACTATAATGACTGAAAATCTTAATTATTAGTAAGTGTAAATAATGTGTTCATAATGTTAATAATAATAAGCGTAATAATGCCAATAAATTTGACAGAACGACAAAGACAAACACTTTGAGTGAGTAGAAATACTTTGATTGAATATAAAAAATATATTTTGCATTGTATTTGTAAAAAAATTCACTTTTCCATATCCTAAATGTATTTGTTAAATGTACACAATGTTTGTAAATCGCATGCCCTGAAGATATTCTCAATAAAGATCAAAACGGCACGATAAAGAAAATGTTTTTCTGAAACCGACGTCACACCAGACGATTTCTGAATAATTTGACAGAACATTGAGATACTTAAAACATAGTTTTTTAAAATATATTTTTAACATCTACCCAACTGATTAACACAATCTTAAAAAAAAGTTTTTTTCCAAATGGTCACTACACAATTTAGTTTATGATCATCAGTAAAAAGTAGAAATTCAGAATCGGAAAAAGCAGTTGAAATGATTGAATTAATAAAGAGACGAAACAAAAGTAGACCAAGATGAGAGCCTTGAGGCAAACCTGAAGAAGGATGAAATTTGAACAGTTTAACTGTGTTTTAAAGTTAATTAATTGAATAATCAGTCAAACTGCTTTAATAACTCACCGGACTTTTGTGACGACATTTGAATGGTTTTACGTAAACCGACGACCCACCAATTTAAGAGACGGACTGTAGGGTCGCTTCTTGTACTTGAAAGGTTTCGGGTATTGTCCGGATTATCGGGGAGTTTACAATCCTCCTCATTATCTCTTATCCTTAGACAATTTACCCAAATGGGCGTTTATCGCCAAATAGATGGAATTGGCCCAGAGCTAATGGTAAAAAGTATGATTTACCTTTTATCCACTGTGATCACCATCTGTTGAATAAAAATCCAAGCCTACCGCAATCTTCCACAATGGAAAATACAAATGGAAAAGAGGTATGCTAATTTAACATTTGAAAAAACATTTTTATCTGGATAAAAATTTTTCCATACATATTTCATGTCAATTTCTTTACAAGCATGACTCAGCCTAAGAAACCGTATTTCGAAAAAGTGTCACCTTGTTTTTATTTTTTTAAAAATATTTTTTAAATATTTACTTAGCGTTTCTTTTATTCTTAAACAGTGTCGCCCAGGGTAGATAAAACTATTATTTTCCTTCGATTTTCTTCCCCCCATTGACATATGGATTTTGATATCCCTTTTTTACTTGGTGCGTAGGTCAGGGATTTGGTCGTGGCTTAAATGCCCTTTCCACATCCATGAATAACACCAAGGGTATTTCCTTTAATGTCTTAGATAATAGTCTGTTTAAGTCATCAAGGCTAAGTCCGTGCAGTGCTTTCTGCATAAATGATGAGAAAGACTACCTTCACCATCCTCCATGCAGTGAGTATGTATGTGTAGGTTAGGGAGGCCCAAAGATGGCATTAATACTTCCTGCTCTTTCTATAATAGTATAATGTATATCCCATCCACACCCGGGGATTTATATGGAAGAAACCCATTAACTGCCCACCTGATTTTCTCTGGTTTGGCTATGTTAGCTGCCTCCTTACAGTCCTCTTTGGAGGGGCTGTACCATGGGCTCTCTGAACTAGTGGGCTGCTTATCTCTGGGTATGGTTATTGCCCCTGGAAAGTGTTTACCAATTAACATGGACAGAGTTTCTTCTGTTGCCTCTGTAAAAGTCCCATCCGGTCTTCTTCAAATGAGGCCTAACTGTCCCCCAGTACCTTCTTTGGCCAATACTCTATGAATTCTGGTGCAGTCAGGAGCATTTCCAACCTCCTGACAGGACTTCCTTTGCGAGTTCCTTTTGGCCTTTCTCATCTCCTTATTGTACTGGGTAAGTGCCTCTTTATATGAGCCCCATATTTGGTCGAGCTTGACTTTATTAACAGCCTTCTTACAGCGTTCTTTCTTGTCCTTCGAGGGCATTTCCCTTCAAAGGCTTGTAGAATTCCATCATTTACTTCCTGAACTGCTAGGTGAAGGTCCTCCTTACTCCTAATTGTCCCGATTGGCCTTACACTGTCCTTACAGTCACTCCCTTTTCTTTTAGTCAGAATTTAATTCTTCTGTCGCCAAAGTAGAGGAGCTTATCCAGTTTTTTCAGCTCCGTCAAAGAATCATCGTCCATGGAGAAAGTCCAGTTGTCCCTTCTCTATTTGGACATTGCCCCACGCCATCCAGAGCTGAGTGTTGAGCTGCCTGTTACTGATCCGTAAACAGTTCAAAAATTTTTCTGCAGGCAGCCTAGTCTTCCTCTGGTCCGCTATGTAGACGGTACAGGCTGTAGACTTCGGGATGTCATCCTCCATTATAGCCTGGAAGACAGCGCTCGTCCAGGGTACCAGTTGGGGACCACCCCTCACAGCCATTCAGTACTAATTTCGTCCACACAGGTGACAATCATAACCTGCCCTCCTTGTCCATTTGGTGTTCCTTCACTTGGGGTCTGTCATCTGGGACGATATCTGGGGCCATTAAAAAGTCCTGGAGGCTATCCAGCCTATCAGGGTTCATGTTAGCCATCAGAAATCCAGCAGCAACCACGGTGACCTTCACTGCGGCCAGGACCTAGCTGAAGGGCTGCTCCCTTCGCGTAGGTCTTGGCTTCTTTCTTGCTTGCACCTTTCTCCTTGAGTTGCCAGACAGTAGGGCATAAGACTCCTCTTGTGCCGAAAGGTTGGCTATCTCTTCCACAGAGTTAGCTTTTGTGAATCTAGTTGGTGGGACACTCTTGCCGTCACCTGGGGTATATGTGCTTTCACAGGGGGCACTCCTACTCGCACTAGAAGTTTGTTGTGCTTCTATTTTTTTCATTGGTATACCCATTTGGTTCCCACGAGAAGCTAGGGATCTAAAAGTCTGCCTGCACAGAGCCCCTCATGTACAGATTAGGTGGCTAATATTCAAGGAGGTGGCAGTTGCCTCCAGGGGAACGTTTATGACCGCACTTACCCCCTGCAGCCATTCAGCACTTAGCACATTGCCTTACAGCTTAGCCTGGGGGTGTTTTCTATTGGGAGTTCCCCATTAGTGCGCAGGAAGTCACATTGCCCCCCACTGTTAGCCGTCAGAAATACGTTGCCAGTGCTGTATGTGGCCAAAGCCTTCGTGGACGTGGTAGGACTTGAGGTTTATGTAGGAGGTTATATCCAACTAGAGCATTTCTCGGTGTTTGTAATTCTATCAACTTAGGCAATTGTTGGGAACACGAAGGCCCATTAACTTACAGCCCACTCCATTTACAGACCACAGCTATCCTTAGCACATTGCTTGCTAAATTTTAGGGACAGCCATTTCCTACATGACACTTGCCTATCCATAATGAAATTGGCCTTGTAAAGATTGAAATAAACTCTGATCTTTTGTGTAACATGTGGAATACAAAATTTAGTCAAATATCGTACAATTATATTTTAGCACCACTGACGACAGCAAAAAGCCAGAAAGCATCTGGCTGGCCAACAGTCATGATCCAGAAATGGCTAAAACAATAAAAACTATCCTTTCACTTCTATAGAAAGTGAGTAGTAATGTCACCTAATAGGAAGGTATTACGTGCTTATGTGCAACAGTGGGTTTTTGGGCATCTTGTTCAGATTTTTGTAAGAAATACAGTTTGCCTTCTACATATTGCTCTATAATTTAAAAAATTTTTCTTCAGTATGAGAGAGTATTGTCCCTATGATAGATTAGTTGTATTTAAATTATGCGAACAGTTTAGGGCTGACAAACAGCGAAGTCATAGTGCTCTGCACCTTCTTCCTGTATTTCACACGTATTTTTTTTTTTAAATCTGCACCCTTATAAGGTTCTCAATCTGGGTACTGACTCTGTTGTAGGCGATTGGTTGTAGATTTATGTATAGGGTGATAAAGATATATCGAGTACTTACTACTTCCTGTACTACCTCCTGACTGAACAATATTTTTAAGTTAAAATTTCCTAAGGCCAATTCCATCCAAAGCCACCTCAAATATCCAGGGGCATCTGCAGCACATTGAAAAATTGTGTAAGATGAAACTGGACAAGAACAAGTACACCCAAATTATGATGTTAAACAAACAGCTTTGCCTACATTTATACGTTAACAGTTAGGAACTACCAAATGTACACAGGTAAAATACTTAGAGCTATATGACAGTAAACTGAGGTGGAATACTCACACAAGACACAAGCAACAAGAACTAAATAAACAGGTTGGAAAACTACAGTAGACAGAAATCGGACATAATGGTAAAGAACATACTGACGCTGTATAAAACATTATTTTCACCTATTTGAACATGTGGAGCAGAGCAACCACCAAACAATCTAGTAGTAAAGTAATTCATGTCATACATGAGGGTTTAACATCCAACTAACCGTTAGGTCTCATGAACGAGGGGTCATACCACTTTACAATAATTTTTTAATACAATTATCAATTAAAAAAGCCATGGGCTGGGTCAGGATTTGAACATATGACTGTATTCATGGGAAATACGAGTCGGATGCTGTAACCACTCGGGATGGTTAGGGACCATCCCTAACCATCCCTAACCGTTGGGTCTCATGAACGAGGGGTCATACCACTTTACAATAATTTTTTAATACAATTATCAATTAAAAAAGCCATGGGCTGGGTCAGGATTTGAACATATGACTGTATTCATGGGAAATACGAGTCGGATGCTGTAACCACTCGGGATGGTTAGGGACCATCCCTAACCATCCCTAACCGTTGGGTCTCATGAACGAGGGGTCATACCACTTTACAATAATTTTTTAATACAATTATCAATTAAAAAAGCCATGGGCTGGGTCAGGATTTGAACATATGACTGTATTCATGGGAAATACGAGTCGGATGCTGTAACCACTTGGCCACCATATAGTATCCTACTAATCCAAGCATACACTATCCACAATGATGACCTTAACCTTTTGATCAGTTCCTGCTTCCTCAAGTTTCACTCCAATATTTTAACCCATTCAAACTCTACTGTTCAAGCTCTTTGTCGCTTTCAACCAAATAAAAAAATTGATTGCAGCATTGCTGGCACAAAAAGTTAAAAACTGCATTGTTGGGGGCTGAAATGCCCAAAATAAAAATACAAGGAAATGGCTGAAAGGGAAATGAAAAAAAAAACTTTATCCCAAGTCGATTTAATTTTTGAAACAAGAAAATAGTGCTTTTTAAAAGCAAATTAAACACAAAATACTGATTTTATTTTGAACTGCAAGCTTGAATTTTCCCCCTTTTAAGTGTTTTATTTATCGAAATATTTTTTAACTTTAGGTAGAACCTTTTATTCTGGAAAATAATGTTGGAAATGTCATAAGCCAAGGTGACAACATCGATGAAACATTAGCAAATGTAAACAATGTCAGTTTGCCTGAGGAGTCTGAAAAAATCGAAGATGAAGCCGAAGAAGTAACGCTGAAAGAAATGATTGACTGCTCAGAATGGAGGCAGAATCATAAACATGTATTTATTTTAAGCTCAGCTGGAAAACCAGTGTATTCTCGGTAATAAATAATATTTTCCATTTATCCCATTGTATTTTTTAAACTTGAACATTTTTTCATTTATAGGTACGGTTCGGAAGATAAATTGGCGACGATCTTTGGTGTGATGCAAGCACTTGTATCCTTCGTTCAAGATAGCGATGATTCAATTCGATCGATACATTTTGAACAAAACATAATGGTTTTTTCTATAAAAGGACCTATAATTCTGGTAGCTGTGTCCAACAGAAAAGACAGTATTGAATTTATTTCAACCCAATTAACGTATGCGTATATATTTATTATTGTTACTATCAATTATATTATTATTATTATTATTTTTATTAATTTTTTAGATATGTATACAACCAAATTGTCAGTGTTTTAACGCTTAGCCGGGTTACAAAAATATTTGAAAAAAGACACAATTATGATTTAAGACGACTTCTGACAGGATCTGAGCGCCTTATCGATCATCTTCTCACGTTTTCAGAAACGCAACCAGAATTTTTGCTCGATGCAGTGTCATGTCTTAAAATGCAATCAGCACAAAGAGAAGCCATCTCCAATGCCATTATCAGCACTTGCTCAAAAATAAAAGTAAGTATAATTTAAAAGTAAGAATTGGGTGTGTGCATAAGTTTTTTTTTTTTTCAAATTTCGTCTTTCAACCTTACAAAGGCCATCCTTTATTACTTACTAGCCCGTAGCAATGACTATCAATGACCTAGTACTTCTTAGGAGAAGGATTGAGCCATTTGCACTGACCTAAAGAACTAGTAAAGTACAATAAAATAGAAGGCTGCAGTGCTTGTGGGAATAAACACTTCTCTTCAAAAGCCACTCCTTGCACCATACACCTCTTTTGCGCCTTTTCTTCCGAATATCACATTGGCAGTGGGTTATAAAAAACAAAGGATTAAAAATAAAATAAATTTATATTTTGAAAGTTTGACTTTTTTTACAGAAAACTGAAAAAAATATGCACACACCCAATAGTTTGTTGTTGAGAATTTCTCAATGACTCCAAATGGAAACCAGAGCGTATGATTGACTATATTTCAATGATGGAAAATAATTGATCGGAAAAGTAAAATAAATTGAATCTGAACTCTTGAGACAGTTATTTTTTCACTCATCATATGTTTCTCTCTCTCAAATATCTTTACAGACTTTAGTATTTGCTATGTTAATCGGATGCAATAGACTGATAACTCTTGTAAGAAGAAAGAAGTACTCGTTACAGCCTTCAGATTTACATTTAATCTTCAATTTGGTCAATTCTTCAGAATCTTTCAAAACAGCTGAAAGTTGGACACCAATCTGTCTTCCTAACTTTGATGCTACGTAAGTTGACAATTGAAGAAAAATTAACATAATTTAATTTATTAACTTACTAATTAAGAAGTTAAATAATAATTTTTTACAGGGGTTTCTTACATGGACATGTTTCATATTTGGCAGAAAATTGTCAAGCTTGTCTTTTACTATTAACTGTGGATCAAAATATATTTTTTGAATTATCAGCAGCCAAAAAGGCAATTGTTGAGGTAAATTATATCATTTTATATATTTATTATTAATTTTTATAAATCCTTTTCATTTTTTAATATATGAAATTTGATTTGTATTTGAGCTGTAGCACTAGAATTGAATTTCTACAGGTATAAATGTGAAGGAAGTTGCAAGTTTAAACAGCTCAAACTAAAATAATAAAAAAAGGTTTAGAACCAGAACTGTGTCTACCTACACCTGCGGGTTTTGATGTCGGACATGCATTTCAGCTTTGTTCCACCTTTAGTGAGGAGTTGTCTGTTTCATTGTCGGTGTAGGATAATACTGTGGGGTCTGGTTGTCTCTATAATTGTTTAAGGGTATTCATTGGTCGGCGGTGATGTCGGTTATTTTATTTTGTATTTATTTATTTTGTGAATCTCTGACTGTGTGAATCTCTCAGTAATGGACAGAAACACTTCTTTCTTGCATGTTCTTTATACAGGGGTTTCATTGTAATAATAAAACTTGGGAAATAAAGATTAAACGATGCAAAAAAATTAAATTCACTAATTTCGTGGTCCGCTTGACCAATTAATACATTACAATTAATTAAGGTTTTTAGTTGAGATGAAAAAAAGTTAATGGCACGAGCGGGATTCGAACCCACGATCTTCGGCTAGATACGCCCCTGCTCTACNCTCGGACATCAACTTCCCATCTCAACCCCACCTTATGAGTTTTCCCTCCTTTTTGCCATTTTTCAAATGTCGTGTAATCGGATTGGATTCTCGACGACAAATGAAGTGGCCTCAGAGAGCTTTAGTGAAGTGTACTTCATTTAATTCACTAATTTCGTGGTCCGCTTGACCAATTAATACATTACAATTAATTAAGGTTTTTAGTTGAGATGGGAAGTTGATGTCCGAGTGGATCAAGGTCACGATAGCTCAAGTGGTAGAGCAGCGGCGTATCTAGCAGATGATCATGGGTTCGAATCCCGCTCGTGCCATTAACTTTTTTTCATCTCAACTAAAAACCTTAATTAATTGTGATGCAAAAAAAGTTGAAGTGAAAGTTAGTGTCACAAGCTGGGGGTCTTAGACTAAATAAATATTCCATTGCTCCACAGTTGAGCTACTTTCCTTTGCATCTTAGATTAAATAAATATTCCATTGCTCCACAGTTGAGCTACTTTCCTTTGCAACTTCCTTTTTATAACTTAAGGCTTCTATAAAAAGTGATAATTAAGGTAAGTAAACCAATAAAATATCATCTTTTTTGTTGTAGAAACTTGAAAAAAATCAGTTGTTTGATGTGATTAATGAAGGTTTGAAGAAACCCAATTTAACTGTGAACGATATACCGAAAATTTATAAAATGAGACATTTCATATTCAAATGCAAAAAGAGCTCACATTTGTTATCTCCCGTATTGCCCGTACTTTACAACACCCCTGCGGCAGCCAATAATCTTATGTTTCAATATCAACAACTTTACAGTACGATTCATCAGCCTGGTTCCCTGTTGAAATTGGCCTTTCAGCAGTTACCGAATGAAACCATGTTGGGTTGGGTATGTAAAAGCTCTATTTTAATTTAATACTTAAGTTAATGTTATACATTTTTCTTTTTTGTTATTACAGGTTACAGAAAAGTTTGAGTTAATGGTCACATTCGAACCGCTAATTAATAAACGTTCAGCAACTGATGGTGCCAAAAAGTTGTCCCAAATAATAGAAAAAGACGAAGATAAATTTTTCATTCAAAATATTTATAATTTTTAATTGATTATAAATAATAAATTGTTCGTATTTATTTTGTTTTGAAAGTATCTAGTTTATAAATGATAATTGTAGAAAGGCCAAAATTGAACCATAATAAAAAAAAAGTTTTCAATTGTTCAGATGTTAGTCAACATATCTAAACATGTTAAGGTAAAATGAGATGTAATTAATTAAGAAAAATATTTCATTATTAGCTAAATTCATATATTAATAAAATTTTCACACATTGAGAATTCAGAAATTCCGACTAATTTGATAATTAATATGTTTTAATCCATTTGTTGTTGAAATAATTTTAAATTCCAAATAGATATTGTTTTTATCTAGAAATTACGCTTTACATGAACAGTAAATAAAGCATCAGTTTTTGGTCTATAACATAACGAATAATTGTCTTCAAAATTATAGTCATAGCCAAAGATATTTTTGTATTTGTTACTATAATTGCGCTTGGAATAATTTATTGTATTTTTTCTATATTGTAAATACTGTAAATAAAAATGTAATATTATTGTGGCAAAACGGCGCGATTGTTGTAAATATCCCAGGTTAATTTTTCAACAGCGATAGACATCGTTCTTGGACATTGAACTACCAAGTTAACTACTTTAAGCTGCAAGTAGGTAACAAGGACTACAGTCATGGGATCACTGGTTTTAATAACTTGTTTTTGGGATACTAGGTCGAAAATATTAGCCATATATGTAGCACTGTTCTTGCAAATAGGCTAGAAGCCGAGAAATAATACAATTTTTTGCAAAATGCGGTTTATCCATGTGAGTAGATGTTTTGACCGCCCACAACTGTCTCTGAGTTGTAGGAAGGAAAGGGTAATCACACAATTCCGTTATTGAATTCTAAAAGTAAAAATTTTCGACCCTTAACAATTAGTTTCGAAACAATATCTGTATGTTCAACTAAATGTTTTAAAACGAAATGGCAATCAAATGCTTGCAAATTGTGGGCAATACAAATTACATTTGTAAATTTGTTTTTTACTTGTAGAATGTGACCAAAAAAACCGTCTAAAATTGTGTCACCACGCAACACTTGCATAATGCTGTGTCCGAATATACATTTTTCTAAAACAATGCACTTGTCACATTTCTCCTGAAACACATATAAATTAGGTTTATGCAAAAAGGTAATGCTCAACCCTGAATGCGAATTATCTTGGGTAGTTTCAAAATCATAGAAAATAAATAAAAAACTACCTTTAGGAGGGGCACGTTTGTCAACAGGCATAAAACATCGGTGATTTCGGGGCATTTCCGCACGACATATTTTACAGAATTTTTTGTCACAATTATGAATATTTTTCTTTCTATTTTTCCCTCGATTATTAATCAATGACGAACATTTATTACAAAAAAATATTTTTCCACAAATATTGTTTGTCAAATGTTGATAATAGCAACGACTGTTAGGGAAAATTCTAGAGCAGTAATCGCACAATTTTTGAGGCTCAAGTGATGAAGTTAAACATTTCGTCTGACTCATGCAAAAGGTACACGAATGAGGGCATATGTGTTGGTATTTGTTGTTTGTGGATACGTTACATTTTTCGCAAAAGTAACTGCATGCAAAACAACTTTTTAAATTGGTTATTACACTGTAATGATTGTTATGATGCAACAAATTTAAATCTCTAATAATTCCTTTATTCTTTTACTGTAGTGCTAATCTTTATTTGCCTTAGACTCTCAATCTGCTCATTGCCTTCAAATTGCTTTCATTCCTACATAAGATATTATTATGATCTTCAACCAAGAAATCATATTTCTTCCTATATTAATGTCTTCAACAATCTTAACATTCTAATCACTTCTAAATTTAGAATTTTAATACACATATTTAAAATTAAATCAAATAAATGTCCTCAATATTTATAAATTTTTTTCCTGCATTCCTTATCCAAACGTACCAATCATATAGCAAACCTTCAAAACTCCTCTAAAACTTTAACCTTATCCTTCAGAATTAGGGGGATTTGCTTCCACGGGAAGTATGTTCTGCTTACTCGATGACTTGTTTCAGGTCCATGGTATCTGAGTTTTTAAAAACAACATGAATCATCTGCTTTTTTCCTCTTTTCCCCATTTCCTTTTATCTTCTTTCTCTTTATGCTTTTCTTTCTTAATGCGGTTTTAATATTCGGTTAAAAATAATTAATATTTTAAAGAATATGTTAGACATTATTGTTTTGTAATTTTATTATATTTTTTATTATTATTATTGCTATTATTATTCTTTATTACATTTATATAAAACTAAATTTATTTCTAAGATATGTACATGTAATGGAATTTTAAGCACTATTTGCTTGTTTTAGAGAAACAACCCAGGAGTGGAGAAATATATATGATTTTTTTTTAAAACACAAATTTATATAAATAATGCATAATAATTATAATTATAATACATAAATAAGTTTAAAATCCTAAAGCCTTTTAGATTTTCTAGCATAAATTTTTTTTATTCAAGTAAATATTATTTTAATGTTAATTCGAATTTTTATGATTTTTCGTGATAGTTTTTTAAATAATTTTGTAAATACATAATTCAACTGTGGCATTACTGGTGTGATATGGTGCTGGTATGGTCATTGGTGATAAAAAGCATTGAGTGAATCGTTCAGTGAACCAGCAACTGATCCGTATCTTTTATTTAACGTGGTCTTGTAAACTTGGAAATTGGAAGGTTCTTCGATGGTTAATGTGTGTTACTACGTTTTTTTTTTAATTTTTAACTTTGAATATATTTCTGCAGCTGAACAGAAATGACTGGAAAAAAGAAGGACATAAAGGTGAAAAAGCCATCAATTCTAAATCCAGTCTCGTCCAGGTCAAAAAAAGTGGCAAGGGAAAAATTTAAAAATTCAAAACTGACCAACTTGAGGGAAAAAATGATAGGGAGACTATCAGCTGCCAAATTTAGGTAATTACAATTTTTTATTAGTAATAGTTAAATCGGTTTTGAAGCCATTTTGCTTCATAAAGTTTTGACTGCCTGATTCCTGCGAATGCTTCTGTGTAACTCGCTGAGTTATAGCGATAAGCATTACAACACAACTTCAATGATTCCATCCAGCAACAGGCCAAAAACCTGTTGCAGGTGGATTAACACAACTCTCCATAACATAATAGCATATGCTGCACGCGATATAGGATGGGCACTGGTGATTTGAGGTGATGGAGGCTCACCAACATCGGGCACAATATGGGCAATCCAGGACAGATTCTTGGTGGACCTTCTTGTCATGCTCTTGCTGGAGAGATATGCTGATTTGTTGCGTCTTGGAAAAATGGTAGTTATTTGGGTATCCATGTTAAGCTGGAGGGCAATGAATGTGCAGACGAGTTGGCGAATCACCGCGATCCAGAAGAAAGAAAGAAGAATGATGTAAAAGAGCATTTGGTAGGGTCGTCCAAGAAGCTCTTGTGGGCCAAGATCTCTGAAAGTCTGAAACAAAACGAAAGGATTGTGTTAACTTAGTTGAGGATCAACCATACTTGTTTGGACACCTGCATGGGTTTTTATCCCAAAAGTTTGTAGAAAAAAAGGTTGCTCATTGTGGCACATTACATCAAAGAGTGCCCTTCATGCCTTGGCTTCTTACTAGGAATGACCCCTGATATAAAGACGGTACTCAGGTGGGCATGTCAATTGTCGGATAACCTATTTCTTAAGGGAAATAGAGGCGTTTCCACAGGTCTAATCCGCCTGGAAAATTGTAGTGCTTACATTCGAGGAGCTTCATGCCCCACTTTCCTGCACTTCATATACAGTTTTTCTTGATTAGAAAATCACTGCATCTTAATTATTACAGAAGTCTGCAATCAAAAGCCAGAAGTAGACTAGGTAAAGAAAAATAACAAATTGAACTTTCTATACATTTATTATGATAACAATGCGCAATAAAAAAATTTATATTGGCTTTTGCTATTGACTAATAAGCGATAAACTTCCATAATTTGTTTGAACAACCTTAATAATATGAAATAAGACTGAATTGAAATATCTTCAAAACTATACAACCAATCTAATTGTTCTTGGTATCAAGTTTTTGTATTAAAAATGTAGTTTTTGAAAATGTATCAAAACATATTTGCAATAAAAAAATACTACAAACTCTTTTTGTTTACACTTAAATTTTTTAATTATTATAAATAATAATTAAAAACAACAATATGTAATTTGTTAAATCGTCAATATTATTTACAATTCACCATTTTTCGTGATCCGCTTGACCAATTAATATAATTCAATTAATTAAGGTTTTAAGTTGAGATAAAAAAGTCAGTGTCACGAGCGGGATTCGAACCCACGACGTTCGGCTTGATACGCCGCTCCTCTACCACTTGAGCTATTGTGACTTCGATCCCCTCGGGCACTAACTTCCCATCTCAACCAGAAAATTCAAAAAGGTGCGGTTGAGATGGGAAGTTAGTGCCCGAGGGGATCGAAGTCACGATAGCTCAAGTGGTAGAGGAGCGACGTATCAAGCCAAAGATTGTAAGTTCGAATCCCGCTCGTGACACTGACGTTTTTATCTCAACTTAAAACCTTAATTAATTGAATTATTTACAATAATGTACAGTATTAATTTTATAATAACGCTATAATTCCTGTCACCAACTTCTAAAATATGGCGCCACTTCAGTTTCCAAAAAGCGTGATTTTGTTGGGGGCGGCAAAAGTAAGCCCTTGGTTCATAAGCTGCAACAATGGAAACCTGACAGCCATCAAGCTGTCACACTCCAGGCGATGCCCGAATGTAAGAACAAGCAGGGTGTCAGGGATAATATTGAAACGAAAGAGAAAATGTGCTGTTTTGTCCGTGTCCTGTCAGAAGTTGTATCAGACTGTGGTCCATTCGCAGGTGGCTCATCTTTAAGCGACAGGGACTGATGGAAAGAACTCACCGGTCAGTCATCCCTGAATTGAGTTATTCCATATTTCTTCCCATTTAGCGATGCTGCATTGATTCAGCCATCTCTTAACAGTGGATAGGCTATTGATACATAACGTGGAATAAGCAAATGGCAAGTCTTCATTTTGGGAAGAGAGGTTAGCCATCTCGTTTGCAATGAGGGGAATATGTATTTTGGTGTTCAGCAGAGAGTCAATGGAGATTCTTGTGTGCATGTCTATTTTTTTTTTTTTTTTTTGAATGGATAAATGGGATGGCGAAATATCGAGATGAATGTTACAGATATACGATGTTCATATTTATTTACCCTGTGTACATTAATAATTGTTTCAAAGTCCTGAAGAAGGAGAGAAAAGCTTAACAAAGTAACTCAGTGTTTTTCTTTTCTTTCAAATGGTTTAAAAAAAAATCCTAACTTAAGCCTATTCTTAGGCCTAACCTAACCATAATCCTAAAGCCTAGTACACACTGAGATTCTTTGAATCGATTCATGTTGCGGGGCAGAGTAGGGGCTGCGTAGATTCATTGTTAAGATGCAGCCCCGACTCTGCTCCGCGACAAAGAACCGTATCCAGACCAAGATTCAGTTCACATTCATCAGTGCCTGCGAAAATGACGGTTGAACTAGCTCTCAGGAATTTCCCTTGCTCTTTTTTGCATTGTACGTAGTGCATCTAATCGGAAGTGCATTAAAAAACTCATTTTAAAGTGTGCATTTTTTCTCAATTTCGGTGACGGAAACACTGAATTTTTGGGTTAAACCGTTCAATGTTTGACTTTTCAATTCTCAATTTCTGTATTCCGTAAATGATACATCCCACAAACACCGATGGGAATGTATGTCTTCAATAGACTGTAAAATAAACTCGGTACTCCACAACATACCTTTATGCAAGACAGTATCAAAATCTTCAAGAAAACACTCACTAGCACACCAACTAAACAAATGAAAGAAGGGCGCTTGTTTCGATTCATGTCCGCACTGGCAAATGTTGCCCAACATTGAGTCAAAGAATCCCACATTGGATGGGATTCAAAAGAGTAAGAAAATGCTAGCCCGCAACACACCAGATTCATCGCAACAATGAGTCGTGGCAGCCCGGACTCAGGCTAGATGCAGCCGAGACTCTCCGGAGATTCAAAGAGTCGACAAAAAGAATCCCAGTGCGTACTAGGCCTAACCGTACCTAACCCAACCCATGTGTACTCCCTGGTAACACGTAGGAAAAATACCAATATCCAGCCCAAAAAATATACGTTTTAAAAAAATATTCAACTGTTTTCAGATTTATAAACCAACAGCTGTATGAAGCAGAACACCGGAAATCTAATGATGTTTTCAATGATGGTGGTGAATCGTTTAAAGACTATCATGCAGGGTTTAGACATCAAGTGAAACATTGGCCTATAAACCCCATTGATGTAATTATAAGATCAATTAAAAAGTTGTAAGTTAATATTAGTTTAAGCAAATATTACATTTTTTTAAAATTATGTTACGAATGCATGACACTTCATTTTTTAAATTCTCCAAATTTTTTAATAGTGTTGAAGAGGGTTAGGTTTATGGTCTTGAATGAAGTTACAAATTCATGCAAACAATTCGCCGAGCTTTCGCAACATATAGTTGCATCAGGGCCTGTATTGATCAAAAAACACCGATACAGGCCCTGATGATGCAACTGTATGTCGTGAAAGCTGGGCGAATTGTTTGAATAAATTTGTAACTTCATTCAAGTTCATCATAAACCTGATCCTCTTCAACATTGAAAAAACTGGTCAATCCTCTCCGTAACATTTCTTAATAGTGTCAGCTGATTTAATTGACAATAATTGAACTTGAGTATCTTTGTTTGGTTTGTTGTTTGTTTGAAATGGCACAATAATAATATTTGTTTTGAGAATCATTCTTTCTAATTTGTACAGTGTTTGAATTATTATTTTGTTACACCCAGAACTCTTCTGGTGGTTCTTGTGCAGCAGATGCGTAAAGCTAAATGGAGATGAAGTGCATTCCAGCTTGAGTTAAGATGTGCCATGTTATTTTTTCTTTGTGTGGGAAAATAACGAAATCTTGGGGGAGTGAGAAGGATATGAGTGAGATGAGAAGAAAAGGATGAAAAGGAAAAAAATCAAATGTAAAAATAAAAAATACAAAAAAAGAACTACTAGTCTACATGAGATCCCTGTAGTCAGTAGCCTCTATCTTGCCGCCTCATGCTGTCCCGCACGGTTTCAAAAATTGTGAATGTATTGATTTCACCCTCCAGCTCGTCACCTTCTGCAAGTTAAAATAAATAAATAAATAAACAGATCAAATAAAAATAAGATGAGGTGCCGCACCTGTCTGCTTATTTGAAGTATGATGTTTCAAGGTTCAAATGAAACAAAACCAGGTTAAAAGGTTAAATTTTTTTTATAAGGTTAAATAACTAAAATTTTAGCATGCAGCAAACAGACAGCCTCATTCGATGGGAAAAATGCTCCATAAAATCCTCTCTCAAAAATTTGTCTTTTCCTACAAAAGACTCTTGTCTGTCTCTCATTCACTTCATGCCAAAAAATAAATAAATAAATAAAAAATAAAAAACCTTGCACACTGCACGTCGAGTCCATCCTGTGAGCCCCTTACCTCAAGATCTGCTCTCTTAATTGTATAAAATCTTTTAAAATTTTTATTTATTAATTTTTTACATTATTTAGACATAAGCAGGCACTCTTTCCACTTCCTTCTTTCTTTATTTTAAATATCTAAGTCTAGATAATTAAAATCTAGACAAAAATGTAATAATTTATATAGATTCTGTAATGAAATTCATTGTTATTGTTTTTAGAAAAGATTTGGATAAAATGGTTATAGCTGATTTTGGCTGTGGTGAAGCTAAACTAGCATCAGAGCTGCCTACTGCTAAAGTATTCTCATTAGATTTAGTCGCATTAAATGATAAAGTTATTGAATGTGACATGTCCAGCACAAATTTATATTCATCATCTATTGATATTGCAGTATATTGTCTATCCCTTATGGGAAAAGAACTTTCACCCTACATTAAAGAAGCCAACCGTGTGTTGAAAATTGGGTAATTATTTTACTGTATTGATTATTAACTATAGTCTGATTTTCTTTTATAATAAATTCCAAGTACTTTCTTTACATTTAAGAATGGATTATGCCCATCTTATGCCTGTGTTACCAAAAGTATATAATTTTCAGGGGTTTGTTAAAAATAGCAGAAGTTGAAAGTAGATTTGACAAAATCGAAGAGTTTATATTACTTATGAAAAAGTATGGATTCGATCTCATCAGCAAAGACTTATCACATAATTTATTCTATTTTTTAAATTTTAAAAAAATTAGTGATATATCTAAGTCTCAAAAGAAGAAACTTCCGTGTATACAATTAGCTCCTTGCATGTACAAGAAGCGGTGATAAGGTTAATTATTTAATTAATTTTTTTTTACAGAATGCCATATTCAATAGTTCCCTAATAATTTCATTGTAAAACAAACCTTGGATCAACAACTAAAAACAAAAAAAAAAATAGTTCAAGAAATATTAAATGTTTATAAGACATTCAAAAATTGGCAATAAATTAATATTCAAAAATTTATAATTTTCCATTGATCAGGTTTTAATTGGTTTATACTTTTTCTGGCTGTTTTCCTGTCAGACAATACTAGAAGATATACTAGTTATATCTTTTACAAAAAGGAAACCAAGGTGTTTAGTTTAATAAGAAATTGTGTACTTGATAAATATTTTTAAAACTTTATTTTGTGCTAAGTTTTTGTAAGTAACTGTAAGTATTAGTGATATTAATACTGTAATATGGAAATTTCTCTGACTAATTAAATTTGTGGAATTTTTTTTATTACACCTCTTAATTGGTCATAGCCAGGCCTTTTCCTTCATTGTTGTACTTGTCCTTTCTTTGTTATGTTTTATGTCTACTTCTACTATTCTTTTTCTGGCGTTGTAACCAAGTTAATACAACAAACGGTTAAAAACATGATATTCTCATTAGATTTCACAATTTTCACACTGCTCCAGAATATTCCTCAGTTATCAAGAGGTCTGGCCCCTCCGTTCTTGCTAATAAACACATTCATTCCAATAAATAACACCACAAATATTATACAAAAATCTATTATTTGCAATCCATTATTATTTTCTTCACAGTGATCATTTGTTTACACCAATGGGTGGCAAGGTCTGATGTGATCTATGTGCAACCCGGTTCCTTTTAAACCCAGACTTTGCAGGACAGGCCCGTTGTAGTTATAAATTCAATGCACTTCTTTCAGACCCACGGATTCTCCATTCATTTGTATTGTTAAGTAAGGTCTATTTATGGGAAACTTTACTGCTGTACCTACTTCTTTTTTACCCAGTTATACCTATATGTCTGGGAAACCAACACCAAGATTGCTGGAACTGCGGAAGCTATTTTTTTAAATTAAGGAGTCTATGCATGTATGAATGTATTTTCTTCTTTTTTTCTAAAGTGCATAGAATATGGCAATCAGTAGTGATAACTGATAACATTTCCCTATACATGTACCCATACATGTTGCTGTTTTGTCCTCACGGGCATAGATGGGTCTAGCTCCACTAGTTATAGGTTATTAGAAGTCAGCTTCTTTCCTTGAATGCATACCAATATTGGTGCATTCTCCATCATTGCCTAGAGCTCTTCATTAAGCTTAAAGCTTTATACCAAATCACAACGCTTTGTTAAGGGCGTCTGTGTATCCTTCAATCCTTGGTTTTTTTTCTCTCCCACGAGTAGGAATGTCAGATTGATTAGGCCTTCACATCAAAACTGACATGTTCCGATGTTTCTTTTTTCTGATAATAAAAAAAGTTTAAAAATTAATTGTAAGTTTTGCTCATAATGCTTGGACAAAATCAAACCAGTAATGGTATCGACATGTATAGACATAATACACTTATGTTTAGTATACAAATATGCCAAATGTTACATTGACAAAAAAAAATTCTTCATGTGTGTTGAGAGAACACACTTAGTCAAGGGGAAGGGGCCTGGGATTGTAATGTTTCTGGGCAAAAATACGTCTCGACAGTAATGATAACAATGATAACAAAAAAGGGCACAATTATTATAAAAATTGCAATATATATAATTTAAATATANATCTCAACTAAAAACCTTAATTAATTGAAAGATATCAAAAGGTCAAGCGGACCACGAAAACTAGTGAATTTAATAAGTTAAAATGAAGTATATCTTCACTAAAGCTCTCCGTGGCCATTTCATTTGTCGCCGAGAATCAAATAGATTACACGACATTTGAAAAATGGCAAAAAGGAGGGCAAATTCAAAAGGTGGGGTCGAGATGGGAAGTTAGTGTCCGAGTGGATGGAAGTCCACGATAGCTCAAGTGGTAGAGTAGCGGCGTATCTTTTTCGATGGTCGTGGGTTCGAATCCCGCTCATGACTGACTTTTTTTATCTCAACTAAAAACCTTAATTATTTGTATAGATATGGTTCAAGAGAAATGGCCATGTAAAAGGACACCTGTATAGTATAATCGTATATTACATCTACATGCACTGTAGGAATTAGAAAAGTGGATAAATATTTTCTATAAAACATTTTTTTAAAAATTGTGCTATACAACATACATATACCATATATTTTGTTTTATAATTTGTTTACAATTACGTATATTACATAATTAGCTTTTTATTGTACAATGATATAAAACAAATAATTTGTTAATATGAACATAGTAAAGAAATTTGATTTTTTGTTGTTGTTAATGTTAAATTAAATGCCAAAATACATATTTAAAGAAAATTACAAAGTGTGAAACTTTCAATTATTAATTTTTGAACTTGGATAATTGTATTCATTTCTGTACATAAGTATATTTGCACAGTGTATAGAAAAAAATTCATTTGTCATTTCTTAGGGTTGTTTTCTTCAGTGGAAATCCCGCAGTATACGTTCAATTTATTTCTCATAGAACTAGTCAATGGAGGAATATATTGACGAGGGAGCAAAAATGTTGACAGATTAAATAAATCCAGAAAGACTTTGTAGCGATCACTGAAATCAAATTAAGCAAATTATAATAAAAAAACCTAATATTTACATTTTTATCAATACCTTAATGTTGAGCGAAGGTATTGATAACCTGATGATCCTCCTGTTCCTAAATTTTGTGATCCTATCATTCTTTGAACCATCAACACATGATTATCTGCAATTTAGTTTTTGGTTTGTTTCATTGTTTATAGTGAATACAATAATATAATTAAAATGAACTTACATCTCCACTTTGTGACTAATGAATCAATGTCCATCAACAATGTCAAAAGTTGATGAGGCTGAGAAAACCGAGGTTCATCCCTGTAAAATGTAATCATAATAGCGCCCTGTAAAGCTTTGTGTGTAAATCGCCTTTCCCCTCTGTTTATAAGCGCAGCATGAATGTTTGGATTTAGAACAGAGTCAAAGGTAGCTTTCTTTTTTTCATAATCAGCTAGTTTAAAACTTTTTTCAGATTCAGTTTGCGATGCCTACAATTTAGTAAAACAAATCCCTATAGTTGTGCTAAATAGTATGATAATTCATTCTCCTTCAATACCGTCGCAGAGGTGTAGTAGGATTTTAAGAGAACCTCTACATTTTGCTTATATTTTCCCCAAAAATTGAAGCCATCAGTTTCAAGACCAGGAGTCCTCTCAAGCCACCTTTCGACTAATTGTGCTAAAGATGGTTCTTTTTCTGATTGGGCAATGTCTGCAAGGGCAACTTCATCCCTACCAAACACACTATGATAACTTTGATTGAATCGGACTCTGTTTTCCTGAAAGAAAAAAAAATGTTGACTTTTGGTAATAAATAAGTAAGATGTATTTTGGTAGTATACTTGTTTCATCCCTAATTTATTTTCAATCAATCGAAATTGAACACTTTGAAAACCTGATGCAGGGCATAAATACTCTCGAAACTCCATGAAATCTAGAGGTGTCATTGTTTCCAGGATCATTACTTGGTCCACTAAAAGCTAAAACAAAGTACAGGGCTTTGTAAAATGATTATCCACTTTTTTAAAACTATACTTTGTTTAAAACAACTATTCTAATAAACAATTTATTATAAGTGAGTAGAATGCTGTAAAAATAATGATAAAGTAGTTCCTGTCATACAGGAGAGCTTAATTTTTACTCATTGGGTGCCGTGGATGAGGGGGAACCACTTAACAATACATTTTTCATATTAATTTTAATTAAAAAGCTTGGATTCAACTCAGAACTGCTAGCTTGGGCAATATGAGAAAGATGCTCTAACCACTTGGCCAAAAAACAAGGTTTTTTTAATCAGTTTTATTTGTCCAGTATTTACATTTTAAATTTTGACAGAATCTTTATCTCTTGACGGACAATAAAGCTTTTATAGTAATTATAAGAACAAATGTAGGCTTGAGTTTTCTGAGGAAAAATATTTTTTAAAACCTCTGAACATAAGAAAATTAAAATTTGTGCAGAATATAATATACCTAGAAACGTGAGATTTAAATAAATAAATATAATAATTATGCTGTTTGTGACAGGTTATCCATCAACCCTCTCATTGTGCTCTTATTGGAGAAATACCATGAACTGGAGAGTCTTGGCAAAATTGTGGTTGTTTGTCTGGGTACCTGGTCACAGGTCTGGAGGGGAATGAAAAGGTGGATGAGGTGGCTTAGGCTGGGACGTCCTATCCTAAGGACTGAACCACTGTGATCCAGCCAGATGGATGGTAAAAATGCAATGAAAACATTATTAAAAGAGGCTCATAGCATCGGTGGGCCAAATTGGTAGAGAGGCTGTCAGGTATCAAGAGCACTGTCGATACTTGGCCCTGGATCTGACTCTAGGATCTAGATTAGGGGTCATCCTCACCTGATTAAGAATACGCCATGTGAGGTTCATACATGGACACTTACTTTTGGGCTAAAGTGTGTATATATCCAGCATGTACAGAGAGGTTGCTTGAGGTGTCCTACCTAGTTGAAGGGTGCAATTCCTTGGCTCCATATAGAGAGCATGAAATAGTGCCACCTGATATGAGAATTATGCTCGAGCACAGCAGTGAGTATCTAGGTCCATTGTCCCAATTCTTGGAAGAAGCAAGGTTGGTTTATTGAATATAATACTGATAGTTTGTGCCCCTAGTGTGTTGAGAGTGAATGTATTTATTGGCATGAATGCATAGTGTGAGAAGACCGATGGCAGAATATTGAGTAGCCCTCCCTGCAATTAGGTTAGATAGTCTCCAGTCTCCAGGCACCTTGAACAGTCCCATCTTCTCAACCCCCTCCAATCTGGTTTCCGCCAAGGTTACTCCACCCAATCAGCACTACTAAAAATTACCAGTGACCTCCACTTAGCAATGGACCAACGGAAAGTTACTACACTTTTCCTTCTTAATTTTTCCAAAGCCTTCAATTCTGTCCCTCACTCTTCTCTCCTCTCTAAACTCGAATCTTTTTCCTCTCCGCCAGCACCATCCGTTGGTTCCACTCCTACCTTACCAATCGCCACCAAGCTGTCTCCCTTCCCAATGGCCTTACCTCCTCCTTCCTCCCTCTAAAATCTGGGGTGCCCCAAGGCTCTAGCATCTCTCCTATCCTTTTTTCCATTTATATCAATGATCTGCCCGACTCCATCCAGTCCTGTAACTATCACCTATATGCCGATGACTCCCAAATATACATATCCTTCCACCCTTCCGATCTTCACTCGGCCACTCTCAAGATCCAAAAAGACCTAAACTCCATCAACGAATGGGCCCATAAAAATTCCCTAGTCCTCAATCCGTCCAAATCCACCGCCATAATTATCGGGTCCAGGCAACTCCTCAATTCCCTCCCCAGCATCCCACCTCTCATGCTAAATAACCATCCCATCCCCTTCTGCTCTTCGGTTAAAAACCTAGGAGTAGTCTTTGACCAAAACCTTTCCTGGCATTCTCACATTTCCCAAATTTCCCGCCATTCCATTGCCTCCCTCAGCCTGTTTCGTCGGTCCTGGCTTCTCTTACCTTTTTCCACCCGCAAACTCCTTGTATCTTCCCTTATACTTCCCTTCTTCGATTATAGCTGTTTGGCATACGGTGGTCTCTCGGAGGGGGAGAATGTGCAATTGAAGCGCATTATGAATTGTTGCATAAGATTTGTATACGGCACCCCACGGGGATCCCGGTGTCGGGGTTGTATTCCCAACTTTCCTGGCTATTCCCCTTCTTCCGTGCACAGTATTTCCTAGGTTGCTTTCTTTTCCAGTCCATCCACACGACCTCGCCCTCCTTACATCATCCAATCCCTCCAATTCAACTCCTCACATCACACTCGTAAGACCCGCTCATCCTCAATCGACTTTATCCTTCCGCAACATACAATCTATACCTTCGAAAAATTCTTTCTGATCCGAGCCCCTAAACTCTGGAACTCCCTTCCCCTTTCTATTCGTCACTCTGCCTCCTTTCCCTTCTTTAAATCCCACCTGTATAATCACCTCCTCTCCCTCCAAGCGGAGACCTCACGTTAACATTTTTTTTTTTTTTTTTTACTTTTAACTTCATAGAAGGAACTTCCTTTATTTATTTCATGTAAATTATTCTTAGGGGACACTAATCCCAGAATAAAGTTATTTTTCTTCTTCTTCTTAGATATATAATAGGTGTAAAGGATGATGGTGGGATATCAAGTACTCCACCACCGTGAGTGAATGATATATAATGGGATATAAATAGGAAAGAATGTATTTAAGAATGAATGAGTGTGAATGGCTTTGGTTTTAGGAATTGATTTTCTTGGGGGCTGAAATGTCCTAGCAGTGGTAGCCCCTGAAGCCTAACAGACTGGGTGGATAGTACCAATATCTTACCTGGACTGCCAACAACAGGGATGGGTGATTCTTGAGGCCTAATGGTAATTTATTGCAATTTACAAAATCTGAAATTGCTCGTGACTGCGAGAAGTGATCGGCACAACTCTGTACACATGTATAGTATTTACAATCAGTGATCAGTAAATACAATAATTTAAATATAAAAATTACCTATTTATATCTTTGATTCTATTTGTAAGGAAGGGTATATTTGGTATAGTTACATATGCTTTTTATATATTCAATTTGACCAAGATGACACTGATTAATAAAATTTTGAGTTGTACTGTACATAAATGTGGAATTGCTAGAATGCTAGGAACCTTTAGAGTGGTATGCATATCATTAAGACAATTCTTGTCTATTTCAGGTAGCTGCCAATAATTCGAAGGGCCATGTTTTGTCCAATTTGATGGTTATTGAAAATTACGTTATAGACTAGATGTAGATGTAATTTCAGGGTATGGTATACTGCACCCTTTAAGAGCTATTGCATCCCCCGTGCTCTGCCTAAAGCACATCGGTGAGTCCTATTTCGTCAAGAAACTTGATTAATAGGCCCGGTTTCAGTGGTTGAAGCTCGTCTAAGGTCACATTATACATCCCGAAACATTTCCTCCTGCGGGCTAGTGTAGCTCCGCAGTTTGTTAATAAATGTGTTGGTGTCTCCTCTGCCTCTTTGCAGAATCTGCATGTGCCGTCTTGGATTATTCCAATCTTCTTTAAGTGTCCATTTAGCTTGCAGTGTCCTGTTAAGAATCCAATTAGGATTCGCAGTCCGTTCCTGCTTCCTTTGACACATTCTATGATTTTTTTCCTACCAAAATTGGTTAGAAGATTCTTAAATTGTCTATGTCCAATGAGTGAATTCCAAAGTTCCCTCATTTTCTTTTTGTCCTCTGAGATATTCGTTAATAGTGTGGATTCCTATGCCACAGAAGAGTTCAGGTCCTAACATTATAGACTATTATTTATAATATATTTACCTTTTCATTCAGAGAAACTAATGAAATATCTAATGAAAGAAGACCAGTAAAACAAAATAATGACCAAAATACAGGATCTGTTGATATAATTTTCATATTTACCTTTAATATCAGCACTATTCTGCTTAACCTCTTCAATATTTCAAGCGTTTCAGATTCTTCTAGTCCCTAATAAATACACTGACTTAAATTTTTAAATTGTTTTGTGTTAATTAAAATTACTTTTAAATACCTCAGGTTTATTGAATATCACTCTGATTGAGTCGAGTTCATGAATTATCTGCTTGAACCACAGCTCATAAGCTTAGCAGAAAAACATGTACATTTGTATAAAAGAAAAACAAAATTATATTGTATTTGTAATTCAAAGTAAACATAGGAAAATATACAGTTATGTACAATTAATTACAAATATAAATCTTTTACCTTGATGCGTAATAATGAACAAATGTTCGTCATGAACTGTAGCATTGTGTTCTGTGCTCAGCATTCGTTGAGCTGTTAAGATTTTGTTAAGTTGTAAGTAATCAGCATACAGCATCCCATCCTGCTCGCCCAATGGGCACTCTTCATTTTCATCATTTTTTCTATGGCAAAATTTAAAAAAAAAATGTATACATTAATAAAACTTTAAACAATAAATTATCATGTACATACACAAACAAATACAATACAAACAATAAACTATAACCTTACAAAAAAAAAAATACCAATCAATATCATTGAATATTAAAAACACCACTAAATTAAATACAAGCAAGAACTACTTTTTTGGGGTGGGGGAAGGATTTCAACCTTATATACACTGACACCTATAGATCATGGCCATAGCCATGGTTATGACCGTACTGTGGAAAGTACTTTCCCTGTAAAACTTAGCATTTTCTTTACTTTTTCATGAATTTCTGTTTGTGTGAAAATTGCCTTAATGGTTGGCTATGCCATATACGGACTACTGCCTCACATTCACAAAGTTTGTGTAGTTTGTTTTGTTTTTTACTCTGGTTTCTTTTGACAGTCAGCATGTTTCTGTCTCTGCTTTGCTCATCTTATGGAAATGAACAGGCTGACCAACTGGACAAAGAAGGGGCAGCCTTTCACCTTTGAGAACCAAACTAGGCACACCAGAGAGTGTGTAAAGTTGGAGCTGGAAAAATGGCTTTGGAAAGAAAAAACTCAAGCACTGGATGACTAAGTATGGAGGCGAGCTAAGATTTACAAATCTGAACTCCTCTCACTAAGCATGCAGGATTTGAGGAAAATTATAGGCTGCTACATTGGCCAATGCCCTCTTAACAGTGAGAGGCTGCCCGTTTATGTCTGGTTGGTCAGGCTGTTCGTTTCCATCTATACCTTCATATTCCAGAACATAGGTGTGCTTTTCTAGGGCAATCTAGGCATTCCCAGACTAGTTTGAAGATAAAAGCGTACACATTTAGTACCTCTATATTGCCTGACTGTCCAAAAATACATAGATCCATACATCTTTCATTTTTTCTTTATCAAATCATGTGCACAGAGTTGAATTGCATGGACTTCATCTTGGAAGTTCATTGGAAGCAGTTCAAGGAGTCTTGTTTGGTACATAGAACAATGTGTATCTGATTTGACAGTGTGTAGAGTTTGTTAAGGAGATCAAACCAGTAGAATCGAAATGGCTATTCTCTAACTCAAGGAAGGGAATTAGGAGGCTGATAGGTATTTTGATGGGCCACTGTCCACTGAGAAGACACCTCTTCATAATGGGTATTCTACCAGACCCCTTTTGCCGTTTTTGCGAAATAAAAGAAGAAACGGCAAGGCACGACCTCGCAGAGTGTGATAGGTACGCTAGGTCTAGATTTGAAACTTTTGAAGGAGAGGACATCACCAAATCACTCCCCGAGATTAAATGGTCCAAACTCTTGGGGTTTGTGAACAGGTCCAAGAGGTTTATGCAGGACACGTGAGCCGACCAAGTCCTGGACCTTTTAGGGATGGGGTACGAGTCTACCCAGGCATTTAACCCCTTGGGTCTTGGTTGCCCACCCTGCATAATATATATATACAGGGTGAGTCATTTTTTGACGCACCATTGGAAAATCAACGTGGGTGCGTTTAAATCTGACGAGGCTTATTTCCTTTGATTAATACGTTAATAAAAGAAAGTGAGTCAATTTTCGGTGCACCATAGGAAAATCAACGTTGGTGCGTCTAATTGTGACTCGGCACATTTTATTTTGTTAGTCATACCAGTCTCATACCAAAAAATAGGCGAGTCACTTTTCGACGCACCATTCGTTACAAATTAGTTTAGTAGGTTGGAAGGAAAATAAACAAAACCAATATTATTAAAACATTATTTAAACACAATGTAAAAATTAAAAAAAAAATACTTCACAAATTAATTTGATTAAGATTTAAGAGTATTTTTTTCTGGTAAAGTAAAAAAATTAAATAAATGTAACAATTTCCTTTGTTAGCAGATCAAAAATGTTCAAAATCACTATAATAATTGTTCGAACAGACCTCCATTTGCTGCAACACAGTAGTCTATCGTAAAACGATGATCGGATGAAAAAAATACTCTTAAACCTTAATCAAATGAATGTGTGAAGAATTTTTTTTTAAATTTTTACATTGTGTTTGAATGTTTTAATAATATTGGTTTTGTTTATTTTCCTTCCAACCTACTAAAACTAATTTGTAACGANAATATATATATATGATATATATGTATAGTCAGATGACCAAGTTCAGGGAATATTATCTGACTTTTTAGCATTATGAATTATGTTGCGTAAATGACTTCTCCACCGTAGTCTTTGGTCAAGAATTTATACGTAGATATTGGAGAGGCTTATGGCTTCATCTTTTGGAGTGGGTGCTTTTAGAAACTGCATAGAACAATATAATTTATTGAATAGCTGTTTTGTCCATAAATATTATGTCAACTCAATGTTTTTGCAAAAAATTTTTATGACTATGTTGTTGTTCAAAATTCTGTTGTAAACATGTTGAAAGAGAATATTTTTTCACCCACTTTATTAGGCTATTACATAATACAGAAAAAAATGTAAAATTGCTACAAATTTCCAAGGACAAAAGAAAACTATGCACATTTATATAACAAAAGTTGGTGCTATAGGCACCCTTGAGGTTGATCCTATTTAAGAGCCAGCAATACAATGGTAAAAAAGGGGTGAGGGGAAAATATTATTAAACGTGGAGAGAAGAAAAAAAATTAGTTACAACTTGTAAGACTATTTTCCTTTTTACACGTAATAAATAGTAAGTACTAATATTGGATCAAGTTCATGAAATAAAATATTTAGGCCTGATAATAGACGACCATTTAAAATTGGACTTTCTCTTGTTGTCTTTGTTTTTAGCCACATATTCAAATAGCCAAAGTTGACTTTTTTAGAACATGTTTTGAGATTTACTTCACATTTGATCTCATTAGGGACCAAATGGAACCACTTAAGTCCTACATACAGAAAACAATTCAACTTAACTGTTAATTTTGGTTGGGGCAATACACTATTTACAGAACATCTCATATCATATTTTTTTAAATTTTATATTTGTCGATATAATTTCCACCTCTGTTAAAAAACTGCCTCATGGTTTGCAAAAGATAAAAGGTATGGTATAGCCAAAATGTGGTATCTGAGGAAGAGTGGCAGGGAAGGTTCCAAATTGTATTTAAAAAACATTAAAGCATTGCACAAATAATTTTTTTTCTGTATGATTGTTATTGCTTTTTTTTCATATGCACTCCCCAGCATACCAAGGCATATTGAATTTGTGATTTTATGAGGGCATAATATAATTTAAGTAGAAGGGAGGTGTTACAATTTCTTATGTAGAAAATAAATATACCTTAAACCATGTTGAAGTCACTTTTGTACTAAATGAGAGTCCAATTTTAAATGGTCGTCTATTATCAGGCCTAAATATTTTATTTCATGGACTTGATCCACATTAAAACATCTATCACATCGGGGTTTATCATGGCATTGGAGACAGTAGAAGTTAATGTTTAAGCCAGTATTAATTGAATTTCGGAGATTAAAGTACATCAACTTTGATTTACTACTAAGTGATAGTCGATTATAAACAAACCATTCACCAATAAGTCTTATGTACCATGATGCATCTGTCATTCTATATCCTTCCAAGATCTTCCTGAGTACTGAGAAGAAATATATGCGTAGGCAGTCAATGCTCCTTTTAAATTTTTAGTACACAAAATGTCAATCACATACACTAGAAAGAGAAAAGGACCTAACATGGAATCTTGTGGAACACCATTGTCTATCTTTATATGCATGAGCAGGCTACTTCCAATATGTACACATCGATTGCACTCAGAAAGATGCGACTTAAACCATTTCAATGCAACACCCTGTATTCCTACTTTTGGATTAAATTTTGGATTTTTCATCCTACTTTTGGATTAAAATTTCAAGATCTAGGGTATTAAAAGCTTTTGTAATATTTAGGAAGAAAAAAAGTAACCTTTATACCAGACCGCATCTCACGATTTCTGAATAATCATCGACTAACGGTCACTAATCACCACACACTTCATACCATTACTCAAACCATTATTGATCATGGCCAAAAAATTGACAGGTGCATCCTCTGGGCTTTTTGATTTCTGAAAGCCAAAATTTCTGGAAAAAAATCGTAATAACCTTGTTTTATAGGTTTTGCAAAAATTTTACAAAATATTGAAAGTATGAGTCTGTAATTTTTGATTTAAGTAATCTGATAAGTTCCCCATTTTATGAACCGGTATTACAACTCCACTTTTTCGATCTTTTGGAAAATCCCTCGTGGTAATTAATACTCATATTACAAAAAATGAAAGTCAACAAAGTGACAACATATGCCACCGTTTCCCTAACTATTTTAGCATTTTAGCACTGATTTCGTCAATATCTGAAATCTATTTTTGAAAGACCTAGTACAATCCATGATTTCTAGTTCATCTACAGGAAGCATAATATTATGTTGTGATATCTAAAATTTTTTTATTAAAAATATATTAAGACGATGGGTAGAAAATAAATTGTCTTTTCCACAAAAGGTATTTATTTCGTCAAACGCGTTTCGATCTAATACAGACCATATTCTTTTTATATACGTGTGTGGTGATTAGTGACCGATAATCGATAATTATTCAGAAATCGTGAGATGCGGTCTGGTGTGATGTAGGTTTCGGAAAAACATTTTCTTTATCGTGCCAACGTTTCGGTCTTTATTGAGATCATCTTCAGGGCCTGGGATTTACAAACTTGTTTACATTTAACAAATACATTTACGATGTGGAAAAGTGAATTTATACAATGGAAAATATATTTTTTATATTCAATCAAAGTATTTCTACTCATTCAAAGTGTTTGTCTTCTGTGTAATTGTGCCATTCTTGCGTGTCGTGTTGAGATTTTGAGAGTGCCAGTGAGATATTGCTGTTTTATGCTTATACACAACACGACTGAAGATGATCTCAATAAAGATCGAAACGTTGGCACGACAAAGAAAATGTTTTTCTGAAACCTACATCACACCAGACCGCATCTCACGATTTCTGAATAAC